CTAGCAGTACTGTCAGCCATACTGTGCTTCTTCAAATTCATTCTGAGCCTGAGCTGCTGCTGAGGAAGCAGCAGCTCAGGCTCACTTTTCTACTTTCACTCTAGTCCACTCTGCTTGAGTGGCAGCAGTGTAATAATCATCAGGTGGTTTTTTTGGGCTATAATTTTATGGGCTCTCTCTGAGGCTATACTGAGTGCAAAGCCTTCTGTCCAAGTCCATCTAGGCTGTAAGTCTCTCCCCTTATTGCTTCAGCAGGTCTTCATCATTTGACCAAAGGTCACTGACCTTATAGCTATTATAATCAGTATAGACTAACAAGGCTGGGCTTCTGGCTAGTGTTGTGTAGAGAGAGTTGTGATTGAAGTTCAGAGATGCATATTGGGATCCTGAAGCCATCTGAGTGGCATCAAGAGAGTCTCAAGCACAGTCTCCAATCCTTTGTTTTGGTGGGGCAGTAAAAAGAATCAGGAAATGGCTTATCATCAAAGAGATCATCAGAGAGATCCTCATCCTCATGATTCAGGACTGGAGAGAACTCCAGTGGGATCTATAGGTTTCTAAACTCTGTGAGATGAATGTTATAGTTTCTGTTGTCTATTCATTGGGGTCAAAAGAGGTATTAGTGTTTCTCTTCTTCTTCAGCATCTCTCAAATGTGAGCTGCTAGACCCAGCCTCTGATATGAGTCCAATCAGAGGCTGGAAGAAGACTCTGGCAGAGGCAGAGATGTCATAGAAGGAGAGATCAGATGTGACATTTCAAAGAATTTGTTGTACTTGTTAGAAGGCTTGGTAGTATCTAACTATCCAAGCTGTAACTGATTATTGTTTGCAGCAAAGTTGTATAATAGCTAATAAGTCTAAAAGCATTTTGATGATAGAAGCTAATAGCTTAAAAAAGTTATTAGTGAGATCTGAAGATGAGGTATTAGCAGGTGGCATTTAGTTTTCTTCATGCTTATTGTGCATAAGAAAAAGGAAGCAATAAGCTTTGAGCTAATTGTTAAGCACAAGCAACATATGACTAAAACATGTGATAAACAGGCACTATATCATATTTGTACAGTCATATCTGAGTTCACTCTATGTGTCTATATAATATTATGTTCCAAGGCTATTACAAGAGGCTTGAGGTAGAATGATGAAGATATAAACTTTAGCTTGAAGCTGGGAATATACAGCAAGAGCTACTCTACTTATATACTACTCATCCTTCAAGATAAATATACTACTACTAATTGTGTTCTTTCAAGTCTTTATACTCTTTGTTCTCAAGTGTCACTATCATCTACAAAAGAGTTATTAAGCATTGTTGAGAGGTGTTGTTGCATCAGAAGACAATGATAGACTCAGCTTATTGTGATGAATAAGCTGGTCCCACAGTCTTAAGCACCAGTGTAGGTGCTCTGACTAAGCATAAATAGGGGTTAAAGCAAAGAAAATGTAGAAAAATCATAACACAGTTAGGATTAAATAACAGTGAGAGAGTAGAGCTCATCTCACTTGGAGATATGGGATAAAGATGAAAATGAAGAAGAGACACTAGAGCTGATGTCTCTAGTGGTGTCACTATTTTAAAGTGGGGAAACAGAGATCAAAATGCTGATGCAAATGATTAGATCAAAGGCAGAGTGCAAATAGCTGAAGGTGAAGCTAGTTGAGCTAGGGGTGCTGTATATATAGCTTGTAGAGGTTGGACTGATGAAATCCTTAGCATTGGACAAATGTTATACCAAAACTGGTATGCCAGTAGCTTATCTATCAGCTCTTCTGGATATACCATGTTATACATGTATATAGCTCTTTTCATAGTATAGTACTGTAAAATATCAATTTGTTCCTGATCATCTGTAATTAAATACTTCTCTCCTAGAGAAGAGACTCTCTATCCAATGTCCCAGAGAATCTTCATTAGCTGCTGTTGATAGATGCAGTTAAACTCTTTCATCCTCTTCTGGTGCATAGCTTTCTTGAGTCAGTCCTCATTCATGGCCTCCTCAACTCCTTCAGGAAAGTCAGTGAGCAGGTCATAGGTGAATAGTGGGTCAGACCTCATCACCACCAGAGTTATCCTTAGTTGCTTGGTTCTGGCTCAGAAGTAATGAAGATCTGGCTGGGTCTATTTTCAGAAGTAGGTAGATGTCAGAGTAGTCAGAGATCAGTCTCCTCTCTACTCAAGTTGCTTCCTTTTTCATCTTTCTCCACTCTCTGGCAATACTCATAGAACTGCTGATAGAACCAGTTGTTGAAGAATAGTCCAGCAACTGGACCTCTGAGAAATCATCAGAGGCTAGCATCACTGACTTGGATGGGAGTGAGACATTAGGTCTCATAAATAGGAAGAGGATCATTGGAAGTTCAGGAGAGTGATATGTTGATGAGACTGGCATGAGGTTTGCTTCCAGGCCAGCTAGGTAAAGAGAAGTCTCTTTCATAAATAAGTCCATGTCTTCAGGATCATGCTGTAATGTCTTGCTCTGTCTGAGTTCTCTGTTTTAATATTCTTTTTCAGTGAGATGTCACTCTCAGGAGGCTTCACTGGTTTGGTTGCAGAGGTCTGCTGGGATTCAGTTCCTATGGCAATCATAAGTGAGGAGCAGATAGCCAATGGCTTCTGTGTACTTCTGGAGGAGTCAGCCTAAGTCTTCTGAGTAACTCTCTTCCAGTGTCTCTTGATCTGTTTGGCTCTCTTTAGTTGAGTCATTGTCATCAATCAGAGAAAGCAGGACATCCTGCTCTTCCAGAGTTGCATAAAGAGTGTCATGGGCTGAAGCCACTTCAGAGGCATTAAGAGAGTCTCAAGTATGGCTTCCAATTTCATACTCAATAATAACAGTGGTAGAGTCAGGAGAGAGTATGGCATTAAAAAAGTCATCAGAGATATCCTCATTCTTATGGTCTGGGACTGAAGAAAGATACAATGGGATGCAGCTGTGGTTCTGATGCTGAGATTGTCATAGAAGTCTTGGAGGATATTGATGTTTTTCCTATTCTTCTGAAACAGTTCCCTTAGACAGAACCTTAATGATGGCTTCTGATATAGTTCTTTCTTTGAGCTTGTCAGAGGCTCTGAGAGGCTCTAAAGGGAGATCATAAAAGAGAAGGATAGATGAGATGTTCTATAAGATTTAGTGGAAGGTTCTAATAGCTTGGTAGTATCTGACTATCTAGACAGTGATAGATTGGTTTTCTTGGCAAAGAATGACTACTGTGAGTAGTTATAGTAAGATGCCAATGAAAGCCTCTGTGATCTTCAGAAAGTCAGTGGTGATTTTGTTGGTTGATGGCATTTAGTTTCCTTCATGCTGATGTGTGTAAAGAAAGAAGAGCTAGCAGCTTCAAGCTAATTGTTAAGTCCAAGTTACATATGATCTAAACACATAACCTAAACACATGATAAACTGATGCTGTATTGTGTTTGTACAATCACATCAGAGTTCACTATATGTGTTATTCAGTTGCTGTGCTGCAAGATCAGAGACAAGTCAGCTCAAAATGAAGTGGTAAGAATAAACTTTAGCTCAAAGCTGGGTATCTACAGCAAGAGCTACACTACTTATATACTGTTTTAGTCTAGGATAAATATAACACTACCTATTATGCACTGTTGTGGTATAGTCCTTGTTGTCTTTGGTCATCAGGAGTGGAACAATAAGATATGGTTTGTTGTCAAGACATCCATCATCATTCATAGGACAATAGCACAGGTTACCTATTGTGGTTATATAATCATCCCATGCTCACCAGTAGATGCTTGTGATTAGATAGGCACCAAGATAAGATAAGAAAGACAGGAAAAATTGTAACAGTTACAGGCAACTAATAGTGTGTATGCTGTAAGAGTACTATTATTAAACAATTAGTAGGCACAACAATGAGACAATAGTCATCTGTAGAGCCAAGACATTTCTGAACAGTATTTTAGTCTCAAGATAAGATTAATTCATACCAATCAAACTCTTAGACTGTCAGTGCAGCTATCACCTCAGTTTCTACATTGGCAGCTGTAGTCTATCAATTCCTTTATCTCATTTCACTTATCATCATCACATACCTCATCATTCTTATCATCCTGTTTTATCATCAGTTAAGTTTTGGACTCTGGTAGTTGCAGTGCCATGTATTTGTGATTATTTGATCATCATCTGACACAGATACTTTGGTATCTTAAGAGACATGAGCTAGCAGACAGAAACATTGCATTCTATTCATTTGACTAGACTAAACTGGTTGCCATAGTGAAGACTGATCAGAAATATATATTGTCACCAGCATCCCATATCTTGAGATTTACAGATACAGAACATTATCATTATATAAAATGCACACTCTGTTCTCTATTAATTTTGGATTTTCTTAGTATGATTGTGGTTTGCTTATATGATAGGGCTTTTGGAGATGTTTTGATGTTGAGGTAAGTTGAAAGATACTATTATGCTGTACATTCAAAGCTGATGATACATAGCATGATCCTTGGTAGCTCATCAATTCACCATACAAATATATGCCAAGTTAGCATTCAGTACTCATGTTAATTTTTATTCAGACTGTGATATCTAAGATAAAAGCAAGCTGCTTCAACAAAGAGAATACAACTATGTTCTATAGCATCTACCATTTATACCAAATTGCCTAATGCTACTCTTGCCATCAAGAGGACATCTGTATATGTCCAAGTACAATGTACATCTGAAGATTTAGCCTGATATTTCACATGTCATGTGCAGAATCCGGACCAAAATTGGGGTCTGGACCTCAACGAAAGTCCGGACAAATTTTTGAGAACAACCAAATTTCTCACCTTTAGAGGGGTCCTGCTGTGCAGCCACCAAGCTCCCGTCACGTGAGGGCGTCGCGAGAAAATTCTCAAAAAATATTTTTGTTTTCCCTTCTACCACCGAGCCTAGTATGGCGCCATTATCAAGGGAGCACTCATTAATAGTGGAGATGTGTCAGTCGACTTGTGTCGAATAATTTCCCAACCCTTGTTTTAGGTAGCTGCCAGTGACTCATTTAGCTCCCCATTCACGTTGGGTCCCTCGACGAACGCAACGAGTACTATCATGACCATTAGTACTGTAAAGGTCCATATGGATGAACTTTTCAGGGCTTCCGGCAACGATAAGCCTGGTACCGACTCAGATCTGGATACCCTTCGGCTAAGATATGTCGGTGAGGTGGATCTTCCTGAATGTCAATATGATTCACCATTATATCGTCAACGTATTGACGATCATCTAGCCGAAGAGCCTCTATTAAAAGAGTCAAAACGCCGTTTTGTTCTGTTCCCTATTCAATACCCCGAGGTACGCATCTTATCTCAAAATTACCCGTTCTCATCCCCCTTTTCAAGATATGGTAAATGTACAAAAAAGCAGAGGCTTCGTTCCGGACTGCTGAAGAAATGGACTTGCAGATGGACCTCTACGACTGGAACAACAAGCTTAACGAAAATGAACGGCACTTCATTTCCCACGTCCTCGCATTTTTTGCGGCATCCAATGGCATCGTTAACGAAAACCTGGTGGAGCGCTTTTCTAAGGAAGTGCAGGCCGCTGAGGCGCGTTGTTTTTACGGCTTCCAAATCATGATGGAAAACATCGACTCTGAGACATATTCTCTCTTAATTGACACTTACATCAAGGACCCTGCACGGCGAGAGTACCTCTTCGATGCAATCGAAACAATACCATGCATAAAACTCAAGGCTGATTGGGCTTTACGTTGGATAACCGACCATCGCTCCACCTTTGCGGAACGGCTAGTTGCATTTGCTGCCGTAGAGGGTATCTTCTTTTCTGGATCATTTGCATCCATCTTCTGGTTGAAGAAGCGGGGACTGATGCCTGGCTTGACTTTTTCCAATGAGCTCATTAGTCGTGATGAGGGCATGCACACTGACTTTGCATGTCTGCTGTTCAGTCACCTGAAGCGCCGTCCACACCCAGAGGTTGTCGAGCGTATTATTGTGGAGGCCGTAAACATAGAGCAACAGTTCTTGACAGGTTCGTTTATCTATCTCTCCTAAACTCCTCCCCACTGAAATGCTCGCAGATGCTCTCCCTGTCGGACTTATCGGCATGAACGCAAAACTCATGTGCCAGTACATTGAGTTTGTTGCTGACCGTCTTCTTGTCTCCCTCGGGAACGAAAAGGCGTACAACTCAATCAACCCATTCGACTTTATGGACATGATATCCTTGCAGGGCAAGACCAACTTCTTCGAAAAGCGGGTGTCGGATTACTCGAAAGCCAATATCAACATGACGGGAACCGTGGAGAATGCTCCAACCAAGACCTTGTACGTCCAGACTTTTGACAGGGGCTCGTCATGGCTAATATCATTTCAGCTCTACCGACGAGGATTTCTGATGTGTCCTTATCTATGGATCCTTATTCGCATTTTTGTATCAATATTTTGTAAACTATCTCACCCACCTGCGCTCCGCTCCTGATTCCTGCTGCACCCCATGATCCTGACACCCTACTTAACAGTAGCACATGGTGTATTAACTGTAACCTACAAACTACCCTGCTCAGTTCCATTTAACTTTTCCAAGTAAAAGACGATAACACCCTACAGAATCCTATAAAATGAACCGACCATATGGAATAAACGCTGTCCTTAAAGATCCTGAAAGAATGGAGGTGTACGAAATGTGTGGATGCAACTATGGTGATAAAATGTATGGGTCGTATGTCTAAATATGTGGTATAAAGGATATAAATGCAAGTGAGGTGCGAGCTAGGTATAATTGTTTGATCTATCGTCGACGATACATCTGAGGAACCAAACGACATTAAAAATACGCATTTAGATATCGACCTAAAACAAACCTTTACGGCCTTACGAGTAAGCATTTTCTTCTTCACATAATGAACCATCCTCATAAGGTCCGGCCAGATGGCGAGAGGTATGACAAGGCACATGACAGGAATAGCAATCTCCCAGAATCTGTGATTATCCCCAATCAGTAAGGCGTTGGCTTGGAAAAGATAGTAGCAACGCACAGAACATCCGAGTGAATCTTAACTGACCACATAGATTCGAAGTTCATTCCCTATAAACATACCATCAGCATAAGGCTAATGAAACGACAAAAAAACACACAAAGTAACCAGTGAGCAGTGTCAGCGGAAGACAGATGATAGTCGCTATCGTCAATCGACGCCTGAATCACATCAGAAACACCGTGAAGGTTACGAGGTGCCGAAGAATGGCGATACATACATGATTTCGTTCATCTCATAGGAGGTCATCTATTGTTACAGAAGCGTTAGAACACCATCAACACGAGTAGAACAATTGCTGACATTGAACGTATAGTCGATCAGATTTTGCGTGATTCCTGCAAACATGTCCAAGCTTGATAGGATATACTCCACATGGTCGTACACATCGGCCTGTACGATAAAGGGATTATAAGCAAGATGGCTCAATAAGAAGAAACGAGATGCTAATCACCAGGTAGATTTTGGACTTGTGGGACATGAAACCGACTACCTGGACCTTTCCATCCACCGCAGACTTAGATTCGTCGATGAGAGCGGCGCATCGGTCGACGTCATACCGACGTAGTCCATATACCACGGTCCTGATCGGTTCCATGGTACGCTTGTGCAGAATGAGATCCTCGTTAAGAAGATGCACTGGTCCAAGATTGCCGGTGAGTGAACAGCATATAGGTAAGAAATCGATGGCCTACGGTTCCGAACTGTCTTAATTTTAGGTTTATAGAGGATAGCACGTTCAAATTTTTGGATTTTGGCATGGTAAACATCGATGACTTCTAATGCCTTGTCGACAGCTAGTTGAGCATTGATAAGTACATATACGTTTCAGGAAAATAGCACATACTCAAGTCCAACAAACTCTGAACCAGCAGAGAAGGGTCAGCCGATGCTCTAAGCCCCGTATCGCGCTGATTAAGCCTATTGGCGATGGGTTGAGTGAGATCGAGCGACGGATTTCCGTGCATTGATATAACCGTGCCTTGGAGGAACGAGATTACCATAGTTCTAACGAATCCATAGGAACGTACCATCTCGGAATAGAAAGATGTGTAAGGGATAAACTTTGACATTTACTCGGTCACCCTCCTGAAGGGAGATTCATCAATTATCAGTGGTCACCGACAACAGTGAGTTCTGACCTTCTTCAAGGCCTGAAGCGCGACTTCTTCCTCCGCCTGCTGCTTGAGCGCCTCTTCATCCTGTTAAAATGCGCAAGTTATACTCTAGTGAAAAGAAAACACGGTGTAAAGGTGGTTCTTACGGCATCAAGGATGGCGATCCTGCCAAGTCTGCGGAACGTGGAACCTCCCTTTTCCGGATCTGCCGAACTACGACCCTTTCTTTTCCTCATGGCAGGCATAGGTGTAATCTCTCCGAATACCGTTCGGTCGTCTTCGACAAAGACGCTGTCCTTCATCTCAATGCTGTCCACGTCTTTAAAGGGCACTGGAGAAGAAGTCCGTGGAAGACCCGTGAGCGTAGAGCCATAGGCTGCGGTCGCATGCAGGGGTGTGGGAATGTCATCAGGATCGCCTATCTCGTGGACAAGGATACGAAGGAAGAGATGCTTGCTGTAGTAATCAGCTTTGGAACGTGTTTGGCTCCGTGTATGAAATACGTCTTCAAGGGCCAAAGGATGGAGATCTAAGCAAACTGTTGAAGATGTGGGTAGACTTTGAATAAGAATTATACGAACCGTACTTGAGCGACACGGCCTTGATGACATCCCAGCTCATACCTCCAATGTTAATCCACCTGACCTTGACCCATGGCTCTGGCTTGCTCGCGTCAGCGTCATCAAGAAAATTGACAAACTCTTTGTTCGTCATGCGTCCAAAACTATGGCGAACAGAGGAATAGTCGAAGACCTCGATGACACAGTTCTGCCTGATACTGCCATATTGAACGTCTGCAGAGGCACGACGAGGATCGACACCCGGCTCAGCGCCCACCCTCCCTCGTGTAGCTATCAAGCTTGTGCCTCGGTGCATAGCAATGACTTTGCGAACGGCCCCACGAAACCTGTCCGCGGGCTGCATTGTTCTTCGACTATGCGTGGTTTTTCGAGAATGGATGGAATGCTTTGACGACGAAACATGCAAATCATGGGAATGAGCCTGCTCTTGGGTCGTTGGCTCAGCAACGAAGGGCGGTCGAACTGCGTAGGTTGGCGACATGGGCGGGGCGCCTCCATTTGCCGCCTCTTCTGAGAGGTCCGGCGTCAACGAACGACCATCAGAGTCGGAAAAGCTGTTTTCACGAGGCATGGTCGTCGCTGTTGTCGACGGTGTGAAGATGAGAGGTTGCGACGAAGATGATTAGGTACACTTGGCCCAAAAATACATTTCCAGCCTCAAGGAGAACAAACTGCGGCTCAGCTTCCGATAAGCCGGTTAATGGGGACAACGGGAATCATCTTCACTAGCTTCACTCCCTGCCCAGTCCTTCTCTAGTTCTCACTATTTGCTTTGTCTTCGGTCACCGCCTGGTCGTGATCTTCCCGCCTACACTGATACAAAAAATGTGGAAATTTTTTACCAGTTACCTTCCACGAATAGCCGCCCACCTGCACGCAGCCTGTCGGAAATTCGCAGTGCTACGGTGACTATGTCTGCATTGTCGAGGCTAAAGATAATCCCCCCTACCACAATGCTTTTTGTTCTTGAAATCGTCCTGGGTGGGTGGGAGATTACTTTTAAGTTCAATTTCTCACTAAGGTGCCGCCCTTAATCTTCAACTTCTTTAGCAGCTCTTCGTCCCTAGGGCTCGGGCTAGCTCGGGTAGCCGGAAAGCCTAAGAAATAGAAGGCATTTCCGACGCACAATTGTCGCAGACAATTTCACCTTAACAAATACCAAATGACTGTTTTCGGGGATGCGTGTATCGCCGTGAAAACCGACAATTTACGCTGCGCATCGTCTGGGTAGGTGCAAAAATGGCTCTCCGTCGCGTCATTACCAATAGCTCCTATTGTCAAAATGGATGGGTGGATGGCGCCAAGAGGTCGCCGCGGCACAAAATGCACGCTTCGAAAATGGACACAGCAACCGATCGTCGTGACCGATCTTCGTACAACGTTCAGTCGCTAGACATACACATAGCCTCACCATATATATAAGATGGGAAGATAGACATGTGCAATGGTGAGTACAACGAAAGGTTCCTTTGTCTTGGTGCCAACCCCATATATCTACGACTTCACCCATGATCAACTCAGATCATCAGGTTCTATGTCTTGGGGTATGACGAGAACCCGCCGCGGCGTGTAATGCTTCAGCCTTGAGCCTTTTCCTGACGTTTGCGCATAGATAGCAGGGCTCATTTACCTCTAAAGTCGCAAGTGCACATCAACACCCGCTTCGACATTATCGGCGACACGCCTGAAACATTACAATCCCCGCGTTTTCATCAGGTGATCTCCCATTGATCTTATCTCCTTGCCGTGATTTATGTGTCATCGAAAGGAAGAAACGAGTATTTAAAGGCCTCACAAATGAACCATTTAACTACCCGTGTCCCAAATATGGCTCCAACTGTAATCCCCAGTACCGCAACCGAAGTCCAGAGTTCTCCTCATGTCATTCCGATAGAGTTCAAGCATCCTTTAGATCCATTGACCCCTGACGAAGTTCGTGACGATCTATGATGCAACCATGCTCTGCTGACCGACTCCAGATTGCGGCTGTTTCTTTCACTGTTCGCAGTCATGTCGCCAGCAAGACTGAGATCAAGGCAATCAAGTTCATCACCTGCAGTCTCCTTCCAGCGCCTAAGAAGGCGGTCCTTGCTTATCTCGGCATTCCGCTGACTCCGGGAGGAAAGCCAGAGCCGCTTACCCCCATTGTTAGGAAGGCTGAAGTCGATGTACGTGCTTCGGTCCGTTCCTTATCGTCAGACGAAAGATGACGCGTATTGTAGTTCCTCGACGTTGTTAACGGGTGTGTATTCCATCTTCACCGGTCCCTAACTACGGTTTTATTGTTGGAGAGTACAGGCATTCGTACAATGTCATTCTCGCTCTCGGCCACGGGAAGTGGAGTATTCAGACCTTTGAACGTCTTCAGGAAGGCGTACAGCCCCAGATCTCAGTTGAAGAACTCATCGCCTGCGAGAAGGTCGTGAAGAATGATCCTAGAGTCCAGCAATTGGCAAAGGAAGTCGGTAAAGATAATCCTTTCTAATCTTAGGCAGTTCACTTAATATGCTTAGGTGTTCTTCCCGAGCAAATATTCTGCGACGGATGGGCCATTGGCTACGACGAACGCTTCCCTCACACTCGTCGCGTTCAGCAGGCTTTTGTGTTTGCAAGATATTCGGAGCATGAAAACCTGTATGCCCATCCCTTGGTACGCACACAGTTGGTATGGGGTGACGATGCTTGACCTTGTATTTCTAGGACTTTATTCCCGTCATTGATTCAAATACCGACAAAGTAATCCATATTGGTACGCGTGGATCTCTCAGTATTGCACGTTCTAAATGTTTCTTCAAGATTTTCCTTATCAATATAAGTCCTCTGATGAGGGTGGCGCTCTCAGCGCCTCAAGTACCAAATTCCCCGAGCTTTCCGAAGACTCATTTGCGGTATCAAATAGACCTCGTATTCCTCCTCCCCAAAGGCGATTTGATTTCCTTCCGGATCTCATGAAGGATAACGAAGGGGGTTACAAGCCTAGAGATGACATTAAGCCTCTGCACACCGTGCAACCTGAGGGCGTTAGCTTTAAGATGAACGGTCACGAGTTGGAATGGCAAGATTGGAAGATGCACATCTGTAAGGAAAATTTCCAATCATATAAGCAATGTCAAGCTGACCGCCCGTTCTAGCATTTACACATCGTGAAGGTATCGCCCTTTCAACTATCACTTATAATGACAACGGCGAAATTCGACCAATCCTGTATCGTTTGTCATTGGCCGAGATGGTTGTACCGTATGGAGCTCCGGAATACCCTCATCCCAGAAAATTTGCCTTTGATTCGTAGGTCCGTTCTCTACGACAATCAGTACAGTCTCATAAATCAAATAGAGGTGAGTATGGGATGGGAACGATGGCGAACGAATTATCATTAGGATGTGATTGTGTTGGTCAGATTCATTATCTGGTATGTGGAAGTGCGCCGAGTGACGCAATGGCATCTGACGATCCTCATAGCCTGGCTCGTACGTCGCACATGATGGGAGTGCAATCGTAGTAAAGAACGTCATTTGCATCCACGAGGAGGACAGTGGTGTGCTATGGAAGCATACTGACTACCGCCCGGGTGGCCGTGGACAAACCGTCCGTCGCCGTCGTTTAGTCGTCAGCATGGTCTGCACGCTCGCTAACTACGGTTTGTTTCAAGTAAGAACTAACGCCACGTCGAAACTCATATTCATTGCATGTTCCAGAGTATATCTGGAATTATCAGTTCTACCAGGATGGTACCATTGAACTTGAAGTCCGCCTAACGGGTATTCTCCAGGTCTACATCGCTCAAGATGGCGAGAAGAGCAAATACGGAACCCTCGTCGCACCAAATGTCAACGCCCAGTATCACCAGCACCTCTTCTCCATCCGTGTCGACCCCATGATCGACGGTATCAACAACACCGTCATCGAATCCGACGTCTTCCCTATCCCTGATGCAGAGACCGGCTCTGCGGAGAACTTTGCCGGGAACGGGTTCCTCACGCAGGAAACTGTGTTGAAGAAAGAGGCTGCGAGGCCGTATGACTGGGAGAAGGAGCGGAGGTGGAGGATCGTCAATACCGCGAGGAAGCATTATAGCAGCGGGAAGGACGTCGGGTACGTTGTCGGTATGAAGGGTGGAATCACGCCTATGTTTGCCAGGAAGAACAGCTGGGCGCTGAAGAGGGCTGCCTTTTGTAATTATCCCATCTGGGTGTGCAAGGACGTCGAAGATGAGCAGGGTAGTAGGATGTGGCCTGCGGGTAAGTTCGTGCCGCAGACAAGGGGCAGTCCGGCGGACGCAATCGATTCTTGGGTCAGGGGGGAGCAGAACATTGAAAATGAAGATATTTTGGTCTTTCTCACTGTCGGTGCGTCCTTTTTATCCGTTTGTTTGGGCTTCAAGTTGATTAAGCTTGTTTTCGACAGGAACGACACATATCCCCCGTCCGGAAGATTGGCCTGTGTAGGTCTTTTATTTAGGCGCTGTTTTCATCGCTAATCGTTGAGCAGGATGCCCGTGGAGCACTTGAGTGTTACGCTAAAACCTCAATCGTTCTTCACGATGAATCCAAGTATGAACGTTCCTGGTACTCGGGATCCGAAAAGTGTTGCCGCCTTCTCTCAAGACTCGTTTAATCATGAAGGCCAGTCAAATTGTCATTGTAACTAAGGGTCATTGGATGCCAGGGGTCAATTGTAGAAATGTGTAACTTGTACTTAGTTGAATTGAAACTCAGAGGCTTGCGTAGAGCACAGATAACGAGATTAATGAAATCTTGAAGCATATACATCTACAATAAAGCGGTAAGAGGTAATTCAATAATTGTTCGGGAAGCTATAATCCAACGTGTACGAATATCTGAAAGTAGGATTTGTAGGTCTACAATATCACGATACAGATAGCCACCTTGATCAACGTTCCAACAGACAAGCGCCACTTCTAATACGGTCAAAGCCGGAAGTATGCAACTGACGCGTCTGCTCTTAATTCTTCGCGCCTCCGAGTATAGCAACAATAGAAATACAAATGCAGCTTGGTTTGAATGGAGGTCTTGGACCCATACCCGGCATACGGCTGGCTCAGACTTGTTGAACAGGTGCGAATTTCGAGGGACCAAGTTTCCTAGGATTCTGAAGTCGGATCGCACTTCAGTCACCTAAAGAGCACTGCAGAGTCAGTTTGCGGGATGGAAATATTTGGAACGTCGCACTGACGACCCATCCAACCTTCTTCCCATACGTCATAGCATAATGTCTTCCAGCCCATTGCCATACACGGGGTCTTAGAGTCATCTTCAGTTTCAGTAGATTAGAGAGTGGATAAAGATATCTTTTATGAAAAACCGAATTACCTTCCTTTTTTATTTTCATCCAATCCTCCGCACGGTCTGTCCGTTGACCACAAAGGACTTGTTGCACTAACGTATTTCTGCCCAACATGACTCTTTCTTCTCGTCCTCGCAAACAAAAGTAAGGACCTTGCGCATGTGTTTCCGCTCAGCTGATAGCGCGTACACAGTTTGATTCTTCTCGTCCACTACGGATGTGCTGAGAAACTTCGCTTGCGACAAATGTGAGGGGCATACTCCGCGGGGAGCTGGACTAGGATGTGATCAGCTATTGAGTAAGAGGTGGATTGGGGGAACCAATAGATGTCCTTTCTGTGCTCTTAAAAGCAGCCAGAACTCACTTTTCCCAGGTACGTTTGTCTGTCTTCACCCGTGTCCTTGGCCCATCGAAGAGAGTAGTGTTGGACGCTGCATTGACTTCAAGTTGTTCCTCGACTTAAAGTCGTGGTTGCTTGCAGTCTGGAGGATTATCGGGTAGACGGAGACAAACAGCAGAAGGAAAGGACTAATAGTGCGCACGGACCAGCACCGCGTCTGACCCAATAGGGATTATGTCACGTGAGACTTGGAATATAAAGAGGAGAAATTTTTTTTTAGTTGACATCCATCTTCCGTCTCTTTCACCTTTATCACTAATGTGTGTACACTTCTATGCTTATTTATGTGATGACTTTTTTCTCTTCCCCGTCCTATATGACCATGCCGAGGAATAGAGCTTGTCTGTTCGCAACAGACATGCGTCCTACGAGGCGCCAGTGTACTTGCCAGTGCCATTTCGTCTGATGTCTTCTCTTCTATACTCTTATACTGTGAACATCCGACTTACCTTTTTCTTCTAGTTCATCGCCGTTCTCTGCCTATCATCGCAATCTCCTGTTATGGTGAGCATTCGCTCCACCTCTTTTCTCGACATCTTGTCGCACGATGAAAAATTTCCGTACATTCGCAGTTTCCACTCTAGTGCCCATTTGAGTACTCCCCCAATGTGAAACGTTTATATTCCCCCTTTATACCATGTCGAACCCAATGACATGCGTCGAGTGTGGGCCGCCCTTTGGGTGCGCTGGCGCGGATCGGGGGTAGGTGCAATGCGAGTTGCAATGACCTTCCTTTGGATGTCTGATTCTTCTCTCAGTCTTCGATGAATTGCATGCTGACTGTTTTTTCTCTAGGTTCTCTTCATACTCTAGTTACGGTAGGTATTAGAAATGGCAATCAATACTGTTATTCTTTTCAACTGTACAACTCCTGACAAGTATAACGAGTGTGAATGTAATGGTATTCTTGAGAGATGGAGCTATTGGTCGAAGGCCACTGGACTAGATGCTGTTCGCTGTTGAGAAAGGAGTGGGTGGATGCTGTCTGGAAAGGTCAGTGAGTCCCACCACTGTAGAGTGTATTTGTATGTGAACGCACCGCTTCAGCGCGTTAGCATCTTCATCTTCATCAACCCGTTCAATGTGTTCTGTACGACTTTGAATTTCGATACCCCACACTTCTCGCTCTCAATGTGCTGCAGTAACGCGCTCAATGTCGTGAACTTAATTCTGCACGACTCCAAAGGACAGAAATACATCTTTGCCAGATGCTTGGGGCTAGCCAGGTGCTGGTTCAGTGAGTACAACGTCTGAGCCGTCTGGTGGCACAAATAGCACTCGTACGCATATCCGTTCCACGCGTTGTCGTTGGCGGAGTAGATGACATCGTCACGCGGCGCACCGCCGGGACCCGTAAGCATGCGCGAGGGGTCGGTGATGATGTTCTGTCTGTCGTACTGGCGCACGTAATGGTTGACAGCGGCGCGGTTGGCACCCGAGACGCAACCACCGGATTCGAGATGAAGGACAAGGGCCGAGCGCGAGATAAAGGCCTCGCCGCACCTGGCGCCGGGACATTTGAATGCTTTGGGCACGTGGATGGAAGACCTGAGGTGCTATTACGTATCGACGCGTCAGCATATATCCAGACAAAGAAAGGCCGACAACCGCTCACCGAATTGAGGTTACTCTGGCTTTGGAAATCACGCCTGCAGGAAGTGCAGTAGTGATGATTCGGCGATTGCCTGCGATGCTCGTGCAACCCATTGTCGTTCTTGAACACTTTGTTGCATTTCCCACAATAGTAATGGTCATCGTCGTAGTGCTCTGTGAGCTGCCAGTTGTATGTGAAATGGCGGTCGCAGTACTGGCAATAGGCATGGTTCGGGCTCTGGACGTAATGCTCTTTGAGGCCCAACCAAGTGGAGAAATCAATATCGCAGTCGTCACAGATGTTATGGCTGGAGGAGTTGCTTTCATGCTGGCGGAGAGCCTTCATGCTGTTGAAGTAACGCTCGCAGCGGTCGCAGTATGCCATTGTTCTGAAAGAAAAGGATGAGATGGCTTTCACGATAAAAATGGAGGCGACTGGTCAACGTGGGTGGTGGTCAAGGTGAAAGAAGGGAGTCCCTGACCTCTGACTTGCAATGCGAATAGGGCTGTCATGCCGGCACGTAGTCCCGAGTTCTACATCCTTCGCGACACTTTTCTGCATCGTTATCAGATGGAATTGAAGGCTAACGGTAGTTTTTTTCACGTAGTGCTATTGGAAAGACGCGGATTACAACAAAAAAACGCTCCCAGCGGCACTCATCATCTTAGCCTTTTTACGGTGTAAACTTGAACGTCTAATAAGATTCTGGTGAATCTATTATCCAAGCATAAGAGAGACGAGCCATTCTCGGCAGAAACCAGGAATCCCGTCTCGAAACATGTGCATGACTGCCAAAATCTGCCCCACTATCACTGTTGCACTCCCCTAATATATCATCGACTACCTCAGGAGTTACAATCCTCCCTAATACCAATAGTTACTTCAATGGGAAGAACTATGCCTCATGGAAACCTCAAATCACTGAACTATTGAAGGGGAAAGTCCACTCCCTCCCAAGATGAATGGATCTTTTGTGTGTTAAGCCCAAATTCCATGTGACTATCAACATGTGATAAACAGTTCAGAACCTCACACTTTGGGTTAGACTGACTGAGTTCACAAGGTAATAGCGGTAGTGGTTCAAGGCATGGCAAGAAGCTTGAGCTTGAGAGTAGATGGTGAAGAATAAACTTTAGCTTAATGCTGGAGCTACTACAGTGAAAACAGTGCTACTTAAATACTGTTCTGTTATCTGGCTATTAATAACTGTTCACAAAAGATATTGTCTGTCGTAGAGCTGTTACCCCTGCTGTTGCCAGGCTCTCCACAAAAGCTGTTGTCTTGCTGTTGTGCTGTTACCGCTGCACTGCAATTGGGGAACAAAAGGAGCATTGTCTCTCCCTTCACAGCACACAGCAGCGTGATAAGACAATGACTGACTGGGTTGCTGAGCTAAGCGTTCCCACGGTCCTAAGCGCTGGCCTAAGCGCCCTGACTAAGCAAAGATAGGGGTCATTTCCGACGGAAAAAGAAAAGAAAAAAGGAAAAATCATAACATTGTGGTCAACTCACCCACTCCTATAATGCCTCCAGCATCCTTGACCCTATTTGTCTAGGGGTACAGACCAATGGAATGGCAAGGGAATGCTGGGATTCTATTATTTCTCCAAGCATTGGAATTGAGTGTACATTGGGTCAAGCTGGTCTGACCTCATATAAAGTTGTACAAGAGCAGAAAATGTGGAAGAAGCCTGCAGGTATGGATGTTCAGGAGGTATGTGTTGATCAAATAATGGCAATAGCATCATTGAAGTAGGGCAGAAATCAGGACTGACATATGAAGCAGAAGTATGAATGACACAGAAGTGATGTAGCTGTCATTTGGTGAGTACAACATAAATGTATCCATGAAAAATGTAGGTTGTAAGAGAGTGGGAGGTGGCCTAATTTTAAAACATTGGGAGGCAGAGGCAACATGATCAGCAAATGTATTGACTTGTGAGGGAATTGACTGGGAGTTTGTGTGAGCAGGGGTGTATGTAATGGCATGGTGTCAAGTCAGCCGGATGCGGAAGCGATATCCGGAAATTACGTCATACATACCTAGATCTCACAGCCACCAGTGTTTCAACCCGCGTTCAGTTGCGGCAGGTCTAATGGCCCTGGTCCTCTACTAACGCCCATGTCCGACCGTCTGGCAGCCTATCGTGTCTGTGTATCTTGTCCTTTGCATGCCTTGCCTATCTGATATTGTCTACACAGTCGCAGCGCCCCGAGCCAGCCCACGAACTCAGTAATTTGACTGCGAACGGCTCTGGTTCTGACACCGCGGCTTCGAGCAGAGCGGATTTCTTAAGTGAGGTAAGGTACACGAATGGTCGATTCGACACCTTTTTGTCTGACAGAGCAATGAGATAACCTCATTGCAAGTGGCGATAAACAACCTAACGAACAATGTACGCTACATTGCAAAGCTTCACACGCGCTCATTGAGCACCACGGCAGCGGATGAGGCAGTCACGAGAGAATTAGCAATTATCAAAGAAGAGACGAGCAAACTTCAGAATGATATACGGGACAGGATAGCGTATCTGGCTAACCAGCCCGGTGATGACATGAGGGTTAACCAGGTGCGTTTGGGCTTTCTACATCTTATATTCAGAGAATTGAAGAGACTACATAGACTAAACTCATACGGAAAAGGTTCATGGAAGTACTTCAGGACTACCGACGCGCCGAGCAGGACTTCACCAATAGGTCGAAACAGCGTGTCGGACGTCAGTTTAGAGTCGGTGCGTTCATTGCACTGTTTCAGTACTCATCTCACAACACCTTCAGTAAAACCCGACGCAACGGATGAGGAAGTCAAGCAAGTCATCGACGCCAGCGCCAGCGGGACAGAGATATTCTCGGAAGCCGTTCTTGCCTCATCTTACGGTGAGGCACGTTCGGCCTATCGCGAAGTGCAGTCCCGCCAGCAGGATCTCGCTCAAATGGAAAGGACTATGGCGGAACTGGCTCAGCTGTTCAATGATGTGAGCTTCCCCGCTTGCTGTGACCCCTGTACCGTCCTGATTGTCTGTTAGATGCAAGTAATTGTCGAACAACATGATGACCGGATCAAAGAAATTGAACACACGGCGCAGGAGGTGAATGTTAACACTGAGAAGGGAACGAAACTCACAGAGGAGGCTGTACGGATTGGTACGATCTCGCATTTTGCACATTATCGATTTCCTCCTGATGAATTATTCCTGTAACAGCGCGCAGAATCCGCAAGAAGAAATGGATTTGTTTCTGGATCTGTGTTTTCATCGTCGCTCTCCTCGCTCTCATTCTCGGACTATACTTTGGTTTGAGATGAAGATTCAAGAGCATTGTATTTGTCTCCTCGGTTAAAGTTCTATCTGTATCCATATATGCTATATTTTTTGCATTACAATACTTAATTGCCCTGTACTCAGTGATATCAGTTTTTTTGCGCCATGTGGTTTTTTAATTTTGATTTTGACGTCGCTATCACCGCATCCTTCCTTTGCGGTACCGCAAGCCTTCAGTCACCGCCGGTACTCTGTTCTCTGGCGCGGTGTTCACGACCTACATCTTCATGTGTCCGTCGGTTCTCTATAAGGTCTGGATCATCGTTCTATGGCGTTCAGTTATTGCTCATGCATTCATCAATTCCCGCAAATATTATTAGAAGTTCTTTCTCTTTCCGATTATTTATTCTCAAGTCCATCACAGCTATTGTATCCCGTTCGTCCTAAAGTCCTTCTTCTTCTTACGACTGCGAAAACGACGACACCCAAGATACAGATTATTCTTCCCCATTCATGAATTCTGTCCTCATCATGACAAGTCCGTGTCTCGATGTGCTAGGAGAGCCCGCCAAACGTCAAGAAGGACCGTTTACACTTTCGGCTGTGGAGCGGAGACGGAGTGAAATGAAGAGTGCTAGCAAACATCTGACAGGATATATTTCCGCCACCATGGTCAGCCACGATTTGCTGAACTTTACTCCGGCTACTATACTGACCGTTCTCGAGATGTAGAACTACCGTGTAGCACGAAGAATGTCGTTTCTCATACGATGAACACTTCGCTGAGACTAATAAACTATCCCGGTGAGCAGGTGATTGTTTACGATACTCCTCCAGGCCCGCGTCGGTGGTGAAAGCCTGACTGCAGCAGGTCAGTGCGGGAAGCAGTGGCGGCACTACAGAAAATGTATGAGTAAGAATTATGGCATTGAGGAGGAAGGCACTAAAACCTACCTGGGCCATCCTTTACTTCGTTGACACCTTGCCTCGTTGGAACTCCTTGGATAGGCCTGTTTGTAATATTGTGGAGACAAGGCAAAGGTTATAGCTCAGATCAGATCGACCGGCCCGAAGTGTCAATTTGATGTATGACATATTGACAATATAAATGTAATCATCGTGCGTGTTCTAATAGGTTCTAATGCATATATCAAACCACATATTGAATCGAACAAACACGGTGTACTACCTGGTACCACCTCCATTGGAAAAGTGAGGATGATACGACCTTTCGCGAACCTCCGGCGGAGTTTGAAATCATCCAGTATATAAGGACGCATCAGCTCTGCCGGAAAACTTCTCCTAACGACCACATATCATCCGATTCGACATCCAACGTTCACAATGAACCAACCCAAATCTACCCCGACCGTATCTCGCGGCTGGCTCTGCCGGTCTTGTGACATGCCTTTCGTATCCAAATACAGTCTTTTTGAACACAACAAATCCTCGAAGCATTATGTGTGTACAGACGTCAGGTGCAAGGGCAGGGCATTCTTCTCAGCAATAGGCTTGAGGGAGCATCTGAGGCAGGCTGCCGTGCACCGCGAATACGACCGCGCTCAATGCCAGAGGTGCAACCGACAATTCACCTCGACGCATGGCGTGTTCTTACACCTCGACATGGGGGGTTGTGGAGCCATCACCTGGAAGTGGGTGCTTGAACAAGTCAGGCGTCTGGATAGACGCAAGGTCTTTGTCGATCCCGATGTTGACTTTGAGGCAAGTCCTGCACCGTATAGCGACACTGGTACTTGCTGCACCACGTGTGGCCGTTCCTTCAAGAACACCGTCGCTCTCAACCAGCATTTGGCGAGTCCCGCACACCAGCCGAAGTTACTCAAGTGTCCCGTGGCTGGGTGCGACTCGCACTTTGCGATATTGAGTGGTTTGGCGCAGCATATTGAGACAGGGACCAAGTGCCATGCGAACAGAGATCGTAAGGCCTTGAGGAAATGGAAGAACTTTATTGCTAAGATGGACCTTGTTACAAAGGTCTCTACACGTTCTTCCATTTCTCCAGATTGACTGAATGTTTGGACGTGAGTGCGAATATTCTTCCCAATCATTCTGATTTTCATGCCTTCTCTGCATGATGATCACTACTACACTGATATCCCGCCTCCATTTCGTATCCTTCGTTTTTCTATGTTACCTCACTGTGTTTCTCCATCTCTTGTCAAATTTGACTTATAGCCGTACGAAGTAACTACCCGTGTGGTGTGAACGACCTGTGCATTCCGTAGCTAAAGACTTTTATTTCACTACAGCCACCTCCGTGTATCCCATTCCTTCACACTGTCATGTCCCTGGGACGCAGGTACATAGTGAATATTAATTATTCATTCCAGTGACGCAGCGGGCTGCCTGCCTAGGTAATTACGTCTTGTGTTTTAATGCCGCGACGACAAAGCCGTCTCTGTGCCCTCGATTTTTAGGACTCGTCCCCGGCCGCTGAAAGGACATTCATAATCAATACGGGTAAATCCATTTAATCTTCCATCCAACGAGACCCCACAGTTCTCTTCTGAGGATGACGCGTGACGCGCGATGACGGCCTTGGCTCTGAGTCTTTATCCAGATGATCTTTGATGTCGAAACTCAGACGTTATTTAAGGCCCGTCAATGCCACTTCAAGAGCTGCAACGATGCTTCTTCATTTACCGCTGCTGTCCAGTCTTTTTCTGTGTACTTTGTCTTGCTACGGCGCGATTTATGAGAGCATAGCCGATCTCCCTGGTACTAAGTTTGATTTCGTGATTATCGGTGGTACGTTTGCTACCTTTAACTCAGGCGACCTGATTTCATGTACTTCAAGGTGGTGCAGGGGCGCCGTTGTAGCTAATCGTTTGACCGAGGAAGATTTTTCAGTTCTTGTTCTTAAAGCCGGTCCATCGTGAGTGTCAAGAAATAGTATCCATCCTATTCACGTATTATTGACATTCCTTCTCTCAGCGACCGCGACCTGCTGTAGATTGAAATACCATATCTAGTGGGATTATTGGAGAATGACCCATACAGTTGGAATTACTCGGACTACCGTGCAACCCTGACTCAACAACAGAACTACCACATTTCCGAGAGGTCATGTGCTTGGGGAAGCACGTCCATCAGTATGTTATGGGAGATGCTTTGGATTTAATATTCACCGGTTTATAGATGCCGTGATTTATATCCGCTGCCCTCCGGAGGATTACAACTGTTATGTGAATTTCACCGGGGGTCCAGGCTGGTCTTGGGAGAATCTCAAGACTTATTTCTTCAAGGTCAGTATTCTAAAACACTGTGCCAAAAGGCTTAAGTTTATATTCATTGGTTTTGGTATTTTCTTTTGCAGAATGAAAAATGGGTACCGCCTGCAGATGGTCACAACACTATTGGACAATATGACCCAGCTATACATAGTTTAGATGGCATGAACGCAGTCAGCCTTCAAGGTTACCCTCAACCGACTGATGAACGGGTCCTACGAGTGACATCCGAGCTCTCCGATGAGTTTCCCCTTTGTCAATTCTGGAATACCTAATAGTCTAGGTGTGTTAATATTCTTCAGTACAATTCTGCTCCTCACATCACCCCACAAGGATATATGCAAGCCACGATCAATGACGGCAAAAGAAATAGCGCTGTTGTGTCCTACTTGGGTCCAAATTTCATCACCAGGGCAAGTCTTCATGTATTACTTGGTGCTCAAGTGACCAGAGTCATCCAGAGTGACAAGTCAGAGCCCAGCTTCGACATTGTAGAATTTTCGGCCTCGTCAGAGGGTGCATCTCTTACTTTCCACGTACTCACCAGCACCGAACCGATATAATTATGCGTAGGATCGACGTGGCTCTTTAATGTTATAGCAACAAAAGAAATCATCCTTTCTGCTAGGGCCATAGGGACACTGCATATATTGCTCAATTCTGGTATTGGCGATGCAGTGGAGCTTTCGGAGGTAGGCGTACAGGTTATTATCGACTTACCAGATGTCGGCAAGAACTTTTCTGATCAACCGATACTCTAGAACAAATGGTATGTCAACGACACGGACACCTGGGACGACATCTTCCGTAACCTGACACACCAACATGACCTTGTCCTGCAATGGAACGAAACCAAGATGGGACCACTGGTGGACACGCCGTTTAGTCACATAGCCTGGTCTCGTCTTCCCGATGATTCGCCAATCGTTGAAAGGGTCAACGATCCGGCAGCTGGACGGAACACTCCCCATCTCGAGCTTGATGTCCAGGTATGAAGCTCCTGTCCTGCGATACTTGAATGTAGCTCATCTCAAGCCTTGCAGAATGCATGGAGTATACCGGTTTCCACTATTCCAGGTACTGGAAACTTTATGAGCATAGCGACTTGTGTTGTATCAGCAGCCTCTCGTGCGTGAAATTCCTGTCACGCCTATTTGCGTGTCGACTCACTCGATGATTGCACTATCTAGGTGGAACGGTCAAATTAAACTCTTCTGATCCTTTGGATCTTCCACTCATCGACCCTGCCAATCTCGCAAGTGAATTTGATGTTTCTGCTATGATGGAAGCAGTAAAGAGCACCAGACGATTCCTATCCGCGCCTGCGTGGGAGAGTTATGTCCTGGATGCCTATGGTGGTTTGGTTAATGCGACAACGGACGAAATTCTGGAGGAATATATGCGCGAAAACGTCGGGACGGCTGCTCATCCCGTTGGGACGGCCAGTATGTCTCCGAAGTTTACGGATTATGGTGTTGTGGATCCAGATTTTCTCGTGAAGGGTGTATCTGGGTTGCACGTGGTTGATGCGTCTATCTTTCTAGGTTGTCCGAATTTGTCCTGATAGCTTTTGGTGCTGATTCTGAGTTCGCTGCAGCCATTTGTGCCTGCCGGCCATACTCAAGTTCCAACCTATATTATAGCGGATCTCATCAAGGTGAAGTGGTTGGATACTCCTTGAAATATGCATCCTGCAATGAATTATTGCGAAATTTGAACTTCCTCGCCCTTCGGCGTTTCATTTAAACCACGCTTGCTGTTGTAAAATTCTTGACAAAGGCAGAAGGATGAATACTTTCAACCGTAAATTTTATGTAAGGTATAGTGTACAGTCAACAGGTTCGACTCGGAGGTGTAAAGATCGCTTGGGTGGCCTGATTTTCTCGCGCTTGCATCTTTCGTCTATCTACCGACGCATTTGTTGCTTCTCCTTTTCCTTCGACAGTCGCGACGTTCTGTACAATCCAGCATGCTTATCCATTGTTCTTACCTGATCCTGACATACAACTCTCGCAAGCGTAAAACATAGCATAGTATTCCGCAGAATGTCAATTTTCAGAGCGGAGATCCGGGCCGAGGAGCCGGGCGTACTACATCTTAGCTTGCGTAAGAACATCTCGTTCTCCTTCCCTTTCCTGCAGAAAATGGTGGCTTCACGAGTTCCATGGTGGCATGATGGATGTTTGCAGTGTGATTATCACATTATAGGTAGGCGACCAACTTGAAACAGACCAAACATGAACATTCAAATAAGGCTGCTGACATTTCATGTTTCCAAATTTGCAATCGTCTTTACCACTTAGATTCCATGATCTACCAAATGCTCCAAGATAGCTGGCAGGAAAAACTTGTATTGCTCTCAGTGATAGTCGTTCTTATCTTTCTTGTGCTGTACCGAAGGTCGCAATGGTCTCGGCCGTTACAGGCCCCCACTGTCCCGTATCTAATACCATGGTTGGGCTCTGCTATCAGTATGGGCAAGAGCCCTGACGTTTTCTTTGCGAACTGTACCGTACGCTTTGGACCTATGTTCCGGGTGGTGGCTGTTGGAAAGACGATGACTTATATCACTTCACCTACTGTGCGTATACATTGGTACCCATCTGCAACCCCTTAACGAAAATTCACTGACATTGATACAGCTCATCAGTGCTGTCTATCGTGATTCAAAGGTACGTTGGGATCCCCATTCTATATTCTGGCTTATGTAGTAAATAGACATTTGAATTCGCCCCCATTCGCAAAGAAATGTCCGTTACGGTGTTCAATATGTCTCACGAAGCAGTCTATAACGGATTCATGCAACAGGAATACTTTCCTATGCACCATAGGCTTCTCTCACAAACCGCTATCCCTGTTCTTCTCTCCCGTTATGCCGAACTCGCAGAAAAGTCTATTATTGAGTCCCTCAGGACGAGGACCGCCAAGGGGAAGGCGCTCCTGAGCGAATTCATCCTATCAGCATCGTATGATGCGGCGGCGTATGCGTTCTTTGGAACAGAGTTCCCGGCGAAGGAGACTTACCCAGCTTTTCGCACGTTTGACAATAAATTTCATCTTATCGCGGGTGAGATGCCGTATTTATTGGTAAAGGATGCGAGAAAGGCTTGGGAAGGCGTTGTGGATGCTATAGCCAGATACTTGGCACAGAGACCACATGAAGACGCCTTTGAGTTGATTAGTTGGATCTCGACGCACGCTGAAGGTGCTGGCTGGGTAAGTGTTTTAGTATGTGCTCGTATTGGTAGTTCTGAGCGTGAAGTGCAGAGCAGGAAAGATGTTGCAAGCGCCTTGGGTTCAGAATTATGGGCACTAGAAGCCAACGCAATCGTAGTGGCGTTTTGGGTGATTGTGCTTTCGCTGCAACAACATCCAGACGGATTCGGTCTAGCACTTCTTATTGACGAAATTGACAAGGCCTGTCCACAACATCCACAGAACAATGACTGGATAATATCCGCATCTATGCCTTTGCTCATCTCCACAATCAAGGAGACATTGCGGATGACCACGTCCACATTCTCCATTCGGAGAGTCACGAAAGATACGGTTTTTGCTGGGTATGAGCTCAAGGAGGATTCGCGGGTGATATGTGTGACGAGGGCGGTGCATATGGACGAAGAAGTCCACGAAAATGCACACAGATTCATGCCTGATCGTTATCTGAAAATTGACGCAGGCCAAAGGCTGTTTAAAGACAGCAAGGAGATCAGGGATCATTCGATGCCTTTCGGAGGTGGTATTTCTATCTGCGAAGGCAGGTCCGTGTCTTTCTGCCCAATTTTATGGATTATTTACTGACGACTGGCTAGGCACTTTGCATTGACGGAGCTTAAGATACTGTTAACGCTGCTACTGACGCATACGAAAATAGAACTGGACAGCGAGAGGGGACCGCAGCCTAATGTCGAACTTTGCATGGAACGAATGGGAGTCGGTGTAATGCCCCCTAGAGGAGATTTAAACGTAGTTATTCGACCACGAATAGCGTAGAAAGAGAAACGAAATCTTGTTTTTTATTTAATAACATCAGGAATACGTGGCACCTTGAGATTCTCTGTCGCGATCAGCAGAGCCACGCGCAGTTTCCCCGCTTTACAATGCCATCATTCAGTAATTACATACACTTCGGCCTTTTCTCTTCTTTACCATTTCCTCTCATTGCCCACGCCCATGGCCTTCCCGCATAGGTATTACGGCCAGCAGAAAACCCGTCTCTCTATCGGGCTGCCTGCCTATACCTCTGCCGTCGAGGAAAAACTTCGTCTTGGAGGGCACCGACTACCGAGCCCGTGGTTCGTCCGAGTTTCGATACCCATTCCTGGAGTACCTCGACGTGCAATACCGGTATGGATACCTAATCCCCGACTGGGGCGTAGACGTGGTGCATTTGTTCTGTTTGCGGTGTTGGTGATGGTGATATACACCATTTTTCATCCACGGCCCAAAGATGACTACAAGCCTTGGACACCACCATCGTGGCCCACAGAGTCGACCAAGCGGAATAGTGTCGTTTACAGGCCGGAGGATTTGCAGAGAATATGGGAATGGGAGATACAGAGTGGTCATTATCCTAGTCGACGGAAACGTGCGTGGTTGATTTTTTTCTTTTTTCGCAAGTTCTTACAGATTTTGACCTAGTACCGGACAGTCTGCGATTCCTAGAACCACCTCTCAATCCCGCTCTTCCTCCTTCACCAAAAAGTCCGGGCTCGCTAGTCCCGTACTCTCCGACGACGAACGGTATTGGTCCCAGGCGTGTTTACCTTGACATACAGAGTCGACCGCCAGATATCGCGTACCCGCCCAGACCTGTACCAGGGAGCATAGCCGACTTGGACGTAATTATGGACCACTGTGATTTCGATAAGAAAAAAGTGAGTTGTCCTGCTTTTCTTTGAAATCCGTAAAAATGACTGGACCAGTATGTCCGCGATTGCCTAGAGGTTCTTCGCGTAGGAGCCGGCCTGGACAATGGCAAACGTGTACGTCGCGGGACAATGAATGACTGGAAATACATTTTTCTAGAAGAAGGAGAGATATCTCCTATTGTTCCCTCGCGAGATGCCACGACAACCACATTTGATGACGGTACGACCGCTTCCAGGGAATGGGAAACCTTGATCCTGCCACCACCCGCTCAATACCGCCCATACTCCACTCTCGAGTCCCCTTGCGATCCCCAAAATCCTCGCATATTCCACATGTTCTGGGCTGGTCCAATCACGGACAAGCCCTATATGGTCCTCCTCTCCTTCCTTTTCACCCAGAATACGGGTCTTTACGTCAAGAATTACCCTGACACTTCAGCTTGTCGCGCACAGTTTTGGCTTTGGGTTAATCCAGGTCCAGCCGCGGCCGTCCCCAACCCGTCTGCACTCCATGACATGTTCGAAGAACTCAAGTCCAACCCATGGGCCTCTCCGTTCCTGCATCCGCGTTTTAAGGATGTCATTCAGTTTAAATTGTGGAATACCACGGAGCAACTGGATGGGGTCCCGGAGCTAAAGGACGAATGGCGTTCGATGGAAACGCTCTTCAAGTCAGGTGCTCATGTGGTGCACGTTCCACAGGAAGAGCCTCAGATATCGGGGAATGGAACTGCGTCGGTCACAAAGAAAGTGGCGGGTGACCCGATGATCAACCGGCTTGGATCAAAATCGTCGTCTGAATACGACCGCCTATCTGTTATCCTCTCTGACATGGCACGGTTTATCCTCTGCCATCGTTTCGGCGGGGTATATCTGGACGCGGACACGATCCTCCTTCGCGACTGGGAAGAGCTGTTTGGGTGGAAGGGCGCGTTTGCTTACCGCTGGTCGCGGTTACCGAACTACAACACTGCGGTGCTTCACATGAGCAAAGGGTCAGCGCTAGGAACATTTCTCTTCCGTATGGCGCTCAGTAACGGGCTGGATTTTCATCCAATGACGATTACGAAGTACATGAACGAGGCGGCGATGAATGGTCTTTTGCTGCGCTTACCGGACGCGCTCTTTGACTCGGCGTGGCTGAATACTGAAGAGTTTCAGCGGAATAGGCCACCACAGCCCTATTTCACAGAGTGCGTTGGATCCATTAAAGGTTCCGTACATAGTCGTCGCTGAGCTGAGCTTATCCGCAGGTTTTCCGACTTTTTTGAGACTCCTACGGTGAGTAGTGCTGCACCCCAGGCACTGGGCTTCGAGGGTTTCTTTTCGGGCGCGTACTCGTACCACTACCATAATCAATGGTAAGCATGTCTACCTCCGTCTCAGGGTTTAATTTCATTTCGTTGACAAGGTGGCGACCCTTTGATCCTTCACGAAACTGGCCTGACCTCGGGCCGCGATTCAAGGCGGTCGAAGACCGGGCCCGACGAGCTCTAAACAGTGAATCACTGACGTTCACATCAACAGTGAATGAGGATCCGTGGCAGGACAGAGTGGAGGAGGACAAACGGGATTTGGACTGGGCGACAGTCATTAAAAGGACTTTCGAGTCGTACATTCGGGGCGAGCGGCCGAACATGTACGGAGAGTGGCTTCGGTGGTAGAGATGGTAAATTATATATGTTGTTGGGACATTCCACATGTAAGTATTGGGGACATCTATAGGGCATGCACATACCATCGCATAGATATACGCCAGGATTGTTAATATTATTGCTTGCTATTGTAAAACAATCACGGGAACCACCGTGACCACCATCTACGCTGTCGAATATGATCCTCTTCAGACACGTTATTCTCCCGAATAACTTTCAGAAATACGCTCTCCAGAGTAGCCCTTTCCACCGTATATTCAGAGAAGTCTCCGTGCCTTGATAAGACCTGGAATAGTTGGGCAAGTGAGAAACCGTCACTTATAGGAACTTCGAATCGTGTGGCGACATCATCGGCCATACGTGTTTCGGGTATATGCGCCATTAGAATCTGAGCTTTAGTGGTCTCTTCGTGTGTCCGACAGGTGAAGTGGACTTCGTATGCGGGATAGCGCGCTGATAGGGATTCCGTAGTGCCGACAGCTAAGGTGGCGTTAGTAGGAATGGAGGTAACGCAAGGAGGGAGTCTCACCGAGAAGGCGTTTGGCCAGTATGCCAACCTTATTTGCCAAAGCAGATGCTTCTTCCATCGAATCTAACACAGAACGAACCAAGAGGTACGTCAATGATATCGTGAGACCAAGATGTTACTTACGCGTAGTGATCATGACTGCTTTGCCTACCACGACATTCCTGAGGGTCTTCCACATATCTCGTTTCATCTTTGCGTCAACGCCAGTTGAAAACTCGTCAATGAGAACAACGGCGGGATTACCTAGATGAATGTCATGACAAGTGGCTTTCTAGTCGGCAGAACACGGACCAATCAAAGCAATTGCAAGTGAGAGTTTCCTTTGGTTTCCTCCGGAAAGTTTACTCGCTAATCGATCTGCGTAGGTGGCAAGGGAAGTCGCCTTAAGCAACGAATTGACATTGTTCCGAAGTTCCAGTCCCCTTTCTAAGCCTTTCAGTCTTCCATATATTTCCAGATGTTCCCTCACAGTGAGATGAGAGTCTATAGCGGTGAACTGAGGGCAAACTCCCAAAGCAAACCGCGCTCTTCTTGGATGATGAACAACTGATTCTCCGGCGATGTAAACATCGCCTCTGTCAGGTGTCACATCCCCGCCTTCGGGGAATAATCAGTTCAAATCAACGCATATATTCGTGGATAGACTTACGGATGACGTTGAAAGCTGTTGTTTTACCAGCGCCGTTCGGTCCTAGAAGCGCAAAAACCGTGTCGAGGGAAGCACTCAGAGTGACATCATCGACAACTTTGCTATCACCGAATGTTTTAGTAACCCCAAGAACACGGAGAAGGTCGTTGGAAGACGAAGCATGATCCGCTTCAGCAACAACGTCTAGCTGTCGTCTCAAGTGGGTGTCTGGTTTTCTTTGAAACACTTTTCGAGACCAGACTGGAGGCAGCGATGAGCCGGAATCCACCCATATCAGAATGCCGAAAAGAACAAAGATATATACAATCAGGTAGACGATAGGTCCCCCATATCGCATGATCGTCGCCATATGTGATGCAGACACGGTCTCACTGTTTGTACAAAGCAGTGAGAAGAGATTGACAGATACCAGAGCTGCTCGAGTCTACATTGAGGCAACGTTTGTATTGACAACAGGGGGAAAAGGCTGAAAACCCACCACACTGGCAATCGGTGACAACAGGGAGAGCGTAAAGTGGATAATAGTGATGATATTATTGGCCTCAGACGTTTTAGCGTATGTGAGAGTCAGCAGATAACCCGCCAAATACAGCTGATAATAACAGATTAACGATGGACGCGCTAAAATATGGTCAGGTACGCACCACAAGCATGACAATTTCATAAGCAGCCACAGCAGCGAACGCCGCGAGTGGTGTGGATACCGCCAAAGATGTGCAGTATGCGAACAAGGTTGCCGCAATGCCATACAGCACCATGACAAGCCACTGACAAAATATCAGGATCCTGCAACAGTTCATACTAGTGGAACTTACAAATAATCCCAACCCATGAAACTGGTCCGAAGCAGCTGCAAAGATAATAATGATAATTGTAGAAGAAATGAAGGCGAGAATGGCATCGAAGAGAATATGGCCTAGCCAAAGACCCATAGGGTCTGATAGTCCATTAGAAAATTGCATCGCCTGAACGGCAGAACGACGTTCTCTTGATACATATAGAGCATAGAAAGCTGGATACACAGACTCGATCCAGAAAGTCAACATCAGAAGGGAAGTAAACGAAACAGCGCGCACCATAGCAGCACCAAAGAACGCGACCCACTTAAGAGCAAAAAGCGTCCCAGCTTCAACCGGAGGGAAACTCTCGTAGTTCGCTTGTATAACCGTCGGGAAGCTGGCGTTTTGACCGGAGGAGTTCAGTGCATTGTTGAACAGGATGTTGCTCACAAGGTTAAGCATAGCAGCGCCAGTGAGGCCTGGAGCTGTTGCTTCCCAGGCAAGCAGTGATGATCCCGTACTCAAATTCATAGACACACCGCCCAAGGCTAAAGCGCGGTAATTTTGACGGATTGTGTCAACGAACGTATCATTGTCGAGGATATCCTCCACAGATAGACTAGACGTGCTATTACCCAGGCTGAAGATAAGGCCGGGAGGTGTGTTTAGAACCTGAGCACCGAGACTAATCGCAGATGTAGCCATAGGAGATATCGGAAGATACAGTGGTATATTAGTCGATGTAGAGAACGATTTCACGCAGGAAGGTTGTAAACCACGTATGAACACTAAGGGAATAGCTGACGCTGCGATAGCCACAAGGACAGACAAAGCTGGAGCGAGCCAACTTCTTCGAGCGATTAGTGTTCTCTTGACGAATATCGTCTTGGCCTGTTGGAGTGGAGACATGCGACGTCCGTTTGAAAGCTGTAAGGAAGGTAGATCTTCTACGGAAAAGGAGGAAGACGTGCTGCGGTGCGTATACTTTTCGTCGAATGCTTGAGGATCGTTTTTCGCCATAAGGTCGAGGAATATGTCTTCGATGGTGGTTCCAATGACATCGTACGATGCGATGTTCAAAACATGCTTTTCGGTTTCGACAATCTGGAGAACCTTTTCGACGTCTCTGGAATCTTTGGACTTCAGATGATACGATACCTGATTGGGGGCTGCTGTGAACAAATATGCGGATGGAACATCACTTCGGATTTGATGGAGCAAACGGGCCGGTACTCCGGATTCGTCTCCTGTCAGGGACGGATGGAATGTCACTTGAACGACGTAACCTTCTCCGAGATCATGTTTGAGAGATACCGGAGAACCATTTGCTACAAGTTTTCCTGGTGCTGCAAGGATGGCAATGTTGTCCGCCAATAGATCCGCTTCATCCAGGAACTATTATATAAGAAGTTAGGGAAAGAACACCACCTCGATAAATCGACATACGTGAGTGGTGAATATGATAGTCCGCTCTTGCCGAAAAGAAGTCAAGGTCCTCCAAAGTGCTCTGCGCGACAAAGGATCGACGCCGGAGGTACACTATTGGAAGATCGTTAACTTCGTTAGCGAATCATAAGGATGCAGGTAAATACTTCATCGACTAGAAGGACTTGCAGAAGAAGATTAAGTTTAGTTTCATGTAGATAAAACTGTGGCTACCTTTAGAACCTCCAATAAGGCCAATGGCTAACTGCAGTTTCCGCTTCTGTCCGCCGGAGAGGGTGCTCGCATTTGCGTGGATCTTCTGCTCCAAGTCACAATCTCTCAATAGTTGTTCAATATCTTCATCATCGGAGTTATCACCGGACCATTTGACTGCCCGCCAAACACGTAGGGTTTGATAACAAGTAAGCTCGGGGAAGAGAACATTCTTTTGGGAAACGATGCCCAGTGTCCCAGACTGAGGACGCTCAACTCCACCTTCAAAGAGCACCGAACCTCGGGTACGGCCCGTGAGCCCGCCCAGTACGGAAAGCACTGTGGATTTTCCGGCGCTAAGAGGTTATCATGTTAGAGTGGAAGGGATAGAATAGCAGACAGCTTCACCCGTTAGATCCCAAAAGAACAGAGATGCCATACTTTGGGATGTCAAGGGACAGACCGTCGACTGCAGTGACAATGTTCTTCTGAGGCCTAAATAGGGATGTCGAAAATGTCTTTCCAAGATTTTTGATGGAGACTGCTACGTTGTCGGGGATAGAATGCTTTTTTTCATCACCTTTCGGTTTTGATAGGTTTCGGGCATCGTACAGCCGTCTTTCAAGAAGAGCAGTGAGCACAGGCCACAAAAATATGTTAATCTATCGGGGATTTCGTGAGAAAGACTCTGGATAATCTTGATACTTACGATAGCCGCAATAAGGAGAGGAAGTAGGTGAAGACCATTATCTGGATCGCCCTGAAGTACATTCGTTGCAAGCAGGTTGTTCTCAAACCCGCACATGACACGTATAGCGAATATGTAGTATCCAGGGGGGAAAACAATCGTGAAGATGAATGCCCCCACATTACCGAGATGGCTAAGGACAAGAGCTATTATGGAAAAAAGGATGGATAAGAACGTCGACGCGACTGCAGCTAGATGAGGACTCTTTCCGAACGGAGCTGCGACGAAGAAAGACCAGCTAGCCAACGACAGTCCAAGAAGAAGATGGACGACGACTACCAATCCAGCGTTGGTTTTTGAGAAAATCCGGTAGTGCCAAATCAAAGATACAATGACCCATGCCGGAAGATAGGCTAGAGAGATGCTTATATGCCAGGACCTGGGAGTATGATGTTAGGGTAAAAGGCAAGAAATTAAATTGGAACAGCCCTACAAGATTCTGGCCGAGTCCAGGAGACCCATAGCTTTCATATGTGCCGTGATGAGATTGGCACGTTCTGTAGTAACAGCACCGGGCAGCTGATAAGATATCCCAACAAAGCATATAAACCTTCAATTGTATTCACGCTGGCAGCATGTCTTCATTTCCATGGAAACTCACAGTAACAATACAAGGAGCGTTCGGAGCCCACGAATATAGCCTAAAACGGAAGATATGTCACTGACGAGGGACGTAGACCGGGCATATGTTACGAACTAAGACGAGTCAGTGTATTTTGCTCCTCATTGGTTTCCTGGGTAAAAGGCCATTGAATCGGGGTGGGAGCTTGTTCACCAGTCTTGAGTTCAATGATAGCCTAGACTCTCTGATTAACATACGGTGCGACCTTGATAACGATCAGCTTGACCTGGTCTATTGCCCACTGTAAAGGAAGAATACGCTTCTCAAAGTCGCTCGAGTGCTTGACGACATCTATATGAGCAAGTCCAGCATCTGCGTGAATAGTGTAGTTAATTGGATTCGCAGCACTTCCGTTATCAGGAATGTTGTAGAATGCGATGGCAGCAAAGCACTCTGAGAATAGGTTGAAGTTTTGAGGGCATGCAGAGGGAATGTCATCCGGAGAATCTAGTTGTCGAACTACTGCTAACTGCGATGTCGTAAAATTTTGTGTAATGCGAGCGATGATACTTGCTGGCGAGGGATCACTCGTCCCATCTGTGCTGTCAGCCCATAGCAATGCGTAGTTAGGATCCAGCTCCTGTCTCAGAGAATATATGGATACGGGGTTTCCTATGCCATACTACTGGTAGTCAGTAGAAAGAGACGACAGAATGGAAGGCACGCACATTATTGGGCTTTGTTAAGAATAGCTGCGCAACTGCAAGAAATATTCCAAATGCGACGGGCAAGACGAAGCACCGCAAGAAGTTCAGCTACATGAAGAAGAGCATAAATGTCAGTCCCTAGGCGCAACGTTTTGCACACGCACGAATGGATGCCTCAACAAGACGATCCAGTTCTTCCAGAAGAGAATGGCAAACTGGCGCCAGAAAAGGCCCTTCATTGTTCAGTATTGCTGAGAGTCTGGTCGAAGTAAGATACAGGACCGAGGGGCTTTCGAGGCCGGCATGAGGACCGGAACTTATATACCAGTTGCACAGTAATCGCAGTTACACCGTCACATTGCTGCCGTGGGGACCAGCACGCCGAGATTGGCGCCACATGACGTCACTCACCAAATAACGCGTAAACAACACGTCACACAACTGGTACTTCTTTTCTAATACTCACCACCATGCACGTAGCCTTTTCCATAAAGGTAAAGGCCGTTATCTGTCCTTTCCTGATTCATTACCTTGAATAATTAGCAGAAACAAGAAGCCCGGATAGCCGCTCTGGAAACCGAAGTGGAACACCTGCAGACGGAGTTGGGGTACTACGCCCTAAGACCTCATTTCGGAAGAATTCTCCACTGAAATTTCTACAGAGAAAATGAAGACGCCGAAAAGATTGTGAAAAGGCATATAAAGCTTCTTCATCAATACAACGAATCAAAGGACGCTGCACAGGTATTCAATCCACCTCTCCATCTTGGATAAATACTGAAGGGATCCCTAGATACTTATCGGAAAGGCACGTTATATGACTCGTTCCTGACGACTTGAACTAACCTGCATCTCAGCTTGCCCCTCTGAAAGAAGTAACCGTCACCCAAATACATGCGGATCTGGACTTGGCCACCGGAGATTGATATTAATGCCGCGACAAAGGTGTATGCTGCTGTAACTATACTGCTTGTAAAGTAATGCTACGGTATTATCTCGGCCCCTCATTTGCCATTTATCGAACCTGTTCTGCAGTAAATAGTCAACGCATGACTTTGGTTACGTTGGATTAAAACATATTCGACAGACCCTCGGTGATACGTTGGATTCGCTTTGATCTCTTCCCTGTCTTTCGGTGGGCGCAGGAAGTATATCGAATAGTCTTGAAACTCTAGCCTTAGGTTCGGGAAACGGAGTATTTGTCGTATCATGAACGTCGGTAAGCGAGGTTCTGCCGACTAACGACTTTCACGATAGGCAAGCTGACTCGAGGCTGTTAGTTCTTAGCGCCTATCGTAAGGAAATGAAAGCAATTGACCATCTCATTGGACCCATATCCAAGAGGTGCCAGGGCCTGCCCAGATGTCCACAGCGTTCCCCGAAACAGGCGCCGAGTCTCGAGGCCAGATTTTCACTGGGTGCCGAATATCTTGTGTCGTACCAAGACCGAGATTTCCGTGCTCGTTCCACCCCCAACCCCATACTTCTGGGTCCCCATCGACGACGTCAAATAAAGCAAGGACGTGCTCCGTGCCACAGGCCAGTTTCTTCAGGTGGTGATTCTGGGGGAGCTTAACATACGGATCTGTCGGACTCCTACCAAGCTGTCCTTTGGAATGGCTCCCCGTGGAATGTATCTGGTCACCTAGAACCGCATATGTCCCATTCCACGTACAGCCCACCAATCGAACGTCACTCGACGTCTCCAGCCCATGCAACTGCTCTTTCCGGTTAGAGCCTAGCCCTACAACATGGCCAGAGGTGAGAAGGAGAACAGTATGATGAGCGCCAAGGGCAAATGACTTGATCTGGCCGTCAACGGATATTATTCGTGGGATCGCGACTTTGGACTTGGGTTCTCCCAGCTGTCCATGGCGAGAGAGGCCCCAGCCCACCAATTGAGCTCCATCTACTTGGGTCACGACATGATGCTGGCCCGCATGCAGCGCAGTGATAGTCTCTCCGTTGCATGGCAGCTCAACAACGTGAAAGTCCACTGCTGAGCGAGACGTTCCTACTCCAAGATCGCCGAAGTCATTAGCACCCATAGAGATCAGCACGTCCCTCTGACCAGGACACGCCAGAACGACATACGACGTCTCCCAGGACGCCGATATCAGTTTAGGGGCGTATCCATCACAATTGAGCATTACAGGGCGAAAAGAGGTGCTTGGCTCGACCCAGTCCGGTCCTAGCTGGCCTGCACGACCGTCTCCGCACCCCCAAAGCTCGTGTATCCCATCCCCGGTCTCAAGCAGAAGCAAGGTGTGATTGGCACCGCAACAGAGGTCGATAATCCGACAGCCAGGTGGCAGATCTTTGAATATACACGCCGCGAATGTATGAGAATCGTCTATCGTTCCATTGGCCAGCTGTCCGTGAGCGTTCGAGCCAGCAGACACGAGGAATATCATAACGTAGTGGACGTGCTGAATGACATCTGTAATATTATGGCCTGATCTGGTCATCGATTATCCTTCTTCTCTTCCACCATGGCCTCGACGACCCCCGCCCTCTTCTGCATGGGTAACCCCTTGCTCGACATGCAGGTCACGAATGGCGAGGATCTGTTGGCCAAGTATGGACTGAATGCAAACGATGCCATCCTCGCTGAGGAGCAGCAGGCTCCTATGTACGGCCCAAAAAATTTACCGCAGCCTCCGTTTGACATCTGCATAGATACGAGGACATCGTGAAGAATCACAAGGTGACCTATGTCGCTGGGGGTGCAGCACAGAATGCTGCTCGTGGGGCTGCGGTGAGCATTCCAGCTGCCAAACCGAGCATCCGAAGACTGAACGTCTCTTTATTCAGTACCTCCTCCCTCCAAACTCCGTTGTCTACACCGGATGTGTCGGCGACGACGATCTCGCTGAGCAGCTCAAAGCAGCCAACAAGCGGGAAGGGCTACTGGAGGCCTACCAAGTGAAGAAGGGCGAAAAAACTGGTGCTTGTGCGGTGATCATCACCGGACATCATCGGTAAGCCGCCGCCCCCTACCTTCAAAATCTTTGCTCATAGCAAGGTAGATCCTTGGTGACAACCCTACGTGCCGCCGAGAAATACGACCAGTCCCATCTCTCTTCTCCTCAAGTCCTCTCTCTAGTCGCCGGTGCCGAAGTATTCTACTTTGAAGGTTACTTCCTTACGCACGGTGCGTCCATCATCAGCGACTTGAGCAAACAAGTCAGTGCTTCCGGAAAAGTCTCCGTCCTCAACTTTTCTGCTCCTTTCATTCCCCAATTCTTCGGTGCCGCCCTACAAACCGTCATCCCGCACACCGACATCATCATCTGTAACGAGGCAGAGGCAGAGTCTTGGGCAAACGCCAATGGGCATCTTACTCCTACTGATCTCCCCGCGGTAGGCAAGGCTATTGCTATGCTTCCCAAGTCTAATGCCTCACGGCCTCGTATCGTCGTTATTACCCACGGTGCCGAGTCGACAGTCCTTGTCAGCTCTGCGGAATGTGACAGCCCCAAGATTTATGCTGTCCACGCTCTCAAGGACGAGGAAATCGTGGACACAAACGGAGCAGGAGACGCCTTTGCTGGTGGCTTCTTGGGCGCCTACGTCGCTGGCAAGTCCTTGGACGAATCTGTTGAGGTCGGGCACAAACTCGCGTCAATGAGTATCCAAGAGGTATATCAACCCTGCTTTGCATCGAATAATACTGATTCATGCTACATAGGTCGGACCGCAGTTCAAGTGGCCCAAAGTACAAGTCCTGTAATGCAAAATTTCATCGAGTGCATCGCCTTTCATCCCTCTTTCAACAGACGGTATCGACGGGCCTATACCTTTGCGCAATTTTGGCTCTCCACAGCTATAATCTGTAGCATATAGTAGATCAACAAATCAATTTGTATTTTTTGCGTGCTTTAGTGTTTCATTGCTGTTGTCCGATGCACAATTCATGTATTAATCAGGCTGTTACGAATTATGAATAACCCTAGAAAGGGTTGTAAAATCATTATAAATCGCAAGCAGTAATATAGATAGATACTCACGATAATGTAGAGCAATGCCCGGCATATTGTTGTACACGAGTCTGACCAAAATCAAAGGCTACCATAAACACGGAACCTAGCAAAAATCGACTGTGCCGATACTAAAGTAACGACAAAGCTTACATGCTTGACGGTAGGGAAGGAGATAGTGTTATACAGTAAAGCGTCAGAATCACTACAAGTCCAACCAATCTTGAAGTCATGAAGGAGGGGGAGAAGCGAGAGATTCCTTTTGAAACATTAGGTGCTGGATTCAGTGCGGATACACTCAATTGACTCTTACTTGTGTCAGGAGCTCCGCTATATACAGCTGACAGTCAGACGGAACCAAGAATATTGATAACAACGTACCTGGGTTAAGCATCGGCTCGCCATCTTCCGTCAGCATATGCTCCATGGGCTCAGGACGATCAAGAGCCGTCCCATACGAGAGCAAACCCGATCCCGTACGTTCCTCGGGAGACATTCTAGCATCCTCACCGTGGTCCAAATCACTCTCTAGCTGAGGTGGACTTGACCACCGCGAATTGATTTCCTCCAAATTAACGCCATGCAAACTTTCCCGCCGCGGGTACTTGGCGTTATTGAGTACGGCTTCCATTGCTGCATGAGTGAGCTGCATCGAGAGGACCTTCATCTCCTCTTCTGTAAGAGTGTCCACATCCGAAGGGTTTACCGTAGCTGGCTCGTTTGAAGTTGACATTTGCTGATCGCCATCAGGAGTCTCTGGTCCAGATGGGGAGGAATTAGAATCGTTGTGGGGAGTCCCCAAGCGGGATTGGGCGGTTTGATGGGGTGATTGGGTTCTCGATGAGGAACCTGCGCGGTAATCTGTTTCAGTTGGAGGTTGATGCTGAGGTACAGAAGTGACCCCGTTCTGGCGGTAATAAGGGGAGGGTGTATAGTATATGGGGTATCCTATAGCGGTAGGTGGTGGTACACCCTCAGGCCATGACTGAGACTGAGCCCAATTCGTCGCGCCGTTAAGGCGGGTGGCAGACGTAGGCAAGCCTACCTGCGTATATTCAGGTACATACGCTAGATAATTGATTAGACAACGTTTATCGGTAGAGGAAAAAGAAGGGTACTGCTTGAGTGTGCGGTATGTTGACGGTAATAACTGGAATGGCCAGTAGCTGGTCCAGATACCACAGATTTTCCTTGAGCGGAGTGTAACATAGGTTCCTTGCCTTTGATGGACGGCGCAATACTGCTACTCCTTGAAGGGTCCTCGTTGAGTAGTTCCTGGTTCATTGCCTCGATCACTATGCCGTTATGTCTACGATGTCCTCAGCAGCTGCACGTAGAAAGATTGAAACCAATCGACCTTGACTTTTGATGGCGCCGGAGAGCATCAGTCTAGCGCCGTCGTGAATAACCTCGGTACTGGAAAATCCGACGTGAATGTACTCACCCTTGTAAAGGTAGCGTCACATTGAGGGCATGAGCTGCAGAACGTTAGTATAGACGCGATTTACAGAGCTCAGGCACGTACAATCCGGGCATCGAATGCAGTTTCGTTGTCCTCTGGTGTCTCTTCAAGTCTGCCTCCCGCGCGAACTGTTTGTTACATCCGTTGATCTTGCAAGGCCACACCCCTGTGGTAGCATTCTTCTTCTTTGCTGTAACCTTCTTCTTCGTCGCGTCTCTCCGTTCAGGCGGTGGCTGGAGGTGCAGAGGTAGGTACCGGTCAGTGGTAGAGCTGCAAGCGAAACCGAGGTCTCACCTGCTCATCCGTGATTACTTTTACCATATTTAACTACAAGAATATATCTGTACTCTATGAGTACATGCCAAGGGGTCTGTTAGACCGAATATGCCGCAGGAAAAGGCAGAAGGAGAGCAGATCCTAGGTGCCGATGTCGGTGCTTGTAGTGGTAATAACGCAAGAGCCCCTTAAGTAAACAAGCCTTCCGGTCTGCCTAAGGCCCTAGCCATGGACAAGCCATGTACATTACATTTTCTACTGGTACAATATCACAGCTAAACGAATACATTATTGCGATAGATTCTACGGTACAATTATTATATGTGCAAACAAAGCAAGAATAATTTTGCGAGACGATGAACGTAGATATATTCCACTAAATGCGGCACCCGATTAATTGGATGACGGGTCCGACGTTAAATTGCAGCCCAGGATTCGGACTGCCGATACACAGTCAGCGTTGTACAATACAATGAGATGACGCAAAGCTCACCGGTACCGTCTGGCTCTCCGACACCGTATAACATTTCCGTGGGATGGAACACCAAAGACGTCAGTCGGTGCGAAAAGGGTGATGCTGGGATGCGAGGTGCTTGAAGGACGTGCCCAGTGGGAACCGAAACGCTGGAAGGCTGCATCTGTCCTTTGATAGATTGCACCGTTATCTTCTGCTCCTTCCATTGGTGAGGTGTTATAGCGGAGGATCTAATCCAATGGTCAATGACGGAATGAACTTTGAAGCTATCACCACTTACCCGGCGAAAACTTCGGTGGTTCGATGGACATCGAAAGCGGACAGTCCCCTTGAGTTCAGATCCCATGTTTCGGCGGCCTGCCTTTCATTTCGGAGATCCCAAAGCTTGACGACACCGTCCACGCTACATATTCATGTGTAAGGCGGAGAAAGGAAGAGATCAAAAGGTTAGACACACCCAGCGGACAAGAACTGGAAGCCCGACGCCGGATGTGGACAGATATTTTGAACCCACGTCGTATGGCCAGGGAATGTCATGATCACAGGCTCCTCGTCATCGATTCGGGCATCGAATAGCTTCACAGCGCCATTAGCAAAACTGACGGCAAAAACTTCAGAGTAACCATGACGATCCGAGGCAATGGCTGTAACCGGACTTTCGGAGTCGGTCACGATGTCCTATTTGAATATTCAGATTGCTGGAGACGATAGTGCGATGTAAGTGCGATGTAAGTATCCACGTACCATTCCCTGTGACTCCGTCTGAGCATCCCAGCTCTTGATGATACGAGAATCTCCACCAATAAGTAAGGTCCCGTTCGCAGCTTTCCAATCCATGACAAGGCCAGATCCGCGATTGATAGATATTAACTCTTGCAGGCCGCGGAACGCACTGACCAGCTGTATAGGCCCCTGCTCTAGGGTAGGATCATAATTACGAAAAAGTCGCACAATACCATCATCTAGTTAGAGCAATTCAATACGACCTAAGCATCCCAATCAGAGAAACGTACCCGATCCGGTCATTATAATACCACCAACATCCTGGTTAATGATATGCATGGAAGTAATTGAAGTTCCTTTGGGATTACCATTGCAGAACTGATTCAATTTCTTCTTCTGAGACCAGTCCCAAACTCTGTGATACAATCAGTCGAGAAATCAAAGAACATGGTAGGAAAATCTACGCGACGATATCGTGCTCATTGGCGAGTACAAGATGTTGGTCATAAGAATGGAACGCCATAGTCATCGGGTGTCCGATAGATTGTAACGTCGCTACCGGCCTGTCCCATCGATGGCACGCTAATAGACGAATTAGCTATCAGCCCAGTCGAGCAATAACGATAGACGTACGCGCAACCTCTGCCTGGGAATGGGTCTCAACGTCGACCTTCTCGTTTCGACGTTGTCTCCAGACTTGATGATTGTATTGCATACTACCCGGTTCATCCGCTTCCGTTTGCTACCAGGACATCAGTACACTAAAGAAAATTTCCTATAAAGAATAGCACTCACCCTCATCTGCGGTTCCGTAAAGTACTCTGTGCACCAATCAAAATACGTGCTCTTGAGCGGAAGCACGTCCCGCAGTCCCATACCTGTTCCCAGCCCCAACATCAAACTGCTAGCCGAAGATTCAGTGGAGAAAGTACTATTACTTGGGCTAGGCATAGAACCACCGCCACGTCGGTGCTTTCTATGTCGCGCTTTCAACCTTTCCATATCCTCCAGCATCAGTGCATCCATAACGTCTTTCGGAGTGTAGTCTAGTACAGATGGTTGTTGGGAGGAAGAAGATGAATGCCCGCTTTGATAGACAGGTAGAGACATGCGATAGTAAGGTGGTGAATACCGCGCAAGGTTCAGGTTAGGAGATGGTGGCCGGGATATGTCAAATTCCGGACGCGAGGATCCAAACAGCGCAGAGTGACCATCCTCCAGAGAAGGAAAAGCGACACCGTTCGCGAAGGTCTTCAGAGCGTTAGCAAAGGAAGAAGTGCGCCGGAGGGTGTTCGACACAGACGTGGTCATGGAGGTCATTGTATCGCTGCGAGTGAATGCTGGACGAGATTGCTTTGGAGATGGCGGAGTGGACACGAGGGGAGAATGAGAGGAGGGTACTCTTGATCGAGGTGCAGCCTCAATAACTGGTGGTCGGTAATCCTGAGATACAGCGGGCTGCCGTCTCAGGCTGGTCGCATCATGTCGACTGAACGGCGAATCCAAAAGAAGCGCCACGATATAGTCCACGATCGTCTGTGCATTAACAGCAACCTCAGAGTAAGGGTCTTCCGAAAGGTCAAGGAGAACTACAAATATTGTGAAGAAAGACGACAAAATGACTCGGTTATCTTCTTGACTGGAGTAGTCGAAACTCTCTATCCATTCTTCGATTGCTTGTCCGCTGACGTCGTCAGTTGGGGAATGTGGACCAGGGCCATTTGTTCGCCAGCGTTGGTTCTGTTCCCAGTATAACCACGCACAAACAACAAAGTGACCTCTCCACTCCCTGACCAGACAGCTTATCAAAACCAGTAGCTCCTTCCGTGCCATAGGGCTGGCGTCATCCTTGATGATGAAGGTAGCACCCATGACCAACGAGACCTCTACACGCATGTGGAAGTTTTCTTCCATTTCGAAGAGCCCCGTCAAATTTCCGCTGCCTCCGCCTCCTCTCTTAGTTGGATCCAACGAACCACTGGCCCCCATAAATGTTTGCAAGGCGTAGAGTACAGCACAACGTACTTCGACGGACTCATCGTTAAGCATGATGTTGAGCTTATCGGTGGTCGTACGCTGTACAGCTTCCTTTCTACCCTTGTCATTTGAATCCCAAAGTTGGGCTATACACAAGGCAGCCCATTGACGAAGCAGGAAGTCAGGATCACCTAGCTTGCCAAGACAAGCATCGAAGACTCGCTCGTCCCAGCATGCAGACTGTCCATTGGGAAAGTCACGGGAAAGAGACGCTAGAATGAAGCAAACCATCGCTTGATGCTCGGACGAGTTCGGTAGAGCGCCGTCGTCAGGCATTGCAAGAATTTTGGAAAAATAACGGTATCCTTGAGCGTTGTTATATAGGTCGACTTGTACCGACGGATCAACGGCCAGAATGCGGGTCCATATGAAGATGAGCACAGGACGAAGGTCCTGCCCAGCAGCTTGCAGAAGCTTCGCCATGTAGGGGAATATACCGATGGAAAGGACCATGTTAACGGCCCATGGTCCCAAATCTACGAACTGAGAGAGAAGAATAAGTGCACGTAGACGATGTGGCTGGGAAAGCAGGACTTGGAGAACGATGGGCAACTGATCTGGCGGCTTCCGAGGAACAAGTTTGTCCTCGGTTACACCATCAGCAGTCGCTCCGTTCTCCTCCAACCCTTTCTCCTTTGAAATTGGCATGGACATAGGACCACGTCTAGTCAGGGCGGAACCACCTCGAGATATCCATACTTCGAATGCAGTGAGCTGGTCAGCGAAGAATCGGCTAGGAACATAGGTATATGGTGGGATCTGAGAAGCATCTTCATCTTTGGTCACATGGCGAAGACTCCCGATACGACCAGGTAAAACTTCATTTTCATCTGTGATCACTGCCGCAGGCACCGGCGGCTGACCAGTAGCTGAGTTCTTAGCTTTGGCCGGGGCTTTATTACGAAGAAGATCGGGCAGCTGTCGCAAACACGCGTCGACAGCTAGGTCCCACGTCGCCCATAAAGGATGTGTATTAGTGGCTGGAAGGGGAGGGTATGTATGCGGAGTGCACCCGTAATTCTTCAGGATGCGCTCTGCGAGCAGGAAATTGCGGAAAAGCGATGCAACGAGGAGGTCACATCGATATAACCGTGAAAACGTCTCTCGGGAAAAGGAAGTCCACGCAATGGTATCAGTGATGGCAATGAAGATCCAGTTCAATTCTCCTAAAGGGGTACGACGATCTTTAAGATCTCCTGGAAGCTGCATGATCATATCTTGCTCGACGCCGTCTGGTAATTTTTGGTTAAGGACAAAATACCGAAGGGCCATGTCAATGGGGGAGGTGAGGCATGAAGTGAAAACATCGGCAGGTAACTCAGGGCATGAGGGCAGATGCTCATTCGCGGCACACGCAGCTAGCTGTATCGACTGCAGGTACGGTGTACGCTCTGGCGCGTAGCCACCATGTGACATGGTTGCATCGCTGTCACGGCGTTCCGCGAACGTGTTGAAATTCTGCAGAAGATGGCCCGCAGCAGAACAGTCCCATATATACACGCCAGGAGATCCCAGCCAATTCTGTATGTCCTGAAGAGACACCGGAATATACTGAGTGTAGTTCCGGTTGAAACACCACAACTCTCCGCTGGCTGTAGGCTTGGGAACTCCATGTCCATTATAATGAAATAACACGGCGTCGTCCTTGGCCTGTCGGCGCAGCTGTTGACAACATTTCCGGATGTCTTCCTGCGAAGGGTCGAGTATTGGTTTGTACTGAATCTTGAGACTAAGTCCTTCATACTGGGACTTCAGATTCGCACCAATGGCTTCGACTGCGCGGTTCGAGGGTAGCAGCCTAGGGTCAACCCAACACTCTAAAGCAGCACACGGCTGAGTTTTGACAACGTCGGGTGGGTCGACATCAATGTTAAGGCAGAGAATCAATGCTGCATTGGCCGTTTTGAGCTTTCCTAGGGCAGAATTGCGCCATGGTGTGAGCTGAGCAGACCACGGAGGCTGAGGGGTAGGATTGCCACATGTTAGATGCCTTTTTGCTGACCAGTACGGAATGGGAGGTGCGGCTGCATCCACAGACGTTTCGAGCGACGCCCCACGATGAGAAAGATGATTTTCCGTCCTCGTCCTTGAATGCGACTGCATCCTGCTCGAATCCGTCTCGCTCTCTGAGTCAGAATTGAGACCTGACGATACGCGTTACCACAAAACAAGTAGGCAAAAATAGGGCATACCGGTGTGAAATTTTGGCGGCGGCCTCGAAGCTACATGGTCGGACATCTTCCTTCAAATCCCAGCAGAACGCTTCCCAGTCAGTAAGGGAATCCTGGGACTTGGAGGTCGGACCGATTGCAGTGGAGGCCCCACTGGGCAGATGGAAGGAGCTACGGAAGGTCACACGTGTGACATCCTTTCTCCGCGTCAACCACCTTCAATGTCTTTGGACGCCGTTAGACTCAATGAGCGCTGTTAATCTTTCTACTGGGACCATAGTCGACGTACCTGCTGGACGTGGGGTGATTCGCTGGAATGGATCGTTAAATGCAAAGCCGGGAAAGTTCTTCGGTATTGAATTGTACGAGCCCAATGGCAAAAACGACGGGTCTTTCGAGGGCCAGGCCTACTTTAAATGCAGGATGAACTACGGGTTGTTTGTGAGGCCTGTGCAGATAAAAGGAACGTATGGCATGGAACAACAGCCAGCAGCGGGGCCGAGCGTGCGTACTTACCTTCTTATATGCACTCTACCATTGACCGACGTCGCAGCGACCGGCACCGATTGCTACTAGGCCTTCGTTTGGCCACCAACGAACCTCCAGTGTGGGGATGACTCGGTCAAATTCGATACGGGCAGCTTCACCAGCATCGTCAATACGGTCAAATAGTCCAGCTAAACCTGTAGCGACGCCTGCTTCACGAACGAGTCGATTGGGGCAGCCATCACCGACGAAGAGGCAGCCTCCAACTACCCTGCAATCTCGCAAGTCAATCCCTGTACGATCCAGCCCGCCGGAGCTGGCGACGCCCTCAAGACCTCCCACCAAGACATTGTTACGAAATATCCCGTCACCTACACAGAAACAGACATCCCTGTCAAGCGGCACAACAATTCCACGCGTCTCTTCTCCACTTTCTCAGTCTCCATCTCAACCGGCTACGTCTCCGTTACCTCAAATTTTGCATCATGCCACGAGAGCGCCTTCCCCTCTGGTTCCACTTGTACGTTTAGTTTTCTATCGAAACCTCTCCAATGACCTTGTCTGTAGCCGCCACCTCCAGACGAACAAGAACTGCATGAGCTGCGTGCCAAAGTACGCGTCTTGGAGGCTAAACGTGCTGATGATGCAAGGCATGTTCGCGAGCTAGAAACGCGGCTTTCTGAAGCAGAGTCGTTTGTCGCCCTGCGTCCCAAGCTCCAAGCAAAACTCAACTCTCTTCAAACTGATCTCATCGCCACTAAACGCGAACTTGCAGATGCTCAACAACTGGCGCAGTTGGCCGAGACGCGCCTTCTCGATGGTCAGGAACTACTAGAGATGGCGATGTTGGATAAAGAAGTTGCCGAAGAAAGAGCAGAGATCGCAGAGGCAGAGCTGGAGGAACTCAAGGATCGGTTGTCTCTTGCTGAAGTAGAACTGGACGTCTACAAGGAAGAGCATGCAGGTATGTGCTTATGCCCCTCGCTCGCCCTTTCTCTCACCAAGCACAGACGTTTCCATTGATAAAGCAAACAGTAATACCGGCAAAGACTCTGTTGCATACCTCCACCTCGAGAAGCAGAATGAACGACTGAAAGAAGCGCTAGTCAGGTACCTTTTGTCGTTCCCCCCCATCACTCAGTCTGATTCGCTTTTAGACTACGCGATATGACACAGGAAACAGAAATGGAACAAAGGAGGAGGATATCGGAAATGGAAAAAGACGTCGAGGAGATTGACGATCTCCAATGTGCGTAATTCGTTAAGCCTACGGTACCTAGCAGTTCATGGTCCTCTAGCCAAGTACGACTCCGCCGTCATTAAATTGTCTAACGCAGAGGTCCAGATCGAAGACCTCAAACTACAACTCGACGATGTTCTGGGCGTGGAAGAGATGCTTGTTCAGCTGACAGAACGCAATCTCATGCTCGGCGAAGTATGCTGTAATTTTTACCTGTTAAAACGTGACCATTTAACCTTTTTTTATCTTCTTTTAGAAAATCGAGGAAATGCGGATTACGATCGAAGATCTCGAGGCTTTGAAGGAACTCAGTGACGAGCTCGAGGAGAACCATGTCGAGACTGAGAAGGGTCTCCAGGAAGATCTTCGTATGTATATTTCGACTTTTTGAAGTCTCAAGTGCGACTGACGTCCTTGCAGAATCGAAAGATATGCAGATTCAAGAGCATCTCCGGAAGGTCGAGGGACTAGAAGAAGCTACTCTCGACCTGGAAGGTACCATTCTTCAGTTCAGAGAGCTTGTTCTCCAGCTTCAGACGTGCGTGACATATTCGAGGTTGCAACCGCATATTGAGTTTGCTTTCTGTAGGGAACTCGACGCTCTTCGTCTACAAACGCAGACTGCTCAAAACGAGTCCGCCACGGCTGCGTCTCAAACGGCCGCCATGATGTCGTTGAACCTCAAGCTCCAATCCTCAGCTTCTAAGAACCAGGCCAGGAATATTGATCTGGAGCTCAAACAACTGGAGGCAAGGGAAAGCAGAGAATTACTGGGTATCGTTCAGGTAAGTATTCTGTAGGACGTATATCGCACCCGGCGCTGATTTCATGACAGCCCTACCTGCCTCAATTGTATCTCGAGACAGACAGTGATGCAACCAGTTGTTATCTGTTCTTCCAGCGCCTGGCATATAAAGCAGACTTGATAAATACCGTTGTCGCTCAGGCTCATGGTTTACCTGAATCGCTTAATGGGCCAGGTTCTGATATCCTCGTTGGTATCTGTGATGTGAGGAAGCTTCCGTACCTCCTCTGCACAATACTGATTTTATGTTTGACAGCTCCGTGGTCGAATTTCCGCTGTATCCATTCTCTGCAAGCGTTTCGCCGCTATATTGCGCAAATGCGACGTAGAAACTTTCTTGAACCAAGGCCGGATATATCCCGAGATCGCACCGATTGAAAAGCGGATTGACATGCATGTCGACCTCTTGCGACGAGACGCGTTCCGGGAGATGGAATGCGCTAGTGACATCGAAAAGCAAGTTTTATTTTTGTCTGCATGAAGAGAAGATAGCTAATTTGTTTACCTTTCTCAGGATCCAAGCACAATTTGACCATCTCGCAGACAAGTATTTTGATGGCTTTGAACATGACTTGGGCGAGCGGGAGCAAGGATATGTTACAGCTTTCGATCTTGATCTTGACATTTTCGCTGCTGCTGTTGGTCTTACGAAGACGTCGGTGGAGGCTATTCTCAAAGATGAAGGTCAGCCAGACATTCGACTAAACCACTGCCATCCATACTTACGTGCCTTTTGTGCAGATGTTGTTCTAGATATGGGTGGTTTGAATATCGGTACTGATCTATTCGACCCATTGCAGAAGCTCCTGGATCAGTGCAAAAGTGCCAAGAGCCTGTCTAGGTATCTTGAAACTCTGTTGTTTATGATGGCCTTTGAAACTTAGCTTTTCAAAAGGAAATTGACCAAACGTACAGAGGAGTTAATCAAAGACTCTGCGCATCTTAAACCGCACGTTGTGCCCCATATGCAATCTCTAAGCAATGCAGTACAAGAGCCTGTCAATTTCGCAATTACAGTAATTTTTGATTTTTTTAAATCATCAACCGCATTCGCTGATCTCTCCTCCTTCAGTTAGCAAAGCAGATCATGCCTCACTTAAGTGACGTTAGAAGCGCAAAGACACCCTTCCAGCTTAACACCATTCTTGACTATGTTAAGCAAGCGACTACCACAACTGTGGGTATGGATGCGAAGATAAACGCTTCTTTCTGGGAACCCATCGGGGCTTCTCTTGGCCAGCTCGTGCAAGAGGGTGCTAAGCTCTTACCTTTAATCATGGAAACAGAAAATGTCACAAAGGGTGAGTAATACACCTTTTCTCTAGGTTGTTGATGCGCATTGAATCCTTGCATTCCCCAGCGTCAAGCATAGCGCCATGGGTGACTCGGATTGACGAGATCAAAGCTACTTTAGCAGTCAATATCGAAGCGGAGAGGAAAGTCGCGCAACTGAACGACGAGATGCAAGGGCTGGTCCGAAGCCTGAAGACCAAAGACCAAAACATCCAAGAATCAGGAGTCAAGATTGAGCTCATGCAGCGACGAATGGAGGCGGCCAAGAAACAGGCGGATACGATTGCCGATCTTGAAGGCGAGCTGGCCAAGGCTCACAAACAAGAGCGCGCCTATGAGGAAGCCATGGAGCAACTTCAAGCCGACTTGGATGCTTTAGAGCAGGACAATGCCAAGATGAAGGCAATGACAGCTGGTCATGATCGTCAAGGTACTCTTCGTTTCATCGTTTATCGAAAAGATATGATTGACGTTACCATAGTCCCCGGAGTCCAACCCATGGAAACTGAACCCATAACCGTTGAAGGAAGCCTGGAAACATCCCATTTGCTGGAGCAGGTAAGGCAGCCATCTCCCCTTAAAAAATAAAACAAACCAATATAATTTTTTGTCTAGATCGAGGCCCTGCGAGGAACAGTCCGATTCGTCAGGACGGAGAACTCTTATCTCAAGGGACAAGACCTGCTACGCGAGATCGAGACACTCCCGCCACTCCCGGAACCCTTCGTGCGCTCGCCGACGCCACCCCTCGACCCATCCGGACTCTCTGATACGGACGATTCAGACTCGGACCGTTCCCCTTCGCCTCCAACGCTGCGCTCTCTCACGACGGAGACAAAATTGCTGTATCGAGATGTGATCAAGTTCTCGACCTCGCCTCGCGTGGTAGACCTATCCACCATCAATGCGCTGCGCGCGGAAACCAAGAGCGGGGGTAGAGTATGGCTCCCCAAGAAAAAAACTCCCTCTCACCAGGTGCTAGAGCGTAAGTTAGAAGCGGAGCGCTTGAGTAGACGCATGATGGGTCTTCTGGACAGGGCCAGTGTTGTATCCGGATTATGACGGCTTCCTGTTATGCCCATGATACCCTCACATGTACGATACATACCATATAATCCTTGCTAGATCTATTGCATATTGGATGATTTAAACACCCCAGTCTCTTCAAGTGCAGTATTCCACCCGTACTACTTTCAAAGAGTGCTGGTGTTCTTCCATAAACATATATGAAGGAGCATTTAACTTGTCGTATTTTTCATAATACATGATGAGCAATGTCTATTCGTTACAGCTTTCTTCTTTTGAACAACTTCCTCTTTATTTCTTGAGCAGAGCGGGGGCCGTGTGGCCAGCAGACAGACCCTTGTCACCAGCATAGGTGGCACCAGACGAAAGGACCTCCTCCCTTAAAGGGGCATGTTAGCGAAAATATGGAAAAAGGGTACATATTGTAACATACTCAATGCGAAGAAGCGCGTTGTATTTGGCAACACGTTCGCTACGAGCAGGAGCACCAGTCTTGATTTGGCCAACACCTAGGGCAACGGCCAGATCCGCGATAACAGTGTTCTCGGTCTCACCACTACGGTGTGAAATCATAACACCCCATCCATCAGATTGCGACAGCTGAGCACTGAGAAAAGCTTCAACCAACGAGGGGAATGAATTAAGAGAAGGGTACGAACGCTTGAATTGACTCCGAGATGGTACCTATTTGGTTGACCTGCCAATACGATGAGCAAGCGTACCGATGGAAATAGTTACTGAAATACCTTAAGGAGAAGACCGTTGCAAGCCTTTTTCTCGATGGCTGTCTTGATTCGCAAGGGGTTGGTCACCGTCAAATCGTCACCGACAATCTGGATACCGCTGTTAGCAGTGAAGTGGGTCCAAGCTTCCCAGTCATCCTGGTCGAATGGGTCCTCGATCGAGACAATGGGGTAGTTCTTGACGTATCCCAAGTACAAATCAGCAAGCTCAACGCCGGAGATCCACTTGCTAGGATCTGAGTTAGGGTTTTTGAAGTCGAGATCGTACTTGCCCTCCTTATAAAACTCGGAAGACGCGACATCCAAAGCGATCTTGACTTTGCCTTCATATCCAGCCTTCTTGATTGCCTCCGAAAGCAACTCAAGAGACTCCTCGGCACCAGAAACGTTGGGAGCGAAACCTCCCTCATCACCAACGTTGACGGCTTGATGAAGGCGTGCACGTAAGATTTTAGTGATAACCCAAAATTGATATTAACGTACCGTCAATACCGTACTTGGCACTGATGACCTTCTTCAAAGTATGGTAAGTCTCCGTGCCGATCTTCATCGCCTCGGTGAACGAAGTGGCGCCAGTTGGCATCAACATGAACTCCTGGAAAGCGAGCTTGTTTCCGGCGTGGGATCCACCGTTAATGACATTGAATGCGGGGCAGGGGAGGACAAATGGAGGCTTGACGCCAGCAAGATCGGCGAGATGCTGGTAGAGAGGAACGCCCTTCTCCGCGGCGGCAGCCTCAGCTACGGCAATGGAAACACCAAGGATGGCATTTGCTCCGAGCTTGCCCTTATTGGGGGTACCGTCGAGCTTGATGAGGAAATCATCAATGTCCTTCTGAGAGGTGACTACAAGGCCAGACTTGATGAGCTCAGGAGCGATGGTCTCGTTCACATTGGCAACAGCCTTGGAAACACCTGAGCGCTTGTATGAGATGCATGAAAGAGGGAAGAAAAGAGCGCGTACCCTTTCCGACATATTTGCTCTTGTTGCCATCACGGAGTTCCACGGCTTCATGAATACCAGTGGATGCACCAGAGGGCACAGCAGCACGGAAGCGGCCTAGAACAGGGTTAGACGGTCAAGGAAAATGCGCATATATGCGGTGAATACGCACCCTTGGCGGTGTAGAGGTCGACCTCAACGGTGGGGTTGCCTCGAGAGTCGAAGATCTACGCGACGGACGATGTTATCGGATAGTACAGAGAGATACGGACAGGACGCCTTACCTGGCGAGCGTGGATTTTGGTAATGGACATGATGAGAGATGGTGGTGGTTCAGAAGCAAGAACAGGTCATCGATTTCACCGTCTTAATGAAGTCATCCGGTCTTTCCCACGCACTCATGGCTCGACGACTCCAGCGTTCGACGGGCGCTCTGGATTGCCTCGCGACTAGGCCTGCGTGCATTGAGGCACAGGGTATACTATATATTATGTCGCTGAGAAACGGGTAATCATCCCAGCGATTAGTGCAGCACAACACGGAATACCGCCAGTCCCCAACGTTCCGGGGAGAGTGTAATATATCAGATACGGGCATCTACGGGATGTTGACGCCTTGGAGAAACACAAGGATTATCTCCAAGGTTCTCCTGATGATTTCTTTTCTCCGATGATAACAGCTCTGGACCAAGGATTGAACAAACATATATATCTCAGTCTATCCTATCGTATTCGGGGTTGCTTACCAGAGAATGCCATGTAATGATATTGCCCGGCCTCGTCATTGCAATGAAAAAGTCAATATATTTGTTCTCCCTCCAATATTGGCGTTGCTTGCAAGTCTCCGGCATGCTTCGTTTCTAGTTTATGATGCCGTTCCTTGTCGCATCTTATTTCGCGCTACTCTCGATATCAGGAACGCGCAGCTATTCAGCCTTGCCTGTCTTGATGATTAGCTGGAAAAAATGAGATCGGTAAATGGGTCCAACACCCATCGAGACACACTGGATGTTTGGGTTCAGAGATTGTATATGCAATGGAAATTGAATTAGAAACGCGGTCGAACTAAACCATCAGTTCACCTTCCACACTCTCTGGCTCCAACCCCAGTCGTTCCAGTACGATATCATAGCGCACGCGGTCCGTCCGTTTCAGGTACTTCAACGTTCTTGCTCTCTGGTACACCAACATCTTCAAAGCACGTTTCCCAGCTACATCCTTCTTGTGCCGTGAACTTGCCAAGTGCTTCCACATATTTCGGATTCGGTACGTCAGAATGGCAGCTACATAGGAAAGGTCAGAGGATTAAAGACTTTGTATAAAACACGTACCTTGGACTTCGGTACGACCAGGGTCCCAAGGATTTTCAGGCGTTGAGAATTCGATGACGATCCTCCGTTTGTTCTCATAGGCGATACCAGCAGCGTTCGCATTCCGCAGATCCACGACTTTCGCAAACATATTTGCCTTCCTCAACTCCTTCTCCACTCCGACGTTCAGACTTGACAGAATCCCCGTGGCGTGAGTGATGCCCATGGAATCACGTTCGGACGACCTTGACGGGAGCTCGTCGAACAGAAGACGTGCCTCCTTTTCTGTCACACCATACGCGAGCTTCTGCGGCATGTATACCGTCCCAACAGGATGTGCTGTTTTATCATAGACCGGGGGTGATGCGAACTCATCTTCGTCCAACAAGACTTTGGCCAAGGAGCAGTTGATCCACTTCTCTTCCTGGCCCGGCCGGTAGCCTAAGATGGGGCTCGGGCGGTTGGCAATTTCCTGCTCTCGTTTCTCGACTTTCTTTACGTTTCTGGCCTTTTTCGTGAGTTTCGGTCTGGCGAAGAGGACCGAAGATGAGTGGATGAATGAGCTACTTGAAGAACTGGTCGACGCGCCAGCCCGGGAGACTGAAGAGGCAAGATGGTTCAGGTTAAAAAAATATATGAAACCAGATGAACCGAAGTGACCTTGTGCCAGACACGTCCTGAACATGACCTCCCTCTTCGACCAAGTGTTTTTTGGGCAAGGCTCAAGTCGGAAACGGAAGTTCTGCAGTCACGCGACTGTGGGAATGCTTTTGTGGGCACATATAAGACCCATTTTTGCTCCTTTATTCTTCTTCTTCCAAGGGACTCATGCCACGCTGCTCGATGTAGTGTGCTCAACCGTCAATGCAGTGCCAGTGACTTGTTTCTCAACTCGTCCTGTTGTCCCGAGATCGACCCAGTCTAGGAAGTGACGTTTTGACGCCTTCAGGAAACGGCATGTCGATTTTTTCCTGGTACACTTTTTTTTCTTGTAGATATGTACTGTTGTATCTGTGTCAATATGACTCTTTTATGCGCAATCTTTTTTGTCTTGTTTGATGCAAATACATTGCTTGTCGTCGACCGCGAGCACTTTTTTAAGACCGTGGGAATCTGCTCACTTTACTCTTAGAATACAAGGTGGGATACATAATCTGGCTCACCGCCATGGCACCCAAAAAAAAGACAGGTTCAGCGTCCAAGACAAGATCTTCCACTTCGTCCTCCAAAATCACCCTAGCCAAAGTCAAAGGTGAAAATTTTTATCGAAATGCGAAACAGGCGGCACGCCTCAAGATGCTCAATGGCGGCAAGCCCGTACGAGACAAGGACGGAAAGATCATCCAAGCCGCCGCTTTCCAGAAGGGCGAAGATGAAACAAAGCCGGGAAGAGTGCAGCCCGACAGGCGGTGGTTTGGTGCGCCCGGGTTTTTTCATTGTACATTCTTGCACTCAATTGTCTTGACAGGAAATACGAGGGTTATATCTCAAACTGCCCTGGACCACTTTCGTACAAGTCTTTCGTCAAAAAAAGATGATCCATATTCTGTCTTGTTGCGGCGGAACAAACTTCCTATGGCTCTATTAGACGATGCCGCTAATCCTAATTTGCGGAAGGTATGTAGATCGAAGGTTGTTCATCTGTTGTCGCTCATACACCCTTCAGAGATCACACATAGTGGAAACGGAACCATTCAAAGATACCTTTGGACCGAAGGCACAGAGGAAGCGACCGAGGATCGATGCGGGCAACTTTGAAGAGCTCAGTAAGATTGGTGCTGCGGCAGTGGACGAAGCAGCAGTGGGAAGTGGAACTGTTATAGGTGTGGCGCATCTTTGTTGCCTTTCATTTTTCTGAATTTCTTATTTTAGAACCGCTGGCATCCTCCATTGCGGAGGTGCAGACGCATGCAGACTACAATGAGCCTATCTACGCAAAAGGAACCTCACGGAGAATATACGGAGAATTGTACAAGGTTATCGATTCTTCAGACGTTATTCTACATATCCTCGACGCACGGGACCCTATGGGTACGTTGTGCGAATCTGTACTAGAATTCATCAAGAAGGAGAAAGCCCATAAACAAGTCGTTCTGATCCTAAACAAGTGCGATTTGGTGCCCAATTGGGTCACAGTACGTGCGTTTTTACATCTTTTCCGGAACCATCTCATCCGCTTTTAGGCTCGGTACATTCAACACCTCACTCCTCGATATCCTACCATCGCCTTTCACGCCTCCCCTAACCATTCCTTCGGCAAAGGCTCCCTCATTCAGCTTCTCCGCCAATTCTCCCAACTGCACTCTGACAAGAAGCAGATATCCGTCGGTTTCATCGGCTACCCGAATGTAGGCAAAAGTAGCGTCATCAACACCCTCAAAAGCGGCAAAGTATGCAGAGTTGCACCTGTTCCAGGTGAAACCAAAGTCTGGCAATACATTACGCTTACGCGAAGGATTTACTTGATCGATTGTCCTGGAATTGTGCCAACGTCTGCACATGATAGCCAGACGTCTACCGTTTTGAAGGGCGTTGTGCGTGTAGAGGCTTTGGCGACACCGTCAGAGCACATTCCGGCTTTGATGGAGAGGGTGAAGCCTTTATATCTCTCCAGGACATATGGTGTCCCCCTCCCCAACGAGGAAGACCCGAAGCAATCCTGGGAACCAGAGGTTTTCCTAGACAAACTGGCTCGTATGAAGGGAAGACTTTTGAAGCAGGGAGAACCTGATCTGGATTCTGTCGCTAAAATTGTTTTGAGTGATTGGGTGCGGGGCAGGATACCGTTCTTTGTTCCTCCTCCTGAACGCTCGGAGGAGCTGAACAAGGCGGAAGCAAAGAAGAGGAAGGGTAAAGGCAAGGCCGTAGAGGCAGAGGACGGCGTTGTTCCTGGGGTGAAGCAGAATTTGGGTTCGATCATGCAGAAGAATTCATTCTTGGCAGAAGACGTCATGGTTCTTGGGCCAGAGGATGTAAGTGAGGATGGTGTAGAAACTGTTGATGAAGGCAGCGAAAATGCAGAGGAGGAGCCGAAGGGCGAAGCTGAAGAAGAGGATGATCTTACCTGGGATGATGTCTTTGAAGGTATCAAGGAATCCTCAGAGGATGAAACAGAACCTGAAGGTGAGGTTTTATGCGCAATGTCTTTCCTGGGTGCTAAGGTTCTACCAGTTCCAGCATCTGTACAAAATAAAGAGCCTCCTATGCCCAAGAAGGAGACCCGCATGAAGACAAATAAAGTATGCGTACATCGCTCTCCCATGGGTTTCAATACTTATTGTTTGCTTTGCAGCACAAGGCCACGAATTTCTATTCAAATGCGAATGTCAAAAATAAAAACCGTGAAAAGGCCGCGCTGCTCCGGTCCCTGCCTGTTGGCAAGAAGGCTTCTGTCAATCGTCGAAGATGACATTAACCAGGCTTCTACATAGTGCATATCCACTAGATCTATCTCTAGAGACCTAGTGGTACTCGTAGACGGTACCATCATCACTATCATCATCATCATATTACGCGGCATGGTCTGCCAGAGAAATGGCCGTAGCGTACAGTACAAATTACTAGCTAGGAAATCTGCCAGGTGTTGGTGTAGCCTGGCAGGCCGCCGCGGAACTCGTACCTGTATGCAAAGGTTGTGTGTCTGCCCTGCAACACGTGTCCATTGAATAATGATCGGACTCCACACTCCGGAACTTGGCAGTCAACCACGACGACGACGACGACGACGCACCATGCTCCAATCCAACTGTTCACTGGCTTCGCGCTGTGTAAAGACACGCAGCATCAACAGAATCGTGGTTTCCCGACTACACAAAGCTACCTCCAGACCTGCATTGTCAATAGGCCCTCGTCAACAGGCTCCGCCTACCCCTCTACCCACCAGGACAGCTTCTTGGCGTAGTTTTGCTACAGGTCTGCCAAATCCATGTTGTAAAAGATGGACGTGTTACTCACCGGACCTCGCAGAAACCAACTCTACTTCACGGAAACCTCACTTTGATAAGATTCTGGTCGCGAACAGGTGTGATGGGTCAATTTATGACGGAAGGCTCGACTCATCTTTTGATACAGAGGTGAAATAGCTTGTCGCGTAATTCGTACAGCAAAGAAGCTCGGAATCAAGACCGTTGCGGTGTACAGCGATGTGGACCAGAACTCCTTGCATGTGCAGATGGTACATTTCTGTTATGTCTCTGCTTCGTAAAGCGTGTTTCAAGCCACCTTGCAGGCCGATGAAGCTTATTGTATAGGTCCAGCTCCTTCGGCCGAAAGCTATGTATGTGTGAAATTGGTCATGATTTCTTATTCTCATAGCTTTCGTAGCTGCGAATGGACAAGATCATTGACGTCTGCCATCGTAGTGGTGCCCAGGTACTGTATTGATATTTCATCTACTATCGTTTTATGAATTTTGTCCTTTATTGAGTAGGCGGTTCATCCCGGGTGAATACGATGAGTTGGATATGGATCTTGAGCTAACAGGCCGTCGTAGATATGGTTTTCAGAGCGAAAATGCATCCTTTGCTGAACGCCTGGATCAAGAAGGGATTATATTCATTGGGCCTCCCTCTAGTGCCATCATCAGTATGGGCTCGAAAAGGTTCGTCTTTCAAAATGAACCGGTCTGGTCTGTACGAGGACGAAATGACAGTCACGAAGCCGCATGCTTTTGTTGATTGGCTTGCTTCTTAACGTCTTCATTAAGGGCATAAACTAAGCGAAAAATACCCTCTTCATGATTGTCTTTTTTCGTTTGTGAACAGCTTCCGGTTGACTCAAAAGGTTACATTTACTTACCGTTATCATTTAGTGAATCAAAGCATATCATGACCGGTATGCGGTTCCCTCTGTGCTGGTTCAAACTCAAACTCGAGTCTTGGTGCAGCTGCGGGAGTGCCTTGTGTGCCTGGATATCATGGAAAGAACCAAGATCCCGAGTTCCTGTATGAACAGGCGAAACATATTGGATTTCCTGTTCTCATTAAGGCCATCCATGGTGGCGGTGGCAAGGGCATGCGTACTGTGACAAACCCCTCTGCCGAAGTGTTCTACGAAGCATTGTCTTCTGCGAAGAGAGAATCTTTGAAGGCTTTTGGAAATGACGTAGTGCTCATCGAAAGATATATCGAGAGACCACGGCATGTGGAAGTTCAAGTGTTTGCTGATACACATGGAGGCGCCGTCAGTCTTTGGGAACGAGACTGTTCTGTCCAGCGGAGAAATCAGAAGATCATCGAGGAGGTGATTATGTTTGATTCATTACATATATCTCGTATTCAACCACATTTGCAGGCACCCGCGCCTGGCTTGTCCCCAAAGTTACGCGCGGATCTTGGTGAGAGGGCAGTGGCAGCTGCGCGCGCTGTTCATTATGTTGGGGCCGGGACTGTCGAGTTCATCTTTGACAATGACACACTGGATTTTTATTTCATGGAAATGTGCGGTACATGTCTATCGCTTCTGTGAAGTCTTACGGCCTTAAATACAGGAACACTCGTCTTCAGGTTGAACACCCTGTAACTGAAATGGTAACTGGGCTCGATTTGGTTGAATGGCAACTTGAGGTAGGCCACGTTTTCTCCTTTCCGTCATCGTTAACGCACCCTGAGTCAGGTCGCTGCTGGAAATCCACTTCCTCTTGACCAATCTTCAATTCCACTCGTTGGTCATGCATTTGAGGCCCGAATATACGCAGAGAATCCACGTAATCAATTTCTTCCTGATTCTGGGCCTCTGCTCTATCTTTCTACTCCGACACCTACACATGTTTTCGCTGAGTCTTATGCGCCCCATTCGGAGTTCAGTTCTCCCATTAACATAACTCCATCGCTTCGACTGGAGCAGGGCTTTGTTCAAGGATCACAGATTGGCGTGTTCTATGATCCTATGATTGCTAAGCTTATCAGTCACGGTAGGGACCGTACCGAAGCTCTACGAATTCTACGAAAGGCATTGGACGAATATCATGTTGTCGGTGTGTCAACCAACGTGGAATTTTTGAGAATCCTTGCCGGAAATCAAGCCTTCATAGATCAGGAATTAGAAACGGGGTTTATTCCGGTATGGTTTTTCGCCATAATCATGGCGTTGAATTTTAGCTCCATTTTAACCAGAGACATTTCAACGAACTCTTTCCGCCAATCGCAGAACCTTCCGCAGAAACACTAGCGCTGGCAGCCCTTTATGTCGCTCTTCGTGATCATCCCATTGCAAATGCTCCTTCGGGTCCGACACCATGGACCACTCTGCCCTCTCGTCGTTTCGGCGGAGATACGTACGAGCGGCTCATCACTTTACAAGGCGATTCTGAAAAAAGCGAACCTGTAAGCGTATCGGTGAAATCAACGACACCAGGGCGCTTCGATATACTCCTCCGCACTGGCTCCGCCTCTGGCACCGAATTTTTGTCTGTGCCTGCTCAGCTACTTTCTCCAACAAAGCTCTCTGTGACTCTAAATTCAACAAATTGTAAAGCTACCGTTGTTTCACAACCGCCGCCGGGGGGCGTACCGGCTTCGTCTTCTCACAACACTGTGGAGCGCTTGCATGTCTTCAGTGACGGCTCGAAGACGACCCTGATATTGCCGTCGCCTAAATGGCTTCTTGACCTTGGCGGTGACGTGCTTCCTGCAGCCAAGGGGGCATTAAAGTCCCCAATGCCAAGTTTAGTTGTTGAAATTAAGGTCAAAGTCGGCGATCGCGTTGAGAAGGGACAGGCTGTCGTGATTTTGGAAAGCATGAAGACGGAAACGGTGATGAGGACTGATGTTGCTGGGATCGTCAAGATGGTGAGTTGTAATAATGGTGAAATGGTTGAAGAGGGCAGGGAATTGGTAGGTGTTGAAGAAGAGATGGTCACTGCATAGTTACTTGGGAGTATTTTTGTTTTTAGGATGGAGATATTTCCGCTGAGATCCCTAGATATGTGTTGTAAGACGTACGGATGAGTGCCGGTCGAGCTGCGGCTGACGTCGACATCCTTCCGATGCTTTGTACCTTTTTTCCTGCACCGTCCTACCGACTTTCTGGCAGCCTTTACATAGATCATATTTTCAAGATGCCTTTGGTCTTCCCTTGAATGTTGCGTAAACTGGTTTTACCGACATTGTACTGCCTCCAGCCCTGCTGGCGGTATTTCGTTCCGGCTGCTGCGGACTTTGTTGGCGGCCTGATAAGTTTTTTTTTGATCAATATCCACTGCTCCCTCGTTGTCCCACGCTGATCCACGTTTTCTTAGTAAGATAACGACCGATTCAGCGATGGTCGTACGATCGACTGATTCAATCACTCACTTTGGGAGGATACCGATAGCCGTTGCTTACCTTTTTCCATAGCCTTCGGGCTGCTCACTGTGTGTCAGTGTGTGATCTGTCTTCTAGTGTCTTCGGGAAGACAAAGTTCATAGCGAATGTGTTGTTTGGCAAAGGTTTTTGACATTGGGCCAAAAGGGCTTCTAACCTGATCCGCTGAATTCGACGGGCAAGAAAGAATTTTGTCTTGATGTCCTTCGACACTGATTATTGGATTATCGACAGGGTTGCCGCCTACCAGCATGTTACGAAGGTGATCTATGATCAACTACGCGCAAAAGAAACGCTGATACGAGATACCATCGAACGTTTCTTTGACCGTGCGCTGTTGTCGTCGCCTCAGTAATCAGCAGGGCTCGAAGTCTAGCTTGGCCTTCTTGAGATGCTCTTCGAGATGCTACATTTCCACGGACTTTTGTTTCTGCCGTCTCTAATAAGCTCATGCTCACCGCACGGCTTCCCCCGTTTATGCGTCAAGGTCTAACGGACTAAGTCAAAGATGCCGACGCTAACGGTGCACTTATCCCTACTGACGTCTAATCGCGCTTAAATTCCCAATTCAAGTCATGAAATTGCCCTTTTCGCGGGTGAGCTTGGGTTAGCCGATTTATTTCTGATATTAACTTCGGACATGTAGAAACAATCTTTGTGATTGGATCAGATCTGAGCAATCGGCGTGCTGTTGTCTCCTCTCCTCCTTCAGCGGCAGACTTAGCAAAGCGATCGCGATGCTACGCAACTTACTTGATCGCAGAATCGTTCGTTCAGCAGTGCTCATAACTACAGGACCGTACAAATTGGCGATCGCTGCGAGTTAGTGTGTGCACCACCCATCCGTGGACTACAAGTTTCAACATCAGCGACATGTCTGACGAATGCAGCACGTCATCCTCACTTGTTGACTCAAGTGACTTTTCCACGCCCGAATTGTCTCCACCCGCCTCGGACTCTGAATCATCGAACCATGGCGCCCTCTTTTCTACCCTCTCATCGTCTGATGAGACTCCCGATGTCATAACTGATATTACCGTCATTATCGGCTCAAACACCAAGTCTCCTATAGCCTTAGGTTTTCCTATGGACAACCAGTCCTCTCCAGAGAAATTTTGCGCTGGGAAGAATGGCCGGCCCAGAACTCCTCCTCACAGACCAGCTCCTTTACTTCTTGTAGGCTCTCCGCCTCCCTCTCCTACATATCTTCCCCCTCAGAAGTTGCAAAAGCCCATACGTGACGAGTCTTCGAACTTTAACGATTCGACACCATCTTCATACACTTTCTTTCCACGACCCGGCGGCCTGCTTCGTTGGCGGTCATGGTCTAGGTATGTACCCACAAAACCATCCTCCCTGTCTCGTCGTTCTTCGTTACCCAGTATGCCCTCGGCTTCCATATTCCCTATGGACCAAAATAACGACATCCAAACTCGTGCGAACGAGAGGACTGTCAAGTTCGAGTCTCCCTTTCATGAAGAGAATGTGAGAGACCATATGGTTGTCCATTCGTGTATCGTCTCCTAATCAACTGCCAGGCTCGTCGCTCCCGCCGTCGGCGTAACCGTTCACCCCATCCAAATAGAAGGGCCGGCACGGATGCTCTCGTATCTCTTGTCTGGAGCGGCGAATTTCCATCTGTTTCTGCGAACGCAAAGTCAAGCATGGGCGATACATTCTTCTATTCTTCTGTGGGTTTCCCCCCTACATCCCTCAAAAATGGATTGAAATCAAGGAGTTTCTCCGGGGACCAAGCGGATGATTGGGATGGTGTTGCAGCGGACGAAGACGTCCCGCTTGTCTCTCCACCGATTGCTGCCCCTCTCTTATCATCACAACGTCGAAGCGACCCTCCCAAATTTCCTTGTAGGTGCTGGACCCTAGTGATGGTCATAGCAGACGATAAAATTTCAGACGAGGAGTTAGTGGACGAATTGGAGAGAATGAGGACTATGGAGAATGTGTGGCAGTGGCAGTGGGGAAAGAACGTCGCGACACCTTCCACGGCAACAACTATCTCTACTGCTGATCCAGAGATGCCTCTAGTCGATGTCTCGCACGATGAGCGTGTTACACTCAAACCCCCCCTGTCTTGTTTGTCCGACCCAGTTCTCAGCGCAGTCTGGCAAACTACTCGACAGGCATTGCTCATTTGCAGGGAATTCGTTCGTACCGAGCGGCATTATCTATTGGCTATTCGTAGCCTTTCATCCGGTGATACGCTCACCAAACCTCCGGCTCTGATGCTCGCCTATCTGCCGGCTCTCATCGAAGCTAGCGAAGACCTACTGGAGAGACTAGAAGTCAATCCGAGCGTACCAGGCGTCGCTAATGCTTTCTTGCTCTGTGGAGACAAACTGGACGCCGCGTTGGTTGCATGGTGCGGTGTCGTCGGGGGATTTTTCGTTAGTGCTGACGAAGGAGTAGTAAAGCGTGAGCGTGCGATCAGTTCTACGACGCCGAGAGTGGATGAAAACGCGGCCAACACTACGATCAAACGTCGAGTGAACTCGTGGGGCAAAAGGATCAATTCTATCAAAGCTCTTGGAAACAGCGCTCCTTCCACCCTTTCCCAGGAGTCACACAAGCTGCCCCAAAACAACCGGGAACAGTGTTGGCCCTCTGTTCGAGACTTGGCCATTTTACCTACTCAGCGTATCATGCGATACACTTTGCTATTTAAAGGTGTGTTTTGTCGGCCATTCGTTGAGGGGTTACCGAGGACTAACGTTCGCTAAAAGATCTTTATTCCCATGCCCCCACTGGCAGTTCCTCTCGCGATGGTATAGAAAAGGCAATGAACGCAGCCATTTCTCTTGCTCGGAAATGTGACAGGGCTCAAGGAAACGCCGCGTTCCTGCACAAGCCCACGAAAAACACATGAGCTGGCCGGATACCCAGTGTGCCGAATTTATTTATTTCCTATCTATCAAGGTATTTTGTCTAGAGCCTCGGAGATTGGGTTTCATTTGATTGCTTCACTATATGATATCGATGTAAACACTCGCACTAATAGTTAGTAGATGTATACAGTCAATTTACAATAGACACTCCCTTGCTATCATGTCGGTGGCCGGATGGGAAAGAAGTTCTGCATCCGGAGCTTGTGTTGATAAGTCACTGGGTTTCTACACTCACCATCAGATTGTTCTGAGACAAGTACCAGTAAATGCAGGAATCTAGTGGCGCTCGTGACTGTCGATATGGGGGAAATAACCACCAAGATGTGCTAAGCTCTTCCGTTATTGCCTGGCATATCACATTACCTCGTTGCTTTCTCAGCCTGCCTTGAAATTGGAAAGTACAGCACCCGATGTGTAAGCGGGACAGGTGCTTCCACCGCTCGTTCTCATGATAAATAGTCAGTGGTGCCGGTAGTCGTCTGACTGATCCCCAGAACAAGGTCATGTCTGCACACTTTCAAGAACCTGAGGCAACAAAGGTTGAACACGGTACTAATAACGGCCTAACAAACGGAGATGGGAACGATAAGTTCACGCTCGGAAAGTTCTGTATCGACGAGGCGCGGCCAATCAAGGTCATTGTAATTGGAGCTGGTTACAGTGGTGTGTCTTGATATTGTATCGACCGCTCCACAGCCTATAACAGTGTTTCCAGGTATCATCGCTGGAATCAGGCGAGTGCTATTACATCAGACCAAATTTTCAACGGAGACTGACTTGCACACTCAATTTAGATACCTTCAACGAGTGCCTAATATGACCTTGACTATATACGAAGCTGAACAAAGCGTCGGTGGAACCTGGCTCGTAAACAAATATCCTGTAAGATGAAATCATCTTATGCAATGCACGTGAACTAGATGTCCTAGGGATTGAAATGCGATATACCCTCACATTGTGTGAGTGCAGTTTGGAGCAGCCTCGCCTAACATGTCTTTCTAATTTGCCTGATTCAGTATCAACTCACATTCGAGGAGAATGTACGCACCGTCCTCCTCCCTCTGCTCAATCAAACTGGAGTTAAAGCCGCACTAGCCCAACTGGTCGTCCTTCTACGCCTCCGGTCCTGAAATTCGTGCTTACCTTGAAGCCGTCGTCGACAAATACAAGCTGATGCCATATATCAGAACCCAACATCGAATGACCAAAGCACGATACTCCGAGCCAGATGGTAAATGGATCATTACTATTCGACGGCCCGTAGAACCAAACTCGAACGAAACGGCCACACAATTTGAAGAATTCGAGGACATTTGCGATGTCTTGTTCACCGGAATGGGAGATCTTAGCAGATGGAACTGGCCGGAAATCCCAGGCCTGAAAGAATTCCAAGGCAAAGTGATCCATAGCGCACGGTGGGAGACAGGAGAAGGCGGTCCTGATGCTGCTTGGGAAGACACGGTTCATAGTTGGGGAAATAAAAGAGTCGGTGTTATTGGCGTTGTGAGTGCCACGCCTTTGGAGGCGATCCTAATGACATCAATATTGCTCTCCAAGGGATCTTCGGCGATACAGATCGTTCCTGCCATTCAGCCAAAGGTGGCCCGAGTGGTGAACTATGTTCGCGGAAAGACGTGGATATCCTCCATTTTTGTACAGGAGCCCCTCATCAAATTGTCCGGGAGAAAAGACGCGGAGAATTGTGAGCACGCAGACTTATGCTCAAATCATTGTGACTCGATAAGCAAATGTCAACAGATGATTTCACTGAAGAAGACAAACAGAGATTCCAAGATCCTGTTTACTACAAGAAATTTAGGCGAGAACTTGAATCAGGGTTGAACGTACGTACACCTAAGTGATATGCTATGCAAACCAAGACGAGGTGGACATAGGATGCTCACGCCGCCACGATTCGGGGCAATCCCCTTCAAGACATAGCGAAGGCGGCATTCAAAGAAATCATGGTCCAACGATTGGCGAAGAAGCCATGGATTGCAGATCATAGTAGGTCTTCGAATATGTCTTGCATGAATTGATTCACAGAACGGCCTCCAGTAATTCCGGACTTCGGAGTCGCGTGTCGACGGCTGACACCAGGACCTGGATACTTGGAAGCGCTCTGTGAAGACAACGTACGTCATTCTACTCCGTGGAACGCGTAAATATGAAAACCATGATTTACCAGGTCGACTTCGTTCCTTCACCTATCAAGACAATTACACCAACAGGCATCGAAACCGAGGATGGAGATCACAAAGAACTGGATGTCATTGTATGTGCCACAGGATTCGATACATCTTGGCGCCTTCCCTTCATTGGGCGAAATGGGACCAACCTTTCTGACAAGTTCGCTTCTCAACCAAAATCATACCTCTCCATAGCCATCGACGGATTCCCAAACTGGTTCCAAGCTTTAGGTCCAAACAGTGGCGTTGGGGCTGGCTCGCTTTTACTGTTGATGGAACGACAGGTTGATTATGCTGTTGCAGCAACCTTGAAATTACAGAGAGAAAGGTTGAAGAGCATTGAGGTTAAATCCGAGGCCGTAGATGACTTTGATGAGTATTTGATGGTCAGTGTCTATTTCGAAGTACGATTGGTGCGCCTCACTATAATTTTGACTCCCCAGAGCTATTTCCCTACAGTAAGTGCCAATTAGTCGCCATGAGATGCTAGTAGAATCCGCAGACCGTATTCGGAGAAAAATGCAGATCATGGTATAAAGCTGGGAAAGAGGAGGGACGCGTCTCTGCGCTGTGGCCAGGTAAGAATATTGGGATAAACCACTTAAAGTTTTGCTGACCCGTGTAAGGCTCTCCTTTACATGCGGCTATGGCCCTGAAGCATCCTCGCTGGGAAGACTTCAACTATGAACGCTTAGACTCGCGAATACGAAACCGGCTTCACTGGTTTGGAGATGGCAATACCGTCGCAGATAAGACGCCAGGAAGTGACAGTGAGTTTCGATACGGTGTTATGAACATGATGGCTTGACAGATCATTTGTAGAAACCTGGTACCTCAGCGACGATGAAATAGACTATCCGCCCAGTAAGTATACAGGTAGAGTCATCAGAGTAGTTAACTGATGACCTCCCGATGTTTAGTACCCATCTAGAATTTGGAATGCCTTTTTCGCACACATTAGTTACAAACTTCAGGAGGAAGGAAGACCTACTAGATCATAACAGCCAACAATATAGCTGAACTAGCACTGAAATTCATAATGATTCGCCCTTTGGGCTTCAAGCCTGTGACATTAGCTATGACAAGCTACCATTTAAGAGACGCCCCACTGCCTTTTTCTTCGCCCGCAAGCTCGTATCCAACCCATATGACCTCAGAGCAGCTGCTGCAAGCAATAGAGTGGTGTCCGACTTCCATTTCCTTGTCTGTTATTGTGTAGACACCGCCACAGCGACATTTGTAGGTCCACGCCGAATGGTCAGAGTCACTCATCGACTGCTCCTCATCAAAATCATCCAACGAAACAACTTGTGCTGGTCGTGGTCCTCCCGTGGTTCGTTTCTGAAGGATCTCCACATCATAGCTGTGCCGTAAAACGGGATCCGATAGGATGAAGTATGCCTCCTGGATCACCGTAAAATCTACATGGACCTGGCCTTCCTTGCGAAGGGTACTCTTGTCTGGGTGGTGCTGAAGGAGCATTTTGCGGTAAGCAGCTTTTATTTCTGGGAGCGATGCGGACCGAGATATAGAGAGAACTTGATAAAAATTCTGCATCCTTCGAGGACTCCAGCTTGATGGTGAGATGCCGAGGTCAATTGAATCTCCGACTTGAATCTCCAGCCTCGCGATCCTGTCACTGATGTTCGATCAACGTTTCAAATCTTCAATTTCAAACAGAGCCAAAATTTTCTGCAATAATACTTACTGCAACTTGCAGAAATTCTTTGGTATTCGTGGACTTTGTGGAATTCTGTCGCGTCTTATGCATAAACACCCAAAGGGTGGATGTACCAGCATCGGACATTTCAAGTTCGTTATCATGATACTCATCTTGATTCCTGGATCATATCTAAATCAATGTAATGCTGTGTTGCCACTGGCAAAAGCCCTCTTTCGTCGCTCTCCCTCGCCTGCCTTCGCCCTTGCTGTATTCTCCCAGCAACGCAACGCAATTTCGCCATGGCGGGCTATGTTAACAACACTTATGACGACAGACTCACCAATGTTCTCAAATATGCAGGATCATGGTTTAATACAGGATCGTACAATGCTAGTAACGTTGGTGAGACTGGGACATTATCCTCTTCAAAGGACCCAGCAGCCAATGTAACCTTCACCTTTCCTGGTGAGCCCCTCTTACATATCCCTTGCGACCTAATATTTATTCTTTTTTTTTTTCAGTGCCAGCCAATGCATTCTATTACTACGGTATCCGTCGCTGCTGCGGTGGATTGTATGCAATATGTATCGACTGCGATCCGAACAATCCCAACTTTGAGCTCATCGACGCTCTCAATAGAAGCGACGACGGTAAAAATCCTCCAGTGAGTATGAACACCCATCCACCTGCATTTTTATCATTCTCACCATACGGTAGGTCATCTTATATACTAAATCCTTTGATCAGCTAGGTATACACGAGATAATCTTAACTAACCAGAACGACACACGGTTCGGGGGAAACTCGCAGATAACGCTGGACCGTTTTGAGCTCCAGGTTCAAAATAACAACGCTCAGCTTCCTTCAGAATCCTCAGCGTCGACATCACAAACGACCTCCTCCATCGCTGCGACCTCATCTACTGCCCCGGCGGCATCCCAGTCGGCTACAACCTCATCTTCCACTTCCAAACTCCCCATAGCTGCTATCATCGGAGGAGTTGCGGGAAGCATCGCGGCTATCTCACTGTGCATAGCCATATGGTATTTTATGCGGCGTCGTCATCGCACTCAGCCAGGACGCAATGACCCGATCATGAGCTTTTATACCAGTTCCCACCAATCTTCCCCTTTCATTCTGCCTTACACAAAATCGCATACTCCCACAGCGTATACCGTATCAGACACCACCTCTGGTTCCACCTCACGGGAAGTAAACAGAGCTTCAGTAGCTGCTGGACCATCAGCCTTGAATGCATCGTCGGGACGTGCACACACTCCTTCATCACGTATGGCCTCCAGTGAACGTCGTCCCCGACGGGCAACTGATGCGGGTCGAATAGACGTTGATGATGATGGCGACAGTATCGCAACGCTACCGCCTGAGTATGAGGAAGTTTTCAGCAGCGAACGCCTTAATGGCGAACAACCTGTCACTGGAGTGCGGAGGCGCGGGTCGTCTAGGCGTGAGACGCGAAGGCCTCAGTCTGAGAGCGAACCTTCCAGAGTTATTGGGCAACCTTCATCACAGCCAATCAAGTTCTGATGCATGTTGTTGGGTTGGACTTCATCGCGGATGCGTCCATTTTAATGACAACCCTTGCTTCATTGTTCTGGATTGTCCACTTCTATGACGTCTATTTTAGTTGCACATGAATCCTGTAGACGCCATAACCCTTGCACTTTCAGAGACTGTTGTTTTTCGATTTTTTTATAGGTAGTCCAACATTCCGACCATTTTGACATAGCATACCCAGAATGTCATCGAACTATCAAATTAAATTGTAAGATCCTACGATTTGGTTGCCATCGGCGCAATCCTAAGTTTACTTCAGTCGAGCTTAGCTAACAGTCTCACCCAGGTTCGGTCCGAGTCTGCCTAATACAACCCTCAGGCCTTTCGATTTTGGAAGCTATCTATCTAAACCAAAAATCGATTTCTCGTCGCCATGTTTCTACCCCGTTTTTGTTACCCATTGTCACTGACAACAGGAGGCTTCAAAAATTCCCTAGGCACACCAACGTTTCTAAATACAATGATCAGTTGTTTACCACAGGATCGTACGACGCCGCTAATGTCGTGAAACTGCAAATATTCTGATAGCCAATCTAACATTCACTTTTTCTGGTGAGCTCTTCATGAATATACTTTCTAGCATAATATTCTGACCTTCATTTTAACGGTAGGACTCAATGCGTTCTGATATCACGGTACCCCTCGTTGCTGCGGACAAGGACACGCCACATGTCTCGACTTCTTCCCCAATAATTCAAGCTTCGAGTTCATTGACGCTGTGGACACGTCGGATAATGGAGAAAACCCGCCGGTTAGTCCTTTTTTTTTTTTTACATCTGCGTTGTTATCCTGAGAATCCTGATCCTACTCGATCAGAGCCCGTAATGCCAACAACAGCTAGCGCTTCAATATTATCCTCTACGTCAACGCTCAAATTAACCTTAGCCATCCTTCCACTGCCTTAACGCCTGCGTCAGCATCCGCGGGAGTTATTTCAGCGTCTGACTCGGAGCCGTCCACGAGATATCTACGTCGGTCCCGAGGCCATCCGGGCCAGCTGCAGGTCCTTCTTTGGACTCCCCAATAGGTGCCATTATAGGCGGAGTTATGGGAGGCATGGCGACCATTTCATTGTGCCTAATTATATGGATTTTGATGCGTCGCCGCTGGCATATGCATAATCGAACTGGGCCAGAATATCAGTATACGCATACCAATGGCCATGGCAACATGTCCAGCTTCCACGGTTACTGCTACATCTGTGTTGCGGTTCAGTTCCGGTGGACGTCCACTACGACGGGAAACTGATGCAGGTCGAGAATGACGAAGATCTCGCAACGCTTTCGCCCGGTGTGAGATATCCAGCGGTGAGCGTATGACCGGCGCTCGTGAGAGGGCTGACTCAGACAATGCCTAGATCTGAGGCTCAGAGGACTCCATCGGGTGAAGGCACCAAACCTGCAAGTACCCTTCGTTAGCACTCATCCAAGGTCCGAAACTTCTGATGTTTCGATACAGTGTGGGACTCCTTCATTTGCGGGCTTGATTTAATGGGACTACTGTTTGTTCTTTATTCATAATCGCAGTTCACACATCTTGGCTATCTATACCCACAGATCTGGAGGTTAGCGTTTGATAATATCTCCAAGCGACAGGTCCGACACCAGCCGCTGATCATGAGTCTCTCGGCCCCTTTGACTACAGAAACATAGAGAAACACCAGAACTGCGAGAATGTCAATACCCCTTCCATGGCCTTTAATGCGGTCCTGTACCAAGTCTTGCCGTACTTGGTGCGTGGAACGTTTGCGAATTGCATGTCATAGGCTGCCGACGGGCCTTAAAACTTGAAGATTGGTCGGACACTCTCCATATTGTCACAGAAAGATATATATTGTACTTATCAATAGATCAAGAGGTTGAACGTTGGTAGGTACAAAGGATTCTGGAAAGTCTGATGACGCAGGACATAAATAAAGGGTAGAAAGATGAGCATCGAAATCCGAGGAAAGCGAAGAGCATTGATCGAAAGGGTCTAGGATTAGGCCGATTAGGGCTCAAGGAGTGTGGGTGTAAGAAGCGTGGATTTTAAGGAGCGTTGGATTCAAAAAATATGCGATGATGAAGGAATTGATAATGTTATAACGAACATGGATGGGGCAACGCGGGCGATAGAGGAGATCTGATGACCCCCGCTTCATCTTGCAACTTGGTGGCAAACATCAGACAATCACAGAAAATGCATATGTGACAAAACTCACGTCTAAAGAAACGGACGGAATGAAGGTTGGGGGCGGAGGTGGGAATTAGATTCTCGCTCTGGGAAGAATAATCGGTACCAAAAGCATGGAAGAGGAATGAAGGAGAAAGGTTCCGTATAGAGCACGAGGTTTCATTGGAGGAAGTCCCTCAGCCATGCGGTCTTGGCGGGGGCCGCAGACACTGGCAGCGGTGAAGGCAACCGTAGCGCAGAATGCGAGTACGGACAAAGACTTGATTGCAGCTGCTGGGGTTGTAGAAAGTAGGGGGGGGATTTAAGAAACCTTGAACTTCGTCTGACTGCTGCTCTCTTTTTTCGGAGATTGTTCTACATAACGGAGTGATATCGAAAAACAATCGGTAGACTGCAAAAGATGACGATCGGTAGCCATGCAAGAGATGCGGTGAGAGGCAGCACTAGCAGAATTATTCAAGGACAGAGTGAAATCCAATCTAAAAGACTGTTAGGTGGAAAGAAGCAAAGGTGCCACATCCCACTTCAGTTCCAAGAGCAAGGCGTTAACAATATCCAGAGCGACTTGAAAGGCCTCCAGCGGTACTGAGCATGATTTTCTGGACGGACACGTGGTCGTCTTGACTCACAGGCAAGGGCGGGAAGGCGGGCTCAATTCAATTCAAAGCGGGCGCTTTAATTTCCTCCAACGGTAACGATTCTTGGCTTGGCAGGGATCAGTCAGCGCTGAGTACTTGATAGTCGAGCTAGGGTCGTGGCGGTTATGGCCGAGGGGCATATTGTTGTCCGTTAAAATGATGCGCTTGACTCTCTCACGATCCTTCTTCTTTCGACGGCAGCAGCAGAGTCACAAGTCGAAGCGAGCTGCCTAATTGCTTCAGCAAGTCTTCTCACGTTGATTATCGGGTCTCGTCATTCTAACGTCTTCCTTCATTACATAGGCTCGGTGTCTGTTGGTATCTCAGTGTCACTCAATTATCCATGATACCCGTGCCTCCCGAACTTGTGGATTCCATCTTCGGCAAACTAGACAATGCACTTGATCGTCTAACTCTATCTTCCTGCACCCGTGTCTGCCAGGCATGGCACCGCCTTGCTCTGCCCCACTTGTTCTCCGCCATTACAATTCAGTACAGTGCTTCACCAGAACGTCGAGATAACCCCTTCCTTCCAAAATCCGTATGTGGGCTGCACCTGCTATTGGAAAAATACGTCTTCCTGCGTCCTTGCGTGCAGAAAATCCACGTGCGTGTGAAAAGCACCGCGCTGCGTGATGAAAGAATGATCCAGTGGGATGAGCCTGCCTCTGTCAGCGTCTTCCATGCCATGACGAACCTGAGGCACATCGTTATCAACGGTAGTCATTTCTTCGCCTGGCATACCATGCCAATTTCTATTCGCCAAGCAATGTACAATTCATTCCGGCTTCCTACTGTGACTTGCTTGACATTGGAAGCCATGCATATCGCCGACACCAAGTTTACAGAGTTCTTCTCCGTTATCGGTGACTGTGTCGCGTTGGAGACCCTGGATATCTCATTTGTCGATTTCCCTTCGCGACCCCAGTTTTTCCGGCGCGGCGCTACTACGCCTTCTCATCGTCGGCCTCAGTTTCGCTCGCTCTCAATGATCGTGTTCCCCATGGTCATGCAAGTTCTATTAGAATTCCTCCTTGATCATACAGATCTGAGAAAGCTGGAGTCACTGTGCCTAAAATCCAGCAAGTTAGATTCTTGGGCTCTTCGTACAGTTTTCGACACGACTGTAGACCGTTTGGATTATTTGGATATCGGGTTTATCGATTTTTCAGGCGGGTATTCAGTTTTCAATCTTTATATATATATGGTTCAACTGACCCACAACATAGAGGGTCTAATACAAGACATGGATCTATCCCGCAATTTACGGTCTCTTGCATTCGCCCTTTCACTTCCAGCAGAGCAGCAATGCGTTAACCAATTGGAGGCTTTGGAGACGTTATTCGCTCGGATACTGAATTCTAGCGACAGGCGCATTGAGGAAATTACCCTCAAATTTTATTCTTCCCGCCGTGATCTCATGGATTTCTCCAACACATTATGGCGTTCCTTAGCGGAAGCGTTGAGGATGACCGCCATAAGTTTGGCAGCTACTCTGAAGGAAGTCAATTTGATATTCGTGATATGGAGCTCTCAGATACCGGACGAGTTCATTCAAGCAGCCAATATGTGCTTTCAATATCTACATGAACGACAGCTGCTTCATGTGAATTGCCTTACTTAATACCTTCATCTCTGTAAGGAAGTTAACTTTCAGCTTCCCCATGTGTTTCCATCCAAAAATAAATTAAAACGAACTACTGTCCTATGCTGGCCTTTCTGCTTTCCAGCCAGCCTTCCCAATCTCTGATCACCTTGTCCAAAGAACCTCTCTCCGTCTTTTCCGTGTCCCTCCCTGAAACCTCGCACTTATCCATAGTCAAACCATATACACCCTCGCCGAGAGCACGCTTCATGAACGGCACAAAAATATTAAAGTAAACATCACCGACTGCCTCAGATATTTTCGCCTCTTGTCCCTGAAGCCCAACGACGTTTTTAACATAACGCAGAAGCATCTCGCCAGCCTCGGACAAAAAATCCTCCAGCTTGGCTAGAAGGGCTAACGCAATAGACGTCGGCGCTAGCAAGCGAAGACTATTGAGAGTGGACAATAGTGCGTTCGTATACTGCGCCAACGGTGGGTACGACACCAATATATGAGGAGGTACATGTGCTGGAGCCGTCGAGGAGGACTGGGAAGACGAGGGTGGTGAAGCAACGACCATTGGCGACACGAGCCATTCAGAAGGTGGAACCATATTTTTCGTATGCGTTGATGTGGCGGATACTGGCCGGCCGGTTTTCTGTTTAAACAAAGCCACCCATTTAGACGTCGCCGCTTGGAGTTCCTCGGTGACAGAGCTCAAGACAGCACCCGAGAACAAGTCCCCAAGAACACCTCGGAAATCGAAGCCGACACGAGCGAACGCCGTTGCACAATACGTCAGTTGTGTTAGTAGGGAGGATAGGGAGGGTAGGGGTATACGAGGTAAAGTGATTCGAAGGAGGGGAAGCAGATGTTTATGGAGAGAATGGGACGCATACGTGACCAATAGGGAATGTAATGACGGAGCTGGAGCTGGAGCTGGAGCTGGAGAAGTCGCGGTGGACGTTGGCCGTTCAAGAAATATTGTCGAATATTGCGTGATAATATCATGGACGCATTCCCTCCATATGTCGATGTATTTTTTGAGGTACCGCGTCAAGTCCTCTTTATCCTTTTCCCTGACTTCGGCAGAGCTCAAGCCGACGAGACGTTGAATGTCACGATTGCAACCCTCCAACGAGGCCTTCAAACACGCCTCTCTACCCCCGAGGAACGCTAATGCGATTTGTTCCTCTGACTCAACTCCATCTTCCGGATCAAAAACATCCATTTTCCGAAGAAAATTAACTGCTTTCCATAGCGCGGGTAGTTTCCGGTTCGGTTCGTGCAATGTAGAGAGCAGCGAGAAAAGCATTTGTGTTATGGAATTGCGGACTTCGGATACTATGCAAGTGAGAATCGACGGAGGTGAACTGGAGGACGAGTATAAGGAGTGTGTGTGGGACGCAAGAGACAGCGCCTCGGCAAAGTACCCGTTACGCACGCAGGTGTCAATGAGGACGGGGATATCGAGTAGATCACGTATTTTGTCATGCTGCTCTAGCACGACGCGCGCCTTGTTCCGTTCGGCGAGAACTGTGTCCGTGCTGTCGCGCCAATCAGACGCGCTCTCCTCTAAAGCTGGCAAGCTTTCGTTGACCAGAGCATCGAGAGACGAAGAGAGGGCATCCAAGGACTCGGAAAGTGAGGATGTGGTATTGTGTAAGGAGAGAAAGGTCGGGTAAGAAGTATGGGTCAAGGAAGTGAGGCTTGAGGTAAGGTGATGCGACTGAGTCTGCAACAACGTGGGCTCTGCCAGTAGACTCGGCAAGGAAAGCGTCGTCAAATACGACAAGTATGCCTGCGACGACGCAGATGTGAGCTCTGGGGCTCCCAATAACTCGGTCAACGTGGTCTGTGTTCCGTCGAGGTCCTCGCTCGTCTGCTGCACTGATTCCTCCATTCTTGTCGTCGTCACTGTCCGGCAGCCATTCTAAGCACATCCAACAGCGAAAACGAGGGGCTACTCACCGTCGACCTATGCCATGATCGTCGTGGAAGCAAATATGGTGTTGTTGACAACTGTTGAACGACGACAACAGCTTATTCCTCAACAATCATCATACTTCCGTGTTCGACATGGCATTGATTGAGGTACGCCTTTCGGTGCTATATTTGCTGTAATGGACGCTGACGACGCCTGCAGGTTATCGCCAACGATCGTCTTGGACGCAAAGGTCAGCCGTCACCGCTCAACGTACCCTGTATCATTTCATCTGACTGCGAACTGCAGTTCGCGTCAAGTGTAGCCCCGATGACACCGTTGGGGACCTCAAAAAACTAATTGCTGCTCAAACCGGAACTGATCACACCAAGATCCAGCTGAAGAAATGGTGCAGCCAATCCGCCTCTGCATCCCCGACCCGACTCACTTTTCGAGCAGGTACACCATCTACAAGGACCACATTACCCTCTCTGACTACGAAATTCACGACGGAATGAGCTTGGAGATGTACTGAACGTCGATAAGATTGCTGAATGTGTATTATGGCGTGTACATGTATTATAAACATTTCTTCGGAACTGATTGGAAAGTAAGTAAGTTTTAGAAATGCGATCTCCAGACGATCCGCTCTTATCCCTATTGCAGCATACAGCCATGCTGTCATCGCTGAATGCCGTTCAATTCTTCACTCCCACTTCGCTCGGGCATTCTAATTTCTGAGTCACCGAGCTCTATTCCTATCTCATCGCGATGTCTACATTGAGTTCTCGAGGGAAGAGAATGCAATGCATGCAGGCATCCACATGCGTTTGCGGCGTTGTGAGCAATGGAACTCGCCTTTTCAGGTAGTCGTGCCTTTGGCCGTGAGTGTATGCTTGGAATGAAAGGAACGAAAGGCTCTAATCGATCGTTATCGGTGCAGGACATCATTGCGTCAAGCTCTACTTCAAGATACATTGTTAACTCTGGTTCTGTTCTTGACTTGATCCTCTTTACCCCAGATACTGTCTACAAGTCTCGTTCTCAGCAACGCTTGGCTATTCATCTTGCTGCGATCTCAAGTCTCCTCACGTCTATGTACTTATGAATACGTTCTTATCCGTACTGTGGCCGGCCAGGTGGTGGGGTAATGATTTCGTCTGTCAACGTTCGTCCAACTGATTGAGCTATCATCGGTCCAGTATACACCTTGCCTTAGTTGTCTTGCGGTGTTCAACCACCCGTCTGGGAATGTTTTGGATACTACCCGAAATGTGACAGTCCCTTCACCTTTCGGAAGTAACTCTTCCATAAGTCAATGATGCCTTGGTCCTTGCCTACCTACAAAGTATGTATTGTCTGTCAATGATACAAAGATCATTCGGCAGCGCGTACTTCCTTTTCTGCATGTAGGCCTGGAACGCTCCACATTGAGAACGGATTGCCAGCCGCGAAATATGTTCAGTGCTTTTCCTTGAACCGTCGGCAGACATAGAATCGCCAGCTGTTGATTTCTCCCGGCGGCCCCCTTCCTCTCATCGCTCCAACGCCACCCAATTGTCGTGGAAAATAATGTCAGGTTGTTGAAACGGCGTCTGTGCGTGGCCTTCTAGTCCGAGTTCTAGTCTCTGAGCACTGCGGGGCACCGAGTCCGTCGGGCGCACAAACTGCACAGAGCTCGCAGGGACGCCGAGACGAGCGGTTATCGAACCCGCGCAAAGCTGTATTTTCTCGTCTTCGATTTCCGGCCAGTCATCGGTGACTCGGGTGCAGACAAATTCTCTCCATTAACGAGAGTGGACTCCCACTGGTGCTCGTGAGTTTATCTTTCGGATACGACCAACAGCATCCTTAGGCACACTTCTCTTGTCAAAGATAATGATCGTGTCTTTTTTTGCTGTCGCCCTGTATGAAGGACCAGTCGAGTGTGGAATTTGATACAGGCACTGAGGCACTTGGGGCTTTCTTGCGCCACGTTTATTCGGTTCACGGAGGAAGGCATGATCGCAGTGGAATTCTGTACCATGCTCTCAGGTCTAGCTTTGAGTTTGGAGCCGCATCGCTGGTGCTCAGTTTCTCACAAAGTGCAGTCTGCTCCGAGTTCTTCGCTCACACCCCAAAATGTGATAAAGACCCCTAGGTATACAGGGAACAATGATAGGGTATTCGTCCTCCGGTAAGGAACTTGGAACCAATACACGGATATGATTCCCCGGCGTAGAGGTTCTAGAGGCGGTGGCGCACTATTCCTCTGTGCACTCGCAGAGAGAAATACCTTAGTTATTAGCTGTGGAAGTAGTGAACAGTATGGAATGGTGGAAGCTATGGCCTCTGTCGAAGTTTGGTCACTGCAATAGTATCTTAGCGAATGTGGCGGACCGCGGTGGGGCCGCACTTTGTCACAGCATGGGATGATACACGTCGAGTCAGCGTATTCAAATGTCAAAAGGTTTAGATGGATGCACACGTCTATCTAAGGAAGAGAAAGGGTAATGAAAGGTACGAACGACATGATGCTAGACAACTACCGGGACCGACCTGGAATTTCAGATCCAGGGTGGGCTGACTTTGCAAAGTTTCCATCCGTCAGAACCCGTCTGTGAGAAACATGTTGACAACGACGACAGACTGGTTGCGAGGCCCGGGTGCATTGTACCTTTTCGAGGACAGATGCGCTGACAAGAAGGACAAATAATAGTTGGATAAAGGTCGACCCCAAGATTCCAAGTGGAACGCACAGAATGCGCCACATCCGTACGAACGGCTCTGGAAAAGAGCATAAAGGAGGGTATGACTACTCTTGGGAGGAGGAACCTCAAGTTAAAGTCTGACACAATCGTCAGAGGAAGGCCTCAATTACGTCGGGAGTCGGGAGTCGTGATAAACAGCACAAGGACGAGATGACCCCAAGGCAATGGGAGTTTTAGACTATCCGGCAAAGTATCGCGGGATCCCTGTTATTCCTCGTAGTCGTTCCTTGGAATTACTACTTATCGATCCATCTAGAGTTCGGTGGCAGAACTCGGTGGCAGACGGGGCTAGTCCGGAAAATGAGAATAGAAATCCATTGGTATGCGTCCGACGGGGTGGGACAGGAAATACAGGGACAAAGCTGTGCATGACGGGAAAATCATGATGGCTCTGAACGGATGGAGATATCATCTGAGCTGGACGGAGAATGTAGAAACCTCGGCGCGCCGTCGTTATGACATTCCAATTCGGGATGATTTAAGACGGAATGATATGTTTTAGGGTTCAGTAGCCAATCAGGAAAAGGCGGTAATTAGAGAAGCCACCTTTTTTTTTTTTTTCCGGGCGCGTGTTTTCTGAGTAGAATATGCGGTTCATTAAGGTTCGTCCCAAGTTAGAGGCTCGGCACTGGTCGAGGATGTCGTAAACAGCGGCAAGGATGAAAAACGTAAGATCCGTGTTTTCAGAGGCTCTACATTTGGGGGGAAAGGGGTGGGGATGCTGGATAGACAGTGGCAAATGGATTGCTCGCTTGAATGCCCTCGTCGCCCACTTGGAGTCAGCGCGTGGCCGGAGATTGGGTTCGTAGGATAGATCGCCGTGGCACGTCCAAAAGGGGAATATTCGACCCAGATATTTGGATAGTTCACACGATCGAAAACGATCCATATCTATTCATAGGCTGATTTCGGCGGCGTCTTCTTCCTTTTGTTGTTTCACGGTCATAATCTCAATTCGGTACTTGTCTTGCGCTGACAAGGAGTCGTTCACTTTCTATATAAGCGGCCTCTTCCCTGTGTCGTGCCTTCCGCCTCTGCCTACAGCTCCCTAGGCCGACCTTGGCTTGCCCTACGATTTGAACTAACTACCTTCTTGCTTCACACCTGACTTACCGACATGGGTATGGGTTTTGCCTTTCTCCCCACCTTAAATATCTTCACCGGTGCTCAGCAACGAGTGAGTCGTCTCCTCATATTTTTCAATATTCCTCTCGTTAACTATATTTCGTGTTAGGTTCTTGAACACGACATCTCCTTCGATATCGTCCTTGCCAACTCTCCTAGGTCTTCACGTACCGCTCCTTCTCCGTGCATGTCGCGTCCACCCAAGTCTCGCATGCCACTGGAAATCGTCATGACTATTATGGAGATGGCGTTCTACGATGCGGCCTTCGACATCGACTATTCATTGCTCAAGGCCTGTTCCCTCGTCTGCAGGGAGTGGTCTGCAGCCGCTCAGAAGCTGCTCTTCCATAACGTTACTCTGCGCACCCAGTCGGCTTGTCTCTCCTTCCAGAACGCAGTCGACCCCATCACGGAACAAGGTCGTATGCTTGGCCAAGCAGTTGTACGGATGCGAGTCATACTGGATCACAACCAGCCTTTTGGTATCGCCGAGCAGTCATTTGCTCAGGCGGTTGTCCTCTGCCCGAACCTGTTCGAGCTAAACTTGGCTCTGTATGGTTCTGTGTCACCTGGCAAGGATATCATTGGTTCTCCGGACTCCCTTCGCATGCGACGCCCTGCCCCTTCCTTTGACGAGAGCACCCTATCCCTTCTCCAATGCGGTCCTGCCCTCTCCGCCCTCCAGTTCTCTAACTGGTCCGAAAATAGCCATTCCATTTCCCAGTTGCTCACCGTGTGGCCATCGCTCAAGTCTCTGGCTCTTAGTGGCAATGCCCCAGAGCTACCCTCTGACACCCTCCCCCCTTTCCCCTGCGCCCTCCGCGAGCTCCACATGAACTTCCAAACCTTTCCGTCACTAGATTTCATGGATTGGCTACTACATCATTCTGTCGGCAGTCTCCGTGTGCTTGGCATCGCTCAAGAACCGTCCATGCAGTTCCTCGAGTATTTCGTCGACACCCACGGAAACACTCTGGAATCTGTCTCGCTTCCTGTCTGTTGGCAAGACACGGCACGTTCCTTGCATCGTTGCCCGCATTTACGGCAGGTCAGTGTGGAACGACCACTCGTATCACCCCTGCTCTTCAAAAAGGTCTCAGAACGCCTGGAGCACATCGCGTTCGGGCTTAACAAGATGACTGCGCTGCAATCAGTCATTGAGACTGTCAAGACTCAGAAGTCCCTCAAGGCTGTCACGGTTCATCTTTGGGGTGGTGAACAGCACCCGCTCTTCCCATCCCTGCAGATGGCCTGCGCCTTCCGGGGTCTTGAGCTTCGAATAACGCCGGATATTAGGGTGTTCCGTACATGGATGGTACGCTTAGTCCTATGGAAAACGCCACATTTTCTAATCTCTTTTTCTCTTTTAGCGAGGTGACCCAATCGAACAGCAGACTTATCCCCGCGGGAAAACACTTTCCAATCTATATGTTATGCGCGCACAATCTTCTTTCCATGCCTCCGGTCCACATGTATCATTCCACTAAGGATGGCATATTGCCTTGACCGTGTCACGACGCCCTTTCATGACCATAACGATACATCATCACTTGTACATCACCTGCATCATCATCTTTTAAAAGTATCGAGTCACGCATCATTGTCCTCTAACCATCCTTTGATATCCTGTTATTGGCTCACCTCCACTGCATTCATCATTCAATAATTCTCAAAAGGCATGATGTTTGCGTACATATATATACATGGGAGGATTCTACGATCTCGCTCAATCAGCTTAGTATATTATGAATTTAGTTATTCGCTGTTACCCTTATAGCCAGTGTTAGGTACTAAGTAGAGATATCATTCAATACATTAAAGTCATCCCCGTTAGCTGAAGGGGGATGGTAAATGGCGTGCCAAGGCAAGCGCGCCTTCTGATTGGCCAGGATGGAAGTTACGGGTGGCTGGATTATAAGTCATAGAGCTTGATTCCCTTTCATTTTGAGCGGAACAGTACTAGCACTGTCGGTGCTTCGGTAGATTTAAATTTAATATACTTATGAGTTTGAAGACTTGTAAATCGGCAGTCGATGTTAATTGCCACAGTTCACAAATAAAGCCAAATACCGACCACTTGGAATTGGTGCTGCTTTTGTACTTAGGAGTCAACGTTCACGATGGCGTCGTCGTCGTCGCTATCCTCGGTGGTGTCAAACCTTGTGAGGGCATCTATGGGCACCTCTGTGTCGTCTACAGTAACTGACGAAGACTTGGACCGTCATGTTGCCGAACTGTTGATTAAAGATGCCAAAAAGAGGGCTGAACGGTACGGCCAACAAGGTATCCGCGCCTACCTTTCCAGCCAACTGTGAGTCGTAAGAACCTTGTTCGGGGACTTCAATATTGACATAAAATTACAGTTCAGATAGTAATGCCCCAAAGACTAACAAGCGATTCCTGTCCTCTATCATTCGAAGCACGGACGAACATAACAAGACCATTCTAAAAGCGCAGGCTCTTTCCGCTCAGGAGATACAGAGGGAGAAGGAGGAGTTACAGAGGAAGCAACGCCGTGCGCGTGCGGAGGAGGCGGTTGCTGCCCGACGGACTAATATGGATGGTCGGAAGTCTGCTGAGAATGAGAGCTGGGACAGATGGGATGGACGGACGGGTGATAGAAAGAGGAAGCACAGGGAATGGGAGACATGGAATGGGGACGATTTGGATGAGGACAGCCGGCGACGACGACGGCGGCGGTCGTCATCGCGCGACGAGCATCGTGGCAGACGGCACCATTCTGCCAGTTGGGACGAGCCGAGACGTAAGTCACGGCGTAGTCGCAGTCGAAGCTCCAGCGATCAGGACGACTACGACTCTAGGCATACGACTCGTTCCCATCGATCCCGCCGTTCAACAAGACACACGTCACGCCGTTCCCGAAGCAGGTCGTGGTCTTCTGATGGTCATAGACGCAGACATACTCGCAGACGCCATCATTCCAAGTCGAGACGTCTGCGCAGCTCTCATTCTCGTACCTGCAGTCCCTCGTCAATAAGGGAAGATTCTAGGCAGAAACAATCCCGGTCTTCGTCGCGGTCAGCGCGCGCGCGCGACCAATCACCCTCTGATGCCCGTAACTGGTTTGATTCGCGTAACCTGTCCAAGGAAGCTGAACTACGGCAGAAGCTCAAAGCCTCGAAGGATAAAACACCTTCGATTGCTGCCAAGTTACAAGAGAGCGAAAGTCGCCGTAGATCCCTAACACCACCTTTCAAGCGACGGAAGACTCGCTCTCCGTCTGTGGAGTCGACATTGTCTTCGCCTATGTCGATATCTCCTTCTGCTTCGCCTGCGCCGGAGCCCCCGGTGCAGCTGCCGTCAAAGATGGACAAGTATTTCGAGGAGTCGTATGATCCTCGCATGGATGTCACGCCTCTTAGTGCACCCAAAGTCCCTGCTACGGGGCTCATTGATAATGCTGAGTTTGAGGGTTGGGACGCGATGCTTGAGCTCATCCGAGTGAGAAGGGAGGACAAAGAAGAGAAAAAGAGACTGGAGCGGATGGGCTTAAGCAAGGAGCAGATCAAAAAGGAGCTATCTTCCTCAAAGGCTGTAGGCGACAGGTGGAATTCCGGCAGTACGAGCGCCATGGACATTGAATACAAGAAACGGGGAACGGTAAGAGAGTGGGATCTGGGGAAAGATACCATGTAGAGTAAAGCATCTTCACTTTGATTATCAGTCTGTAACATTAATATCGAGCACGCATATATCTGTTTATCATCGCAGTCATGAATACATAGAGGCATTATTTTTTAAACAAAGTTGGCAGATCTATGTGAGATATTCTGGAGAATCTATTGCTGAGAAACCACCACCTGGACTACCGCCATCTCCTCCGCAGTTAATTGTTCTACCAGCGCAGAAAAATTGGACGTGTTCCTCGAAGCGCATTCGCGCAGGAAAGTAGTGAGATGTTCCTAAAATATATTCAGTACAGCGCTGCCGAGAGAAACCATTAATAAAGAGACCCACCTGCATATCCATCTGTGATATAGGATCAGTCTTCAGATCTTCATCGTCATTATCCTCGAATATATCATCATTGTCGAATGCCAATCCCTTGGGTCCGATGAGATCTGACAGATATTGCAGCTCGGCGTCCCTTTTGCTGCCATCCCCTTGATCACTCCAGTCCTCGTCCTATTTTTGGGTTAGACCGCTTTCCGGGACTCTGCAAACGACATAGCACATACACCATCGTCATCGTCGGCATCTGGTAGATTGCTGCCAGAGGTCCCAAATGTAGCTGATTCACTGCTAGATTGGAGATCGTGAATCATGATTTTGAGCGCTTTGACGGGGAAGGCGATGGACGTGAACTCCGTGGGCGCTGCAGAAGGTGACGAGTCAGCAAAATTTACACTGGAAGTCGTCCCGATGGAGGAAGGGAGAATGCGCGCACTCGTCCTTGTACGTGACCGTGTCATGATGACTGTGTCATTGAAAACAAGATGAACATCAGCACAACGGACCGACGACTGAAGACACTAACCATTTCTCGTCTCCGGCTTGACGATAAGGTCGCCCTTTACCATGAGGTTCTGAAGCGTCGGCCTTTCACAGACGAAAAGTTGCGAGAGAGCCATGGTGCTGATCCGTGAGGGCCAGAAACCTTGAAACGTTTCCGCATTTTCGCACCATGTATGAATCAGGACCTCCAAACCCGGCCGGCCTTGGGCGTTTGTCGATTCAAGCAAAGACAGTACCGTATCCCGCTGATGTGTTATCAGGAACGCGAACGGGATGACGAGACTCTGTCCATGCTATTCAGCTTGATTCAAAGCGGACTTGGAATTGAGAACGTACCTGGATAAATGACGCCGTTTTGGCTGTATCCATACGGTTCACCATAGCCTGGAGGAGGTCAGGTAGCACCGGAAGGACAGCATCGCCTGCTCTCCGGAGCAAATGAATAATCAGATCACCAATGGTCAGGCCGGCAGATTCATCCTCGCCCTGTAGCACTTTGGCAACAAGCGTTAATACATAATCTAACCCCGAGCGCCCATTATTGTCGGACCATGACAATAATTGTTTACAGTCTTTCCGGACAATGAGCGTCAGGCAAATGATTCCATTCTACCGTAAAGATGCTATTAGAATATGAGACATGCGCCATATGGAGAAGACCCACTTGTAACACATCCTGGTCATCCGCCTCGCCAAGGCATTTGAATAGGTGAGGAGCAAGAAGAGCGAAGAAGCCATCTCCGAGTCCATTTTTCGAACCATTGATGAGACTGTTGACAAGGTCAATGGCCGAACTGGTGATCCACGACTCGTCAATAGACGCAGATGAAATAGAGTTACATAACGAAGGCAGCGCTTGCTTTACGACCACTTCATAAATGGCAGGCGCAGAAGCTGACGCTAATGACTCCAGAATATCAGGAAAGATCGACAGAAGGATAGGATCTATGAAAAGGGCCCGATTGAGATCAGTTTTTAATCAATCAGCTTTTGCCGAACCTTTGTTATTCTTAGACCACACTTCCAGAATGGCTAGAACTAGGGAGTCTGCCAACTCTGGGGTGATCCATTTACCTTCACCTACGCCGACAATGACAGATAAAGTTTCAAGAACGAGGGAGAGTGTGTCCTCGGATGTGTGCAGTAGGAACGGACCCATATCTTTGGCAATACGGGACATGAAAGGCGTCAATGCCGCATCATCCGTGCCATTACAGAAGCTACGCAGTAGAATATTAAATTAACACTAACAAGGTCACTTCGATGATAAAAAAAACCTACTTGTGGACGGCTCTCACCGCTGATATCTTAACAGGGATGCTACCTTCATTAGACTCAATCACCTGTACAGCCGCATCGATATATTGACCGGCCAACTGTATGGGCAACAGCTTGGCATATTGACTTGCAAAGACGAAACCACGTCCTTGCAAAAAGGGGAATTCTATGAAACAAGATAAGCAATAAAGTCATGGGGGGGGACTAATGCCACGAACCAGAAAGACCTAGAATTGAGGGAATCACATCCCGGAGTAAATTCTCGATGTCGATGGGTTTGGGCCGCTCCGAGTCTTCTTCATCTTCAAGACAGTCTTGTATAGACTCGGATTGTGACCCAATAGCAGCTAGACCAGCCTCTAGTGGCCGCCACCAGTCTTCTTTGCCGCCATTGCGTGCCTGCCCCGACGATTGTATTACTTGCTGTATAACAGTGTGGAAAGTTGAGATAGTTTGAACAGTGGCTCTGTCAATGATTGCCTGAAAATAGTGCTGCATCAGCGCTAGCGGTTACGTTGTAGAAAATGGCTACCCACTCCAAGCAGATCAAATCCGGCAACCCGGACGCTGTAGTCTTGAGTTTCGTCATCCTCTTGTGCGACAAATGTATTAGCATTGGATCCCCAAGTGTCTTCCTGACGTACAATACATATTGAGATAACATAACAGACAAGGTCTCCGGTACTTACATCTTCGTCGGTCATTTGTGCGTAATTGAAGACTGCGGCAATTAAAGCAGTTGAGTGTTCATGTGTAAACCACTGTTTGGCCTTTCCCCCTCGTATAACGGTAGCTACAAAATCCAGGATAGAACTACAAAGGTGAGACAGATGTATCGGGTCATCTTCAGAAGACGGAGGAATGGGGTCGCTGGATACGAGGTAGTATCGATCGAATGTTGGATATAGCAGGTTAAGATGAACGATAGAGGCGTTAAGAAGATCGTCAAAGTACGGCACCAGAGCTTTAGGAAAACTCGTGTGGATAGTTTCGAGTGTCTAAGAAAGAGTTAATATTCGAAAGAAAAAACTTCTGGTACCAAGCATCACCTTGAATATTTGGATACGAATAGCGAGACCGTCCCAGTTGGAGCTATTGGCGTCGTGCTGAGGATCCATGTTCAAAAGAACTTTGAATGCCTCAAGCCACACAGGAAGGACCGAAGCAATGGCTTCTTTTACGGCCTGAGGATATTGATCCTTCACCATAAATAATGATATCGTACACTGGCGAAACACTGAAATCGTCCTAGCGCGCGTCAAAGGCAAATGTTGCTTTGTGTAAATGATATTAGAGGCCGCGCCACTGATTGTCGCCATGAAGTACCTACCTCAGTGGCACCCAAGATGGAGAGCAAGGAGGGCAGCAAGTCTCGTAAAACGGGCAGTATTTGATCCTCCGTCAAATCTGCCTTGATAAACTCGGTAAAGACTTGCATCGCTCCATGAACAGAATCTGGAGACCCCGATGATAGCAGGCTGATCAGGTCATTCAAGAGCTCGGGATATTCATCAGGCCAATCGGAGTTGGCAATGGACGTCAGAGTGTGAGCCTAATTGGATTGTCTTTCAATCACACCGTCATCAGAGCAGGCGTAGACGCACACAAAGTGACCGAATTTTTCGATTAGGGTCTGAAAGGCCTCGGAATACAGCTTGTCGCACTCGGCTTTTGATCTGGTGAGTCCTTGATCTCAGTCACTGCAACGCGCAAAAACGAGTAAGTGACACACCTCCGGGGGAGGTGGCAACCCCTTAAATCCTTGGAAAAACGGCGACCACCTCTCTCTTACATACTTCCTCAAGACGATGCTCGCAGAGTGCTTGGACCAGCAAGAAAGCCATCAAGACGCGTCGAAAAACAAGAAAAACACGGCCAACTTATCTGGCGTAGCGGCATATCGACATTTGGAGAGGCGATGAGCTCTGATAAAGCCAGGGATGTCCCTGTCGAGAAGTGCCAACGGGTCAGATGTCAGATTTTCACGTCAAATCGATAAAAACGCGCCTGGCTCTGAGAAATACTCGATGAGCTTGAGCTCTGCAGACATCCGCTCGTTGGCATTCGGGCTCAGCGTCGCAGCAAGGCATTCGGAAATCTGGGTAGTGGAGGCCATGGTACAAAAAGCGTCAGGGCGCGACCAGGAATGCGAACAAATAGATATAAAGAGCGCGTTCACGTGTGGGAGTAATATTATATGGCTTGTGCGTCAATCTGCACAAGTCCTATACTAACAGGAATAAAATTAAACAATCCACCCGAACGTGAACAAATGAGGGATTTACGGTAGGGATACGTATACTATACTAATCTAGAAATGGTCCCAAAGGCATAATATTATGACCACAACGTTCGCCGGAATTAAGTGTCCCAAGGAAATGAGCGCATACACACTACCTCCTTTACATTATTAGGCACTCCTTGTCTTTCCCCTTGCCAGAGGTACCAATGTCGCTCGGGTCAAAGGCTCCGCGATTTAAAACGGAGCCAGGACCTCCGGGCTGAGGCATCGGTGAAGTCGTAGGGCCCTTTAACCGTTGTGACGCTCGCTTATCACCAAGTTCTGCCGCTTTCTTGTACCAAGTTACAGCCCTACGATGATTATACGTCAGAAGGTAACAACAGGTAGTCAGAAAGGGATACGTACTGTGACATATCGGCTTGTGTCCCTATTCCCACTTCAGTAAAGTATCCGACGGCATACATAGCTTTAGCGAGGCCGGCTTCTGCTGCCTTTTGGGCCCACAAAAATGCTTCTGTGTCTGACTGGGGTAACACACCGGGTGATCCGACAAGATACCAAGCGGTTAGCGCAAAACAAGCGTCCCGATGATTTTGTTGTGCAGCAATGTTCTGAGAGACGCATCAGAAAGATGATGATTAAGCGAAGGGAAAGTACGCACATAATAATGAATAGATAATGCAGGATCACTCGGGCAACCGTTTTTCCCATACTCGTAGCATTCACCTAGTCGATAAGCGCTCGGCGCATAGCCGAGCTCAGCAGCTTGTGCCAGAAGCTCGATAGAGTATTCATAATCCACGAAGACCACATTGTCGATTCCCCGCTCGTGTAGCAAAGCCAACTCATGCAAGGCATGAGGGAACTCGGCCGTAGCCTGTTCCGCACTCCTCTTTAGCCATTTGACCCCTTCCTTTGGACTTCGCGACAAGCCGAGCTCCCCGTTGAGCTCTGCAATACCCAACCGATACATCGCACCAGGATGTAATGCTGCTGCAGCTTTCCGGAAAAAAGTGACTGCCTTTGCTGACTCCCGTCTGCATCCCCAGCCGTTTTCGCAGCATGTCCCGGCACGGTAAGCCGCATCTGCATGGCCATGCTTCGCAGCCAGAACAAATAGAGGATATGCTCGATCGAAATCTTGCCTCCCCTTCGTCGTCCCAATGCCATTTGCGAAGCAGTCTGCCAAGAAATATTGTGAAGGTGAATGACCACGATCCGCGAGGCGTTTTAGCAAGCCAGTCGCTTCCTTTACGAGGTCTTCACGTTTTTCCATCGCCTTCTCCACCTGTAGAAGGTTTCCTGGTATATTTTCTGGTATCGGCAGGGATTTGGAGGCGTCTATCATGAAAACGGCAAATTCGAATTGGAGATCTGGATCCTGGGTCTTCTTGGCGTTTGCGCGGTATAGTTCAAGGGTACGTTCATGGGATAGCAAGGCGGCTTGGTTGCCGGGGCGAAGATGTGAATGGTCGAGAAGGGGTCCTGGAGGAGGAGAGGAGGCACGAATGGACTGCGTCGCAATGGACCGTGGAGCATATTGGTCAGGCATATATGTCGAAGGAGGATGACTGTTATTATTATCGCCATTGTAGAAATCGTCCAGATCCATGTCCTGGTCCTGTGGAGGAGTATACTCGTGTTCATCATCAACGTCGGCAAACTCTTGCACCTCCCTGTTGGTCTGTGGTATAGGCTGTTGAGAAGTGGCTCTTGACCGTACTGAGCTGTACGGGGAATCGGTTTGACTGTCGGTCTGCAGGGACGGTTGGTCCGGCTGTGTGTACTGCGATGACGGTCGCTGCTGCTCCTGGGTCGAGTACATCGTCGCCAACCGCGGTGAGGGATGGTGGTGGATCCCGGTCAAGGGCGTGATCTGGGTCGTTGGCATCACCCAAATTAGGTCATGTCACTTTGGCACAATCGCTTTGAACAAAATTGAACATAATTTCCGCTTTTCAGTGCAACTCTGATTCACAACCCCTCAATTCTGCACCTAAAATGCTCTACAGCGCATGCCAGCAACGCATTGAAGATAGATGATGATGTGTTCGAATGTTTTCAATTTTGATGAAAGTCTTGACAGCAGTGCCACAACCGCTTTTTGAACTTTTCTTCTCACTCGCACCCGTCAGCTTCGAGAAACAAATTCCATTTCTATCTCACGCCGGAAGATTGGGTTTCTAGAACCACATAGTTCTCCCACCTCGCCCAGCGAAATTTTCTAGAATGATTTTGCCAAGACTTAGTCACCATACTACATATTGGCATGTCTTAACGAGCATTCCCTGAATCCTGACGTTGTCTATAAAGGATCGGTAACGGATACCAACTGACGCCTAGCTACTCGTTACAATCAGTGATATATATACGGTCGTCTTCCAGGAAAGAACTTGAAATACCAATGACTTCGATTAAGAGCTCCAGGCTAGTTGTACCTTAAAAGCTCCAACCATTGGTAACAGTTGATACCGTTACCACGCCAGCTAATGTCAGTTCCGAAAGGGTAGTCTAAACAGCATGCTGTAGCCATTCCCTGGTACAAATGTTGAAAACGACTCAACACAATAACGTACGCAAAGAATACTACAAAGTATGTACATGCATCTCTATATCGAGTATTACTCAAGCGACCATGCTGGGGAAAAGTTCTGCGGGTAGTTTTTATTCACTAGGTATCACTGATAGTCGAATATATCGTAAAGATATCATATTATAATACGGCAACACCGAACTGGCATCGGAATTAGCGATCGAATTGAAATGAACTTCCTTAAATTGTCATACCTCAGCCCTATGAATTGACACTACTGGTGCCCGAGAGCCTTTCTGAACCGTGACCGATGCCCTCCTCGAGAGATATGAGAAGAGAGCTAGGCCCCAAATCGCGGGAAGCAAGCTGAGGAGGTTTCGACTCTGGAGCAGGATCGCGAAAGGGATCTTCAAGGACAGGAACGGGGTCAGAAAAAGGGTCAGAAATGATCGACACCCGAGCATGCGGGGCAAGGATAGCGTCTTGAAACCGATTTCTAACATTATCTCGCGATGTTGGCCTTGGCTCGGAGACCTCAACGCAATGGTTTCCATCATCTTCATATTTAGGAACAGGTTTCCTCCTGACCGCGGTGGGAGAAACCAGACGAGGAGCTGCCATGGGAAGATAAGCTGTAGCAGATTCAGCAGAGCATTCAACGCCGGCGAATCTTTCCGTATTAAGGTCGAATAAACTGCTCGCTATTCTCAAGCGACGTCGTCTGCGAACGAATAAGAATAACGGTAGGGCGACGAGAGTCAGTAAGGCAATTATACCCCCGACAATTCCACCAATCAAACGGTGCGAGTTTGCTGGGGTTCTACAGTAAAAATCTCAGGAAACAGAAAAAGCTCAGAGATGAACACATACTTGTTAGGAAGGTTATTTCCAGCTTCGGGAGGACTGACCATGGTGGTTGTACCTGTGGTTGTGAAGATGCTGAGAGAGGTAGTGGGGCTTCCACTGATCGTGCTGGTGTATGTTTTTGCGTCCGTCGAAATGAAGGTCAACAGCGGAGGCGAGGGTCTATTAGATTATGTCGGCATACAATTTTTTGTTCATAAAAATTATATCTGATACGCACCCTTCAATGGCACTAGTCCCATTCACACTACCGGGTAATGTCTTTATAGAAGTCGAAGACTCGGGACTCGTCAAGATTGAAGTTGTAAGTTGGGAAGAGCTACTAGTATTCGCAGAGAATCCGTCACCTGATACAGTGGACGCCGACGCGATAGCAGGTCGCGTCTGAGAGATGGTGGGTTGTGGAATGGTGGCTGGAGTCACCAGAGGAGATGAAGCCGAAGAGTTATGTGGAGGGCCATCTTGACCTCCGCCACCCTCGTTACTATTTCCACCTCTACCGCTCGCTGATCCATTCTGAGAATTATTCCTATCATATGACCCATGTCTAGGATGAGTCTTCTCGCCGTCGCTGGAGTACCCTCCTGGACTTTCGCTTTCATGCCCTGAGTCGTGGCCATCGTTCCCAGTATTCCGCAGATCTATGCCTGCCGCAACCTCAGATGCTATCCCGTTAGCGCTGATACCGAGAGTGTTGACGTTTGGTAGGTCCTCAACAAGTGGGTAGATGATGGAATCGACAATTCCTCTCGCATTGCCTGAACTCCCTGCATTGTGGCCTGGGACATCGCTGCTAGAATCGCTGGGAGATGTGTGAGGGTCGAGGCCAGATTGATCAATGCCTCCATTTCTCTGCGAACCCTGATTACCCAATGAATCTTTGAGTTTTATATCGCGAGCCGAGTTCTTGTCATCGTTATTATTCTGGACCGGAGGACTTACATTCATCCTGGCACCTAAATCCCCGACACCAGTACTCCCACTACCGATGCGATTGGAATCAAGAGAACCGTAGCCAGAAGTATCGTCGATGTTGTGATCAGGCAACAGGTGCTGACCACCGTTGAATTGTGCACGGTTTTGGGAATCCAACCCAGTACTGTTCTCTTTTCCAGTGGATGGATTAGCGGGCCCACCCACCAACTTTTGAGATATCTCTGACGTTGGTGTCGCATCCGTATGGGTTTCGTTTACCTCCTTCGATATCGACAGCTCCTTGAATCTCATCATCGTCGGCGATATTTTATCCTGCGGTACGTCGCTGGTGGAATCGATATCCATGTTATCTCTGTCTTCTTTGACTCCATCGCTAAACAAAATTCCGGCGGTAGTCAAGTTTCTTTTCTCCGAAACGTTGTGATTAGCACAGAAGTTGAAAGAGCCTCTACCAGAGGGGCTTAGATTACAACTGTCACCATTTGACGGAGAGGAGCCAGCTTTCAACCCCGCCTTTGATGTTAGACTGCTCGCTGCTCCTGTTCGGGAATCCGAATATTAAACGTCGGTATTACTTTCCAAACATTTGAAGCGGACGCACCTAGTTCACCACGTCCATTAACTGTAAGTAAACTGTTCCCAGATGATTCCGACCGCAAGGCGAATGAGTGTATCACTGAGCCACCTGGCATGAGCGGTAGTGCTTTTGAGAATACGAGTAAGGTGCCGAATTAACGTAAAAGCTCACCGCCCCGAGCTTCGAAGTACTCATTTTTCCTCAGGTGCATCTCCAAAGATATAGCGTGGGCCTTTAAGAATGTTGTGACAGGAAGAGAGGTCAAGGAGGAGAGAGAAGTGAATGCGGAATGCGATTCCAGTGCAGATCAGTCTGATAATACGTCTTCATAGACACCATCGTGTGATCGACGCCTCCCGCAGAGATGGGAATATTCTTATGTCTTTGCAATATGCTGCACTACCATAGTTGACAACGAAACAGAGATCAACAGTTGGTGACCCAACTTGAATTCGGACCATCAGACTGGGTTTTTAGCACATTTTCAGCAGGTATGAGTTCTGGACTCCTCTCAAGTAACAGCGAACAAGAAAACAAAGGAACCGGGTTGAAGCAGTCAAGAGATTCGTTGCCAGCAAAATCCGTCGGCCCAAGGCAATAGTAAGAAGCGTATCGAAACACATACACAGGAATAGTAAGGAAGGGCAACAGCGATCATTATGAAATTGTCCATTAAACAGAATTGATTGTCAGTGTTACCAGAGAGTTCCGAAATGAGCATGAGGTGCTGGCTGAGTAGACAATGATGGTTCAACACAAGTGTATAAAAAACCGATTCCCACGCCTCTGCCTCTATAGAGTCGAATAAGTTCGTCGAGCATGCTGTATCTGACGATCGGTGGACCTGTAGCAGCGCTCCGGCAGTCTTCACCAAGCCACAGTTTTCATACAGATCGTCATTTCAAAGATGTATCGTGTCTACCCCCAGTACTAATTGCTACAGATATTCTATGGGGTATAGGATGATATCAAACAAGGATTCAGGTGGAGTATCAAATATCATAACCACGGAGTGAACGAGTTCTACATATAAGAGTAGAGGAGATAATTTACCGTCCCGAATGAAAGAGAGGTGTAAACGTAAGGACAGTCTGTTAATGCGAAAGATATGTCCATTCGCCAATCAATTCCAGAAAGGATTTCGCGAACCCCCAGTATGAGTTGGCTTGAGCCTATCATTTGCAGGATCCGCACGAATGGCATGGGCATATGCCTGTGCATCAGATCGCGGAGGCGGGGGTAGCAAGTCACGATTGCGAGAGTTCCGCGAATTACTAAATGTGCTCGCCGAAAACCTCGTCATATGTTCCTTCTTCACGGGCTGCCGGACTTCTGGCGTTTGTCTTGGCATACCAGTGACCTGTGAGTATATTGAAGGTCCAGAGAGCCGACTCGAGTTGTTTGGGGTACGATGGCCAGCCCTCGATGGATTGCGGCTACGCACTGCCGAAGAAGACGTATTCCGAGAGTCAGCGTAGGTGGGATGTGCGTAGGACCCGATGAGCTTATTAATCTCGTCATGATGTCGTGCCTCTTCAGCGTTACGCAACTGAACAAGCTTGATCGTCTCGCTCTCTGGATCAGAATGCTGGGCCCGATGACTACGCCAGTGACCGAACAGCTTCTCTCCAAACCTGACAAGTCGCCATCGCCAGTTGGAACGACGGTCCAGCTGTTTTGCAGATGCAAATAAAGCAGTCTGTTTAGCTCGTTGCTTGCGGGCTCGACGGCGCCAGCAATAGACGATGACTAGGAATATGAATGCGCATCCCAGTGTCATGAGCAGGATTTGCCACCAGGTCAACTTGTTTGTGGTGGTACTCACGACGGTAGGGTCTGATATCCCCGTGATTGAGGGCACCGGACTACCTGAACTACTAGTCGATGAAGCTACCAGCACAAGGTCTGACAGGCAGACTCCTAGCCCAGAAATAATGCTTGTCGAGCTGGTACAGTTTGCATTTACGCAGGTGCCCAATCGTAGATATTGACCAGAACTAGAACATGACAAACATTCATCTTCATCAGGACCAGAGCATGTGGAGCAGGTCGAATGACATGATACACAGGACGAAGATGTGGTGTCGAAGTACTGGGCCTTGCTGCAGGTAGGGAGACATCGCCCGTTGTTAAGAACGGGACGACTGGAAGAGCATGAGGAACATTGATTGAACGACGATCCCGAGCAAGTGGCACAATCGGGATGACAGGTGAGGCACGAGCCAGAGGATGAGAATGTGCCGAACGGACACGAGCTAACACAGCTGCCATCGGAGGCAAGTAGACTGTTAACGCAGCTCAAACAAAAAGTCGACGATCCTGAACAAGTGGAACAGGTTGAATCACAGCCTATCAAAGAGTTAACGAATTGTATTGTGGATAAATGATTGACTCACTAGTACAGGTAACATTATCCTTCGGAGACACAAAGGTGCCAGTAGGACAGCTGTCGATACATTGGCCATCAGAAAGAAAAGAGCCAGGAATGCAGCCGGTGCATTTCAGCTCGTCAACTGTGGAAGCGGTGGTGAAGTTCTGAATTTCACACGAAGTACATTTAGCGCCGCAGGCTATTGATTTCATTAGCATCAAAAGTAAATTTCAACATAGCACATAACCTGACCATCGCAAACATGCTTGTTGTTATCCGCAATGAGGCTCGTGCCCTCGCAAACCCCGGTGGAGGAGGCAGAAACGCAGCTGCCATTGAACGTATAGGTACCAGAGGCACAAAGCGTACAATCGTTCGACGTCGCGCCAGTACATGTCTGACAAGCGGACGAACACACAGTACAACTCGTCCCGCTGCTGAAACTGCCGTCAGGACACACAGTGCCCGAAGACGTTGTCGACTCAGGTGCATCGCACTTTGTTTTATCGTTCGCATCCTGAGTAAAGCCAGTTTCGCATTTAAGACAGGTACCTGTCGTATCCACACACGAAGAACAACCCAACTGGCAGACTAGGCTCGAAGTCAGAACGTGAATGAACAACAAAAGACACAATTGATACACACGTTTGCAATCACCCGCGGATGTAAGGAAGAATCCAGAAGCACACGCCGCACAGGCAGTCCCATTACTGGCCGTCGTGAAGCCTTCGGTACAGGTGCATACGCCATTAGATCCGCATTCACCATTTATACAATTGCACGACGACGGTGCATTAGACACTTGTGCAACCGAACACCTGCCGGTCCCCGAAATACCCTCATCACATTTCGTACAATCAGACGGACAAGCCTGACAAGTAGAACCAAAAAAGCCTGACGCGCAGGACTCGCAGGACTCGCCCGTAAACCCAGTTGGACAAGTACAGTTTCCCGCAGCAGAGCACACACCTGAACTCGAACAACTTGGAGAACACGTAGATGACTGAAGGTCAGCAAGGGCAAGTGAGCCAGACAGAGGCAATTGCCCAAAGTCTGGCACCGAATCCCAAAACACCACACGATGGTTTCCAACATTAATTACCGCCCACACACTGGACGACAGTGACAGTGATGTTGCGGAGATGGACGTTGTGGCATTGGATGCAGGAGTTGATGGGAGAGCGGTGAACCCCACGGAGCCGGAATAGAGGGATTCAGAGTAAATGGCTATCCCAGACGAGAGGGCTACGTTCAAAGGGAGACTAAGGGACTTGGATGAATTTTCAAAGCCCGGTGAAGGAGACAAAGATGCAGATTTAGAGGTGATTATGTCGTGTAAAAGTTGTGGGTCCGTCGTTGCCGAATATTGGCCAGGAAGTAATAGAAGACTTGTCGGTTCTCCGTCCGCAGACAGTGTGACGCCAACTGGGCGAGAATTAGTGACAGAAAAAGCAGAAAATTCTTTGGGACGCACGAGTAGTGTTGGAAGTGCCCTGCAGACATTGCCCCGCAATACAAACTACAGAAGAGTTGGAAGCCGCGACTAGAGAAATTTTTCAGACATAAAAATCGACTACGACGGAAGACCCACCCACCCACAGACGCGCTACTGAAAAGGAAGAGAAAAATGGGAATAGCCAGCATGGCTTCAGCTAGGTGAAGGTGGCAGTGGATGCAGGAGCAGAAGAAACGATGACGACGCGACGGATCCCAAAAAAAGCGCATGACCCGGCGTCGGGCCTTGTTGTCTTGGGTCTGATTGCCATTGTGTCGCCGATGCTGAGAACAATAACGTTGAAGAATATCGAATTTGAAAAGGTTTTATTGTATTTTATTTGGCTACCAAATGAACGGCACCGTCAGCACACCATCTTGTCCTCGTCCATTTTTCGTTGATATGGTACAGTCTATAAACGGCTTTTTGACATTATAAGTATCTGTGTCTTGCAACTATTGAGCAAGACTCAATCGAGCCGCTATGCAAATTCCAGCATGACTGTTTAATAATCAGAGGAGTACACTATGATATCTGTCGTGGGACCGATACAGAAGTAAATGCCGACGCTGATGAAGTCGTGAACGAGGCTGCGAAACGCTGATAGAATACGGCTGCATTCGAGAGATATATAAGACTTTGCCCTTGTGAAGACGAATATATCGTGACGGCCAAGAAAAGGGAGGCGGCCTGATCAACCACCCCCTCTACCACTTTCTTCCATGTTCAAAAAGCCACTCGGAGGATTCAAGAATTCTGCGCCTATTCGCAGCTCAGATAGACGAAAACTCAAGCAACGCGTCCTAACAGCCTTTTCAGTCCCGCCCGAAGATGGCGACCTGCTCGTTCCCGAGGGCATCTTGACTGCAAAATTCAGTACCCATCTCGGTTTGCCGGGGGTACGTTCATCATTAGTTGTCTCTGCAGGTCTTTACGTAGCCCTAGGTCGCTTACCTGTCGTCAGATGGCGATCCTCTATGGATGACACTTGGCAAAGGATCCGATGAGCTCATTCCGACGATATACACGCTGTGGAAGAAGCCTCAACTGCTACCATTTATCTGCACGCCAGCTGCAGTCATACCAATATTGGTCGGAGGCGCGGATCTGATGATCCCGGGAGGTGTGTTATCACGTCGTCTCCCTGCTATTTCTATATCATTTTGAATGGTAGTGATATATCACAGTTCATCGCTTGCCGAAGGACAGCTAGTCGCTGTGTGTCAGTTCGAGCGGCGGGATAATGTCCCCACGATGTCTGCTCCTCTAGCCATTGGGCGAATGGCGGTGTCTAGTGACCAACTTCAGGAAGGAGGCAAGGAGAAAGGCAAAGCTGCGCTGATCATTCACGCCTGGAAGGATCACCTATGGGACATGGGATCCAAGAGAGATCTTGCAGAACCTATTCCCATCGGAATGTCGAATACGGATATAAAAGAGGAAGATAACGAGCAATCCCCCGAGCCGGAACAATCTGTACCACTTATCGACGGGCCACCACCTTCAGAACCCCACCTGCAAGAAGCGACATATACACGGGAAGAAGTATCTATGCTTCTGCACATGTCGCTTTTGCAAGCCGTCGAAACAACTCTGAAATCTCTACCACCTTCGTCCTTCCCTATACCACTAAGCACCTTCCATACAACCTACATTCTTCCATATCGTCCCGCCTTCCCAGCGCTGGTACTATCTCCATCCACATGTCCGAACGGAGAACCAAATCCCGAAGATGTCACCATCAAGGCCTCGACCCATAAATCGTTCACCGCGTTCCTCAAAGTGGCGGAGAAAGCCTCGCTTCTGGCTACCAAGGCTCCTCAGAAGCACGCTCAGCAGAACGAAGCCGTCGTGACGGCTGTCAATGGAAGTCATCCCTCCGTACAGCAACATAAACCTTTCGTTACCCTTAGAGACCTGGAGCTCAAGGCAGCAAGGAAGGCCCAGCGAGAAGAGGAGGAACAAGAGAGGGAAGCTCTCGCCCACCACGAACTGAATGTCCGCGAACTGTGGAAACCTCATCTGGCCAGTGCTGAATTATTCAAAGTCATGGGCGCGAGGTGAACTTGATATATTTAATGGTTGTCAGACTGGACTAAAGTGTATTGCAGTACGTCAGATCTCTACTCAATCCCCGAGATTCGTGCGTTGCTGAACAACTACATCACGTCGAAGGATATCGTAAACCAATACGATCAGGCATACATCAACCTTGATGATCTCCTCCGCTCATGTGTTGTGGCCAAAGCACCCTCATCAAAGAAGGGTAAAGAACCGGAGCCCCAACAGTCCCACGACTTTATGAGACGGAACGACCTATACAAGAAAGTGTTGGAACGGATGCAAAGCTGGTACGAGATTCGCGCGGAAGGGAAAGATCTCGTCGTCAAGTAAGAATTCTACCGTTTGTTAAGCGTCTGCAACCGCTCATTCATTCTTTCAGAAAAGGGAATTTGGTACCGATCCATGTTGCTACCAAGATCAGACAAGGACGAAAAGCGTCGACGTTCATAACAGGATTCGAGCCTTTCTTGATCAATGCTGATGAGATGGCTGATGAACTGAGGAAAACTTGTGCAGGGGCGACGTCTGGTGCATACAATGCTCTTTTTCTCACAAGCAGGGCTGATGCTGTTGTTCAGTCACGCCGATCCAAGGTAAAGGAGCCAATGCCGGCTCGGAAGTTCTCGTCCAGGGTAAACAGTCCAAGGCAGTTACGGACTATCTTGTTGGAAAGGGTGTCCCTAAAAGGTGGATAGAAGTGAAAGAGGCGGCAGGTAAGAAATAATATATCAAACACAGAAGTATATGGTAGGTAACCTGTCGAAGTACTATCTCTTCTCGAAGCGCTGGGGCTTCTGTATGAAGACGAGACTCTTCCTGCAAGTCTTTCGGTAGCGGTGGCTTGAAATAAGAAGTCCAGCGACTTGGCCAGGCAAAGGCCCAGATTTCTCTTCCCTTCAAGTAAATCTCTTTGAGATCTGGAGACAAAAAAAAAATCTCGGAATAAGCCATGGGTAATTGATCTTGCTATAATAATCGAGATTGAAATATTTGCCAAAAAAAAAGAATTCCCCAATGACGTCATGATTCCCTCATCCGTGATCGAAATAGTTCCACGACGATGGAGCACCCGGCAGACGAAATATCATCCGTCGTGTCGCTGATTACGACTGCTGTAGCACCGGAAATACAGCAGGACGGTATTCAACGATACTTTACGCCTGATGCTGGATTCCGACATCCGTTATGTGCAGTGCGCCCGGGGCCAGGCTCGCGGGAGCGGATTCTTGGGTTATATCAGTTCGTTGCTCCAGGGTCCCCCTTCTTCTGTCCTCGTCTGACTCAAGGTCAGGTGGTACCGCGTGATGTCCCCTAAAATTGACCTGGATGTGAAGAGCATCGGTAAGCGGCGAGCCGTCACAGGAGGCGGAGTTTTTCTGATGGAGCGATAGTATACGACAAACCGCAAGGGATACTCATCTTGGATGTGGTGCAGTCTTTCCACATTCGACTATCACCATTTAAGCCCGCCCCTTCGCGGTAAGCTTCGCTTGTACGTGCACCATGCTGCGTGGCTAAAAGAGTATAATATATTCTCTCTGTAGCCTCGTTGTTCGTTTAACACTCAAGGAAGTTGATAGGCTTTACTATATCGCGTTCCAAGAAGACTTTTACCATCCTGATGTAAAGAAAATTCTTCCTTTCAATGCCAAGATGACTGACATCTCCTATCGAATCCCTATCAGGACCTCATGTCGTTGGTCGTTCCGCCTTTGGCTCCTCTGGTGCGATTAGCTTTGGGAGCTGTAGGTGCCATGTCGAACATGTGTGCTACAGTTGCCCATGTGCTTGGCATATCAGACATATACCAGAAGTGCTCAGGAAGATCCGCAACCGACAGTGCAGCAGAGAATTGGGAAAGCGATAGTGGTTTGTACGACACCGGTCCGCGCCGGAAAGGTGATTGATTAATTATTCTATGGACGCAGTCTAGGACCTCCCTAATAGACCTGGTATTTTTACTTTTTCATTTGTCCTGACTTGTGATTATGGTAAACAATGCAAGGTATCTCGAAGTAATTACAAAATGGATATAAATGTGCAGTCGTTGTAACATATTATATGTATGCATGGACATAAAGCATAAACTCAGAATTCCGGACATGCGAATAAAAGCGACAAATGCGACAGAGAAGTAGGATACTACAGACAGACATCGAGCCTTGGTGTGTGATTTATGCAAGGGAAGTTAACGAGTTTGTGAAAGGTGAAATGAATTGCGACGATTCGTTCCACGACTAGTAGGGGGGAAATATCCGCGGTTTGCGAAGAACAAGGAATCTCATACAAGTTTGAGGTTCCTGAGATTGCCCTTGATAATGATGTCCCGCACTGACAAGCGTCCCGTGAGCACACAAGTATAGAATTTTCCGACAAGTCCGAGCGACTCACCGGTCGATATTATAGTAGCCGTACGACGTGTGTCTGTGACGGCAGTAAAATGTACTGCAAAAGGCAAGCAATCATGAGGAATCACTAATCAGTACCTCAGTGGTCGGAACTTACTATACAGCTCCCGTTCCTTATTTGGAGTGGCCGAATGATGGATGGCACCAAATTTGTTACGGAAATCTATGAAGAAGTCGTTAGACCACAGTGAATTCCGTACGAAGAACGGAGACCTGCATTTCGACACGGAATCGTAGTCATTAGGTCTGTCGCCGTAGGATGTCATATGATGGTTTAATCTTACGCCGGCTTCAAGTTTGCCCTAGGAATTGTTATCCGTCAGGTATTAACCCACAGTAAGGTTCCACACACCAGCAGAAGATCACATTTGTTCAAAAATAGTACTATGTTGACTTTGGCCAACAGCTTATTGGAGGTCACGGCCTGCCACAATAATAGCGAATCTTCAAGTCTGTTAACTCGTGGATCCTACGTCCAGATGGAAAGAGTTCGGCAAAGAAGCTTCCTGATGAATGTCCACGCACCTCTGTCAAAACTTGGTCGAAGGCCGAGATTGGCGCGAGAAATATTATGGCGTTCACTGTAAACCGATAAATCGGATGTCAGTTGGTTACGAGATGAGAAAGCATATGGCGAACAGATGACAAACTGACCGTCCTCAAAATAAGGTGCCCACGCTTGTCGTTGGTTTCTGGCTCCACCAACGTCATATATCCGCCATTCAACACCGCGGTTACTCCCGGATTGGATGAGGAATGTGTGTTCCACAACGCCCATCGTCTTTAATCGGGCCTTGAGCACATCGGCTGCGGACCAGTTAATTCATCTCGATCGTTTTCGCGCATGGAATACGCGTACCGTCAGTAGGTATATATTTCTTCGCAGTTATTCTGGGAATTTCATCGAGGTAGCTGACGAACGGTCAATCTAAAAGATACGTTGACAAGAAGAAAGCACGTACAATCCACTACTCTCCTCCAATCGTAGTCGCTTTTCTTGTAGCCTCTGCCGTACCTTAGGATCTTTCCAAAGCTCTTGCATCGCCGGCGCACAAGCGTTCAGGGCATGAACAGGGTCTTCGGGATCTTCCCACCACCCCTCAATCTCCCCAGAATGCGCACTTTTCGGGCTCTTGGACTTACCACCTAAGGCGAAAGCCTTCTTCCAGTTGGTAGACGTATGTACGGAAACCTCCTTGGCCTTGGATGGCTGTGACCCACTAGAGCCACCAGGACTGATGTCACCCACCGGCGACACCGGGGACGACACAGACGGTTTGATCTGCGGTATAGCAATCGTAGGTGCGGGCCGGCTATTGCTAGTTGCAGGATAACTGGGCGAGGGGGAGCCATTTGGAAAGGTCTGCCAGGCGAGGTGCGTTGCCTCATCCTCATCTGGACAAGAAAGAAGGCGGATCAGTCGTTCTTCCAACTCGGTCAAAGGTTCCAGCCGACTCCGATATATCTCGTAATTGGGTACTTTCGTGCCTGATATTGCCGACGGCGGACGCCCGTTCGATGAGATGATAACAGAAGCCGTCTCAAGGGAGTCAACATCGTCGTGGTCGTCGACAACGATGTCACTTTCAGGCGATAACGCATCTAGTATCCTGTGTTAACACATGGTGAAAAATGAAGTATCAGTCGCGAAAGCCACGCATCGTACCTTTTGACTGAGCGCACAAGATTGAGGTAGATGACCGCGCGCCAGGCAATTCGTTCGGCATGAAATGCGGCTGGAGTGTGTAGTAATTGGAATTCTAGCGCAAGCGTTAGTGATGGCATACGAGCTCGACGCTCTATCCCGCCCAGGGCTCATCGACATCGTGACTTTCATCCGGCGGAAGTAGATTCCGTTGGCCCGTTGGCCCATTGACCGTCGGCGAGAGTAGAACCATCGCAACAGTAAAGAACACGTACACACGCTAGACATTATGTCGAGAGCCACTGGAACCAGGAGATTGCATGGAAAAATATGGAATAGGCAGTACTTACGCTTAAGCGTCGTGCTTTTCCCCGACTCAGACTGTCCCAAGAGTAGCACATTCACCTCCGCCCGCGTCTTCTTGCGATGTATTCGCTCCTGCCTGATCATCTCGTCGATGTGGTCACTGACCTGCTTGGCCTCTGTCTCCCTCTTTAGTCTGAGCTCCTTCTCGGCGGGCGTCTCGTTCGCTGGAGGCAACAAAGCCGCTGCCAGGGGATCGGAGAGCGAGCGTCGACGGTTCGGAACTTCTGTTCTGTTCTTCGCCATGGTGGGCAGCGTCAAGGCGAGGGGATGGTGGTGGTTTGTGGACAAGAATGGTGTGGCGGATTTCGAGGCTTTCTAAGTAGAGAAGCGACCTAGAAGGAGCTAAACAGAATCTACCGATCTTGAATACCCAGATTTCTTTGGAAGGATCGTTAATTTGCCTAATCCAGGTTTTCTTATTATAACCCAGCCGTGAAAATAAATAAATAAACTCCTAAAAGTTCTCATTGGTGTGTTCGTCGCCTGGGTAACATTTTAACATGATCCTACCACCGGTACTATCTAGGGTCACCATTTTTTCCCTCAGTACGCAGTTGGGTTCCGTAAGCATCTCCATATTTGCCGACGCTAGCTATATGAGGATGGTGCAAAGAAGGGCTCAGTACACGATGCTCTGGTTCACGTTCTTGCTAGTACTACGTGGTAGTATGAAGGCTAGCAGTTCCTGCACGAGTTGTGGCGCCAGTTCTCGGGGCCCGGGACAGAACTTCAGGTAGCCTTCACTTCAGGAATTAACGCTTGGACTTGCCTCGACGTGCTAGACACGAGTTTCTTTTTCTATTCGCATGGTGGAAATATACAGGTGTATTTGACTCGGGTTCAAGTTCTTCCTGCCATCTATCCCGGCAATTCTCTTCGGACCAATCTTGGATGATTGAAGAGCTTACTTCCAGCATTCCTGGCTCAGCCTCCTTGGTTTTCTATTCCTATGTCTATCCATCTCCTACAGATCTACGCCAATCTACGTCACTACCTATGACAAATTCAAATAATGAACGATCAGCAACTCGCCGAACAGAGATTCTGTATTCCTCGGTTTGTCGGCCGCGTTGATATTGTTCTCTCTACCTCCAGTCAAAACGCTTGTGCTGTTATTGACGACTGCATCTGTTCGTTTTATGATCCCGTTGCTCTATCGTTACAATAATGACGAGTCGCAGTGCCGTGACGCTTAGTCTGGTACTACGACGTTGTGATTCATTCGTTAGCCTCACCTTCCTTTGCTTTCCCCCCTATGTGCCATGCTACTACTGCAGAAGGTGAACCCAAGAAGGAAATAGTTGACTTATCCCTTTCTCCCAGTCTGTGAGTCATTTTTTCAACGATTTCCGATCGTGGTTAATCTCTGAAGCCAGTGTTCAAAGGCCTCCCAAGACTGGCAGTCTAAAACGTCACTCTTCATTCGATTCACTGTCCACTCCCGAGCATTCCTTTTCTCGCCATCCAGCCACTTTTTGCTCAAGATCAATAGGAAGCACGTCTCCTCCTTCGCTTACTCGCTCACCGCCCTCTCCCCCCCCATTCTCACTTACTACATTCTCTCCAAAACCTTCTCCAACGACGATTATCTTCACTATCACCGTTACAGAGCCTCCTGTGACTCATACCAGGAATGTATTAATAACTGTGCAAGCAACGGCCACCGTGCTGTCTCTCAGTCTCATAACAGAGACTTTTACGGAGACGATTGACCGTACGACGATGTTACCTCCCACCACACACACCGAAACCAAACTGATCAATTCCACGGAAATAGCAACAGCCATCACCCAAACCGAGACAGTCACAGCAACAACACCAACACCTTCATCTACCGGTGCCCAGTGAGTCACCATGTCTCCGCACTGTCAGCAGGAATGTTCACGTATTCTGAACTTCTGTTTCCAGTCAAAATTCTGACAATGCGATGATTGTTGTTGGAAGTATCTCTAGTATCATGCTAGTATCACTGGTCCTCATCACTCTGCTCGTTCTTCTGTGCCTATGCCTTTATCGGCGACACAAAACCCGGAGGGCTTCTGACTTCTTGGAAATCTCACCTTCGTCAATGACCCGTCCATCTCGCTCACACGACAATTCTTCATCGACATTCATGCTTTCCGTGAGAAGCCGTGACGATCCGTACCCGAGAACCATCAGGTATGATGGTCCTACGAACCAGGACTCAATGATGCCAAATGGCGATCAACCTATAGGTTCATCAGAAGCAGAATATAGACGCTCCAGTAGCACTTTTGGTCCGTCAGACATGGAAGGGCTTTATGGGTTTAGTAGACAGGGTGCGAATTCGAGAGAGGCCAGTACGCTACCGAGCAGGTTTTCAGACCCTACGGTTTCGTCTCGACAGCCCAGCACCACCAAGAAAAAGAGTCTGTTGCCTGTCCTTCGAATTAAGGGATTGGGGAGGAAAAAGAGAACTACTTCAAATTGTTAGTATTTGCACATCGGTGGAGGATCGAGATCGGCGTCCATGCCTATACTTGGATATTTCCGGGAATTAATTTTCACCTCCATCGCGAATTTGAATTCCTGATCTTATGTCTGTTTTCAGGCAATTTCCAGAGAGGGCTTAACCTGTAGCTTCGTACCTCATCATGCCATGACTCACAGATCGGAATGAGTAGATGTAAGTACTTGTAGCGTACTAGCCGCCAGATTTGTCAGATTTGTGGAGAGATTTATAGAGATAACGTTACGTACGTGTACTCGGAGACACTGATAGTACTGAATTCTAGCGGGAGTTCTTTTCCCTCGCTGCAAATATTGTGACGTGTATATCAAGTTGTCAGGAGCATGCCAACGGAATCATGATCATGAGACGAAGCTGCGTGTGTACATAAGGACCTAGCAAGCGATGACCGCTCAACATGATGAGCATCTCAGCCGATAATCATGTTACAATCTCCCGCAAAAGTATCCGATCACAGTACATCAACCTAGTTGCAGAAACCACTGCTCCACGAGTCAAGATCGACATCCGTGGCCTGCGTCAGCACAAAGCGAGCCTGTAATCCCCAGACATTAATGTGGTCATGCCGAAGACACGGTCCTGAGTTATGTGCAGGACACGATCCGCTCGCAGAGCAGTATCTTAAATGTGGACATATACTAAGTACTGTTACTACCTAGCACCGCCGGTTAATATGCGCACCGCATGATGATTGGAACATACCTAAAGTCCATCAATGGTGAGGCACATCACATCAGGCGCACAAGTGCGAGCGGCAAGAGAGATAAGTATTAATAAATCCTGGCGGCCGTGACTACAAACGGAGGCGTTTTTAGTTTCCTAGGTGGAAAGTACGCAAGGGCCTAGTGCAGATAGCATAATACCCACCAAGCGTACTACCAGAATCGGTATATAGAAGTCCGTCAAAAACGGTTTTGAGTTTTATAGAAGTCATAATCAGCGGGATGAAGCTGTTAAACGAACAGTACATTGAGTTGCAGCATGCACGGTAACCTTATTGGACGTACTCATGGATGGAAAGTATGGTGTTACATGCGTAGATTTTTAGCGACGAAGATCGAAGCTTCAAATCGCAGTTCTTCGCGGAAGAATGTACGGCCTTCAGCATAACGAGTCACCTAAGTAGAGCGTATGACCACGGGAACTAAAATTCAGACGTGGAGGGCATGAAGCGTTCCAAATGATACTTAAAAATCCAATGGACCAGTACCCGAGACCAAGTCTAGGCTATACCAGGCTTTCCAAACCCTAAGCTACGCCGATTGCTAGATTGTTATCCCAGCAAAGCAGACAGTTGTCAAATGTACGACGCCACAGACCACCTGCGCACAGTGTTAGCCTCGTGTTGCTGAGCCCCACGTCATGACCTTTCGAATACATGCGCACCCAGTAAGGTAAGTCTTGTCAAACTACGGACCGCGAGCGGTGTTTATGATAGGAATCGCGGAGATGAAAAACTATTCCCCCCATGCATAACCAACGGCGCAGAGTAGTGTTCTGCCTGTACGTCTTTCCCCGTCGACGAAAGAAATTTTGTTGTAGTTGGTTTGATCGAAATCAAGTAGATGACATGCACACATACGTACCGCCGATGAACTAATCTATCCGGTGCGGTACTACTTTGAAAATAGACCGAATGTTCTTGGGATGGAAGCAAGGTAAAGACACCTATGATGCACCCGTAATGTCCATACTTTTCTGAATATTCAAGTGAGTACATTCGCAACCCTCGGAATCCCCATACGCCTTCGAGTGCATAACATCCGTCCATGCAAACAATCCATAAACCATAATGATTAAAGAAAACTGAACCCTCAAATCTACGGAAGTACATCATATAACGAAACGTCATCTTAGTGCACAGATCTTCTGTAATCTCCGAGAGATCTCCCCTTCAGACACGATTCAAAGATGAAGGACGAATTTCGTTTCATCAAGGGTTGGAAAAACGGATAGGCATACAGGCGGTCTTCACTTTCCCGAGGTTGGGAAATTGAGGACTCCTGAGGTGCGTATACTCCATTTCTAATGACGATAGAGTTAGACGTAAAGGGTCAAGCACGAATAATTGTGTTATTCGTTATATGCAAGTCTATATATATCCTAACATATCCTAGAGCGCACGAAATTAACTTGGCGTAGAACCTGATATACTTGAATCACTGACCTTCCAGACTAAGGGCTTGACGGTCCATAAGCCGGGTCCCTTCCTATGGCCACTGAGGAGATTGTACGACAGCGTTGAAGAGATAGCCGAACTCTTCCATACAAGAATGAATATAGTGGATATGTCGCCATAGAGGATCAGTCGTCCCCCCAGTTGAGGCCTAGTGCATCTTTCTTTTCCCCTCTAACCGCGTCTTCCACGGCTTCTGCGAGAGCCCTTAAAGCGAGGACGTCCTCTTCTAATTGTACTGGGCGTGTTCGGTCAACAAACTGAGGGTCCATAACGCCGAGAGCACGCTGTAGGGCAAGGTCACGATTTCCGCCGCGGAGGTTGTCGATCGATGTCAGGAGGACAGGGAGATTTGGGTGATCTGATAGCACTTTGCGAATCTTCGGAGACATGGCTATGAAATATTGTATGGTGAGGTTCTGATGAGGAAGGTGGACGCGCACCTATAGCTTCATATTGGTGCAATTGAAGAGGCTTGGGGTCATCTCTTTGCAACGGGTCGGGATATGCACTTCGTTCTGGGACGTAAGGCCAATTAAGGGATGCCAGTGAGCGCAGCAGCTTCGGTTCTTCGACATCTGTAGATATGACTTTTGAATTCGGTACTGGAAGGTGTTAAGAGTTGTTGGTTCCCGTTAGATGTAGCCTTACGCGTCAATGGTTCAGGAGGGGTAACATTTTCGGTAGCGGCAGACGCTAGAGACGCACTGCATGACGAAGCTTGAATATCTCAGCCTTGAGAACGGAAGCAAAGCCGAGAATAGGCACCTTTATGTTCCTTATAACAAGGGACCGAGCAGCTTCGAAAGAATAAGCAAGGGATGCTAAATATTTCAAAAACACTTACTACATAACGTGGCACCCAGAGCATGTGTACTTGGACTCGTTGGAAGAGCAGATCTGACATAATGGACGTCGAGCTGAACGCGACATGAGGGAAATTTTAATTTAGCGGTGAATGCCTTTTACGGCAGGAAATGCCACGCCGATAGCAAACAGAACCCAACCTGTAAAATAATTTCGAATTCCAACTCGAATATTCCTCTCATGAAAAGGGCCCAACTCTCGCCGAACAAGGCAGAACCCAAGTTAAAGAAGGCCAAAGTGTTGACAGCAGCTGCGGAGCAAGTGGTCAATGATGCCGACGTGGAAGACGAGGGCGAATGGACGAAGGTGGAGAGGAGAAAACAGAAGAAGGTCAAGAAAACAGCGGTGAAGATGGATGTATGTGCGATTTCTCTCATGATTGGTTGCAGGGCTTATCCTTGCACGTCTTGCAGGCGACAGTACCCCGATTCATGTACTCGAACGCCGATATCACTCAACGACACCGTGCCATAGGGATAGAGGTAAGTTTCACCGGTTCACGTTGTTGATACTTTTCATATTTAGATAACAGGAAATCCGCGATATTTCTCTGCATATTATTGCGGATGCGCCACCGCCGAACTGGTTACGAATAGATGTGAGTTTGTCACCGTAAACGTTGGTTGCGTGTTCACATATGTGATGCAGAACGCACCCTTGATTCCAAAGGTCACTATCCTTCTCATTCCAGGACTTACCACAGAACTTCTCTCGTTACCTCCCTTTCCAACATCTCCCTTGATCAATCCCAACGTTCCCATACCGATACCCTTACCGTCCAAGGTCGCGTCGGGAGGTCCGACCAACAACGTCTCTTTCATTGCTTCTACATTTAGCCATGCTTGTCCAACTCGTGCACCTGGTGATCAAACCCGCATGCATAGCGTTTTGAACACTTTCTTTACTGTACCGATCAGCGCGACGGAGAAGAAGAAGCGGGAGGAGCAAAAAGAAAAATGTAATTCTAAATTTTCTTGTTTTCACTGTTCTGACGCATAATCGCAGCAGAACGTCTACAAAGCAACGTCCCTGCGCAGTATCTATTAACCATCGAGCAGATGATTGAGCATGACTACCCTCTTCCATCCTATATGGCAGACGTGTTCCAGAAGCCAGACGATACCTGGGTGGAAATACCGGAAGAGCCCAAGGAAAGCCTGTTAACAGCACCAGATCAGAAAAAGAAGCCTTCTCGAAATGTGTATTCCCTAGATTGTGAAATGGTAGAGTCTGCGTTCCTCTGGTCCATCCGTTATTGATCCATGTTGATATAGTGCATGACAGAAGACGGAAAAGAACTAACACGAGTCTGCATTATCGATTTCCGCTCTGGAATCGTGATTTATGACCAACTAGTCAAGCCTTCCAAACCTATCACGGACTACCTGACACGGTAGGATGGTTTTACGGCACTCAAGGAATTTAACTGACATCCAAGTAGATGGTCAGGTATTACGGCCGAGGCTTTGGCCCCTGTGACGACGACACTGTCGCAAGTCCAAGCGCATCTTCTCCGCATCCTGAGCCCACCAGCCACCGACCCTTCCTCTACGTCCGCCGAATCTTCCTCATCTCCGTTCCTAACACCCATCCTCCTCGGACATTCTCTCGAGTCGGATCTACGGGCACTTAAGCTCTGCCATCCTTTCTGCATTGACACAGCTGTGATATTTCACCACCCCCGTGGCCGCCCTCTAAAACCCGGTTTAGCTTGGCTCACTAAGAAGTGGTGTGGACGTGAAATCCAGACGAACGGTGAGGGTGGACATGACCCGGAAGAAGATGCGCGTGCGTGCATAGATTTGTTGAAGAAAAAGCTAGACAATGGACCCACATTCGGTGAATTCAAGACCGACTATGAATCGATCTTTGAACGGATGGCGAGGTCCAAACGGAGGGCGGGAGGACCGATGGGTAGCATTAAAGGTGCTGTAATTGACCACGGGAATCCAAGTGTCATGCATGGCAACAAGGCCACAACAAGCATAGGGTGCAAGGACGATGATGAGGTACTCAAAGGCCTGCTAGAGGTTATTCCATCACATCACTTCGTTTTCGCAAGGTTCATGGCATTGGCTAATATACTAGGATGTGAGTGACTCCAATCTGTTTTTTTCGAGCTTACTGATAGTGATGTAGGGACTACACCAAAACAATCTTCTGATTCTCCACCCTTAGAGCCAGCACCACCACCATCAGCTGAGCAGCTCGGTGCGGTATTAGATGCCCTCAACTTGCACCTTAAAGAGCTCCACAGTGCGCTGCCTTCGCGAACAGCGTTAATTATCTTCACCGGTCACTCCGATCCACGTCGTATGGCTGCGCTAAATGCACGAAAGGCTGCTTTTGAGGCTGCCATACGGAGTGGAAAGCCTAGCGATGGGTTGCAACCCGAAGAGCGGTGGACGGCGGCGCATGTGAGAGAGTTAGAGTCAGCTGTCGAGATGACGAAGCGTGGGCTGTTATTTTTGGGTGTGAAACCCTAGTTGTATGGTTGACTCGTTTGATTCGATACCAGACTTTGAGGACGGCTTTTTATATGCTGACTTTATTGTAAAAAATAATTTCGAAAAGCCGTTTGGAATACGGTGCCACGCCCAGAATTCTATGATTCGCATGGACTCCAAGTTCGGATGCCTAAGTCGGAAGTGGTATTTTGTTTGCGTAAATACAAACTGAGTGAATAGGAAAGTGCTGAAGAAAGTCCGTGAAACTCAGTGTATGCAAGTATAACTGTATAAGCGTATTCATAATTATCATATAAAAAGGAATAAGTGCAATCATATCAGAGAGCGTGATAACATGGAACCCGAAAATGGGGGGAAAAAATAACCGGCACTTTCAGATGGCAACGTCCAGAGAGGTCTGACTGGTGACCCTCTTCGAGGTCAAGAAGGGTGGGAGAGGATCGCCCGTCATCCTTAGGCAATCAATCGGAATCAACCCAGGCTCCAGGCCCACCTCATTCCCTTTGCCATTTCCCTCGGGAATCTTCTCCACCATAGCCCAGCCATCGTCAAAGACTTCTAAGACCTTGACGCGATCTCCAATGGCCACAGTCAGTTCATCATACAGAGTGGGCTCGAATGTGCGGCAGATCGTTTCTACTGGGCAGTGTTGGGGAATTATGGGAAACTCAGGTTCAGAGGATGGATTCGTGGAACTTGGAGGGTACATCTCCGTGCTCGAGCTGAGGGCCGTGCCGTGACTATCTCTGTCCATAGCTGGAATCCACGCTCCATTTGAAGGTGGCTTGGGGAACGAGAAGGATTCCGAAGGAGTGAAAGGACGAACAGACATGGGTGTCGCGATTTCCGGTTGTAATTGGGTGAGCCCATCAGGTATCACGAGGTAAGATGAGTTTAAGTTGTTTGGAATGGTATCTGCGTGAGTGCTGCGAGTGTCAGAATAGGGGGAAACCTCGATGCGAAGAGGTCGTGGAGGGTGCATGGAGTATCTTGGTTTGCCAGGGTTGCGCGTCGGCAGCCCGTGGTCATCACGAATTTCTGCCATAGGAGGGGGCATAACAGGGTCCGCAAAAGACAGAGGCGTCCTGATTGCATAGGAGGTGACAGCAGAGGAAACGTTGTCAGCTCTACCTCCTGAATTAAAAGTAGTACTCCACCCCGTGCGACGTATGTGGGCAAGCCGCCACTGCCGTTTCACCCAGAGATATCGTCGAACGACTAATAGAAGGAGAGCTGCTAGGATGAATGCACCAATTACTGCTACCGCAGCAACTGCACCGGAGGAAATCCCCCCGTGTTGACTAAGATCATATGAGCTCGGAAGGAAGCCATCATTTGTGGCCGCGGGATTGTCGAACGATCCCGATGTGGGAGAACCTCCTGTGTTCTGCCCTTGGGGTTGATTAAAGGTCGAACTTGAAAGCATATGGGATATCATTGTTGTTGTGGGAATGACATGGACAACACTGTCGGTAGTCGTGGCTACGATAGAGTTACTGCCAGGTGCAGAATAGTAGGAGACTGGCTCGGAGAAGGTATCAGAGGTGGTCGCGAGGGAAGGGTGGAATATGGTACCGGGGCTTGACGATGGTACCCTCAAGCTATCCGTCGACAAGCTGCCGCTGCTGGTGGGCGACGAAGAACCGCCATGCCCTTTTTTCTGAGTAGTGCTGGGAGCACCTCTCGAAATGCTTGTCGTTGCATAGATGGTGGATTTTTCCGAACTATAGGAAGCGCCATGACTCCGAACTTCGCCTGTGGAGCCACCATCTGTTTCTGCCGTGCTATCTGGGTTCCCACCGCTAGACTTGGTTGTGAGAAAGGGGGTTGTGGTAGTTGAAGTCGCTGTCCCGGTAGACCGGTGTACCTGCCCGGGCTGGTTGCTTCCCAAAATCGAGCTCGTCAGAAGAGAACTGTCCGTGGAGAAGCCAGAGATGGAAACAGAGACATCAAGAACATGATCGCGTAGCTCATCATGTTTGCTCAGCATGGTGCGACGAAGGTCCTTGCGCCTCACACACTCGAGCGAGCGGCTTAGCTTGCCACGATTTGACGGTTGTCAGAGAAGGGATCAAGTTGAGCCATCCTAGTCCTTCAAGGTTCGAATGGGGAAGGTATACACGATGAATACAAACCTTTTCGAGTCTTAACGCCTGCTAAAGAGCTTTTGTCCGTGTTGGGTGACACAGCTCGCTTAACTACCAATTGAATACATATCACGACTCTCCTGGCCGTCATATGGTTTCTTTCATACAGCGCTCGATGAGCGGACAGGAAACATTAAAGATAGAAATATATTCACCTAATTCCATTCCGTGTACGTAGGTAGGTGCCGTATAGCCTGGGAGCTCGGCCACGGATATTGAGATATTCCCGTTTTCATAATATGGCGCTGATGAACTATAATTGCTCAGACCTGTAGGGGTAATATCTCGGTCATTGGAGAACAGTGGAAGTAGAAAGTCAAAAGCTGCCTCTATCCGGCCCGGTTAACCGAACTAACTTGTTGGTTGAACTCTTTTAAAAGAGTCGGGGCGTACAGTTACTAAGTGATGCTGGTCACCTTTCAGATCACCCGAGCATCGTAAATAGACACGAGCGCTATTCAATTTGGTTCCATCCCAACGGAACCAGTCCTGCCCGCAAAAAAGCCAGCAGACGCCCTTGACAACGTTTCAAGTCCATCTGAGCTTCTGGAATACTTACATCCAAATCATTTAGAGTTGGCAAAAAATCATTGTTCTCGAAAAACAGCAGATGAGCCATGAGCCTTCTCCTGCCTCATTTACTTGATGATACTTGGACAGCATCTAAAAAAAATATCATCGCAGCCATCTATCCTCACGAAACACAGCAATGAGTAACTGAAATGCTCGAGGATCTGGGATCAAATTGCATTGCTGGCGATTTCAAGTGTGTATACGCCGCTGCTGCCTCACCTAGCGACCCACTCCACTTATCCAGTGCAATTCGAAAGTGCCTCCTCAATTGCATATCGATTTTCGAAATTATCGTTTTACACGCACCATACCGAGATGATCGCAGCCTTCAAGGCATCATGAAATAAAAGACCTAAGATAAAAGGGGAAACGAAGAAACGAAAGGAAAGTGGACGGTCATCGCAAGTGATGATGTGGGCAAGGGTGGAAATATCTATATTGGAAAGCGAACGATTGAGGATCGGAGATCTAGATGGCTTAAACAATCTTTGAATCAATTAGGATATGAATGCGCTGTCCACAAATCCAACGACTCACCAGAACAGATGGCAGTCCTTCTTACGGGCGGACTATCGGCGATGAGCGAGCTTTGATGGCGCGCTCTAGAGAAGAGACAGGCGCTGTCAGACCTCGCGAGCCAAAAGCTGAGCGAACTCACTCATGAATGCAGGCGGGTTCGGCGGTAGTCCGCGCGCCATCCTGGCGGCATTTGTGCCTCCTTCAAGAGGAACGGCCCCAACGACTGTAAAAGCGGCAGCAACAAATGTGAGAAAGATGGTAAGCTTCATAATAATGAGATCGTAGAGTGAACGAAAGAAAGACTGTTGCGCAGGGCCCCAGCTGTGCTGTTATATGTCCCCGATAGTATTTGTAAAGGTCCTAAAACATGTTCGGGATCCAGAATCACGCCCTTATATTGATGTTCCTTACGTCTGATTTTAATGGAGGCTGCGCTCTTTGGATTGGACAGCCCTCCGGGGATGAGGCACCAACTTTCTTAGTTGCTAAGGGGCTCTAGAGATTCATCTTTACAACGCGTCATAGTCTTGCACAGTATCGTAAAATTCTCCGATAATCCTTTTCTGTGCCTCACGTCCCGTCTCCTTCTAACGATAACGAAGTGAGGCCAGTGTACGAAAAGAGTAGAGGAAGAAACACACCTCAGCGTCCCCAATTGCACGAACAACAATGTATTTCCGTCCTGTCAAGATAGCTTCGCCAACATCGCCAAACGCCGCAGTTTCTTTGGTCTCAGCATACACTTTATGGGATCCTGTGACTAATCCACCGGCTTCCTGGGCTATCAAAACCCCAGCGCTCACATCCCAAGGCCAGCATCCAATTTCCCTAGGCATAAAGTTTGAGGACGCGAGCCTAGAAGAGGTTAAAATCACGCACCAGTACATATCCAATCCACCCTGGGCAACCATGGCAAAGTTCATTGCTGAGCTCCCTAGGGACCGCAGCGAGTGCGCCATTCGGCCTCCAACGACACCGTTGGAGGGATCTCCTGCGATAAGATGGAAGCTTTCCGATCGGGAGGTCAGTGGTTTCGACGCTCGGTCATTGCCCCATTCGACAGCTATTCGCATTTGTTCGGTTTCAGATATTCGGGATAAATGTAGAGCAGTACCGACCTATTTGGGCCTGACTGAGCGAGGCGAGTGGTTTGGGTGAACTGGCAAAGGGAAGCTTGCGTGGAGTACCGTTGAGACCGCCGTGCGTAACGTAGGAACCGGACCCTTTGACGCCCGTGTACTAGATCAACTGTAAGTACGCGTTCTTACAGCAAAGCAAACGGGCGGACCAAAAGGTCAAGGAAGGGGTTGTAAATGACGCCCAAGATGGAGTGACGCTTGTAAATGAGCCCAATAGAGATGCAGACCCAGGGAAAACCATGGACAAAGTTTGTCGTTCCGTCTGTTTAAGAATGAGTTCTTGCTCACGAACGCAGCTGGAATTGTATACCGATGGGGTCAACGCAGAACGTAGGCTCGTCTGTCCATTCTGGCCGGGATCCTGCAGCGTAGGACTCTTCTCCAATACTAGAAAATCGTCTAGCTCTCAGACCACCAGCAGATGAAGCACTCACAATTTGAACGAAGGATATGTCTCGCTGGTCTTCTTCTTCACGAGCTCTTCGACCTTGACATCGTATTCGGTGACGAGATCTACCGAGTTTTTCTTTTCATCGACGTTAGATCCAGCCAGCTGGATGGCTTCTGAGCCTTTCCTTATAACATGGCCAGCCTCGTAGGCAAGGGCAACGGTGAACTTGAGGATGGACTGGAGGTCGAGCTCAGACATGGCTGTAGGAGACGGGATAGCAGTGATCGATAATAGATTTCACGGATGATAATACACGTTCGTCTGGTGCCAATTCTTGCCGAACTGCAAACGTGCATGGCGTGCTCAAGGAATAGTACATATGTAGAGCAGTGGGCGTGGTAGTTGGTAGGTGATCAGCAAGTGTATGCACTGATTACTCTCCTAGATATACCTCAGTGCCATACACCTCCTTGTCCACGGCATTCCCAGTTACATCAGCCATCTTCATATCAATCTATTTATTTCAGACTACAAAATGTAATCAACTGAATATTGGCCAAATGTCAGCAGAGGTCAGACGCACCTAGCAACACATTCAACCTCAACCAACACGTCCTTCGGTAGTCTCGCCACCTCAACAGCAGACCGTGCAGGCTTGTGGGTGCCAAAAGTCGCCTCATAGATACCGTTGACAACAACAAAGTCATTCATCGATTTCAAGAAAACCTACAAGCCTTCAATAAGGGCGCATACATGGTACATTGAGCACCCACAGTTGTCTTGACGACCTTTCCTAGTTCTGATCCACCAGCTTCAACCACAGAAGTCAGATTCTTCAGCGCCTGTTTTGTCTGTGCCTCGATTCCTCCTTCGACGACTTGCATAGATGCCGGGTCCAGCGGGATGCATCCAGAGCAGAAGAGCAAATCGCCTGCCTTGATGGCCTGGGAATAGGGACCAATGGCAGCAGGGGCATCTACATTGAACGGTGAGCAGATCAACATTCATCTGGCGCGACGCAACGCACTGGTGGTGGAGACTGTGGTCAGGGACGGGTCGGTAGAAGCAGACATTTGGCGACAAACAGGTGGTCTACGGGTAATGACCGGACGAATGAGCAATCTTCTACTCGTCCGTAGTAAAGTGGAAGACATTTATGGGGGCTGACCCTGGCCGCGGCGAAAGTTCGGCAGACAATTTGGTTCTAAAGCCGATACCAACATTCGACGGCCCGGGTGCCCACTGAAACAGCACTGAAACGTATCATTTCTTTCATTCCCATCTCCAATGGCGACAGAACAAAAAGAAGAGTACCGCAAGTATTATGTCCCTCTCGAGTCGAACCCAGAGGTCTTCACTGAGCTCATCCAAAATCTCGGCGTCGACACGCTCCAGTTCCAGGATGTCTACTCCGTCGAGGAACCTGATCTAATGGCAATGGTGTCCCGGCCAGTGTATGCGCTTGTGTTAATATTTCCGAGTACCAGTGATGCATACAAAAATCAAAAGACGGCAGAGGAAGCGACACGTTCAGCGTACGTTGGGAAGGGGGATGGGGAAGATGTCGTCTGGTTTAAGCAGACGATCGACAATGCTTGTGGGCTGTATGCGATCCTACACGCTGTGTGCAATGGTGACGCAAAAAATCTGATTCGTGCGTTTCCCAACTGTTTCTGTACGTATGCTTTCACTGATGGCCTTACAGCACCGACCTCAAAATTGGCCAAGCTGCTTGACAAAGTCATCCCGTTGGATCCTGTCGAGCGCGCGCGTGCTCTTGAAGACTCTAAGGAGGTCGAAGAGGCGCATGCGCGTGCAGCGATCCAGGGTTCGACTGCGGCGCCTGATGCCAATGTCGAAGTCGATTATCATTATGTGGCTTTTGTCAAATCACACAAGAACAATCGATTATACGAGATGGACGGTTCGAAGAAGGGGCCCGTCGATAAGGGCGTGCAGCTGAAGGGGGACGAGGACCTGTTTAGCGAAGGTGGTCTGAGCTTGGTGAAGGAGTTCATCAAAAGGGAACAGGACGGAAACCCCAATTTCAGTCTGATGGCCCTTGTTCCTCAGCAAGTCTGACCGTTTGAGATGTTATTATAAGATGTGTGTACGATACGACGAAACGAATGTCAACGATGAATCCACGTCAAACAAGTTTTTCCGCTGCAGCAGGTGTATTGTTTTCTCTATGGACCTAGCGTTCTTGAACTCTGCGGCCTTTACAAGTGCTGTCACGGCTATACCAGTCCGGTCCTACGCTGGACACACTCAGTCGGAAATCAAGCGACCCTGATAAGATTTTGCACTCCTTAACGGAGGATATAGTTCAGTTCGAGCACGCACCTTGGATATCTACGTTCTTAATGTTTGGTACATTCACTAATCCTCCCGTGTGAAGATCACTAAGGACTTGAACATTTTGTTTACGAAGTACAGCAATAGATTGCAATACTTGTAGGTGCATTACAAAAATACAAAGATGAAGAATCTGGTAAATGACCATATAATTCAAACCTTCCCCCCTTGAGGAGATCGGTACAAAACTGTAAATTGCCGCGCTGGGGCCCTCGTACGCTTCCCCCGCCCAGGCGTTGACAGTAATGTGTCCATGAGAGACGTGGACAAAATCTTAAGTAGCCCACCGCGAGGGTCGAACTCGCAGCCTTCAGATTATGTAACGACACTCTCTTTGCCATAAAAGTCTGACGCTCTAGCCGATTGAGCTAGGCAGGCTCCATGGATGGGATATGTAGCACTTAAACCTTCCCGATTCACTGATTCATCATGTCATATACAGAAACTCAAAAAGTCGCTCAACCTCCGATGCTTATTGGAGTGGTGATGGTGGAACCAGCAATTACCACCCTTTCACCATCACTGCTAGGCATGCCAATCTTCACAAAAGCCCACTGGTACTTCCCATGCATCTAGGGTTTCAAATGCAGTTTTGCCAAATACATTTCCTCTACTTGTGGGCCTCACTTTTTCATCCACTCCTCATATTAATGGGATAGTCCATGGGTAATTTAATCATTTGAGAGTTTCCAATGATCCTCCATTGCAGTCTTTTCTGCCAATTTTCTGAAATCTTGCTGCAAGTGAGGTGGTTATTTCTCTCATGTTCAATAGAGAAACCTAAGCAGCTGTCAATGGTCATAAACGCTGCAAGGCAGATGACATGTTCCTGTAGTTCAGTGGCTGATCACTACAACTCCTAGAGGCAGGGTAATGCAACCGTGAGCCCGAACGAGGTCAAGAGTATATTTGGTGGCGCTAAGCAGGTGAGACCGCTCACGATCACGTGGTAACATAATTCTTGCGTTGCCTTGCGCGTTCATACTACAGAAGTCTGAACTTCACAGCGAGCACTTAGTCCTGTTAAGTTTGTATCAATTCAGTTTCCACGAAACTTTTGCGTCCCAAAGAGGCGACAAGGCATCGATGTTTACATTTATCAAGACATTCATATGCAAATTATATACCAATCGATGTCTCTTAAGCCGAATCCTTTTCATCAAGCTTGACCTCAGAAATTCTTTCTGCATTCTGGTCATGTATGTGGTCAAGCAAATGAGGCTTCCAAGATACACTGTTCCATGGCTTAACACCAGAGCGGTACATTTCATCAACCTAAAGCCAGTGATCAGAACATTCCTTGTGGTGAGGTGCTGTAACTGTTTACCTCCTCCAGACTGAGACCCTTGGTTTCTGGGATGAATAAATATACATAGGCATATCCTGAAGGAACGGAATCAGGTATTGTCGAATATCATAGTACGGTATATGCATACCAAAGACCAGCATCCCAAAGAATATCATCAGGATAAGAGGGCCAATGCTAGTGAACAACAATTATAGGTATATGCATGATCAAATGACTCAATACATACTCGTTTGCAATCCGTGGCGAGAAGAATGAGAGCATGAAATTCCACAACCAATTCGTGGCACTTCCAAGTGCTATGGCTTTGGGGCGAACCCGAAGAGGGAACGATTCGCCAAGGTATACCCATCTAGTAAATGTGGGGTTAAGTCTTCGCCTGAGGTTTTCATGAAATTCAGGATCGTACGGAACTGGTCCCCAGAAGACGGAGAAGGAGAAAACATGTAGAATTGCGAATGCGATCAGCGTATCGCCTGTATAGGCCGTTTTTCAAGCCTGGACAGCGACGACGTGTTTTAAAAAAGGCTTACCTCCTTGTTTATTCCGCTGGGTCAGCTGGCTCGTTGGGGTCCCTGACGGCGCGAGAGTGAAGTGGCCGACAAGTCCTGCCTAAAGAGTAGATGTGACTTGGTTTCGGATCACTCGCGCAATGAAGAAATACGAACGATGAGAGAGCAAATGGCTTCCAAGACGGAACCAACAAGGAGTGACTGACATGCGAATGTCAACGCTGTTTCACGGAGGAGATCGTGTACGACTCACACGGCGGCGGCCCCATGCCTCAATTAGATACTGCATGTTCGAGCTCCATTTAAGGTCTGGACTTATAAAGGGCCAAGAACTCACCAGTGCGGGAATAGTACCTGCAACTGATACCGCTCCCAGTATAGTTTGAATAACATAAGGGGAAAGCCTAGGCAATGTAAGGCCCAGCTGCAACAAAAAAAATCCCCACGAACAGAGTCCCAGCACTCTGGAAAAATGTATCTCCGTAGTAATCTATAGATAGTAAACCAGTCGGTCAGCTGCTTAGTACAATGGAACACGAAACCTTACAGTAAAAGTTCTGCCCATTGAGCTGTTGAATAAATTGCAACATCATGCCGTTCATGGTACGTTTCCAAAGAGCGTTTCTCGTTGAGAAACATTCAAGCCATGTCGCCTTTCCGTTCTCGTTCTCGGCTCTGATACTGAACATCAGTTCTTCAACAGTCTCTTCGGCAAGAGGATCGTCTATGGGAACACCGTTTAGCTCAGCAATGACTCTTCGAGCTTCCTCAGTGCGTTCTGTGCCCAAAAGATGCCGACTAGAGGAAATCAGTACCACTAAACTGATGATAGCGACACGGACACACGGTGACTCTGGAAGGAAGAAGATCCCGGATAGAATAATCAGTCCCCAAAGCATTTGCAGACCGACCGGGATGCGCCAAGATGCAGATCCAGGAATCGTATGTGTGCCAAGGTCGATGATGTAGCTGATGAATATACTGGAAGCAGATGTTCAAGACATTAAAAGAACGGGACGGTGCGGTGACCCACCCAATGATGATTTGAAGTTGATATAACACCAGTAACATACCTCGCAATGCTTTGGGAGCTGTCTCTCCGTTATACAGTCTATATCCCATACGTAAGACCGTACCGTTAAAAATGCGAAGAACGTACGGCACAATAGCTGACATAGCTCCGACACCAAGACCTGCAATAAAGCGGCCAACCGAAATTTGGGCGATAGAGGTTGTCGTCCCGGTTTGTACGGCGGTCCCAGCAGTGAACTAGGAAAGAACGAGTAGAGGGTTAGTATTATCTACACAGTTCCGTTGAAGAGAATTTTACAATAGCAGCCCAGATGAGTATTGAGCCGCGACGGCCGAATCTATCAGATGTCAAAGCCTGTGCTAAGGCACCGCTATAAACGCATTAGTATTCTGAGCGGGAGCGTAGAATAAACCCTACACAAATGTTCCCGCCGACAGGAGGGATGTGATAATGGACTGCCGATCACTGTCTAAAATGTATTTTCCAGGGTTTGCGGTATCGGGATAACCAAATCGACGTATAAAATCAGGCATGATTAGACATCCTCTGTCAGAGCGTAACTGAGCTCGGTATACTTGTAACTCCAGGAACACTCACGAGATGACCCCAATATCGTATCCAAATAGAAAGCCTAGCCGAAAAGGACGTTCAACATGATTCCGCTTGCGGTATAAGTATCGGCTTACCTCCTACAGCGTGGTAAGTACGTAGTAGCCTCGAAACTAGAAGCTCACATACCAAATGCAACGAAAACGGCGAGTAAAACAGTCCGTTTGTTTGTCGGGGCCGCTTTAGCCATGGATACTTTCGTTAGACAAGAAACCAGGGGAGAGAAGGATCATGAGAACCAAGATTTATAGAGTTCGCGATGATGGGCTCCGGGGGGAATAAGTGATATCGGTTTCGCAGAAGTTCGGTCGCCGTACTGGAGAACCAAAGTCATCTGATGATGTAGCGCACACACGGTCCGCTTGACGGTCCGTTTTCTGTATAGTTGGAGTGATCTATAATATTTTCAACCCTGTAACACCACTTCTGGAAGATAACGAAAGAAGCAAAGTCGATTGAAAATAGTATCATCTGGCGAATCTAGAGCTAAAATAAGATTTTCATCAAGTCAGATGAGAAATTTGGTAGCAGTCTTGTCCAGATAGAAATTGTGCAGCTATGCGAAGGGCAAATATTCCGATGGCCATGGAACGAGGAAGACGAAATGATGGTATGCACAGCCACAATGTCTTCCAGTTTTCGGATTTTCTCCGACACCATCACGTTCAATGCTTCTCTCATTCTTTCTCGCCTATTCTCTTATTTCCTTGTATGGGTGTGATACTTTGTTACCAATAAACAATCAACTGATTATAAACCCTTGGAAGATTATGGTATAAATGTGTCAGCGGCAACTGGATCATAAAGTTACCATCTCCAATATCTATTTTACCGGACATTTTCCAAGACTTTCTAATTCCAGAGTAGGATCACTGAAGATCCTTGGTTACGAATATCGAGATGATGTCTCCATCACAGAACTTGACATCACACTCTGGATCTACCCGAAAACATTACGCTTTACGTCTGGCAACCGTACAGATACATGATTTCCGGGTCCACGTTTTTTCATCCTCACAAACACCGGTATGACTGCAGAATCTGCGCCGAAACCTAGTCTTAATTGCCAGACCGTCCGTCCAGACGACATTCTCACAGAAATGGCTCTTAGCGAGGGAAGCGATGAAACCAGAATATCGGGCTATTCTAATCAATAATATATCCATAAGGCATTTAATCAAAGGATGTATGCGTTTGGTCGACTGGACGCCCAGTTGCGTCGCAATTGGTTGGATGATAATGGATCGTTGGCCATTATTGCGGGGGAGTGTAGGTGGATCAAGCTTTCCTACGTTGCAGCGCGTCTCGTTGGCAGTTGAGCCCCTTTCAGCGCATGGATCCTAACCATTCTGAATAATTGTCGTTCAGGTCTCTGCCTTATCGCACCATCTCTTTATTTCCCAAAATTTATGACCCAATATCCACCGTCGACGTCTATCTACCACGGACGGACATCACCTTCGACTATTTAGAGATATCGAATTGTTTCGTCAATGTGCCATGATGTTCAAATTGAACGTTGAAAAGTTGCGGTAGAGAGGATCATTGGAGGGCTTCACTTGGGACGCCTTCATGGATACTCTAGTACGAACCTGTATATGATAGACGATACAAAAGTATTACGGAAATAGTATCAGCTATATAATACAACGAATAAATAATAGAAAATAAAAGTTAAATACATAAGGTCCTGGTATGCTGCTAGCGACATACAAGGTGTTGTAGAACGCCCTACCAGCTAGCAATGAAGTATCAAAATAGCTCGGCGCCTTAGGCCCGCAGAATTCAACTGTGCCATTCTCTGACACCGTTTACCTCGGCGACCCTGTCAAATGAGTACCTGCGCCGTTTGAGCTCCCGACATCGACGGGGTGCAGCTCCATACTGAGTTTTTGAAGAGGGCTGTCTTTCATCGCTGAATGACGAGACATCGTCTTTCTATCGGTCCAGCTGGAGAATCGATCTGGATCTTCGTGTGGTGATAGTTCAGCAGAGGCGGTCATGGAGAAGCGGCTTTCAGGTGGAGGCAAGACGAGTGGAGTTGAATGGTGCCTTTCTAAGATAGTTGTACCTGGTTGCAGTGAAGATACTCGTTCTAAAGGTGACGATGTTTGTGTATTAGCAGAAAAATCCACTGGATCATCAAATGGGTTTGATCTCATGGTTTCTTCTATAGTTCCGACACCCCTTTGCAGTGAAGGATGGCTAGAGACATAGCTCAACCAGGAGACTCGAGAACTCGCAAAAGAATTAGTCTCGGCAAAAGGATTGTGAATGGGAGTTTGAGCACGGCTCTCAGCAAGGCGCACAGTGGGATGAGGGGGCATCAGAAGGGATGACACTCGATGGAAGACGCGCACAAGTGGCGGAGGACTCTGCGGCAGGCGATCTTCATTTGGTATTTTTTCGTCTTTGAACGAGTTGTACGGCGCGAAGCCAGAGTCCATCTTAGCACAGTGTCTCTTTCGCCGTCGACGAAGGCAAAAGAGTATGACAAGAAGGACCGCAGAAACGGCGACCACAGCACCAGCAATTGCACCAATTATAGGTACGAACGTCGTACGTGACAGGCTAGAAGAAATGGAACCTCGGTCAGAACGGAAGCAATGCAGATGAAAAAAAAGGCATTACTCAGAAGGGGGGGAGCTGGGATTAGAGCTGGGATTACTAGGCGATGTGGGGAATGCGGTGGATGTTGCTGCTAAACTCGTAATAACGAGGGGCGGCGACGTCACTGCTGACAGTGGGATGATTGACGCTGATGAGGCGGAGGTCGTGGAGGGAACTGCAGATGTCGAAGACGATGATATGACCACTCGGATGGTTTGAGAGGATGATAGTGAAGTTGATGAAAATGAACTTGAAGGAGTAAGTGTAGGCCCAGTAGATGTCGTCGCAACCGAGGCCAGGCCCCCGGAAGTACAAGACGTTACAACATCGGATGTAACGGATGATTGCGATGAGAAAGACTGGAATGGTACGGAGGATGACTGGGATAAAGCGGAAGAAGACTGCGATATGTTTTCACCAGTGGCGGGACCAGGGGTTGTTTCAGCCATGCCGGCGGAACTACTGCTGCCGTTACTAGATGATGCCGCGCATTTTCCCTCCGTCGACTTCCCTCCGTCGCTGGAGGAATCATCACTGGTTGAATCAGAGTTGCTGGGGTGGTCGCTTCCGTTACCATCGTTGCTGCCTCTATTGAGTTCTCCGCCATTCTCGCTTTCAATGCCCCGTCCGCTTCCATGGGAGGCAGACTTTGAGCTGCCGCCGCAACTAGATTTAATGTTGCCGTCGTCGTTGTCGTCACCATCGTCGTCCGCAGCACCTTTCTTACGGTTCACTTCTCCGTCATCTTTGTCCTTGCTACCTAGCTGAAAGGTGAGATGATTATCTTAAATTGAAAACGGGGATACTTGCGCTGTTCTTGAAATCCACGGCGCAGACGTTGATGAGATTCGCTCAAACCGCGCTGGTGAGAAGGGAAGGCGGCCTGAAGCCTTGGCCCATCAAGTTGTAGCTTCGACCGTGATGATTGTGTCGAAAGGTCTGGTGTAGACATGTCAATATAAAGCTGATGGGGCGGTATGAAACGAACCTGAAGGAAGACCTTTCTCGGAGGCGTTACCACCAGCCTGAGAGGTGAATAGTTTCCGGCGCCTCCAGGGCATCTGAGAAGGGACCCGTAGGGCCACACAAAAGTTAGAAAGGAGAGTAGTGGGAGAAAGAGTGTCGTGGTGGTAGAAGACCAAGAACTTTGGAAGAAGCATAAATGGCATCTATGACATCCTCATGATTGGTTTGGCAGATTCTTGTTCGCCGTATGTGGGAACATGCCCTAAACTACCATAAATGTCACCGTACCACGGTGAGTGACGTATTGGTAACCGAGGCGCAGATCAACGGAGAGGCCTCGAATGATGGTGTTTAACTTCTGTTTAAACAAAAACATGAGATATGAGGCATGCGTCATGTGAAATAGGAAATAGTTCACCAGCGTCCATACTTGAAGATTTGTCGAGGGCAACACAATCACATAGTGGCCCGTTCTTTCGGGAGGCTCATCTGAGACTTGATGTCATAGGGAGATTCGCATATCCCGAGTGCATCAGGATGGGAGAACATATTCATATATTCATATATCAAAGCCTGTGCCTCTGTACGAGAACCTTTGAACCTATGAATCTTTGAAACGGCAGCTACGTACACATGATTCAATAAGTATCAGAGAGAAGAAGGATCGAGGTAAAACAGCCGACCTTATATCCTGTTTATTCCCAACGAACGTCGGTCAAAGAAGAGAAAAACGATTGACAGAGCCGGTGCCCGCAGTTCGTTGGAAATTGCGCGGTGAGGGAATTGAAGTAACAAACAAACGGGACGGATCAGGATTCGGATTTAACGGACCAATATTCGAACTCCGAAATTCCGGCATGTGTGCCGCCTCAAGCCGTTCTTTCGCCTTACCACCACCTTCAGGAAGCAATGCAGTCGCTACGGACGCGACGTTCTCAGGCGCCAGCGCGTAAGGTGCAGCGCTCTGGAACGAAGCTCTCAAAGATTGCCCAAGGTGTAACCTCTCGCCCTCGCGATTCCCGAAAATCTCGTGTCGATGACAAGATTAAGAAGCGCATGTCGATGCGCTATGCCGACATTTCAGGACCTACAGAGCTCAACGTACCTCCAGTGCCCAGCCTACCTATTGTCGAAGGTATTACGGACGGATTTCAGAATGAAGTCGTCGGAGACAAGATAGGCAGTCAAGATGACGCGGCAGCGACGGCGGCAGAGAACGATAAGAAACTATTGGACGAGGATGATTTTGACCCGGATGCCTGTGAGTACAGTAATTTTAAATTACGACAACATCCCTGACTTGGTACAGACTTGAAGCTCAAGCTGGCGAATTCGACGGAAGCAGAAGTCAAGTCCCTACAATCTTCTCTACGTGGAGCCAAAGATGATACTGCGACTGATCTCCAAAAGAACGTTTTCCAAAAGTGAGGAGCAACCTTTCTCTCTGCCTTCATTCTTGCTAATGGACTTGCAGTTATGCAGAATTCGTGCTCATCTCCAAGGAAATCTCGACCTTGGAGAATGAAATGATTGAACTGAAAGAATCTCTCTCGGAATACAAATCCATGCCATCCTTGCTTCACATTCCTGACCCCACCTCGACGTCTTCTTCAACTATGACTTCGTATCGGCGCTCTTCCGTTGCTGACTTGCGGATCATGTATTTCAACCAGATGCAGGCGTTGCATGCTCAAATTGAAGGATCTGCCAAATTCGCACCTACTACACCAGGAAGACATGTCATCGGCGAAGTCGAGGGTGTGTTATCATTAAATGCTGCAACATATAAGGTTGTCGGCAAGGTAAAGTTTGTTGTCTTGGACGACGCTGTGTTGGTCGCCAGGAGACGACGCCGCAACGGTCCCGATTCGCGTAGTGGTGGCAGCGTTAGTGAAGGCAAGCTGGTCGCGGAGCGATGCTGGCCATTGAGTGAAATGCTGGTGTTAGACACCAAGGACTCACCCAGTATGACGAATGTCTTCAAGATCAGACATGGAAAGGAAACGCACGTCTATCGCACTGAGTCTCCTGCAGACAAGAAATTGCTTCTTCAGCAACTACGTCATGTAGCCGAGGAGCTAGCCGCCAAGAAGCGCAAGGAACGTGAAGGAGAGCACGAAAGGAGGAAGAGTTTGTGGCAAGGTGCTGGCGATGTAAGTTCCACATCTGTACGCGCGGACTGGTTGCTAAATGATGAGATAGAGGTCTTCTGGATACAATTTGGATCGCATGCCTCCAGCTGAGTGGATCAGGGAACTCGCTGCGAAAGTGGGAGAAGCTCCGGACGCAGTCGCTAAGGACAAATTGGAACGCGAGGCACGTTGGACCAGCGAATGGGCGGATGATCTGACCGTTGCAATTGCTCTGCGAGAATGGGAAAGAGCTACGAAGCTTGTCGAAGAAGGTTGATTCCTCATCTTCTATTCGATTTATACTGATACCCTGTTAGGTAAAGAGAAGTTGGCTACAGTTCCTTCCCTGGCTCCAAAGCTCCCCGGTTTGTCCTCGCAGCTGACCGCAGCCCTCTTGTCTTCCTTGTCTTTGGTCTCGAACAAGAAGTCTACTGTTATTTCATTGATCTCTCTCCTTTTGCGTCTCAATGCTGGTCCTGCTGCTCGCGCAACGTTCCTCAGCATGCGCACCCAAATCATCAAGAATCTTGTCAGAAAAATCAAATTCGAAGGGCATATTGGTACATATATTGCCGACTTGGCTATCGTGACTTTCACTGCCATTAAGCATACTGCCGATTGGTTTTTGGCAAGCTTCAAGGAGAACGAAGTCGCTAGTGGTATGTCAAATGAAAAGTAATACTCGGCGTACACTAATGCGACAATTCAGCCTTCATTGATTGGGCGAAAAGTGAAATTGAGAATTACGCAGATGTGTTCCGAAGGCAGGTCTTCAGCTCGGATGTGGATCCGAAGGTAGTCGAAGAAGGTCTCAAAATCACATATTCCCAGAGCAAGAAGGCAAGGATTGTGATTACATTAACGCCCTTATCTAACATCTACTCTCAGCTACTTGAGGATTATGGACTTGATTTCCGTTTCCTACTAGAGGAGCTACTAGCAGAGAATGTTCGTGAGTCGGAAACTAACACCAAACCTGCTGAGTTGAACCTGCAAGACATACGTATAATGCCGCCGAAATTATCAAAGTCTTCGTCTAAACTGTCCCCTTCACTCACGTCGCCCATCAGCCGACGTTCTCCCACACCAAGTGCAAGTTCAGCCAGGACACAGTCATCATCTTCTACTTCCTCTGGTGCAACAACCACAGCGGCCAGTGCCACGCCGACTGCGCTGTCCTCAGCACCCCCTTCTGGTTACTCTTCGGCTTCATTTTATACCCCCACGCCCACCACAGGTGTGTTCCTCTCGTCCCAGACCCAAATGTCATCCATACCAGCTCTTCCTCGTGCCCGCACACCGTTATCATCCACGATACCAGCATATGGAAGCAACACGCCGCCGCTATCTGCTCCAGTTCTTCCCGTTCCTTTCGCATCCCCACTTCCTAGGCGGACAAGGTCTCCTCCTCCCAGTGCGTCTCCTTTACGACCGGGCACGTCGAGTAGCACGAGGGAGAGACCGCCGCGCTCAGCTAAGGCCAGTCCTGCCCCACCCCCTCGATCAACGAACAGACCTGGCAGCTCGACAGGCCATAGGCCGCCACCTGTAGCTGTTCCATCTCGAGAGGGCATGATCTAAGGTGCTTTTATTTTCACGTCTTCTTCATACCAGATTTTTTTCGCACTTAAATTATTTCCTTGTATTCATGGTCATTAGATTTAAGTTTTCTGTCTGTACCGGCAATTGAATTGCTTTGATTGCTTGTTTTCTGGAATGATTACATTGAGCTGCTCTCATCTGTAATCCAACTTGTTGCGCTATTGTCCCAGGTAGGACTATTATTTGGTGCGATTCTCACTCTTTCCACTTGAATCGACTTCTGACTGCTAGCATAGTACAGTTCGTTGAATATTGCTTCCGCTGCAACGCGTCATACTTTACGCAGGTCTGTGGCAGTGCTTCGTTGCTTAATCAGGGCCCTTCCTTACTAACACATTCATTTGGATGACAAAGACTGGGAAATTCACTCATATTTGAAGACAGGTCTCAAGACGCTTCCATCTACCATTCCACCATCCCATCAAAAACAAGATGTCCCACGTCGCTATCGCTGCAGTTGCGAAAGGTCGCTTCGACGAAATACACGTTCCAACTGAGAAACCTCAGCAGGGAGAGGTTCTATTAAAGACGGAATATGCAGCGATGATCGCTTTCGACACATATGTTACGGACTTCGGCTATGCAACAGACACGTTCCCAATGGTTCTTGGATTCAATGCCGCAGGAACCATCGTCGAGGTTGGGCCAGGTGTTGATGATCTCAAAATCGGGGACAAGGTAGGGTTTCATTGTGATGCAATGTTGTTTTCTACACTAAAATTATTTGAAATGTTTACAGGTCACCGCATTCGCATTCCAGGGCTCTAGGTCCAAAGCTATGCAGCAATATTCCATCCAGTCGCGTACTGTGTGTGCAAAGGTATTTCCTACTCAATTCCCGCAGGTCCATACGAATGAGCTTGGCATTTGACTTCAGGTGCCCAATTCTATGTCTTTGGCTGCTGCCGCAACCATACCAGATAACTTCGTCACGGCGTTCCATACGCTCTTCAACGAACTTGGTCTTCCTGTCCCAAATACATTTCCTGCCCTCGAATCTCCCCCTCTTTCTTCCGCTCCAATTCTGATATATGGCGCTGGATCTACAGCCGGCCAATATGCTATTCAGCTTCTTCATGCCGCCGGGTACAAAAATATCATTGCCACAGCCTCCTCGAAGCACCATGAATATCTAGCGTCGCTCGGTGCTACTGCAACCATCGACTACCGTACTCCTTCACTTGTTGAAGATATTACGAAGGCAGCGGGAGGTGACGGCAAAGTCGCGCTTGCTATAGACTGTATCACTGCTGAGGGAACAATAGCGGAGGTCTCAAAGGTGACGAGTGAGACAGGTACGGTAGCTCTGCTACTACCCGTGAAGGAGGGGAACAACGTACGAGGTGAAGCCCAGATGTATATGGAAATACCCGAAGGCCGCAACCCGTTTCCCAAAAGTGTCAATATTCGCGGAGTGCGCACATTCCTATATCAAGAAGTGAGCTCTCTGCCCCTTTTGGCCAAAACTTTTACTAAAACTCCATCAAGAACGCGTTCCAGAAAGAGAATGTAATGCCCAAGATTCTGCCTGACCTGCTGGAAAAGGGAATCATACAACCCAACCGAGTTCATCTATTGGATCAGGGAACTTTCAAGGAAAGAGTGGCCGTGGGCTTGGAGCTATTGAGACATAACAAAGTTAGCGGGGAGAAATTGGTGGTTAAGATCGAAGTTTAGGCATTAAGTCTAGGGACGATGGTTTTTCCGTTTACATTACGTATCTGATGTGGTAACCAACCAAAAATTTATTACTTAGAATGACCCAGGTTCTCCAAATTGTGAATATAGTTGCTGGTTTCGTCGGAAAAGGGAGGGAGACGGCGGACAGAGCATCAAGAAAAATTAACGACCATTCTGACAAGCCCAACAATTTTGACTTCAAGGTTCTTCATTAGAAGTGTTTTTGGCCTTCAGGTGACTGCGGTACCAGGGCATTCTTCTGCTTCGAATGGGAACGCGTATGCCCCTATGTCAGCACGTGATCGTGTGGCCTCCTCGTAAATTACGAATTCTTTTAACCTGGCAAATCCGGCTTTATCATATACTCGTGGAACTCGTATCTGAATAATCAATTTTTCGACTTCGTTCATGAAGATGCCCTCACAATATGGAAAATTCTTCATCGTGATGTTAGCGGGGGGAATATCTTGATCGAGAAGGCGCCTAAAGATGAACATGATGGCGGAGGTTGTGGCTTGCTCACGGATGCCTTGGAAAATGCAGTCTCTGCCACTTATAGCCCACATCTTTTATGACAGTATTGAATAATGGCGTCGGGACGTGGGGAGGGAAGAACAAGAAGACTGCCTTGACGCAACGGGATAAAGGCCCTCTAGTGACAATTTTCGGTTTGACTGTGACTATTTTAACATCACCGAGGCACTTGTGGCCATCCAGGAATGGCAGTACTTTTCAACTCCAGAACAACTGTCCCTGGTACCGGGTACTGGACGTGGTCCACCACCCATCGATCCCGAAACCGTACAATTCCGCGATCACAAAGATCTGAAAGTGCTCTGGCAGTGAGTCCTCGGCATGGATGGATAGCTCTCAAATGATCTGGCACAGTGTCAGTTCAAGCCCACGGGTACCAAACGACAGCCACAAAAGAGGCAAAAGTCAGGCACGACATTAGCATCTAAGTGTTACTTCTCTTTATCGCTAGGGTAGACAATTCCAGACATAGATAAATGCATTCACCTTAGTTACCATATGCTTAATATGACTGGTGATTTGAGTAGTGCCGATCTTGAATGATGTACATTTTCAAAGTCTGACTTGGGCATGCACGCTCAGTGAGATTCTCAACATCCCGAAAAGGATGCAGGAGGCCAGGCACTGGAATTATCCTCGGGGTAGAATAAGGAGTCGATAACAGGTATAGATTATCCAAGAAAGAGAGTTACAAGACGTCGATGATGTCGAGTACAGTGGAAACTCGAGCATACATAAGCAATATTTCTTTGTGTGCGTGGCATCTCTGCGAACGGAGGTCAGCAACAAAGACACTACTTGGAGGACTGGCGTACATGTGAGATCAATGATTTCTCCTGACATGATGTTGGGCTCCAATTTCACTTCTCTCTTGACTCGTTTTTCGGGCCTAACTTTCTTAGCGTCGCGTTTCTTCAACTGTCGTAGCTCCTCCTTATAACATGTCAACAGTGAAAATCATTGATCACATTGAATGAGAACGGTCACCTCTAATTTTGCGATTCTGGATGAATAGTCTTCTTGATCGGAATCGTCAGAACCGTCAGATATGTCAATTATATCGCCCGGAGAGGTAGCACGTTTGCGAGTCACTGGAGTAGGCTCGGATGCAGGCGCGATACCGTTAGCTTGTAATATTTCTGTAGATAGTTGGCGAAAGTAAGCCGTTCCGCTACAAGAAACTCACCAAGAGGTCGGTATCGGAATACGAAGGTGACCAGATGGCGCAGATCCTTCACGACTTTGGACCTCAAGGCGTTGGGCAGGACAATTTCATCACCAGTCCTATAGGCTGAGAACAATATATAGAGCAGAGTTAGAAGAACACCCACTTGACACAATGCGATATAGCCTTCTTAGAGCGCTCGTGGATCTTCCCCACCTCATCAAAACTTGCGGCTCGGAAAGGCGCAGAAATAGCTCTTGAACACGCCAGATATTAATCTTTATCTCCCCCAGCTCTGGCAATGTTGAATTATGTAGATACTCGTCGTCGTCTACATGTGATGTTCAGAAACCACAGCGCAGACTCAAGGGGTTACTGCACCAGTCAATTCCAAGCTCGTAAACAACATCGGCTTCTCAGTTACAGCCGAAGAATTGATTCCTGTTACGCGAGCAGTATTTCGTCTCGAGGAGGGATCTAATATCATTCCTGCAACAAATTTGCCATCGACGCATGCCCGTCCTTCTCTGCAGTCAACCCGATACAGGTCTTCGTGCTTCCAATTGATACAGAACGCCTTGCGTACATTTTGAGAAACACCATTTAGCGTAGAAAGAGGTCGCACCTTGCCAGCTTCTGAAGGAATCCAACAAGTCACTTTTTTGTCAGCATGGGACACCTCTTCGCCAAACCCTGGGAGGGACACGCCGCCCACTGATATCCATGCTAATGTGGATTCGAACCTGACCATTCCAACTTCAAGATGAGGCCTTGAAACAAAATAACGCGTGTAGAGGAGCTGTAAGAATTGGAAATGAAAGAGGGACGCACGTGCGGGCGTGGGAATAATGATCTAGTGCGTTTTGAAATTGTAGATAGATGTTCCGTCGAGAAGTCGGAGATGATGTGTTTGAGACCACCACAATCGCTATCATGGATTCAGGAGATAATCTGACATGGTACAACGTAGGCTTGGCCTTTTCCTTCATCCTTCTCAATGCGGTCATATCTAAAATATTCAACCTGAGAATTGGTGTTTCTCTGGTGACAGCTGCGGTGCGCTGTGTAGTACAGCTAGCATTCGTTGCTACCCTCCTACAAAGTGTATTCGAGACGGATAATCCATGGGCAGTTGCGGGAATAGCCTGTGAGTTCTGTGTTTTACGAGCCACAGCAGATGTTTTAAGCAACAACCTACAGTCTTGCTTAATGTGATGGGAACCTTTGAAACAGGCGAGTAGCATTATATTCGAGGCGCTCCTGGCTAACATGTTCGAATAGTGGTTAATAAGGCGAAGCGCCGTCATGAACGAATGGTATTGCTTTGATACCACCCTTCTCGACTCCTACCTGATCCTTGCCAAACAAGTTCCGATCTGTATTATTCGGCTTTATCGGCTCTACGATCCCTGTGTCGATTATCGGAGGTCGGTATGCCATGTCCGTGGAACCCTTTTGGACCCCGTCGCAATACAGTACGATCTCCCTTTCAGGAATTAGGCTCGCCTTGAAATTCCACTAGTCCCAATTGTTGGAATGATGTGCGGAAGCACTATATCCGGGGTCGTTATCTCCCTTAACTACGTTCTAAAAGAGTTACAGTGGGTTTCATGCTTTGACGATCTTCATCGTTTCGATCACTATTTTTCTCCAGGGAAAATCGCGACAAGGTAGAGATCTACCTCGCCTTTGGGGCATCCAGAATGGAAGCCTGCAAACCAATTGCCGTAGACGCCCTCATTATGGCACTTACACCTCCCATCAATCAAATGAGGTCCTTCTCAGTTCACAGTCCACCGAAAGTTAGCTATAACTAACACCCAATTCTAGTGTCCTCGGAATAATCTCAATACCAGGGATGATGACTGGTGCCATCCTTGGTGGTTCGTCTGTTCAGCAGGCGGCAAAGATGCAGATGATAATCATGTTCATGATTTCTGCAAGCACGGCCCTCGCATCTATTTTTACCATCGCATATGCTATAAGCGTTGTGGTGGATGAAGAGCACCGGATTCGAACGGATCGCATCAATTCCAAACCACTGGCGTTATGGAAAGCCAGGTCGGCCCTTATCGAATATATAAATGCGTCTGTCCAACGCGGCTATCTGTGGGCGAGCCGTTGGAGGAGTCACATTGGAGATACCGTCCAAGGAGAAGGCGATGTGCTATTGGAGACGAGGTGAAAAGAAACACGATCAAGGACGAGATCTTTGTCAGTGACACTGAACACGCACGGGCTAACCATGGTATAATCTACACAGTATCACTAGTATAAACGCCAAAACTCTTAGTGGGAAATTGTGGTATCTAACCCTAAATCTTACATATCTACCTCCTCGACCACGGTGTAGGACTCTCTGCTACTTGCCCCAGCTCTTCCGTCAACCCGCCTGTATCGCCATCTCTAAATAGTTGATTTCCATGCAGCACCAAGTCGTTATTATCTGCCTCTATTATCCGCCGCATCCGCTGAGCAGGGGGCACGCCAAATAGCGTCTCCTCCTCTGGCCCTTCATCGTCATCATTGAACGAATCATCGAACGTTTCGTCAAACGCCCCCTCCAGATTGATACCAGCAAATGGATGAATCGGGCCACCTTCAACATCAATATCCTCGCGATCTAACGAGTCAACAGAAGTATCTGTGGAAGCAAATGAATCATCCATCGGTCCGCTTCCTTCCATGAGAAGTTTGAATGCAGCAGAAGGATGAGCAGTATTATTCACTTCGTCGTCGTCAGCAAATGAATCATCATCTTCTTCATCGCCATGATGCATAGACGCCACGAACTGTCCCACAACGACGTCACCATAAGTGTCGGTAGCGAAACCACGATTATCGTCGTACTGGGGATACGCTCGCAGTGGAGACGGTGGAGGGATCCCAGGCGTACGGTTTTTCGGCCACAGTCGCAAACCCGGGGTGGTAGCTATATTGGCCACGCCTAAATCGGCCCTATGCATCATGCTCTCCAGACTGGATTCCCCAGTAACGCTGCCACTAGTGTCTGTCCCTCCTCTGTACCGCGACAGTGACGGAGGGGTGGGTACAGTGCTCATGCTCGACTCCGTACTGTGCCCATGGAATAAATGTCGACTGTCTGCACGACGGTGGGCCTGGATATCTTGAACCAAGTCTTTCGTGATCCTTGCTGCAGCTTCTCCGGTTGGTGTTCGACCAAGAACCATCTTTCGGGAGGATTTGGGCAGGCGAGCGGGGGACATAAGGACGGGTGGTGACATGCCTGGTGGGAGGCCGTCAAAGGAGTCATCATCAGAATCGTCGGCGGAAGCACTAGGACCGGCGCGCGCCCTGTGAGCATATCCGAATCGCTTCCCGCGATGGGGAGTTGTTATGGAAGGATCGCGCAGATCAACAACGCCATTCCATTGCGAGGGCTCGGTGTTGGAAGGAAGGTACGGGTTGAGTGTTTTAGGGACGGGAGTTTTTATTTTCCCTCTGGGTTTCATGGGTGAAGCTACTGGTGAATGGGTAATGGTAGAGTCTTCACTGATAGAGTGCATATTCTGTCGAAGAAGATTTCGGAGAAGTGGCTGGGGTTCTTCTCTAGACTTTCCTTTGTTCGAAGGGGGTGGTTTGTCGCGCGACTGCTCCTGCCTTGATGGGGGAACAGATGGCTCATCTCTGGAGAAGTTTTGAAATTCTCTATCCAGACGAACCAGAGGAGATTCAACCGAAGCAGACCAAGATGCTTCTGATTCCTGGGTATCAAATGTCGTCGCCGGTCTGGCCGGCGTCGACGAGAAAGCTGCTTGGCCGGGACGGAATGAGCTCTCGGCCGATGCAATGCTGGTCTCGAAAGGACGTGCTGTAGCATGGCTAGCTTCTGCCTGGGAGTCTGTCGTAGCATGAGAGTTAGAGCCAGATTCGTGTTCAGAGGTCCGCTCATTGACGGTCGAGTAGTCGTCGACAGTAGGTATACGAATCTGGGCTGCCTGCTCGTAGAAGGATGTCCAGAACTGAAGCCAGATACATCATCATCACCTTGCCTCCTTCAAAGTAAAACAGCCACGTACCTGTGCCGCCTCCCTCACCGGCTCCGTCGCGACCGCGTAACGCTTTACCGCAGGCAAGATCTTGTTGGCAAGCACGTTATGGATCTTGGAAAAGTTTTCATCGATGGTCTGGCTCCGCCCTGCGTTAGCTTACCGCAATCTTGGTATATCAGCGACGCACCTGTAGTTTGATGGTGATGAGCTGCTCTATCTGGTCAATCTGGTCGTTCACTGACGCTGTTGTATCCAGCCCGGGGACTTCGATGGACGCGGGGTCCGGATTCGGCTGCCACCTTGGTGGATTTGGCGGTATCGGTCGGCGCTGCTTTTCTGACATGGGCTGGGCAGACTGAGAGTTGGGTATCTTACGGTAGTGGTGGCGGTGAACTTGAAGAATCTGCAGATCGACGCGCTCACGCCGCGTTCATCACGCTCGTTTCTCACGTTCGAACTACCATCATCACCTCCAGCAACGAATGCGGCTTCGGAGTAAGCAGGCAGTTTTTTTAAAGGAGAACTTAGAGGGCGCCTTGTTGTGTTCACATCACTCGTCTGAGGGTAAGTTGTGGATCGATATTAGAAGCATAGGTCTAAATGAATAACTTCATCTTCTCCAGATACATAATTAAAAACTAGTCTTGGTAGGCGTCACTGGTTTCGAATGGCTGCAAGACACTTATAGACCAATGGCGAGCCTCAGCTAGTACGGACTAAAAGTAAATCCTACACTGGTCCGGCACTGCCATAACGTAGTGCCATCAAACGACGAGTAGCTGTGGATGGGTACCTATTACAGCACATATAAGTGCTCCCTATTCCTTCAATCAATTGATAACAAAACTTGTCCGGAAATGTAGTATAATGTTGCCTCGGGATCATCACATTGACCGACCATAGTGCCAGTATCGTCGACGGTGCATGCCCCGGTACTGCCCCGTAATCGGGTTGATCAGTCAGAACGTTCTGTCCACCTATTGTCCTAGTCGACGAAACCGAAGTTAACATCCGCGAAAATTTGCCGTTGCTAATACATTCAGACGGTTCCTACTCGTACGCATCACCTTGGCTCAAGTTATCTCTCCCCTAATTGTCGATGATGAGGATGTTCTTGGCATGGAGCGGTGACGAGAAAGATAATCGTGTCTAGATTCTGCTGTGTTGGGGGGGGGAGTCCGATGCTGCTTAGCGTCACTGGCGATGATTCCCTATGACAAGAATGCGGCGTACCATTGGCCCTAATGAAGTCCTCTTGAAATATCTGTGAGTGCGGCGTCTATGTGCATCACGGGTGCGAACTTCATGCCTACAAAGGCAATATCCAACTTCACCCACCTCTCCAATAACATAGTTTTCTGCTTTTACGCGTCAGCACAGACTATGGCAGGTCGAAAACGATGCCCCACATTGGTATAGGGAATTTCTCTTGCCGAGAGACTTTGACGGAGGAAATTGCATATTGTCCATTACTGATCCAGTAACTGATCATTCTTTCAAGTTCCCGATCTGTTATTTGGCCAAAGACTGGGAATTACAGCACAGTCCTTCAGTGTGGCCACAATGTAGAAGGGTTCGACCCAAACAGGACCATTTGACATCCATCCACTTGGGTCTATCCCGACCTGTTAGCCAAAGCGGCAGCCTGAGTGCTACCGCTTTCCCTTCCGGCGTCAGCGTATTCGTCCTGTCAAATGATAAGTAAAATGTAACTATTCAAACAGCGGCGTGGGACTGACTCCGAAGGCGACCACAGTGGTGCTAGAGCCCAAATCGAGACCAGCGTTCACGTTTGCGACCCTTCCCGGCAAAGTTCCACAAGCTAGATCGATGACTAGCCGGACACCAGCTGCATGTGACAGTTCAGAATGAGCAGACCTCTGGGCGTTCATCTATTGCTTGGCAAATTCTAACGCTGGTGTTTATATTGCAACATGTTCGCGACCTCGACCTTCCGAGAATGTATTCCATTGCATTTGAAAAGTTCAAGCCAGGGCAGTTTTAATCGTGATGTCTCTGACGGATAGACCCGATCAATACAACGTTCTTTCTGACGAGGTCGAAGTTGGATATTTCAAGAACTATCTTTTCGTGGTTCGCATGCACTTAAGACGATTGTGCATCTCTTCTCACCACAGACGGCTAAGCTCTTTGTTCGAAGCTGTTGCTCATGAGAAGCGCAACAACAACGCGTCGGTGAGTCCAACCATGCCTACGTTAACGGACCTTGGCCTAGTAACAGTGGAACGCCCCGATCACCGTCTAGTGGATGATGTGTACTGCGGGTTTGAACTAATAATACTTAGAAACAAACCCAGTTTACGAGTTGTAAACAAAAGGAGTACTCCAAGGACCCTGCATGAGGAATTTCTTGGAACGAATGGCACTCCGCAGGCTGAAGCTGTTATGTCAGACCGGATGCATACTCGCTTATATTCGATCTATAAGTAATATTCCAGTCAGCCTTGGCTGAAAGCGCAGGCACCGATTGTCTAGTTCGAATCGTTGGCCTGACATCGGTACCGAAGCCCGTTCGGCTGCGAGGGCGTGCCTGAGGGCGTGCTTGAGAGCGTCCACTCGGACCCTTCCCAATCGAATGCACTTTACTGAGCTTGCCGCAGGAAGGGTTTTATTCTGATCGACTCTGAAAGGAGAACAGACCAGGAGGCGTGAATTTTCTTGGAATGATATATTTATGTAATAATTTTGAATAATTAAAATACATATTCACGGCCTGGCGGGGCAGCAAAGATCGACGTCAGTGCAAACCTTGACGAGGGTTTTGACTTATTTTGTTTGTCTTCTATCCTGACCAAATCCCGACTGCTTTGTCACAATGTCATCGGCCTTCTGGTGGCGTGGGTAAAGTAATGACAGTGCTGGCCGCGGGGCAGAATTGAACGAGCGCGATGTGGGAGAGAGAGAAGGGAATAATGGCGTAAAAGGCGAAGGGGGGAAAGATTTGATTCCGTGACTCCGTCACGTCGTTCCCGGAAAAAAAGGTCTCCGTAGGAGATTTGGTGACGGTTACCGCACGTGAGGTTACGCTTACCTTTTACGCTACTATTCTCCGCGGCTCTTTTTTACTTTTGACTCCGTTTACTAGTTTCTGTTCCGACGAGTACATAAACGCCACTCTCTGTACCAACCTTTTCTCTCTTAGACACTCGATAGAGGATTTTTACGATTCGTCTCTCTCGTCCCACTTCGAGTTCTCTCTCTTGTTTGCCGCTACTGCCAACCCAGTATCGTCACACATCATCATGTCTCCCGACTACAGTCACGGTGTCGAATATTCCCCATCTACTGTATCCGCTGTGGCCTTCAAGGCAGAAGATCTAGAAGGCTGGGGCGTAGGTAAGTGCCGTGCTCAATATGTAGGGAATCCTAGGGAATCCAAGCTAATCGGGCTCCATCAAGCCTATGTTCGTCTGACATGGATCGACCTCACTAGTGTCATCAGATACAGGGTTATCCCCATCACTTACTTCCTTAAAATGCTCAAATCCCAGCGACCCAGTATCGCCATGGCCAAATGTGCATTCGGCCTGGTGTATCTCAACATGGCCGACGAGTTTTCTCCTGTGGGCGAATATCTTTACGTGATTGATCTCTCTACCCTGAGGCTATGTCCGTATGAGGAAAGAACGGCCAGCGTTATGGGCTGGTTCCAGGAAAAAGCACCCGTTACCAGCGCAGATGGCCAGCCTACCGTTGAAGTCAGTATTTGTCCTCGAGGTAACCTGCGCCGCGTCGTCGAGTAAGTAATCTTTTTTCTGTTCATACCTGCCGTAACCTTATTTTCTGCAGACAAGCCAGGAAAGACGCCGCAGTTGAGTTCCTCGTCGGTTTCGAAATCGAGTTCATCCTCTTAAAGTCGACGAAACCTGTTGAGGCAGTCAACTATCATCATTGGAGTGCCTCTGGCGGCCTTCCTTCTGGAAGTATCGAGACCAAAGTCCTTCGTGAAATTTCGGATTCTCTGATCATGGCTGGAGTCGATGTTACAATGTACCACGCTGAAGCGGCGCCTGGTCAGGTCTGTACCTCCGCGCTTATTAACTTGAGTAATCCCTGACCAAAATCGCTACGTCAGTACGAGGTTGTCACTGGACCCTTGCAGCCTCTGGAGGCAGCTGATGCGCTCGTCTATACTCGCGAAACTATCATCAACGTCGCTGCGAAACACGGGCTCCGAGCTACATTCGCTCCTCGTGTCTACATGGACAGTGCGGGTAGCTCTGCCCACGTTCATATCTCTGTTCATCCTATCAACGGCCCTGAAAAGTCCGCAGACGCGCTTTCCTCCGCCGAGTCTTCCTTCATTGCCGGAATTCTCAAGGAATTGCCTTCCATGGCCGCTGTCACTCTTCCAACCCCATCGTCGTACAAGCGGGTCGCCGATGGCGTCTGGTCTGGCGGAACTTATGTTTGCTGGGGTACAGAAAATCGCGAGGCGCCTATCAGGTTGACCAACCCCAAATCGCCATCTTCGCGTAACTTTGAGCTCCGTTTCCTCGATGGAACCTGCAATCCATATCTGGCTCTGTCTCTTATTTTGGCATCTGGGACGGCTGCGATCCTGGACCAGAAGGCGTTGACCTTAATAGATTGCCCTGGACCACTGACCGCTGCACAAATGAGTGCGGAAGAGCGAGAGGCACATGGAATCACGGATCGTCTGCCCTTGGATTGGCACTCTGCTAGGGAATTATTTACATCTTCTAAGCTTATAGAAAAAATCTTTGGCAAAGAACTGAAGGTCAAATACCTCTCCGTGAACAAGGTTCGTTCCAACTGGTGCCTCCACAGTGGTCATAATCAACTAATTCGTATTCCTTTTCCTTCAGCTGCTTGCACAATGTTTAGAACAAGATAAGGAAGAGTCAGACAGGTTGACGCGCATGGTGGAATTCTATTAATATGTCTGCCACATTTAACACCCTCGGGTAGCCAGCCATCTGGCAGACTGTAATACTATTCGCATTGTATGCTGATGATTTTTGATGATGAAGTAAACGCCGATCCCCTCCTTCCTATCAGGAATGAGAGCAAGCGCCGCTCTTTTGCAACTACGCGCCGATGGTCCGCCGAATTTTAAGCGTCGCGTAGAGGTCTATGACCCTGATGCCGGCAAATGCATTATCGCAGGAAGACCATCGCAGAGACGGGGTAAACAGTGCTTACTGATATTCTTTCCCAGGTCGATGCACACTACCATTAGATATTAATTTATAGCTTACATGTGTTGCTAAATATTCTTCTCTCCCTTCCTGCAGTCCCCTTCGTCGGGAATGCCATCTTTTCATAATACAGAGTATTGGATGGAGGCGAGAGCAGAGCGGAATGCTTAAGGTAGGCCACTCTTCTCTATGGCGGCGATTCTTTGCTAACAGGGGCCTCATATCAGTGGCATGTGCTGCACTGCATACTGCAAGATCCCTGCATCCAACCATGCTAATAAATGTAATTCTTCTGCACGCAGTTCTTCAGTTCGAAGCAGAGGTATTTATGTCATTAACCATCGAAAAGGATCGCTTGTTGAACCAATTTTGTTGGTTTCTTTTGGGTACACTAATCTTTGGTCTCAAACGGTCCAGTGTCTTACCTTTACTGACCCTTTCATTTTACAACAGCGACGATGGTATATTGTTCTTATGGGTGTAAACTGTCCGAATCTTTCGCATCAGTCCTACCCAGGAATGCCGAGCCGATAGTGCGGCGCTGCTTTTAATGCGTGTGTATTCCAGACAGTCAAGAGCTATATCTGAGTACAGAGCCATGTGCAGGTCAAAGCCAAACGCTGTTAGTACGTGCATTTGCGATCCTAAACCTGCCGAATATTTGCTTTTTTTTAAAAAATAAAAATAAAAATCAGTTTGTCTCATTTCGCATCCTTCTTTGTTTGTCGACTTCAAAGGGATTTCTGCGGCTCATTGATTTCATCTTGCTAACCCCGACAAGGCCTTGATCCGGTGTCTCCCCAGATGTTCGTCGCATCATTTTAATATTCCATCGATTCTTTGATCTGATTGCGGCCCACCTAGATTTCACATTCATTTATAGGCACAGAATACTGGTGCTAGCTTGCAAGCCATTGCTTCCCACGGTAAAATAATTCCTCAGATTTATCTCCATGGACTCAACGGAACGTCCTGGTCATCTTGGAACACGACCGTAGGCGAAATTCATGTAAGATACTCGGATTATTAGTATGATTCATTCTTATCCTCCGCCTCGCACGTGTTCTTGGCATTTTCTGGGTCCTACTGGCCGCACTGGAATGCTTGACAATGTACCTCATATTCGGCCTGTCGGGATCCGGAGCGATAGCTGTGAATAAATTTGTTTAGCTGAAGAAATACCTGAAGGACTATACAATCACAAACGACCCAGTCCCCGGTTTGTTTATGTGCGCTGACACGGATCCCCCGGACCACCATTGGGTCGTGTCGGTATTCTAACAATTGAGAGCATTGTACTCTCTCTTGCACTCCGACAAGCGTGGCTACATCGGCCTTCCGATAGCGACGTAGATGCGGAAGTTAGTTAACACGCGACTCTGTTATTTATTTCCTCGTGTAAGCATTGCTTGCTGCTCGTGTTTTATTACTATATTATCTCTTACTTACGTTCGTCGTAGGCTTTTTGGGATATACTTGACCAATCTCATGTTCTGGATTAGGAACCGCGTGTGCTAGCTATTTTGATACAGGAACCCTCAATGAATTTGGGACCACTTTTGCCTTTGCCATCTCCTCGTTTGTGATATCTGTTTTGTAGGGCTCACTGCATATTTGAGCAAGAATCGCAGCTTTCAGAGGTAACCATTAAGATACAATGTAGAAGACTAAGGATACCGATAATTATGATATCATAAAACCACAGAATATCACGAGGAGCTTACATGAGATCGTAGGCGTGTGAGTAATAAAGTCATATTCCCGTACTTTCCTAGCTGAATTCTTAGGAAACATATGATATATACCGTCACTGCGGTTTCTAGGCCCAGACTATCCTTTTCTGAAACGTTTTTTTCACATGTCGAACATTCGTATTACTCCTCGTTGCTTCCGAAGTCCTGCCTTCAATGGTACTAGACACTTCACCTTTTACTCATGCTTGCGACGTGGCGAGCTTCTTATCGCTAATTTAGCATAAGTCTATCACACGTCAGTGGACTGTCGCTAACCTAACGATGTTGCAGACAGATCAATCACTACCCACTACGCCCAGCTGCGCTTTTGGCTCACTGTCGCTGCGCCTTTGAAGCAATCCTTTAATGATCAACCTTGACGCCCCTTCACCGGTCTAGCTCGGCTAGGTACTGGGGCGAATAAAGACCTCAAGAGAGTATATGGGTACAGTGGCTTTTCTGCTAGAATCGTAGGTAGGCCCTAAGTATCTCCAGTAAGTACATCCCTCCTCGGCCTGCGTTTCATACACCACCCCATATAACCTTCTTTTGCCGAAGCCCCGGTTGTCAATGATTCGATCAGTGCCTGAGACCCTTTCTTTCATTATTTCATCTCAGACCAGAATCAGAAGATACCGGGAGAGCATCTTTTTCTTCATCGTGGCAGTATCTATCAATTCGAGGATGAAACGGTAGGAAAGATCTAGCGGTCTGTTGTCCATAGGGATATTCGAGTCTCTTGTTTCAACGTTCCGGACAACTTGAACTGCTGTATTCCTGCGTAGCAACGACTGCCACTCCACCCATCAATATAATCACGGGTGTATACGTCCATAAGGTTCTCAAACGGTTTTCTCTGTCGGCTGCTACCCGATAGGAATCCCTCTGATCTCGGGTTTACTGACTGGTCCAGTTCTCGGGAAATACTGACTGTACCCAGACGTTTTTATGCGCTTGTCTCGACTCATTAGGACATCCCGGTAGTATTACTGCTCCCGTCATTGCCACGCCACTTCACATTCACCTTAAAGCATGTAGCAACGCCCATTGATTACCGATTATGATATCTCTATCTGGACCATAAGGTACGCATGATGTCGTTACAGGTTCTCTTATAGTTTAAATACTTACAATCCAACACCTTACCTTTCCAGCTTCCCCCCATTCCTTCGTCGGCGACATTGAACACTTCTCTACCACTTTCTTTAACCAACATCCATCATGCTCTCTACTTTGTCGTTCATCGCATTTTTCGTTTCCACAGTTCATGCTGGAAAACGCGGCCTAGCGTGGCCCTACTGTGCGTTCGAATATTGGTCCATGAATATATGTCTGACATATTTTACCCCGTCGACAGACAACAGCCCCTTGTACGGCGACGGTACCCATACGTGTTCCCAAACTTACTCTGTTTTTTCAGGAATCCCGGAAAGTTCAACACCGGAAACGGAAAGGTGAGTTGGCGACCATGATTGTGAGTGTTCCTCCTTACCAATCTAATTACTTCATGTAGGTCGTCGCAATGTCCGTCAAATTTTACCAAAAATTTACTATGTGAATGCATCAATCTCACATCGAGCGTAGCTACGATTGGGAAACTTACGCTCCCCCTTCTACCAATGGCAACGGGGGGTTGGGATTTATCGGAATGCAGCGTTGCATGGACTGTGATTCAAGTCCCATTGCGGATCTGGCTTCCCGACAGGCCGCTCAAGGCTGGGCTAGTACGTCATGATTTTGTTGCTGGAATTGTTCGTACTTCCGTCTAAGGTCCCAACGTTAGCCGTATTCACCCTAAACGAGCCTGATGCTGCCGGGACCAGTGCCAGTGATGCTGCGGCTTGGTACATTACCTACGTCAACCCGCTGGTAGGTCTAAAAATTCACACGGTCTTGGAACTAGAGGCTAACTGCGCAGTATAGTCCATTAAGAAGGCGTTTCCCGCGGTTACCTCTAGCACCTCCTCTGGTGAGGGTCTATCCTGGCTTTCGGAAATGATCAGCGCGTGTGCTGGTGAATGCTACGCTGACTACATCAATTTGGTACGGTTGGAATTTCCACTACTAGTTTCTTCAGCCTAAATTAAAGCATACGATTTAGCATTGGTATGGGTGAGTTGATTTCGTTCGCGTAATCGGACATGTTTTTACGTAGCACGAACCCTACAGCTCGAGCTTTTCTGATTTCCAAAGCTATGTCGAGTCAGCCCGTGAGAAGTTTCCCGTGAGTTCTTATCGATTATCATGCAGATAATGGACTTACGGTATATTCTCAGAGCTACGACATTGTTATCACCGAATTCGCTCTGACCAACCCGTCCGGTGGTGCGACTGCTCAGTAAGGCCCAGTTTTCCGGATTTCTGATAAGCGATTGACTTCTTTTCTACTCTTCTCTTAAGGGCATCGTTCTTTACCGAGGTAAGTAGACCGAATCTTTTGCACAATTTTGAGGTCTAGCTAAACCTACAATAGGCATTCTCCTGGCTAGACTCTCAAGACTACGTCGTCTTGTATTTCCCCTTCGTCGCAACGTCACCCACCCTCATGTCCTCCTCCGACGCAACTGCCCAGTCTTATGTCGGCACTGGCTCATGCCTCTTCAACACTGATGGTTCACTTTCAACGATTGGCAACCTTATGCTATCTTAACTTATGATTATTTTTATGTGCCTTTATACAGAAAGGCCTTCGGTCGAGCCTTTTCCGAGTTGAACCAATTGAATTATGATTAGAACGCCTCGTGTGTACATCCACTGTGCAACAGGTGGATATCGGAACTGGCTTCCGGACCCGTTCTTACAGGTTACATATTGTTATATAGTACATACGTCATCCGCCCCATCGAATGAAATGAAACTTCTTTGATCATTCGATCATGAATGCATGATTCTTCACGAACGACTTTCGATCAAAGTCCATCGGATACTTGAAGAGAGACAACAGTCACGCTCATAGCTGGGAAGGTATAGTTAAATCTCCCCAGCTCGGGTATGGCGAAGCTGGAAGCAACGGGTATAATAAGGTCAGGCTTCTCGAGGGTATTCGCCACATCGAATTGTCCACTAATCGGACTTAGAGTGGGAGTACTGATGGAAATCGCGGTACCGAATCCCGTGAAGGAGAAATCCAAGTAGATGTCAGCCACCAAGTCGGTGGTCCCCACATTTGCAACCTTCAAGGGAATTATTAGTGTCAGAAGAGATGCTAATTGTACTTCATACCTTCAAGAAGACAACCTCGGTTTTATTGTTGTAGCTCGCCACCCAGAATAAGGGTTCCGTTTCGATGGTTGACACAGGGAAGGTCTCTAGAACATGTGTTCCTCGGTTGACACTAAACATCTACATGGACCGATAATTAAGAGCAACACCAATGGCAGACGGCCGAATAGTAACTTACTTGTTGCACGTAGTAAGAGGTAGACTTGACGACGCGGCTTGAATCATATGTCAAGATGTCCGGCGTCCATTGATAGTTCCTAATGTGCTGTAATGATGGCGCGTCTGAATGTCCGAGTGAGATCCTAGTGTCAACAAGACCAAAATTTGCTTACAAGCACTAGCAAAGACAACATCACAATTTCGCTCCAATCCAGTCATAAATGCCGCTTCTGCAACGGCGCCTCGAAGGGTAGGGTAGGGCAAGCGACCATCGGAGATAGCGCCCAGGAGGTCGGTACTATTTGTCGACGTAACTAGTTCCGTGTTACTGGAAACCAAGGCACGCTGTAAGCATTCGACGCACCGGCGTATTCTCCAATGAAAAATTTGGTGCCGTTACGCGGATAGTCATCAAACATAAACGCATGGGTTGTGAACCAGCTCGGGTCGGCATATTCGTGGAAATCAACTTGGGATTGTACATGTCAGAGTTTGAGATGACACATAGCAACGAACTGACTCTTGAGATATGCCGGATTGAGTGCTGTAGACGGGTAAGTGGTCGCAATGAATTCAAATTGTCCGGGAAATCGGTTCTCGATAGCGGACACAAACGAATTCCAGCGGTATCCAGCATAACTGGGGAAACAATTGTGTGAGCAGGTATTTGAAGTTCCATGAAATAAAACACACGATTCTGGTTGGAACTACATAGCGTCACGCTAAATGAGATCACAAGCTACACAAGTTTCACGGAATGCCTTACCTGGTCCTCGTTACCTCTGAAAATGACATTTAAGCACAATATAAAAACCGAGCAAAGAGACCGCGTACACTTCAATCAATCGGAGCTGATAAGGCTCCGTCCTCCCTAGACTAGCACGCAAATGCCCCCATACACTTGTCCTCGCATCGCCAACAATGAAATCAATCTCATTCAAAGCATCGTCTATGAATGGTTGAAGGTCATCTTCAGGTACGATCGGCCATGTTGCAAGATCAGAATAATTAGATATTGAGATCCCGCTCCAAATACCTTCGAAACATGTCATCAAACTCAAGTTATTATGTCACATAGAGGATACTTACCGAGGATGGGCTCCTAGTAGCAGGCAAGTGGTCAGTGATCGACAGTATGACCCTTAATAAGGCACCTACTGCCCCAAGGTCTTCCACCCAGTTCAAGTACTCCAGAAGACCCTAATTGTAAACGCTCAACTCGATTTGATCATCACCACGAACAGTGCTACCTACCAGTCCATCCGTATTAGGATAACCTATAGGATGCACGTAAGCAGGACCATCGTATTAGACACGGGAAGTTGGACATACCCCAATCACCAATGCGACCAGGGCGTTCCTCAAGACTAAAAGAGGTATCAGCACCGAAGAATTGAAGACACCATAGCGATACTGACGGTCCTAATGTCTCGTTCCATTTCCAACGCGAATCGAAACTGGCTCCCTGAAAATTCATTATCAACAGCGTTCTGTTCGCGAGTTGCCCGCATCTTAATCGTGCCCGCACCTCTAGATTGTTACCCCCCGGAAACCTCCAAACGGAGGGATGAGTGGCAGCTATGGCTTCCGCCAAGTCAATTCGCATACCATTTTCACGCCCTCTAAAAGTCGGCGGAAACAACGAGAACAAACCAAAGAATATCGTTTGGCCCGCAGCTTTGCTTCCATCGAGGACAACACTGAATACGTTGTCATCACTCGGGGCGGAGACAGCAGGCTGTAATTCAAAGGTAAGTTTCTGCCATTCCAAGGATACTCCGTCTAATGTTTTTGACGCATATATTGTCCCTTGGGCTGACTTCAGAGACACTGTTAGAGGACCAGTGAAATTGCCCGACTTCACATAGAAAGATCCTTTGTAAATCCATCCAGCCTGAACCTTGATGCCTTTCAAACGATCGTAAGCTATACTACGAGACGATTGGTGCCGGTAAAATTTACCCCAATAACCAGAATTTTCGAACCCAATATCTCCGAAAACAACCTTGGGTATTTGGACTTGCAAGCTGTTCGGTAGCGAAGAAGATACGCCATCGGTTTGTGAAGTGACCGACAAACGTGCACCATTGTATGGCTGCCATGCGTTTAACCTAAAGATCAGTCAATTATAGATTGACTGGAAGTCGGGTGCGCTGACGCGTTTTGGGTGCCGGGGATAACGCCTTGAAGTGCCCTATTCTGCAGCAGTTCACCGTACAGACCACCGTCCCCACTAACAGATCCAGATCAAGCAGAAGCTCGAGAGATTGCGGTGAAACAAACCTGTGGTTTATATCCTGCCCGACCAACGTTGATGAGCGAATGCCAGAGTGAATGAATGTGACTTACTTCCCACATGTATCCATACAGTGTTGATGGAATCTCATGTACGAGGTTCGTTGTGATCGTCAGATCAAGAGCATTAGGAGCAACCAAAGTCGATATAGCCGGGAGAGCAGAAAGCACGACAAGCTTAAAGGATGTGCCAGACGGACGCATGTTGCGAGCACCCCTACCAGGCTAGTTGCTCTTCTCATTATAAATGAAGTGGCCTTGGACACGGACCGCTGGAAGTAATATAGGACCTCCATGACCAAATAAAATCAATCTCATGACTGCGAAAATTAGTGATTGTTCGCCCAAGTAGCGAACAACTGAGCGTCCAGAAGATCATTGAAAGTCCCTGTGGCTTTGTCGGACCGCCCATCAAGAAGACATCGTCTTCTTAGATGCACAGAAGCGGGACCTCTGTGCCAGTGTCTTAGCCAAAGAAGAAACTACCAATAAGTTTCATAGTCCTGGTCCACCAGACAACAGCTTACCGGAGAGATTAAAGATATACTATTCCTCAGCGGAGAGTTGGCGATGGAAAGAGGAGCGTAGCGCTTCTAACCACGGAGTACGACTTATCATGATGGTGGTCGATTTGTGCAGCTGTCGGGATCTTCGGTCCGTTATCCGATGTGTGGCTGTTGACTTTGCCAAATACCAAATAATGTTTTGACTCTTACTCTCTTCGTTGATGATAAAAAGGACGAGCGCTTGCCTCAACGTATTCAGCATGACACGAAGAGCTCTCTCCACTTCCCCTCCTAGAAATGCAAAACGTGCCAAGATAGAGCATTTAACTCTTAATGACTTCAAGGACGGCGTTTTTCTGGCACCAATGGTGCGCTCTGGTGCGCGTATGTTTGAGCCTATAAAGATGATTTCGAGAATATTCTCATCTTTAATCGCAGTTCCCACTCGTTTATTTGCGCTGAAGCATGGTGCTACTTTAGTTTGGGGACCAGAAACTGTCGACAAAGCTATCCTTCACGCGACGAGAAATGTTGACCGTGTGTAATACCTTTCTATGCTTCATACCTCTTTCCTGAATGCTCTTGTAGCTGTAACCGGCGTCATAACTTACGATGGAAAATCTAAGGCCATTTTCTCCACCCATCCCATCGAAAAGCCCTACCTGATCTACCAGATTGGATCATCCGACCCAGAATATGCTGTGAAGGCAGCTCAGACCGTCATGAACGATGTCTCTGGTATAGACCTCAACTGTGGATGCCCCAAGCCATTCTCTACCCATGCCGGAATGGGCGCCGCTCTCCTCACCAACCCTGATCTCCTATGCTCAATACTAACGGCTTTACGGGCCGCTATGCCTCCGGAAATCACAATCTCAGCCAAAATCCGACTACTTCCTTCGCAAGAAGAGACTCTAAAGTTGGTGGAACGGATAGTAAATACTGGCGTCAGCGCATTGACGGTTCATTGCCGGACGAGGAATATGAGGGATAGGGATGCAGCCCTGATTCAAAGACTGAAGGAAATTGTTGATTTTGTTAAGGGGGTGGGGAAGGGTGTCGCCGTTATAGAGAACGGTGATTGCCTCAGCGCTGAAGATGCAAAGAGAGTGAGAGAGGTTACAGGTCCGTCAGCTTTTTTTCGTCAGTAGGGGATCTAAATCGAGTGACTTTTGTTTCAGGGGCTCATTCAGTAATGATTGCTCGAGCTGCGGAAGCTAACCCTTCATGTTTCTCAAGTACTCCATTAACTGACGTGGAGCAAACCTTGGTCCCGGATTACCTTCGTCTCGTAAGTTTTTTTGCACTACCCTGGTGTATTCTGATATATTTTTTTCAAGTCACGATACCTTAATAACCACTGGAGTCTGACGAAATTCTGCGTTTCACAATTTAAAGGTCACCACGTCAACTATACCAAGAAGCAAGAACATGCCTTAAGGGAAGCCATCGTCAAAAGTCGTAGCTTCGATGAGGTCGAGCACATCGTTGATTCCTGGACAGGAGAACAAGTGTTCCGGGAAATTGCTGGTGCTATTGGAGCGCGCCCGTCGAGACGAAGCACACTTGAAACCGAGAGAGATGTGGATGTCACGCCTACTGGCACGAAGAATCCAGAACCCCCGACATCAAAAGCTCCTTTGATGAACGAGTTTACGTCGGTTCTCCCAGCTCTGATATCTGGCAAGGACCCCCTTACACCGACACCTAGTGTGACATGGTGATCTTGCTGCTTGGTGTCCGGGAGGTGCAGAACTAGTCTCTTGCCAGCATGCCAGCAGACATACTGTATCATGTTCTAATGCTCACAAGGCTGAGGATGTACTTAGCTTCTCATGTGAATGTCGTCTTTGATTTTGTGATATCTGCGCTCAAGCGATTGATGCAGCACGTGTGCCTATCACTCTACATTGACGCTTGCTCATTGTAGGGACTGGTCAGAATCGTCAAGTACTTGGAATAGATGCCCGAATGGCTGGAACAGGGCTGGGCAAGGACTGGACAAAATCGGGCTCCGGTATCCTGTATCATCGCAACATTCAGATAGGACATTGTTGTCCACGGAAGCAGCAATTATACCTGTGACACGCATATTTATTGTTCCGATATCGTTTTTCAGGCGCTCGAGTTCGCAGACTCGTCCTCCAGCTGAGTCACGTAACAGTCAACTCAACGTAGGACTTCTTAACCTGCAACGCTACCCATCTATTCTACCATGACCGACGCTCACGCCTTTGTAACCAATACCCCAGGGAAAAGGTTTTCCGTACGTGTCATTGGACTTGAATTCAGCTCTCAGTGCTCATTTTCTTCAGGGTTGGTGGGTCTGCAAACACTGAAGACCGGAAACAAACGATCGAGCGATACAGGCTATCACAGATGACGAAGCTGAACAGAGTTCGCACATTCAACGCTGCCTTCAAAGACGCGGCCGAAGTCTTTAGCTACACATCCAATGACACATGAGTGGTCTGGATCGTCGCTCCCGCGTTTTTCGTTTCAAACGCGTTCTTGCGAGACATGCCTCAAGTCGCAGGCCGCGATGTCCACCCGTACGAATTCTCCTGCATCTTACGCCAGGGCTTTCGTCACATGGTCGATCCGATAGAGAAATTGGTAGACCCAAGAGTTTCGCTGTCCGACAATTACTTTACCAAGGACTATTATGGATTCTGAGGTGGTGATGCAGAAGTAAATCATTTTCTTTTCATTCGTAGATGCAGAGTACAATTATTACCGGATCCGGTGACTGAATCACTGAATTAGACAGTCCGACTAAGAGGCCCCAGCGGGCCTGCAAAGGGGCAGGTCACTGAACCACCGTTGCTATTTACATCAGCTATATCGTGGGAGCATTTATATCGGCCAAGATTGGCTAGGCATAGATCGTGGGTGCTGGATTTCGCAGGTTCGAATTGAAACATTCATCGTTTTTGAATAGGTCTTTCTGAGCAAGCTGATGAAACTAAACGACGGGTTGCTGAAAATATCGAACACGTCACAGAGGAAAACCAGTGTATCCCGAGTTATCATCCCGCCTTCGAAGACGCAACCTTCGTCTTCGTCTACTGCAACCCATCGAGTATCAGCGAGTCTGTTTCGATCGTTCATCCTGCATTTGCACGAACGAATGCTTTCTTGTTGGACAATCTATGTTGCAGGTCGAGAGGTTCATGTTGGATTAGCAAGCAGGAGCTCCGTCGTATCCCGCCGGCCGAGCTCGATACCCCTTTATGTCGGGATGGACAATATATACCGAATATGGACCGTCGAGCACCCTCACCGCGTTTCTGCTTATCGCTACGCTGTATGAGGGTGAGTATCTACTTATGTTACTTCGTTTATGTTACTGATTGGTATCCTATAGTCTACACTATAGCTAACAGTGTACTCTATTAGGTGCTACGAACGCGCGTCACTTTCTTAGAGTTCATCCTTTCGAATACAGCCCACCGTGGCAAAGTGAAGGCATACAATCGGTGAGCTACCCGCGTCACATAGAGGATCCACTGCGCGTCAAAAGTCTGAATCCTCGTGTCCCACCATCAGATGATGACCTATTGGTTTTGAGAGAATGGTGGCTTAACATAATTGGGGTCCGAATGTATGTGTGTGGCGTCATTAGTCTCCTCGTACACCAGTGGGACGACTGTCAACGGATTGCAGTATTTGGATGGTCAGGAACAATAGGGGGATTGCTCACTCAAATCGAATGCGCTCAGAATATATTGAGCCTTCAGTTGACAAGACACCTTTTAGGTTGCAGGATCGTGCACGGAGACGTTCTCCCTGGACTAGTGCGAAACAAATCGGGTCGACTGGGCTTCGCATTCGAGGTCGGTTTGGGTCAGACAAGAGTACCATGTCGGATGCGTTAATGACCGACACCATTCTTTCGTTTATGCACCATCCGGCATCTCCCTGAACTCTCCACTTACGGATGTCCTAATGCAAGAGATCCTATCAGACTTGGCACGCGACATACTTATTATAGTCAAGGTTTGCATCGCGTCGACAAAGGCTTGCCGTGCGCTATGTGGTTGGCCATCTGTATCCTGGGTATTGGCTCGATTTGTAGGAGATACCTCTCCGCTGGGAAAAGAGGTACACACTTCAACTCGGAAGGCAAGCTTCATCCCGCAGTTTCAAAAGGCGTGCTAAATCGCTCAAATTATAGGTGGGCAAAGTAACTAAATGTTATGACTCACCTTCTCTATTGTTTATCTATCCGTTTGGATATCGACATGACTTGTCGCTGATCACAGATGTAGCACTACCACCAGTTACAGTTCCTCCGGGATTACCCATCATCACCGGGTTTGAGCCTACATTCGACACTGCACTTCGGCTTGGCTGTCCCCTTCACGTCAAGGTACTGTTTGGATACGCAGACTGAAGAATTACCGGTCCTGGCACAGGCGTCATCAGCCACACAGTACACTTGGGAGTCCGAGTCTGAAACCAATGCCATTTCTCGCCGCTTACTGTGGAGATCAACCAACGAAAGCGATACTACGGGCTCTGTGCTTTGTTTGGGCTCGCCAGGAGTCCATGAGACACAGGCGGTGGCATTTCAAAATTTCGACGTAAAAATATCGCTGTCATTGCTGCATAGATACAAAGGTGGGTTTTCTTTGCCGAAGGAGGTTCTGGAATCTGATGTGGTGATGCAACGGCTTCGAGTATGATGAAAGAAAAGAGTATGTTCCGTCTCGCGGAGTCAACTTTTCACGACCGATCGTCTTCCGTGCCATGGACATAATACAGCTTCACCTATAATGTTTATTGCTTCGATTATTAGTAGTGACGTCTCTGAACTCAGCGGCAACGAGTTCTGGTCGTATATATTTGGTTTGTACATACTTGGTCCTTCCTAATAACAAGCTACAGATTGAATTATATATCTCAAGCTAGCTACAGGTCTGAAAATTGATGTAGGTATGAAAAAAGAGGGTGCCAGCAAGAGGAAAGAAAGACCTGTACTACGATTAGATTATCGGTCATCATCAACATGCTCAACAGAATCAACAATCTCATTGACGAGCTCCATTGTCATCCCAGGTATGACTCTCTCTGCATGGGTGAATGCTCGTTGGAGGGCGCTCAAAGCGACTCGAGCCTCTTGGGAGGTTACTCGGGGGAACAGCTACACGAAAAGAATTATCAGTAACAGTGCGTGCCGCATATGAAAAACTTGTCAAGCTAACCGAAGCTATAGCCGGTAAGATAACGGAATCCAACATCGTCGTGTCCGGCACCTCATCTTCCAACTGAGCCTCCGCCAGCTTTTCCTCTATCACATCAGGTTCGCTACTGGCATAAGATGCATATTGACTATCTTGATCGTTGTCATATTCGTCCGAAGGCTCGCGTTGAACAGGGCGGTGAGTCAACCTAGAACCATTCTCCGGTGAAGGCGGAGGTGCGTGACGCACAGTAGCTTGCCGGTCATACTTTCGCTGCGAATGAGGAGTATTAGGAAGTGGCTTTGTGGCAGCGGCGGTTACGGTGAGCGTGGAAGATGTGTGGTTAGACGAGTCGGATGACCCAGACCTACGGCTGAAAGAGGATTCAGTATCGGAACGCACAGAGCCGTCATTCTCCCAGGTCAAGGGCGGGCCTGCATTGGGTATGGGATTTGCTCGTCCTATGGTGGCAGGGCGTCCACTTGCATGCCGAACGGTGCCGAAGTCCCACAGATCCTCGGGGTCGCCGCTTGTTGGCCTGATTGATACAATACATCAAAAGACGGGTTAACTACGAGCAATCAGCACGTACAAATCAGGAACCATATCCTGTTCTTCGTCATCCGTGCGGCCACCTCCATCGGCTCTCCATCGTTCGTGACGCTCAATAAGTTCTGTCAAATAGCTAGTTTTCTTGGCCATTCGAACGAACTTGTGCTTCAAAAGATCACGAGCAGAGGGCCGATGTTGAGGGTCACGCTGGAGACAAAAGGAAACGAATTCCCTAAAAGGCTTGGAGAAATTGCCTTCCAATGTCGGAGGTGGGTTTTTTGGAATTAAGAAAAGGACCTGGATTGAGATGAGAAAGAACTAGTGTCATCGATGGGGTGCACTGAGGTCGTACCTTCATCGGATGCAATTCTGCATAGGGTGGTTCTCCTTTAGCCAATTCAATTGCGGTGATACCAAGACTCCAGATGTCTGCTTTGTGGTCATATCCGCTCTGCTTGATGACTTCTGGCGACATCCAATATGGCGTGCCTACGAAAGTGTTTTTCTTCGCGGAAAGTGTTCCTGACAGCTGACCGGAGACCCCAAAATCAGCAAGTTTGACTTCGCCTCCCGCAGAGAGAAGGATGTTGGCAGCTGCATGGTCGGTAACAAGTGGCAATTGAGTACGATTCATAAAAGGGAAAATCACACAATTCAGAGGCAATAATAGAAAACACCAGAACCTAAGCCGTACCTTTAATGTCACGATGGAGTTTACCCTCGCTATGAAGATATTCCAACCCACGGAGAAGTTCGCGCACAATGATGGCGATATATTCTTCTCGGAACACGCCCGGTTTCATCTGAAACAAGTAAAGTGAGATTATCGTCAGAGGAAGCTGATAAACAGAACAACGTACCAAGTCAGAACACGATCCTCCAGAACAGTACCTGGCATAGAACATTGATTAATACAAGCAGATGATCAACACGAAGAATACAACCACAAACGCCTCGCGAGCACCGTTGATGAATTTCAAGAAAATCGCTTCCCCCGTTCTTCGATTTTCTTGAAAGGTGCCAACGGCTTTTCTTACCCGGCGTTGAGGATGTATTCCAGGAAATGGGTACAGCGAGAGGATTTTACATACTCCATGACAATCCATAGATTCGATCCTTTCAGATAAGATCCGTGGTATCTAAGAGACGTCGACGATGGATCAGCAAGTTGAGCGACTGTAACGCACTTTGTGACATGCGGCGAGTCGAGCTGGGAGAGTATTTGGATCTCCTGCTGTATGTCTTCAATCTCGTCCTCTGCACTCTCGAGATCAATTATTTTGATTGCCACTGTCTTCTGGGTCCGTTTGTCGTAGCTGGAGACGACTGTTGGTCGGGCCGCATGTCAATAGGAGTCCATTGAAGACCGCACCCTTTGTAGACCTCTCCGAAGGATCCTTTCCCTAGAGAAACAGAGGTTATCAACGCGACAAAGAGGAAAATCTAGTTGCGCACCTATCCTGTCCTGCTTAACATAGAACTCCTCTGGATCCTGGTGTGCATCCTGTCATTGAAAAAGGCACTTAGTGTAAGATCCACAGCCATCGCACAAAAAAGAAGAACCACCATGCCACTGTGTTGCTGGGTAAACACGGTCTATCGTTGTGAATGGTCGTGTCGCGTCGTAAGATATAACGTTAAAAGTCGGATACTCGACTTGAGAGCCTGGCTATGCTTTGATCCTAAAAGAAGGAGATGATGCTGAAAAATCTGAAGAGTATTACAAGATTCGACGAAACGAAAAAGGCGAGAAATGAAGAAGGATGGTAAGGATAGGTCGAAGCTGCCATTTTCTGCCACCTCCTGGTAACGGTAATCCAGTCGGGAAATGCCGCTCGGCTCTCTACCAGGTACGTCGACCTCAATGATTATGCTAGGCCCACAGTGACTGACGTCCGTGAAGCTTTCTTAGAATAATAATACTGACAATTGTTCTATTTTCCGCCAGTATGGCTGACCCGAACTGAGGCAGAACCGTGAGGAAGTTATGGCAACATTCATCTCGATCCGTCACCAATTTGCGGTCAATCAAGTGCAAGTGTTCCATTTCAACGGTTACAGTCAAGATTATTCACACATCCTTCTATCTCAGTTCCTACCCAAAGAGATGCATATAAATTCTACTATTTCTTTGACGATCAATAAGTGGGAATGTCAAACTCGTTACGACGCGATCAACTTGCAAGTACTCTATAAGAATGAAGACATTGCCCCATTTTTGGACCCGTTCCGTTCTTTTTTCTTTACCTTATAGTTAGCTCTTCCACATGTAAGTTTTGCACCATCCATGTCGTTCTCAGGCTGATGAGTTCATTCACCTTTACAACTCAAAGTGGGGTGGCAAAGTGCGACATCTGGAATTAGAGGGAGCTAATATTTTTCAGCAAAGAAAGCCTTCGCGATACCTGGAGGAGACGTTTCCGAGAAAGTGATTTACATCCATGATCTTTACATGTATCATCCTTATTTTTTCTAGACAGTTGATGAGGTTTGGCAAGGGATCAACGTCGTGTCTACATCAACTGTGGAAGAAAGGCTCGTGATTTTCACTGCATTCTCAGAAAGTTGATGCCGAGTCGTGAAACAGATACAGCTAACAGCATTTTACTGACCTCAGTAACATTCTTCTTTCCCAGTGCGACTGCTGCGATCATCACCATGTCAGATATCGCATCCACAGAAGACTCGCCGGCTGGATCCAGCAATACACTCGACATTCAGACTGCTTCCACCGAACCCTCGAGCACTTCAGGAACGTCGGTTGGCTTAACTCCCACGACGTCTCTGGCATCGACAGACAGCTCGATTACGCTGCCTTCTATCAATGCTGCTACTTCTACTGTCACCTTATCTTCATTTTTTCAGTTTACAGGACGAAGTTCGTCGCGGGCGACATTCTCTTCCTCCGACACCACTCCAACACCACTCTCTGCCAGCTCGGCAGCTTCCTTCACCTCTGACTCACCTTATGGTGAGAATGCGTCTTCGTTACCACCCTCCTCAAGGGAGCCTTCGCAGACACGTTCCGCAGACATCATCATACCGTCTTTGGACACAAGTACATCACTTGCTGAAATTACGTCGTCAACTACAGTTGCCACCTCTTCATCCACTGAAACAGTATCGCAGACCGAGGCACCTTCTGGTTCAGTTACGTCCGCTCCCTCTGATAGCGTTTCTTTAGATGCGAGTACTTCATCGGTCGAGACCACATCAACGTCGCCGCCCACCATGACTCTTTCAGAGACAGCGCCTACCTCCGTCTCCCCGGGCCCTAACGGCAGAACCACGTCGCAGACAGCATCCTCTAATTCCTCGAGCATAAGCCAGACCTCGAGTCCATCTAGAACAGCACTAGCTCCGTCAGTGAGCTCTTCAGCTGCATCCACTTCTTTTTATCATCACATCCATAGTCATACTAGCCAGGATACGGGCGGAGATACAACTCCCACTATCACTTCACCCGATACAGGTTCAACCCCCACTTCTTTCGGTCAGGAAACCCATAACGACGGTTCCCACAATGCAGGAGAGCAATCTCAGATATCAGCAACTGACGCTAATTCTGAGTCGCTTCAAGGGATACATACACAAGGTCCGCCGCTGAGACAACTGCCTCAGCCCTCCGACGTTATCACCCTTCCTCAGAGATCAACGAGGGTGCAAACTGCAACCGCATCCTCATCGTCTACTCTTTCCGATCAGGAGATCCATAATAATGATTCCCCCAATACAGGAGGGCAGTATCCAACATCGGGCGCATTAACTGATACCAACTCCGGTTCTTCTCAGTCGCTTCAAGCAAAGTCTACCATTACTTCCTCTTATCAGAGACCAACGGAGTTGCAAACAGCCACTCTCGTTACCACAGTTTCCTCATCCTCTACTGCTTTTGGTAAGGGAGACAATGATGACGGATCCTCCTCTGGAGGACAGCTGTCGTCGCAGGGCTCAGTGTCGCAAACAGTTACTGACCCTTCGACCGCGATCCAAACCTTCGGTGATAATGGTTCGAATAACCAGGGATCTCCGTCGGTATCTCAATCCACTCTTACCGCACCTAGCTCTTCCTTTACTTCCCCTTCCTCTGGCGAAAGCGGATCAGCACCAGTCAACGGCCCTAATTCTATTCCTGAATCGTTTCTACCACCTGCCAATAATAACGATAGTAGCAGCTCAATCTTTACCTTGACCCCTGCCTCCACAAGTCAACACGGTCTCGCCTCAACATCTGCAGGAGTGATCAATACGACTTCCAATGCCACAGGACCAACTGGTCAACGAGGTTCCATACAAACTCGAGTCCCACATTCCCTGAACACCGCGTCGCATTCCGCAACGGGACAATCCGAGGGCAATGATGGGCTCATCGATCCAACCTACATCTCCGTCAGCCCAACTACAGTGTCGCCTCACCACACCAGTAGTTCCGCTGCAGCGGCATCAGATTTGTCACCCTCTAACCCGTACGTCCCTCTCCTTTAAAGTTATCCATTTTCGTCACAAGACTAAATACCCCCGGACAGCGTCAGGCTACGCAACCCGGACGACGGTGGTGTTAGTACTTATACGACTACTTTCACCTCTTTGAAGACATTCTTCGAGTTAACAACCGTGACTATCTCACCGCCTCCTGCAACCATAACAACTTCCACGCCATACCGAATCGAAACGACTGTCATTACAACTACGATTGTAGTCTCAACGTCCAAAGCAGGCAATGCTTTTCGGTAGGTCTTTCCATAACACTATGCGCTACACACGTATGTGACTTTTTGTCTGTCCAAGACTTTCGAAAGCGCAGATTGGGGGCATAGTTACAGGGGCCGTGCTCTTTTTTGCTCTATTAGTGGCTATCCTGATTTACCTCATCCGGCGAAAACGCAGAAGGATGGACTTTGTCCTCGTTTCTCCAAACGACATTTCCTCCTCTGACGCCGAAATGGGCGAAGATGGTGATAGCCACAATATCCGGCGGTCGCCAACGCAAGTTCTACCTGAGAAGGCCAATACTTCTGACAGCGACTTCTTTGTTCTTCCTCCTTCAGGGCAGTTCGGTTACGACACCCCGACAATATCCAACTCCACGTTCAGCGGTCAGCATTCGTCGCGTAGGGGGACAATTAACTCTGTATATGATTTGCCGACTCTGTATTTGAGGTCTTACTCTGTTGATACTACCAACTATTCCGATGAAGGACACAGCATTGAGTCGGACAATCCCCAAAAGACACATCAAGGGGATGTCGCTTTCCAGCCAGTACTTTGCAAATCACCAACTATCATGAGTTGTAGCAGTGACAATTCGAACTACAGAGTAAGTTTTTCATTTCGTTGTGTGAATTACACTGAGCGTTGTTGTCTAGTACGGTTATGCCATCTGAGGCGGCGGTTCACATCATCTCTGTAGTCTGTAGTACCTAGTTATATGCACGGGCGGTATCCATTTAACACAAATAATACCCTACTGACCCTAACTTTGGACACTCTATACACCACAAGAGGAAAAATCACATTTCCACCTCCACCTCCTTTTTATTATTGAACCGTAGGGTGAGCGACGGCAAAGACTGAAAATGAGTAAGGGAGAGCTCCGGCGGATTGTTGGGTATTTTGACCAACATGGACGTCGATTCCGCTTCTTCTTTCAACCTGAGCTCCTCCAATTCCGATTTGGACAGACCGTCGAATCCAAACCCAGGACCGGGATCAGAAAGGGTATCTTTTGTTGGTGCTGATGTCTCTTTCTGTTGACGATTTCGAGCTCGGCGGATCTTGTTGCAACGAGACGAAACATAGTAGTAAATGACAAGGACCATTGCAGAGGGCAGGATAAGAGAAACGACGGCGAGTAAAGATAGATCAATGTGTTTTGCTGGTCGATCCCGGACTTCCATGAGCACGACATTCTTAACGGTGTTAGATTGTTGGGCCAAATCGCCTTGAGAGAGAAGAGCTCTGACGACGCGCAGCTCGGAAAGAGAAGCCAAAAGGGCGAGATACATAGGCTCAAAATGTATGCCACAGAAGGGAACGGAAGCCCGTTGCGATTGACGACTGGATATCCTAACTGAAATCGTCAGAACGCATTGATTTAGTCATTTCTCTGCTTACCAAAATCGGTGGGCTGAGATGTAGGAACTGGTGCAGAAAACTGGGCGAGAATATTGTGTGCAAGGTATGCAGATCGCAAATCACGTGGTGGTATGTCAAGTACGGACGCTCCGTGGCTCGGAACTACCGGAGATGCACAGAAACTTGTTTTTAAAGAAATTGTTGCACCTCGACGAAAATGCGTTGATTGGAACAACCATCAAGAGAACAGAATAAAAGACCAATTTAATAAACGCCTTTTGAATACATCATTAATAGAGCATCACCTAATTGATCTGCGAATCGGAGCTACCAACGCATGAAATATATGACTAGCGATAATATCAACTACTTAATGAAGTGTTCGAGCTAAGATCGAGTCTTTGGCAGTAGGACCCTACAAATCGCGAAATGCCTGTACAAGTGGCCGAACCTCGTCTGCCGACCCAGACAAAACGGACACAACGAATGCGCAAGAGAATGCATCACCGTGAAGTGCTCCAAGAAGTACCTCTCTTGAACAACGTTCTTAGGGGGGCATCTGCTCTTTGAGTGGGACTGCGTGCGGCAACAGATATCTCTTCGGCTACGTCTATTGATGCTGGGATGAAACTTTTCAAGATGGGCCTTGATAGACTCTCCGATGAACCGTCGTCCACAATTCAGCGGACAGGTATGGTTGTCGCGGTCTGCGTCTCTCCAATAATAGTAGACGTGGTGGGGGGGGAGGTTGTAGGCTCGAATGAGTCTTTCAGCCATTTCGGAAGGAAAGGATCTTTTCTGGTATCCAGGAGGGCTGAAAAGTAGATGTCCTTTAGCGAGACTTACGAGGCTTAAAATGCGACACGTACCAACACTGTGGGCGTATAGTATCCTTACAACAAGCAGTGCTATATCACAGTGAGAAAGTCGAGATTTGACCGAACGAAGTGTCACGTACAGTTCTTGAATGCTTTCAATTGAAATATCAGCGCGAGTGGTGTTATCAGCGCGAGTGGTGTTATCAGCGCGAGTGGTGTTATCATCGCTCGTGATTGAGCTAAGTAATACTTGTAGATGTAGAGCATTATCTACACTGTATGTCCGCATCAGAAAAGTGACTAGAACTCAACATATTGACCTACGAAGGGGTTGTCGTCGTCGCCGTATCTGGTTGTGATAGAAGATCGGGCATGATTGCCAGACATTTGGGGGAAATGCGCCGACCTTCTGGCATGGATACGCTTCCCATATTCGAGGAAGGACTGCGGCTCCAAAATCTATTTCAAGGAGATCTTCGAAGAAGAAATCACATACAACGAAGCCGAAAAGACCATATTACAAGCTGCAGTGTCAGCGAAGTCGTTCGCGCAAGTCGTGTGGCTGGGGTGATAGCAAGCATCATCCCTGTCGTAGTCAAATATTAAGACAGTAACCCGCTAAGAAGATTGCATGTACTACCTCCCCGTCAGGACTTTATGATCTATCGTTGAAGAAGTTTCGACGCGACTTTCACCCCCTACCCTATTTGTATGGGGCGAGGAGGCCTCTACGTCAGTGAAGCACTCGGGCCAGCTCCGCAAGGCTACCAGTGAATCCAGGTCAAAGATGGCCGCAGACGTGTCAACGGAATGCGAGGACAGAGTATTCGAAGGAGATCTGATTGGAGCTTTACAGAGGAACGTGCTTCTATTTGAGACTTACGGATGGTAGAGCTCATTGTAAGAGAAATTTGCGGGACCTCCGAGATCTTCAATACTAGTTCGCGAGGCGAGATGAGGTCCACAGTGACGAGCTCAGCGAGACCTGAACACACCTGCTGTCACACATGCTGATACTATCAGAAGGATGGGCACAATGGGGGGAAGCATAGCGGGTTGGGAAGTATTGCCAGTGAGTCATGTCAATAATTGAGCAAGATTGTTCATGGTTCGTACTTAAGGATTCGTCTGATCTCATCGACAAATTTGTGAAAGAAAATGTATTGCTGGCTGCCGCAATGAATCTTCGTCGACAACTCTGAGAAAAGTTTCCATCATGCAACGTTGCTGTTGAACGTGAAGGTCGACAACTTCGTAGAGAGGATCGATTCGCAATCTCGCCGGAGGAACATATCGGATTCCCGCGGTTGCGGCACGCATGAATGTTGACTGCCCTTGTGGAGAGTTGTTTCAGACACGTGAGCACATCTTGCGTGAATGCCCCCTCTACGAAGAGCAATGGGGGATCCTCTGGAATGTGTCAAGGACTGTATACCTACCAGACACCCTTGGCTCCAAGGAAGAAATCACAGCACTGAGCGAGTTCATGGAAAACACAGGAGCATTCACCCAGATGGGACAGCTACAAAACGAGAGGCTTGCCCCAGAGCCAGAAGAGAAAGGAGGAGGAGAGTGGTGGGAAGAAGATAAGGGCGACATAGAAGATGAGCATGGGTAACCGCCCGTTTGGATCATGCTCGAAGCCATAAAATTGATGTTTCAGGGCAATGCGGTTAGCTCGGCTGTTTTTCTCATAAAACGTCCATGAGAGCCTTCCATGCTTTGGCACCATCTGAGCAATTCTCAATATATTGATACTGGCTTGTGTCAACAGTCAGACCAATAGTAGTGAGTGCTTGATCTAGCTTGGAAGCTTTGTCCTTGTCATCCTTTTCTTCAGATCTTGTTTTCTTCTGGGATGCAGGTTTGGATTCATCAAGCTTGTCCAATAGTATATCCCATGCACCTGTCCTTCGGAGTACCATTGAAATTGCAAATTTCCATGAATGGTAATTGTCTCCTGTGAATTTCGGGACAGAGCCCAGAAGGCTGTTGGTCACGCTGCTCATAGTAGGTAATGAATGAGGGCGAATTTAAGAAGTCGAGATACCGTAATCAGAGTCTAATCGTGCCGGGGCCCATAACCTGTTGGAAATCCTCGGTGTTGCGCAGGGTAAACTCCAGGCTGGTAAGGCCAGATGGTATGAACTTCTTATTCTACAGCTCCTACGGAGCTCGTATTTATACTCTCCAGGCTTGTATCTAGAATTTACTATGACTTTCTCTTTCTCTCGGGCTTACTCATCAGCTCTCAGCATGATGCCGGATTGCTCTTTCTAGAACTTTCCAGCAAAATCCCAACACCAGACAAGATTTAAAAGCCTACGGCTGTACAGACCTGTTTTCCTCATTTATCTTCTATCTTCATAGGTCTGATAGTCTGCAACTTTGGATTCATATCAATCCACGATGTGGTTAGTGCACCATCAGTTTACAATGACCCCTATTTGTCCCTGTCCGACTGTCGGAAACCAGCACTCCAGGTGGACCCCGGGGCTATATGGCCCATTTCATTTCTGCCGTCACATCTCATTATGTACAGAACAGATCAAATCTTCTTGATACACCGACTGCAAACTTCTTCCACCAAGGTGTCGACGAGTGGTGGATTGCGTTCATATTCACTCACATATTCACTCACCATAGAACCATCACAGGCAGCATGTCTACGACAGTGACAATATTAATAACCTATTACTCTGTATTGAAACCCCCACGTCCCACTCTTCACCTCGTCGTCAAAGATGTCCTCTGCTGAACCCGATTTCTCTGCTATCCACCCATCTACCTCTGCTCGGACCGATGGAGATAACATTGGTCTCGACAACCGAGGATCGACTGGGATCGACTTGGGTGACAACAGGTGTGCCCCGTTCTCTAGTCGAACTTGTTAATGTTCTCAACTCCAGCTGTAACACTTTAGTCGAAACTTTGTGACTTCTCAGCGCGGGGTAGGACCTTGGGGTCCTGACCAATGGATGCAGTAAGTCTCTCTCCAGTTGACAACAGCCTTGCTTGACGCTTATGCCGCACTTTGCAGACAGAACGATCTTCAACCGGATCAATGCATGAATATGTACCTTTTGCACAATGATCTCGCTACCTGCAGTGTTCAACCAGCGCCAAGATATGGCAGCCTCCATAGCTATTCAGAGAGACCTCACGCACCAGCCCAAAGGTAATCTCCAGTTATTTTTTCAGCTTCAATAACATATGTCTATCTACAGCAACAATAACAGTGCTTATGGTGCACCAGTCTCCAGCCACGTTCATACTTTTGATGCCAGAATTGCAAACCATGGCGATATGCATCTTTCGTAAGTGCTTCTAAGGACATTGACATTATTGAATTTTGATGTCGCAGTCCTGTCAGTCTCGGTAAACCTCAGTACGGAATAAATGCATCCACACCAGCAACCTTCCAAAGCAGTCAGGGCCAGTCCCAAGGTTATTCTCCAATGGCACAGGTGCCTTTAGGAATGGACATGTTGACCTCTCCGTGCGTTGTCCCTGGCTACCTTCTTGCGATTCTGTTGACTGAGGGACAGAGCCCATGGTGCTCCAGACCCAGGTCCGAGCGATGCCGGCACAACCTTATATTCGGTCTCCGTTAAGTCCTGGTAAGCATCCATCGATCGTTATGACTCCACTGAATATTTCATAGTCGTCCGGGGTACATAAGGATACTGTTTGATGTCAAAGACAAGGAAAAGTTCAACCCCAAAACAATCCAGAAAATCGGTCAGAAATACGGCATCACTTATGAAAAACTCTTTTATTACTTTCGTGTCGTGGATGATGTCGACTGTGTCTGTCCTATTGCTGACTGCACATTGGAGCAGACTACGTTTAGAGGACATGCCATCCAAGACCACCTTGATCAGTACCATCCGAATATTACTACTTGGAAGGAAAAGGTAGTATGTGCCAGGATGTCGAACAGGGAGAGCAAATGCCAGGCTGATAATGAAGTCCAGGGGAAATATTTTCTGAAGCATTTCCGGGAAATTCATCTTGATGCTCATGGGAGGTGTCCCTTTTGCGATGGTCGAGTCGGGAGGGTTCATAACTTTAAGATACATTTTGCAAAGTGCCCGAAGCTTAAATAACAGGTAACATGTACAGCAGGAAAGTTGAGTATATAACTTTTTTACTGATAAATAATTTTGGTTGAAAATAAAAATGAGTAGGAATGAATATACTTATCGTATATGTCAGCAAGCAATGCAGGAATTGATACTACCATGCCTCCTCCCACCGCCGATGAATCCGTGGCTCCCTTTCAGCAAGCAAAGCGAACTTGGGGCGAGAGATATCACTTTGTAGAGTAGGTTGGAAGTATGTGAGTCGATTTACTCTGATAACATGGAAGTCCTTGACCGAAAACACACCTTAGTCTTTCTCAGGCGCGTCAGGCCCTCCAGCATTGCTATCTGTCATTTCCTTCTATTATATCTGGTCTTTCGGCGGCGCTCATTCAAACTGAACTGTCCTTCTTACTTCTGAAGACAAGGTGCGAATGTTTACACAGGATGAGAAAAGAAGATGGAAATAGACCTACCACGTCCCTTTCAGGGCGATCGATCCTTGGACAATAGCAGTCGCAAAACACCGCATGCTTCATCGGAGCCGGGATGGAAATCTGGAACCGCTCCAAAGCCAACGCCGTCCATTGCTCGGCGAGAGCCCGAGTTGTTTTGCCAGATTCTGAGAAAGCCTCCTTGATTGGGTGACTTCCCGCAGCATTTAGAAACACAGATTATTTTCTAAATGCTGCGGGAAGTCACCCATTAGAACAAATGAATCACATTTACTAAATCTGATTTTCAGAACTTCAGTGATAGGGTCGACGAAGGGATTGGCTCCCTAGAACAAGGAGACTGGCGAAGCAATCAGCTTCCGATTCTTGATGGCGTATGGAATCCATTGAACCAGACCCGGACCTAGTAGAGGACAAATCCGGTCAGAAAGGCATTGTCAAAGATCAGTCAGCCCGCTACGCTACGCTCGTTCGGCCAATCTTCCTCTTCACGATCACCCGCTTCACTCTCAGGTTCTTGGAGCTGCTCAGAGTGTCCCCCAACTATGTACATGCTGCCATGAGGTCGTTAGGATGGCAGGAAAATTAAGAAAACCCATAGATGACAACATAAGCACCGCCGGTCTCTGCATCCTGGACTAGTGTGCCTAATTCTTGCATCTGCGAAAGTAAATTTAGTAACCCAGCCAAATAGCGCGAGAAACTTGAGAAACCACATACAACGTACCTTCTTCTAGGTTTGAACTTCACGGCCGTCCTGATCTATAAGAACGGCGTACCCTCTGGCGGGAATCCATATATCTCTGAGACGTTGTCATTCAGTCAGCGGCACAAGATCAGTTGGACAAATCATCAAGTGTGCGCACTGGTCAGCAATTCCTTCGTTGCGTAGACGTTCTCATGCGCCCCAGGAACCCACATCGACCGAGGACCACGGACATACTTGGCTTTGAATGGAAGAGACTGTATCGGGGTTGTCCTGCCACTCCATGCTCGGGTTGTGGATCAGGCCGCCTTAGGTCATAGAGGGGCCAGTGGGAAAGACATGCTGCTGAAAGCCTGAGTGATGGTAGACAAGGGAAACCACATTAATATCGACGGCCAGGAATACATAGACCCAAGGTTCAGCTTTTTTTAGCGGTTGAAGAATAGCAAAGGAGCGGAAATCGACAGAGACGCCGCTGCAAGGTGCACTAGAAGGCATGGGCTGTAGGATGTCACAGCAGATATACGGTAAAATCATTGATGGTGAGAGACTCCGGGGCATTCGAAAATCCGAGAGAGATCAGAGCGCGGTGGAGGTTGACCGAGACCGCAGAGGCGGAAGGTATCTGTCAATCAGTTAACCTTCCATTTCAGACGATAACTCGTGCCAGTGGTATGATACAGGCCATGATATGTAAACCACATCAGGTCACACATTGCGAACGAGAATTAACAACTTGTAAGCAGAATCAGGGCAAGGTCGCGAAAGGCTGATGAGACAGAAGGTGTTGGATTAGCAAGCAGGAGCTCCGTCGTATCCCGCCGGCCAAGCTCGATACCCCTTTATGTCGGGATGGACTATATATATTGAATACGGTCTGTCGAGCACCCTCACCGCGTTTCTGCTTATCGCTACGCTGTGTGAGGGTGAGTATCTACTTATATTACTTTGTTTATGTCACTGATTGGTATTCTGTAGTCTACGTTATAGCTAACAGCATAATCTATTAGGTACAGTGAATACAACACCGCGTTTCTGCTTATCGCTACGCTGTGTGAGGTCTACGTTATAGCTAACAGCATAATCTATTAGGTGCTACAAACGCGCGTCACTTTCTTAGAGAAGGTGTGGCACAAACTATGACGACCGTTTGCATACATTAGATTTAACAGGTTCTGGTGGTTTCGTGAGTGAGAAAAGAAGCGTCGAGACTTCGTCATAAACTGAGATTTTGGGACTTGCACAGGGCGTAAAAGGTACTCGGAGATCGCCGAAATCTGCAGAACCTGATAAGCGACAAAGTAGCACAAGATGGGTGCCTATACAACCCGAAGAGGTATACAATTCAGGAAGACTTACCTAAACTCACCTTACTGACGGTACAACTGGTGTTTATTCGTAAACATGATGATACATTCCGCAAGGAAATCCTCAGAGATGGGTCTATGAGAGCTCATTCATCAACTTCAATGTTTGTGGGGATTCACATAACCCAAAAGCAACTCCTCAAATTGCCCCAATCTCGGCAGTACAATTTCCCCATCCATCGTCTTGCTTTCCACCCACGCCTTCACTTTCGCCACGATATTATCGACTCCGAATCCGAAGATTTCATACAGCGTGGCCTGGGGCGCACTCTGCCCAAAGGTATGCATGCTAAGGGACGCATGCGCGTACCGCGCCCAGCCGTACGATGACCAAGCCTCGATAGCCACCACGAGCGCCTTGCCCTCGCCAAGCACGGAATCGCGGTACTCATACGACTGCTTGTCAAAGTGCGCCTGACTGGGCATCGAGACAACGCGTACGCGGAGGTTTAGTTCGTCACCAAGACGTTTAGCCGCTTCGATGGAACGCGTGACTTCGGAGCCAGAGGAGATGATGATGAGTTGCGGGTGGGAATCGTCGGAAGACGTTGAGAAGATGGAATAAGCGCCAAACTTTACCTTGGACCGGTCAGAGTGTTCATGTAAGGGAACGGGCTGGCGGGAAAGGGCAAAGAGGGAAGGGGTATGTGAAGAATCTAAGGCGATTTCCCAAGCGCCCACTATGGGAAAAAGCTATTGGTGAATGTAACCGGACGGAAAATATTGTTGGCTCGTACTGCATTCCTCAGCATCTGCTGGTCGAATGAAGTTATAGTTGGGCAGGCTTCGGTAGAAAGAAGACAGTCTGAACCATTGTTCAGGAAGTGACCATGCACGCAGATACAATAGGACATACGCAATAGGCTGGTGCGTGGGGCCATCCTCACCGATACCAATGGAATCATGAGTCCCAATTCCAATGATCCGGAGACCTTGAAGCGCCGACATGCGCGCGGCCGGGGCAGCGTAAAGCCAGAATTGGAAGAAAGTCGAGCAGATACTGAGAATATTATGAAAGCATTCGGGTGGAAATCACACGTCCACGTACGGGATGAACATGCCGTCCTGATACGCGCTTATACCGTTGGAAAGGCCGACCATGGCAAACTCCCGAATTCCATATCGTATCTGGCGACCGGAATAATCCCCCAAACCTGTGTCAGGCTGTGAACGAAATCGCTTCAGTCTGGAGTATTTATCATTATGAAAGAGGCAAATAGCTCACGTGCTGGAATTCGATTTGGTTCGGGAAGCTGACGTATGTGGACTCCAGAAGATCAGCAGAGCCAGTAACAAAATGTTTAAACTTTGGAACTAGCGTGGTGACGACGATACCTGACGATTTTCGAGTAGGCTGCTCGGCCGTGGGGAGTTTCGACTTTGGAGGAAGAAGTTCTCGCCAACCGTCAGGAAGACATCCAGTCAAACGCTGCTGGATTTCGGCATATTCTGCTGGATAGGCTTCAGCGTACTTTATGTAGAGAGCTTTCCATTTCTCCTCATCCTCATGACCCCGTGCAACGACAGGGCGGAAATATTCTAGGCATCGGTCAGTTCTTAATTTACTCTTGTGTCAAAAAAAAAAGAGAGACGGACCATAGACTTCATCTGGAATGTGGCACTTGACCCTGGGATCAAAACCAAAGACACCCTTGACATATTCGACTTCGTCGATGCCAAGAGGCTGTCCGTGAGCCGCACCCGTATTGGCACGATGGCTTCCGTACCCAATTACCGTGCGGATGTGGACGAAGACAGGCTTGCCTTGGATGGTCTTGGCTTCATCAAAAGCTTCCAAAATCGCGGGAAGCTAAACACGACTGAGCCGAGGAAATAGCAAAATCGGATCACAGGAAGGCATACATCGTTCGTGCCTTCTTGCACTTCAATGACGTGGAATCCGTTCGCAGAGATCTTGGCGGAAGAGTCATCAGTAAAACAGTTGGTGATACTGCCATCGACAGTGACCTGGGCGTCATTTAGAATATCCGTAAAGACCGAAAAACCCACGGCGCACCTGATTGTCATCGTAAATAACAATGAGGTTGTCTAACCGAAGATGTCCTGCGAGAGACAGCGCTTCCTGGCCAACCCCTTCTTGTAAACAACCGTCCCCCGTGAAACACCATATTTTGTTATCCACGATATCGAAGCCAGGTTTATTATATGTCGCTGCCAAGTTTTTTGCGGCGATAGCAAGGCCAACGGCGTTGGCGATTCCTTGGCCAAGGGGACCAGTGGTCACCTGAAGCGGCGTCTACATTGATGGCTTCAATGTAACGGATTGAAATCTCTCACCTCGATTCCAGGGAACTCGATTTCGGGATGGCCCGCCGCCATACCAAAGTTGGGGTTATGGTATGTCTTGAGCTGATCAGCAGTCCATGCGTCGTAACCGGCAAGGTGAAGATGAATGTATTGAAACAGACAGGCATGACCGGCACTAAGAACGAACCGATCACGATTGAACCTGGAGAAAGATCGGTCTGACAGAGAACTGCGGGGTAAGCTTCCACGGATAACATACCAGTCAGGATTCTTGGGGTTGTACCTCATCGCAAAGCGCCAGAGAGCAACTCCGATGGCGGCAGCCCCCATGACCGTGCCAGGATGACCGCCTGAGTGCTAAGTAACGCGTATGGAGTGAGCCGAAAGACTGAAACGCGATACCGAGATGCGTACCTCCTGCGTCAAGTCCGCGCCGAGGCATCGTATGGTATTGATAACGAGTTTCTCTACCGTGTCCTAAAAGGCGTTATAATAAGAACTGTGAGAAAACCGACGGATACTAGGCGTACATTGATGGCACTGTTTACAGCACCGAGGTCGGCCATGATAATTCCAGACAAACTGACTGAAGACGAGAGCCGCTAAGTAATAGCTCGGGGTAGTAGAACAGAACTCCATTTCTCCGAGGCGTGAGGAATTACAGAATCCGTCGACGTTGACGGCAATTGATGACGGTAAAAAGACAAGATGTCCCCGGGCCGGCACACTGGACGGATCTTGTGACCCTGTGCACGTGGACGGATCATGACAAAATGCCGTCGCGTTCTCATTTTGCCATTACCCCGCCGGCCCCATATTGCCTACATACCCCGCAAAAATTGAGTAACGTATCAATATTTATGGCCGGGCGTTGAGATAAATGGCGGGATCGTCAACAGTCTTGCTTCAGTAACCTTTTTTTTTTTCCCTCTCCCTATCTAGGTTTTTTACAACAATGGCTCCCACTGCTTCTGATATTGCTGAGCGCCACGCTACCCTTCCTACGTCGGCGGTCGCGCCCATTTTACAAGACCCTACGATAAATCAGCTATTTGGGCTGAGTGGCCGAACGGCTGTCGGTACGTGTCACTGCTAATGTTTGGCCCAGTTCCGTGGCTGACCGCGTTTTTGATATCTCAGTTACTGGCGGCGGTCGCGGCCTCGGAATAACACTGGCTGCAGCCCTACTGGAAGCCGGTGCTCATGTCTACTGTCTCGACATTCTACCGGAACCGTCTCCGAAGGAATGGGCCGCTCTCGTCGTAAAGTCCAAGGAACATAACCTAACCGTCAACTATCGCCAAGTCGACATCACGAAATCTGACATGGTCAAGTCAGTTTTCGAGTCTATAGCCGCAGAGTCTCCTTGTCCCGTCCGTGTATTGGTCGCCGCTGCTGGAGGTAAGTCCCGTGGCCATATACACAACACGCGGGGATAAGGTGGACGCGCTTGAGCTTGGGCCGAAATGTGAGCTCTTTCTGGATGCGCTTGTCGTGCTCACTGTTGCCAAGCGTGTCCAAAAAGTCTCGTACTTGGGTCCAAATTCAAGTTCATCTTGGAAGTCCTTCTCCGTGCGTGTGACGAAACCATTACTCAAACCTTTTTTGTACAGTTCAACAGGAGTGCCCCGCGATAGACTTCAAGACGGACGACGTGCGACGAATAATGGACATCAATGTTGTTGGCACGTTCAACACCGCCCAAGCAGCCGCGATCACCATGTTCAAGCACGGCCTCGGTGGATCCATTATTATGATCGCATCTATGAGTGGTACCGTGGCCAATAAGGGGCTGTTCTGTGCTCCATAGTACGTGTATATCCATTCATCCGCACCACAGGTTTACTTAACATTCGGACTGCAGCAACTCTTCCAAAGCTGCCGTCTTGCAAATGTGCCGTTCATTATCCATGGAATGGGCAGGGCATGGAGTCCGTGTCAACACGATAAGCCCTGGATACATCAAGACCGCAATGACGGAGATGCTCTTGGCAGCAAAGCCAGAGCTAGGGAAGCAGTGGGCAGATGACAACCCCCTTCAGCGTATCTCCCTTCCCTGGGAATACAAAGGGTCCGTTATCTTCCTTGCGTCTGATGCGAGTTCTTTCTCTACTGGGTCCGATCTACGGGTTGAGTGAGTAATCTTGACCGCCCTCATGATCCGTCACTCACATGATTGTTATTCACACGTTTCAGCGGCGGTCACTGTGGTGAGTAAAAGTCCCGTCCAACATACTTACTACGTTTACAACAATTCTTATTCAATGTTTCCAGCATGGTAGCATGGTGGCATTCTCGCTTTTCCTCTTTTACTTTGGGTCATCTGGTAGCATGAGTCTAGCATACATTCTCTGTAATTCAACACTGTTCCTAGATATAGATTGCCGCAAAAAATCCGGTACATTTTTAAGCGTTTCGCTCCCCTGATGGGTCTCGATCGTAATGCACGTCATGTGGCAAAAATTTACATGCAAGCCGTTCTCATCTTAGTCTGTGACCGGAGCAACCCTACCCCACTATTTCTTGACGTTGGCTTTACCCCAACTTTACCCCACCTTTTTCTACTTCATACTTCCTCTAATATTCCATCACTTCGATATCTCTACATCAGTCTTCGACATTGCGTGCCCTTTATAAGGCAACAAAATTGTCGTATATAGACAATGGAAACCCAGCCAGCGCCCACCGACGGCCCTTCCCCGCAGTCGGTCAATGGGTCATCCTACCCAGCAGAGACTCACCAGTCACAACCCCGGTTCCTTGCTTGTCTTCGATGCAGAGCAAAGAAAGCGAAATGCGACAACATCCAGCCCGTGTGCGGCACATGCGCCAAAGTCAGTGCAGAATGCGTCAGGCCGAGCGGGCGACGGCGAAAGCGCACTCGGAAAGAGATGGAGGAGGCTGAACGGGAGGATCCGTCCCTCAAGCGGTCGCGGAGCGCATATAATGACAGGAGCTTCAAGCATTTACCGATGGTGAGTAGCTCGTTCAGTTTTTATATTTGCTGGGCAGCTAATTTCTGCAGCAGCAACATGGCAATGTGGTTCAGCAAATACAGTATCCTATACCCTTCACATCGGCCCCTGCGATGTTCTCCCAGCCCCGCCCTCCGCCATCGGTGCAGCACGGACAGGACTTCTCCCAACCATTACTCCCGAAACATGAACCGGACACTTATGGCTCTATGTCGCCTCCGACCACTCCTGCAGTGCATCCAGACGCAGGAAAGATGGTAGAGGCTCTGAGCCGCCCAATGGCATACCTCGAAGGCGATCCCGGAGAGAGCAAAACGCTCAAAGTTCGCTATGTATGTCCTCTACCCTCCTCTATTGCCATGTCACTCACGTCTTCGGATCTAGTTTCGCTTTGTATGTCCTTGAAATTTTTTTCTTACGTGATTCTGACGACGACAATGCCGCAGTCTGGGCGTACGGCAATACATCCAGGATTCAACGAGATTGTCATCAAGCTCCGTAGCTCGGCAGCAGGGTCACACTCGAACTCGCCGGACGGAAGAACCATAGGGCTAGACCATCTTTCTCCCGCGGAGCCTATACTCGAGGACATATCCTCTTTACCCCCAGATGTCTCACTAATTGATACGTTTTTCGACCATTTCTGGCAGCATTGGCCTTTCCTTCGGAGAGAAAGAGTGGAGGAACGCATCAAGAGGTGAGAATCATACTCCCAATATTTTTACTTTATGCTCACGTCGTCCTAAATAATGCAGTGGGACAATGTCAGCATTCCTGCTGCATGCAATGAACGCGTTGGCTGTCCGATTTGCGCCTCATCCTACGCGTAAACCATCCCAGTACATCGAGGCTGCCTGGAGCCTAGTACCGCCACTTCTGCGATTACCGTCAACCGATGTCGTGGGCGGCTTGATATTGCTGTCGTGGGCTGAGTTCGGCGAGGCGAGCGCATCTGACATGAATGCTGCTTTTCATCTTTGGCTAATCTCGTTTGAATTCAGAGCTCTGAGAGTGGTCTCTGGGTAAGTCGGGACTGAATACCGGTGTGATGATTTTTTGTGACACTTCGAGTGCGCAGAACTTTTCGGGACTGGCTATTAGAATGGCGGTAGATATAGGACTTCATAAGGTTGGGATTTATACTATTGATTGCTTCGTATGACTGACGTTTTTCATAGACCGACATTGAATCACCGGATGACGAGGATGTGTGCGACGGGAAGATATTGTTCTGGTGTCTTTTCGTAATGGTAGATATTCATTCTTTCATAGTTTCGTACGTTCTTTACTCACTGCCCAATCATCCCTTTCTAGGATCGCGTATTGGCGTTTGGAACTGGTCGCTCCGTAACGATTGATGAGGATATCATTGAGATCCCGCTGCCCACAGAGAGTGATTTCATCCCTCATAGCTGCTCAGCGCCTCCGGTCCTATCCCCGTTCGTCGGAATTGTTAGGCTATTCGCTCTAGCCGGACGGATAGCTGACGTGATGGTACGAGTTTTTGTTCTTGTTCCGAACATATTTTCTCAGCGGCCATATTATCCCATCCGTCTAGAACGGGAGTCGAGGGTGCCCTCGCACATTCGTGTCAAACCCTGTCGTCCATAGCCCCGAAAGCTTGCAGGAGTTGCAGGACCAACTAGTCGAGTTCCTTGGAACCTTGCCGCCAGGTCTGAGGTATGTCCAATATTGCAGTTTAGAACCTCAACTGATCATATACGTTTTAGCTGGTCAGTTGACAATTTTCGAGCACAATCCGCTCAACACCAGGGTGTTCGTCGTAATATTTTCTACAATTTGCTTTGATACTAACGGCGAACGGCTTGCAGGGCAGCTTTCTCTTTTTACACCTTTGGGCGAATGCTGTCCTGGCGCTGATACATCACCCCAATTTGGGACATAGCCTCAGCGGTCAGGAGACACCCATCTCGTCCGGTGTTAAACGGTCCATAAAGCTGTCTCTGGCATCTTCACGACAGATCGCCGACTGTCTTGTTTTTGCGGATCTATTCGATGCGGCGTCCTACTGTGCCAACCCGTTCCTTAATCAATGCATTTTTATTGCTGGCGTCGCATTCATACACGATGCGCAGTCGGAAGATCTAACGGTCGGTGTACACTCAGAGTTTCTTAACGGGTTAGTCAAGCAGAATTTGTCTGCGCTGTTGAAAGCCTTGAAGAGGATGGAGGTGTATTGGAATGGACTCGGATATGTTATTAGTGTACGTCTTTGTGTTTCTGTCTTAGGCGAACTGTGGCTTATGTCCTATAGGTATTGGAACAGCGGGCCAGCGGCCGTGGATGGTCAAAGGTTGATTTTTCGATCACGTCGGATAAGGCTAATAATTTTATTTCGCTCCCGGATGCTGGTCTTCTGCGGAGACTTACTCGTGTGAAGGACTTGTCGCCCAGTAGTCTGTCGTTTTCTTTTCCTTCGATTACTGGGCTTGATCTAATCATTTCTACAATAGGCAATAGTCCTCGAGACAACGTCGCTCTCATTGATAGTATCCCACAAGTCCAGCTATTGGCACCACCCGAATCGACCAGTTACGCCTCCGTTTATTCTACATATTCTAAACGGACTGACCTCTGTGTAGGTTGGTCCTTCGAGTCCCTGCTTTCTTCGTACCAAGTTGAAGAGGTGACCGCTTCGGACACCGGATATGATTTCTCTGATATTTTTCCCGAGGGTTTTGAATGGTAGATCGGTAGATTATTTCTTTTTCTATGGGATTAGACGGTTTATAATGTGATTTCTGTATGTATATTCACTTCCTAATTCCCGGGTAATCTTCTGTCGACGAGTATCCTAGATATATTCTAGGTCGTCTTCCCCCGATACATCTTCGCCGTGTTCTTCATCTTGCCTGTTTTCCTCCCCCAGCTCTGGGGCACTATTTCCATACTAGTACATGCCTTCTTCAGTCGGGCTTTATGGCTTAGCGCACTTTAAGGGCTCACCTGCTGCCAGTATCTGGGTCCATAGTCTAGAAAGAGCTCTTCTCCCTTGTTGACATTTTCGCCTACGTTCGGTTAGGATGAGGAAATAGTCCAAGATAGGAAAAATACGAACAGGTGAAGATTCCAATGCGATGTTCGTCGTTAACATTCTTTACTATATACGCATGCGGGTAAACATCATCCAATGCAACTATGGCCACCACGATACAAACCAAGGACTTCACAGTTGGGCTTGTCTGAATGGTTAAGATACCTCGTTTCGTTCCCCCGACGTGCGGCATCCAAAGTTAGCGACAAGTTTAGCTCAAAGTTGTAATTGAGCCCCGTGTACTTGTTCAGAATGTTGGATCTCTGAGAGCTTTCTTCTGAGCTGAGATTCCGCATCTCGCCAACATACTCTGAAGGGTCACATGTGAGAAATCGACTCAAAAAAGTTCGAACGGATCCACTAAGCCATACCGCCGATATAGGTCCAAGCTCTCAACTCCCTGGTCGCAAAGGCGCCGAGACCGTACTTGGCAGGTTTGGTAGGTTGAACCTTGATATTCTAGGACGAGTCAGGACCACTGAATGGACATACCAAAGGATCCTTACTTGGATTTGGTTTCTTTGTATCCTCACATTCTGACACTTGTTTCTATGCTTTGCCCCTATAGAAAAGTATAAATTGGTAAAAAAAATGCTCTTCTCATTAGCACGCCAGCTGACCTCTGAGGTAATCAATTAGTACGTGAAGTGGAAAGTAAATCACTGGGACTAACCGGGCATCACATTTAACGCACAAGTCTGGATCGCATTCCCTGCCTGCCTCAACACAAGGGCAGCCGGCTGTTAAGCAGTGGTCCATGATCAGTTCATGAGAACATTTGCAGCCTTTTCTTCGACGGGGACCTTTGCTAGTTGATCAGCCCTGCTTTTGATATGCTGCCAAGTGAGAACCATTTTACATTTCAAGTGGCAACGGCAACTCCGCTGGCAATGGTGGGATTTCAAGTGGCATTGGCATTCAGAAGTTTGATCACATGGACCGCTATGCGAGCAAGGAGATAGGCTGATCACCTCTTCAGATGTGGATGAATTGTCAAGAGAGACAGCACGCACGGCGTAAAATCGTAAGCACTCTCGTCCACTGGCGAATCGCTGTTAAAGAGCTTATATCTATGAGAGGGATCACTTGCCGAAGACCAGAGGAACCTGTCGGCGCCTTTCCTCGATGATTTGTCCTTTCAGAATTTTCTCGTCGGGAAACATTCTTGTCCGGTAGATGAATACCTTTTTGCCAGTTCGCGGATACTACATCATATAGATTCAGAGACCCACCTCTAGACACGGCTTGCGACAGATGACAGCAAGGGCACAAGGTGACATGTCGGCGTCAACTTTGAGGACGCTTTCGAGGAAATTTACATCGTCAGGATCATGCCAATGTACCCCTTCCTGTGTTATATTTTTCATAAGAAGCGCAGATATGCAGAGCATTCGTATACCATTATTCCGTCTTGGGTTTCGTCAAAGCTTCGAAAGCAAAGCTCGCTGCAGGGTTCTCCATCTTTCAGTTTGAAGCCTGCTTTTGTAAGTATAGGCTTGGAAACGTCGAGTGGAAGAACTTCGTCTATGTAGGAGAGATTACTATCTGAGAACAGAAAAATACACTATCACTCACGACTATGCACCTTACAGTTCATAACAAGACAGTTGATATGCGAGCAGAATCTTGCACTGGAAATATTGATGTCATGATAGATATCGTCCTTCTCAGGCAAATTCTCCAGACTGAGGGTAGGAAGATTGGTCAAGGCACTGCCAGGCCAAAATGGAATATCTCTGAACGAGAGGAGGGTTAAGTGATTTCGGGACGAGAACAAACTCGGACCTTTGAGATGCCTCCCAGAGAAGGCCTGAAGGACCTGGAACTCCAACTTTATCATGGAGGATTCCAAGGGTATCTATGGTAGAGAGAGGAAGTCCGAGGTCGCCGTAATGAAGTCGCCTCGCCACTTCAAGCTCGATAACATCGACTAAATGTCAATAAATCAAAGACAAGGCCATTCCAGAGACGAAACCCATACATACCATCAGGATCTTTAAAATCTTCTGTCTGCCATGCAAAATTCCGAAACGGCTTTAGGTTTTCTGGATTCAAAAACTCCTCTAACGGAAAAGCCTCATCGTCTGCGTAAGGTATGAAGCTCAGCACTTCATCAGAGTTAAAAGAAGTGGATTGCCCCGCATTCTTCGAATCCGGGGTGCACATCTCGTACTTCAACGGATGCTGAAACTCGAGGGGGATCCGCGCTTGAATTTCTACACACGGAACTTTACGGCGATCTCGAATCGATCCATCGGGATCGAACGACTGTACCAGAAAACCGCAATCGTCGTTGTCGTCGCCCTCATCCATCACAGAAGGTAAATGATCGTCGAACTTGAAAAAATCATCATCCCATTCTTCACCGTCGTCCGATTCTGCATTGGCTGCAAGGTACTGGATGTAGGTGCGAGTATCGGCTTGCTCCCAAGCGTAAAACTCGTCAAAAACTTGTTTATAGACGCTCAGAGCAGGATCGAGGCGGTCATTCATCAAGTGAAGACGAGTTTGACGACGGAGAACAAGGTTAGAGTTTCGAGTTCGCACGCACACGAACCGTTGATTTCCCTGGCGGACATTGTAATTATAATCATATGCGGCACTAAGGCGCTTAATAACATTAATACGAACGCAAGCTACACGAGAGCGAGTTACTGGATGATCGCCAATAACCGCCGGTGCCAGACGTTAATGTGGTGGAGGTAGGATTCAACCTCAGTTGTTGTACCGGCGGTCCAGACTCAGCGCCGACATTTCTGCCGCGGCTCGGTCACAGTCAGATTGAAGTCAGAACACTGTTTCTGCATAAAACATACATTGTGGCTACAGACGCCCCAGTGCTTCTCGGAGAAAGCTGTCGTATCCTCATCATTTCTTCGCCGTTTCTTGAGCTTCGACCGCTTTGATGGTCTCTGCTTGGTCTCTGCACCAGAAGAATTAGAAAGATTATCCGTGCTTCGATGCTGGGACATTCTCCTGCCTGAATCTTCTTACCCTCCGAACTAACTTAGTTAGGTAGGGATCTTCTTTTTCCCTTCATAGCCTGCGAGCGTGTATTGCCGCTTCCTGCGTCACGACTGGAGGAATTTGTTCAGCTGGGATGAATCCCACCCTGCCCACAATAGCTGCGAGACTTACGGACATTGCCAATAGAAAACTGCGCATCTCAAACCCCTTGACGTAACACACGCCGACCTTTACAAGTCTCTTCAAACCGTTATACATCCAAATAAATCAAGTATGGTATCGCGATTGTTCCCTCGATTAAGCATACAAATACAGTACACTCCAAACGTCCCTGGCCTGCTATCTGGCACGGGCCTCCACATCCTGATTTGAGGCAGGAACGGGTTTATATACGTCAGATTCGTTGGAAATCGTTGGGATGGCGCTCGTCTCAGTGGTCCAATGAGAGCACGACGACAAGTGATTTAATGGAACGAGGTTAGTGGGACCACTCCTTTGGTAAGATGCTGGCGTGAATTGCATTGAGGATGTATTGAAGTCTGTGCTTTTACTCCAAGCTCTTCCACTGACAACCCTCATTATGATAAGCAGAGGTGCGATGCCCTGTACAGCCATGAATAAAGAACAGCCAGATGCAATCCGGACCATTGACGGACCTGTATTTGACCCAGTGGTGGGAGCAGTATGTTCTGTACCCAGCTGTTCCGAGCGTAAGTAATCAGAAAGACCAACGCCCACCCAGAATACAACGAGGCAGACTCGACCAGAATTGCAACGATAGACGTGTAATGTGTTCCATGACTGGAACCTATAATCGCTTTAACTTGTCTGCGTATTATAAGAAGTCGGGTGATGATCAGGCAGGTGAAAATGACATTGAGAGACACAGATATCGTCCAGTACGCAATACCAAAATGGACACTGGAATTAGCCCAAAAGCTTTCCTCGGACTTGGCGATGGAGACAACGAGGCCGGTAGAGGTACCTACAGGTTGCAAAGCTAAGCACTTGAATAAACGCCACGAGTGTCTTGACTAACCTATTCCGGCCAAAAAAAGAACAGCTGGGACTAGGGCAACCCAAATACTGCGGTTATATATGACGAAAAACCGATACAGCTGAAGTCACGAAAAGGTCAGTAAACATTCTATCCTCTAGCAGCAAGAACATACGACGAGGCCATCGGCAAACCAGCCCAAAGAGACATAACTGTTTTGAAGGTCACTACAAGCATTAGATACATGATGAGAGAAGCGACGAACCACATAAAACACATTAGATTTATTGGCGTTGCATAAAAGTCCGTAGTAAAGGCATTGGGACCTCCAGGGTAGTCTCGATAATCGATGTATGTCATTTCAGTGAATTTCTGGTTTCCTCCGATCGCCACAGTCGCTAGTGCCAAAACAGTAGTGACGTATATCCATAACCACCACTGCGTTGTTCCCCGCCGTGCACGCATAGATAAAAGACCGGAATAACATTGAATGGCCATGGTGAAGAGAATGCCTAGGTCTTGGTCACATATGATTGGCTAATAGGCGGAGAAACTGCTTTACCGTAAGCAACTAAGGAAAGCGCCATGCCATTAAGATTGGACCGCTCCACCAACAAATCAGCCGCCGATTCTCCGGCGGGCGCGTAAGACGGCTCAAGGCGGGGACCCGTCATAATCGTAGAAAATATCTAGGAAATGGAGGAAAGGACCGAATTGTCGAAGCTTCAAGCTCCGAAAGAGATATAACTGGTGCGCGAATAGCGACTGGACGGACAATGGCCAGGTCGATGTCCAGCTATCAGATGAGTATTTCGAAGAGAAGACCAGGACGAGAGATATTCAGTGGAGTGGCATCGAACCGTGTGACGTGTCTCCAACATGTGGAATTGGCCTTGTCGATATAAGAAGAGCCCAAGACGGAACGTAACGGTCCAGCCAACTTCTGACCGAGCGGCGTTGACATCATATCCAAAAGTCATCACCGTCAAGCATACTGATATAGAATCTCTTCCAATGTCTGTCAATGTAAATTTCCTATGAATATCTTCGATTTTGCGATAGCCATGACGCTTCCTGTGGGTCCGCAGCAGCTGAACATGACCCAAGAGCATACAAGTTCTCCGTTGTGTCTGCTCGGGGAGTCGTGTGGTTTACCCTATGCAATGGATGATGGGCAAGTGTAATCTGTCAAAAGATAGATGTATGATTACCGGAAGATGGCCCAATCGCTCGTCCCCAAAGAGATATCAAAACGAGATTTGATGCATCCCGCCGCATCCTCATTTCAGGGAAGGGAAGGAATATAATGGTTCCGAGCCGGATATTGCTGTCGAATGATTAATTTCCATCCACGCCTATGGTTGCGAGCGTAGGATCCAGAGTGCGCCACCTAGGAATGATATGTATTTGAACGTTCCACATACTTGCGTAGGGTTCCGCATAAATGGGTTTCCTTGGCTCCCGCCAGCCCTGGTAAAGTCTGTCACTAAATTCAGGGCGCACAGGGAGTACAATAAGTGGCTTCGAATGCCGCTGTCTTCGGCTAGTGATGCCGGGGCATATTTTGTGGATAAATTAGAATGCCGTTATGCGGGGTGGCACGACAGTCCAGGGATGTCCGCTATGACAGTCCGCCTTCCTAGTGGAAGAGTGATGTTGATGGACAACACACTGCGATATTCGGGATCCTTCTTCAGTACTGCGCAATGAACGACTTTTATGAAAACCATACATGCAAAATCAGATCATTGCGTCGGTCGCCTTCCGTTACGACGCTTACGTCGAGCGCTCAGCCGCTCAGAGACATTGAAGATATTGTACCAAGTTCAAGTATACAAATAAGGTCGCCAAAAAAAAAAATCCTAATCGATCGAATGTTCGGGAAATCCCGAACCCGCCCCACTGATCAATTTCCAACTTTGGCCGTTGACAGTCTATCCGAATTTCGACTCGTCGTAGCATTCACATTTCTTTCCATCTCCTCGTACACCTTCGACCAGTCTTTACAGACATGTGTAGCCCCCACTCTCTTGATTTCGTAGTTTCGAGTTAACATATCCGCCGGCTCCAGCGTAAGGTCGGGATGGCAGAGAATCATTTGTCGGAGGTAGGTAAGACAGTGCTGCATATGCCCTCGCATGCCTGTATCGTGGTGCCCCTCCATGGCCAACCGTATTGTTCGTAAACAATGTAGCTGATGCCACATCGAGAGTGCAAACCGCCTTTTTTCCTCGCCCAGGCGCAGATACCCAAAACCGTACGCCGCGGAAGACGCCCATTCTTCACGGTCATCAAGTCCTGAAATCCCGTAGTGTCGAGTCTCCTCCACTGTGAGGAGCACGTCAGGAAGGTCTAGTGGCAAAAGTTCTGGGAAGTCGTTGTCTATGAAGGCTTTGACAAGTCCCGGGTCAGGTCATTCAATTCCTCTGCGGCATACAAATGGATGCTTACTGTATGTTCGGTGATCGGCACTCTGTTCTACTCCATTAATCTCGAGAACATGAGTAGAGACGCTGTGGAAGACTGTGGCCATTGAGAAAAGAAGAATAAATGTGCTTGCTGAGAACATAGCCATGTATCTCCACCCTTGGGACTGCATCATCATGGAGGTACGTGTATACGTTCGAAGACCCTGGAGCTCAATGGTGAACATTAATTAAATCGATCAAAACTCGTGTTAAATGTTAACACATCCATTTATAGGGCCTAATTACGGCTCATGACATGCCAGTCATTTCAGCAAGGCCCGTATTCTGATGTTAACTTGTTCGCTAGGATTCACTATATCTGGAAACCAGTTTGATTTTCGATGTCTCGACCACAAAATGTTGACACAATGCTTCCACCGTTGCGAACATTAAGACGCCCAGTAGTCTGCACGTTGACGATGGGGTCAAGGAACCGAAAGGAAGCAAACGAAAACAAAGTCGCAGGACAGTTTTTTTTACGACATAATCAAATATAAGCCGCTGAGTGAGGAGTCTTGCGTAGCCTTTCAAACTTGCCTTCGTACTTATTCCATTCTTCGACTCGAGACTGGTTACCATGCGGGGCCAGTATAAGGCGTTAATCGCTATCCTACCAGCATCTATCTGCGGTTATCTTTTGATGAGAAGTGCCTTCGTGACATCTCAGAAACCTGATCTCTCAGCAGATTCCTGTAAGCCATCATTTCCTTCGTTCAGTGACAATGTTAAACAGGATCACCACTGGCAGGGAAAGTTTTGACCGATGCTGTTGCTGTTTGGGACATCGGTCCTCTTCCATCCGTCACTATGGATCTTGAGAACACAGTCAATTACCAGCTGAACTCAACAACGTATAACAATGCGCAATGGTCCGCTTTAGCACCAGGCGGCGGAATCGTCCATCTCGGCCCCAATCATACCCCTTATCTTCCATCCTTCTTCCACCAACTTCGTTGTTTGGATATTATTCGATTGTTCTATGCCGCTCAAGAGCAGGACATGATTAACAAGGACGCCAAGGAAGCGGCGGCGGCCACACACTGTCTGAATTACCTTCGTCAGATGCTCTTCTGCCGCTCTGATCTCAATCTCGAAAGCGTCATTTCAGGCGACCCTGATCATCACGCCGTTGCCAGCCGTCGTACTCAAACCTGTCGGGATTGGAGGGTTGTCTATGAGGCGTTGGGAAGGAACCAGGCAATTGGAGGAAATGTTTAGCATGTACTAGATAGGCAACGACGGGAGAATTTAGTGCCCACAATTCGTCTCATTCTTGAACCCACGCCGCAATAACATTTGACCTTCATGATTGTCAGCTTGTCCTAGAATTATGAAAAGTGAAATAGATGTGTGAGTTTCTACACGTTCTTCTCGCGAGTTGCCTTTTTTTAGACTTCTTCATTGCATCGCGATCAACATGGTAAATTTTGTGATTGTTTAAAGAATTTGACGGTCCGGGAGGCCGATGCCTGGTAGTCGACTTGCCATAGTACATCCTCGGTGGCAACATACGTACTGGCAGGCGCTTCTCAACACGATTTTCCAACGAATACGGTCTAATAATAATAACCCGGAAAACTCATTCATTACTCGGACATGATACCGTTTTTATGTTTCCGAAATATCCCTACGGAAAGGATAAAAGGCGAGTATGGCACCCAGTTGAGATAATTCATTCACCAATCTTCTACCAGTTCAACTACTTGCTTGTTGCCCTTCTCATTGCCCAGAAACATGAAGCTATCCTTGATCACCGTTGCCTTGTTCGCTGCCTTTGTTCATGCTGCGCCCGGTATGTTTCAAAGTTTAACGATGAACCGTGATACTGATATAATTTTCTTAGCGCCAAGTAAGCAGAACCAGCAAATCGAGTTCTCATCCGAACTGACCAAACCTCTATCTCATTACAGGCGTCGATGTTCCCGCTTCGATGGAAGAGCTCACCGCGGCATCCCCCGATACTGCTTTTAAACGAAGTCAGTGACTCAAACTTGAAGCCCTTTTCTTCAAGGACTGACTTATCATTCATCGTAGGCATAGACGTTCCCTCCTCGATGGAAGAGCTCACCGAGGCATCCCCTGATACTGCTTTTAAGCGAAGTCAGTGACCCAAATTTAAAGTCCTGTTCTTCAAAGGCCGACTGACCATTCATCGTAGGTGTTGACGTACCCACCTCGATGGAAGGACTCACGGGAGAAACCCCAGATGTCGCCTTCAAGCGAGGTGAGTGCCCCGAATTGGGGAAATGAGTATCGATCGCAGTTCAGGACTTATCATGATGGACCCTGTGTCGCAGGTATCGACGTGCCTGCCTCAATGGAAGAACTCAAAGGAGCATCTCCAGGGACTGCCTTCAAACGAAGTCAAGGAACCAATTTTGGCGAATGTGTTCTCCGAGGACTGACTTCATTATAGGTGTTGACGTACCCGCTTCAATGGAAGGACTTACTGGAGAAAACCCGGATACTGCCTTCTAGCGAGGTCGGTAGGGGCAATTAGATGCATATTTCAACGCTGACCATTTGATATGTTGCGGCAGATTGCGACTTCCCGCTGTCTGCAGAGCTGATGTCTCTTTCAAGCGTAGAGAGCCTATAGTAGAAACAATGAAATTGTTATTATAGTACCTCAATAGTATCTAAACGTTCAACAAAGAATACACGGTTTAGCTTGTGCTAGGGTTTCATAGAAGGATCCTGACAGGTCGAGTTAGCTAAGGAAGTAAAGGAGAGACTCCGACTTTCATCTAGAGCTTTGGCTAGAAGTTCCCACACTCGAACGCTTCTCCGCGCATTCGTCTTGAAGGGTTACCACAGGCCCAGCAAACCAGAACCGTCCACTAACAAAGTAATACATCGACGCCATTATGATGGTTCCTCCAACAACTACACTGGAATAGTTCATATCTTGAGCAGCCGGTCCCGGTGTAGTTGGGAAACACAACACAACTATCATGAATATCATGAAAGCCGATGCAAAAAAGGCGACAGGACCACTCTGTATAAATGGATTTGTAAGGACTTGGAGAAATGAGTGGAAAGGCCATACCGCTCTGCCAAGGTTAAATGGGCCAGGAGTGAAGGATTGTCCTCCAATGAATCGGGCAACGACGGGAGTACAGTAGCAGACATATTGACATGCTATACCCATAGTGAAAATGGCCCCGATCGCTGTCGTACCCGCAAACGATAGAAGGCCCAATAGAGCGGCAATAAACGCACATACACATACACAGTTCGTTGGTGTGCCTGTGTAAGAATTTATCGTATACAAAACTGTCGACAAGGGGAGAGCGCCATCTCGGGAGAATGCGAAGGTTTGCCTGGAAGCTGAAATGAGCTAAGATCGTTGTCAGCAACCGGATCACTGGAAGCAATCATTATACGTACGAGGTTCATCACTGCCATATACCTAAAGAACGGATGAAAATGTGTTCCTAATTAATTCATTATGAGGACTTACATGGACATGATGATGAACCCCCAGAATGCAATTGTGCCCCTGGTCCCTAGACTATTGAAGAGAATCTAAGGCATGTTAAGTAAGCACGTCTTGGATTATAGTGATCTTCTTGTACTCACGGTTGCCATTGGCTGTCCTATGGGACTTGAAATGATGGATACTAAATCTGTGCCCATATTTAAGACCAAACAGATATTAACAGCTGTACCGTCATGATAAGCAGAATGAATTCAGGGCGGAAGATGATCTAACCAAATCCAAGAATGCATCCAAGGACAGTGGCGCTCATGATCGCAAACGGTACGGCAGTGCGCGCGTTCTTTGCTTCTTCAGAGATATGCACGGGAGCATCAAAACCACCTGGACGTATTCGTAAGATCACACTTTGTACGTTCATTAAGAAGAAACAACAATTACCTATTGTCCAAAGGGGCGCCAAGAAGCTCATGAAGAACGCAAATCCGTCGGGATATCCGGAAACTACGGAAGATGTGAGATCATCGAAGACATGACGTCAATAAGGGCGGAGAACCCACGATTTTCAAAGTGACCAAACGCATATTTTGTGTCGTTCTTGAGTTCTCCAGGTGTAACTGCTGGAAGAGCGATTACAATGGCAAAGACCACGCTGGAAAGACTGCGTGAGTAGCGCTATTCAGCCAGAAAGAGAAGGAAACTAACGCAATATTGAGCAAAACATAAAAGATCTGTAGTCTAGCTATAACCTTTGTCGCAAGACTAGCCAATAGCGCATGAGAAACTAGCAAGGCGCAAAATACTCCACTACGGAAGTTGCCTTAGAAGCGACCTCAAATGAAAAGAATGACACTTACTATATCTGAGCGGTCGTCGGGGAGTACGTATCGTTCGAGCCTAGAGTGGCCGCCGTCAATATTGCTACAGCGCAACTGTAGTCCACACCAGCTACACCGGCTATATATCCAATCGTGTTTACGTCTAAGTGCCTATGAGTGACAGTCGCATAACAGAAACTAGATACTCACAGCCAATGAGCCAGGAAAAGAATTTACGGTAACGCGGGGACGAATACTTGAAGGTCCAATAGTACAAACCACCGGAGGTAGGCGCAGACGACCCAAGTTCAGACATGGCGAGAGCGATGCAGATTATAAAAGCGCATCCGCTTAACCACTGGGGAAGATATGAGCTGGCAGATCTTACTACAAAGCGATATAGATAGAGTTACCCCCCAGACCATGGAGACAGGACCTCCATACGGGATTGAATAAGAAAGTATAGACCTATATGACGAAGGCTGAACTGAGTACTCTGCTGCACTTGACAAGTCATAAACCTACGCAATCGATTGGACGATGCCTATTATACTGAACGACAGTCCGAAGAGCTCGAAGCGAGAAAAGTCTCTCTTGAACTCTTGTCTGTAGCCCAGATCAGCGAGAACGGTTTCGTCAGACGGCATAGTAGAGCAACGGTGGATAGTGAAGGGAATTCGTTATCACTGGGAAGGTTCGGAAACTACGAAAACGCTGCGAACATCAAACTGCCGCGAGGTGCTTTCTGAAGAAGCCTTCACAGACCTGCTATATATACATACGCAGGAACCTTGCATATCAAAGAGGGTGATGGCGTGGCGATCGATGATGCATCAATACATCTCCTTTAGTAATGCTTGTACTTTGTCTATCGAAAGATCCTCCAGGTCGTGGAATCTGTGCGGCCGCCGCCTGGATAAAGTGATATCCTCGAGGCACTAGAGCAGTAGTATAGAATAGCATGCCGAGGGCAAGAAGCTTGAGAGAACCAAGTTTCTTCGGGTAGAAACCGTAAGTGTTGTCATTGGTGGCGTAACAGGGACCAATAAGCTGCGAATCCATTCGAGATGAGTGCATCCCCACCTGAAGATTCCCCGCTGTATCTCGAATGGGGTCTCACAGCACATCACAGTAATCCAGCCGTACAGAATTCGAGTTCCTGACAATAGGCAACCAAGCACCAAGAAAGCGACACAGATTGCTCGGCGTTACGTAGAAGCGGAGTGAAAATAAGTGGTTCATGTCAATGTTATCTTCGTGATCATGCATTTTCCTTTCAGTCTAGGGTGTGTGGTGTTTAGTATGGCGATACGAGCGTTAATCTTGAATACCACCAGGGTCACAATCAGCGTTGACAACATTGAAGAGAGGCTGAAGAGTTCTAGATAGCGACGGCCCACAATGAGGTAATTCAAGCGTTCTATTCTTAGATCCTTGGCAGCAGGCAGGAGCAGGCAGTCGCGTGCGACGGATCTACAGGAGGGCCTGTCATGACCGGAGAACAGCTGTTATGTTATCCCTGTTGTTAAGGGCCACCTAATTCAACGTCAGACTTCCAAAAAAATTTGCGACCAGGGATAGAAATTTCCCAGCCTGAGGTGCCTTGTCCCGGAGACTATAAGTAGTTTCCTGGAGTTTTCCAGGGCCACCCTGTTTTATCGCATTATTCGGAGCAACCCCAGGGTAAATGATCTGACTGAATAAATCCACTTCGGCCATGTCGTCCAATGTTTTGTGACCCATGTAAATGAGATTCCGAGATGAACGAATGTTCCTAGAACATGCATTCACAGGGTTTGACGTAGAATGCCCAAACTGGAGTATTTGTCAAGACGTGTTTCACGCCTCCTCCTGAAGCGTGCCACGGAACCGAGCGGTTAGGACCGTAAATTTAGGACTTCCCCCGAATCAAGACATGAAGAAGGCCTAGGCGGGACAACCGCATATATAGCGGGAAAAACGGATTTGATATCTGCTCTTTGATTCCATGTCGCCAAGCTTTGCAGTCAGAAGATTTACTGGGGCGCCAGGTATCGGTTGAGCTATTCGATTTGAGTGTAACTGACGGTCGATAACGCGTAGGTTCAGCGAGGTTCAACGAGATCGTAGAATGCTTTAAGCAAGCATACTCGGAAGGTATTGACAGTTGTGCGGAACCACTTGGTATCGTACTGAAGCCAGTCGTGACAGATCATTTCGCTCACAGTGTGACTGCGGGAAAGACTGATATATATCATCGTCTCAACTATTCCCTCCTTCTTTCGGGCATCCTATCCGGCGAAGTGTATACCATTGAAGAGGTTTCAAATGGCAACAAAGTGGTAGCTGCCGCTGTCTGGTTTCCTCCAAATCGCGAGCTGTTCGAAGAGTTCAGTAACCCTTTCTTCAAGTATTACTTCTTTACTTACTGGGGTCGTACTAGGAGCGAACAAGGCAAGGCAGTCGGGCCGTTCATGGCCAGTCTATTCCCCGAACTTTGCAAATGGTGGAGGACAAGAGTAAGTCGCTGCAAGCTACGTCGCTTTGATGCAGTTGTAACTCCGATTTAGTTTCTTCCAGAATATAGTGACTTCGCCAGGACTAAATTTGGAGACGGCGTCAGGAAAGCGGCCTGGCATCTCCAGTGGATAGGAACCCTCAAATCGTATCGTCGCAGAGGTTTGGGAACGATGTTGATTGATGTGATCCGTAACAAGGTACTGTTCACACCCGCGTTCAGTAGCATAGTCATAGTCTGACATTTTCGTAGAAGAATGGCAAGAAAATGTGTCTCGAGGTCGAAAGACCAGAAAATGTGCGTCCATCTGAGTGCATTTGTGCGTCTGATCACAACTTTGCGTACAGCTTAAATTCTATCGTAAGTGCGGTTTCAAGGAGATAGATGAGGAAGCACACCACTTTGAGTGCTACAACGTTCATAAAGAGCCTGGTTTTGGTATGTGGGCAATGCTCTCTGATTGAAGAAGTCGTCGTTGTCGTCTGGTGCTTAGTATAATAATCTTGTAATCTTAATTATATGCAGTGTGTAATTTCAGGAGTTGGAAGCTAGCATAGAATGAGTGGATCAGCAATTGTGAAAGTATCAACGATGTCACCGCTATTATTTTGGTGCGAAGTTGGACGACATGAAGAGCAATACATGGACGCGAGTGTACACAGACTCAGACATAGTAGATAAACACGTTAGCGGTCCAGTCAAACATCAGGTGTAATAGAACGACGCCTTGTCGCCAACTGACCACCTCCTGAACGCGTCGCGCGCTCCACGGCTGTCGGCGCCGCTTAGGTGCCTGCCGCTCTACTTTTTACGTGGTTGAATATTGATAACGTTATGCATATAGAGCCAATTCGTCCGGACAAGAGCGTAAGAGAAGAGAAAGGAAGAGAACACTCCAAGATAATCGTTGACGCTGATGGTGGTCGCGGTCCAAAGATTCGAGCTTCAATTCCCACGGTACTTAGGGAAGATAGGGGCTCATTCTTCAAAGTCTATTTCTAAGTGCAAGTATTCTATAGCAAAGAGATCCTATGTGCCCATATCCACCTTCCTGATGCTCGAAGCTTGAGATATAAAAGCGGCTGGATAGAGAAGAGAAATAAGCATCAGGATACGAAACAAATAGAAATTAGGCACCCATGATAGGCTCGTCTTCGTCTTGCTTGAAATGAAGGTAGCACTTAGGATTCGTACAAACGAGCTCGAATGTAAGCAAGGATCTTGACGGGCATTCAAAGGCATCGGATATCTGCACTTTCTTGTCCATTGTCACCCCCCAAACGCCCGCCAGGGTTGTCCGACGGGGCCGATTCGAATAAGAAAGCGTCTCGGCATTTAGTTGGACGTCGTTATCGTCAAGGAACCAGGCCTCTAATTTCACCGCATCACTGGAGACGACCGGAACCGACTTCTCAGAGCGCTCTAGGTCTGCGGCGCTTGGAAGGGAGCCCATCAAAGTGCAGCGTTCCATACCGAAGTCCATGACACGAAACTGTAGTATCATCGATAACTACGCGTATCAAGGTCAGTTGCATGGAATACGAGTTCGATAGATTTAAATCACCTCAGAAGACACCGTAAAGTTAGTCTCTCTTGGATAAACTGTTCCGTACGGCGTTTTCAGACTCGGAACATCGAAGTAGACCTTGTCTACTTCCGCCGAATTGACCTGCGCCGCAAGAATTGGAAAGTTCATGATGGGTTGCGGCTCTGGGGATAACGGATTGAGGGTCGCCCGTTCTAAGCCAATGTAAGGGTTCGGTCTCGGTAGATCATACAGTAGACGTGGCACTGGTGTGAACCCTCGGGTGTTATAGATCCACAAGATGGCGAAGTTGCACACCCCCGATAATACTGCAACGACTGATGCTAGAACGATGAATCGACATGCCAGAACTTCTATGTTCTTGAGCCCTAAGTTAAGGCGTGAGCACCATATCAAAGATCGAGACAAGGTAAGGTGTAACTCACCTGGCTGATCCGAGGATTTCTCCTGGTCGTCGGAGCTCGCGGAAGGATCATGGGAGGACAAAACAGCATATCCTTCGTGGCTCCCTGGCATTCTCGCAAACAGCGACAACTCAGATGTAGATGGATAATGACTCGGGAGGTGACGATAAGGCGGAAGGGGATGGCGCGTGGATTAGTTCATAATAATGATACTAGTGATACTAGTCTCCCGCCTCCAGTGCCACCGGATGTACTTTAGTGTGATTGATTGAGATCACGAGCATGCGAACAGATTCCCTCAATCAAACGCCAAGGACCAGAACGCCATCGCCATGTCCTGGCTCCAAGGGGATCCGAAGTCTTCGAGAGGACTTGGAAGAAGAGTACATAAATATTCCAATGAACTTGCGGACCGCAGAGTGGCGTGGAATGATACTTGGCGAATGGAGGTATTTCAAATGAACCTGAAAGGTGAAAGAACGTTAAACACTAAGACTGATTTATGAGATGATCGCACTGTGAATCATTATTTGACCTATATGTAGCTTTATGCTCTCGTCCTGAGGCGTTGTTATTAGTTCGGCATCTAATGCAACACTGTTATCGATGTCATGCCCAGCTGAGGATGGAGAGAAACCAATGATAGGTTGTTCTGACAGTGTTATGGCACTGCATGATGCTGAACGACCGCAATGTCTATCAATACGCAACAGTTCATAATGGAAAATTTACAGACAGACACCGCGGCATCGGCTCAAGCTGGTGCATATTTTCCGAGTGAATTCGCCTCGTGTTTAGTGTCTCACGGCCCGTGCTTTTCGAAGGGCGGCGGCGGCGGCGGCGACGACATCTTCGAGAAATGTCAAGATTGGACCCAGTTATAGTAGGTTTCCTTGTTCTTTCCTACTGACTAGGGGATTGGTTGAAAAAACCCAGTTTCGCCGCTTAGAAGGGCCACCTTCGTGTGCACACATGGATTTAATTAGCAGATACTCAGGCCAGGTACAGACAAATCCTTACCTCGAGGAAGGCCCTGACAGCGCCGCAGAAGCAAAAGTTCATTCGATGACCATACGCTTTCCCTTCCCATTGAATTTCACTGGGCCACATTACAACAACAGAGTTAGTTCCAAGTTATTCGCCTGCGAATATCTCCCAGGGACCGATAGCCGATGCCGATGTACACACAGCAAGGAAAGTTCCCTTTTTATGATACGAGAGCACTACGAGATTCCGAATGCCCTGCGACCTTGTTCGCATGTCTATTATGATGCACAGATTCCAGGCTAGACAGTCACAATATAATGCCCATCAACTTTGATTAAAATGCAATGGGAGAACTGGGAGTTAATAGAACAGAGGAGAAAGAATTTCCGGCTGTTGAACAACTCAAGTTATTACGTTATTTGACGCGGCGCAGACTTTCTATATGAATGGTCGACGTATGAGCGGTACCATTGACGAGTGACAGGAAAACTTGAGCGAAGCAATGGCGGAACAGTTGAATTTTCAAAGAAGCTCGGCGGCGTCGATAGTCGGTCCATACTTTGATTGAATTGATTGTGTTGGACAAAATGGTGACGCATCGCTGATATCAGAGCACACCATCCACGTGGCACTCACCGCTTATCTGGTCCGGCTTTTACCGGGCGTCCTCACACGTTCTTCAGCTTGAACTTGGAGAATTCTGTTTTAAGCCTCAAAATCCAACTCGGGACAGGATTTCTAGTTTTACAACGAATATCCATCACCAGGCTTCTCAGTGCTCCCGGCATCGCCGGAAATGTGTGCGGCTTCTCGAGAACCAACATTTCGTTACTATGGAGCCCTTCGTGGACCCTTTGGTCACACTTTGGCTACTTCGACGTGCGGATGAAAATGCGGGAATCCTTCGTGTTCAAGGCATTGTGGGGTTTCGACGGCCCCGGATATATCTGCATCTTGACATGAATGTTCATTTCTTGGATCAGAGATTGGGCTCTTTCAGACACAAAATGAAGCTGTTATCTTGAAGAATACTGTCTTACAGCAACCGCACGATGCTTCAATCAACTGCTGCACTGGCAATCCTAATGCTTGCTGTCTCCTCTATCTTGTCGGCGTTGTGGACTGCGTGGCAGAGGCTCTACCGTCATCCATTATCCAAGGTTCCCGGACCGAAGCTAGCAGCGCTGACCTGGTGGTATATAACATTCTTCGATGTATGCAAAGACGGCGGGCTTCTTGAACAGCTCGAAATTCTGCATCGGATCTACGGTAAATGGTTCAGTCATAGTCAGAACAGAACAGTCCTAATATTGCGACCTTTGGTGTAGGTCCCGTTGTTAGAATCGGCCCAGAAGAAGTAAGTCATGCTCTTCTGTAATTTCGAAAACCGAAGTCTTGAAGATTTTTAGCTCCACTTTAGTCGTATTTCTGACTACAACGAAATTTACGTTCAAAATATTAGATTTCCAAAGGATCCTAGGTTTTACAATGCCTTACACGAAGACGAGTCTTCATTTGGATTTTGCGATCTCAAAGAGGCGAAAATTCGGAAGGACGTCCTCAGTCCAATGTTCTCTCGCAAGTCCATCCTCAAGCTGGAGAATGTCGTACAGGAGACGGTAAGCGATCGATAGCATAAAAGCCTCTATCTTACACGTGAATTCAGGTAGATACTCTTATCAAACAGATTCTTTCCTACAAAAATCAGCCAGTCGATATGCAACGAGCGATACGGTCCGCATCCCTAGAGATTATTGTTTCATACTGCTTCGCTCGACATTATGACACTCTCAATGTCCCCGACTTCAAGCACCCCATCTTACTTGCCTTTGAGAAGTCCTTTCCTTTCTGTCTCACCTTGAAACATTTTCCGTACCTTTTCGATATTCTCACCTTTGTCGACCGATTAGTTACTTGGTTTAGTCCGCCCGTAGCAGGGGATGCATTCGCTGCGATGAATCGCCAGATCGACGAGCTTCTTGCAAATCCTCTTCTCATGGAGAACGACGAGCATGAAACGATTTATAGTCATCTAATGACGCCGCACCCGGTAAAAGGACAACACACTACACTGTCACGCAAGTCTCTAATTGAGGAAGCTATCAATCTCCTCGCTGCTGGGAGTTTCACTGTAGGGAACACAGCCATGGTGGGGACATTCTATGTCCTGAACGATCCTGTGGTATACAGGAAATTGGTTCAGGAGCTGAGGGATGCGTGGTCTAATAAAGATGAACGTCTCTCTCTAGCGCAGCTGGAGAAGCTACCTTACCTGGTACGTCCGGCTCTGCTTTGAATAGGTGAAGTCTCTACTCACTTTGTCACCTGTAGACCGCCGTGATCAAGGAATCCCTGCGCCTGTCGCACGGAGTTGTACTCCCCTTGCCGAGGATTGTTGGACCTGTGGATACGGAGATCGGAGGCATCAATGTCCCTGCCGGGGTCCGTCCGTTGTATCCTCTAAACTTATCCCTGACATTTATGATTACTGAAGACTGTCGTGTCGATGGGTGTCACCTTCGTTCACTACAATCCGGACATTTTCCCCGAGCCCTTCAAGTTCCAGCCTCAGCGATGGATCGGTCCTGATGTACGCGGACTGGACAATTTCTTACTGTCGTTTGGTAAAGGTCCGAGAAGCTGTCTTGGTGTCAAGTACGTTTGTCTTCGTACTCTTGTGTGCTTCAGCGTAATCACAACCATCATTTAGCCTCGCCTGGTGCGAGTTGTATATAATGTTTGGAAATATTTTTAGGCATATCGACATGCAATTGGATGATATGAAGTGAGTGGCCATCTTTCTCCGTATCATTTCGATTCTATTTCGTTTTTCGGTAGAGCAGAAGACCTTGCGTTCAGGTGCCACCTGACACCAACATACCGAGGCAAGCGCTTGAGCGTACGAGCAAAGCCTACGGCAACATGAAATCTTTCTGTCTCAGCAACGCTCACGTAGCCTCTGTTTTATACTCGAATTCGAGGGATTTTGGCATGACCGCCCTGAAATACGATGATTCGCTCTTGCTTTGTATAGCAGACCTTTATTGTGTTTGCGTCAATTGTTTGAGCGAATATAGTGCACTGGAAGAGGGCGAAAGTATATTTCTGTGCGTTTAAATCCTTCAAGTCGGAACCCTTCCCGGACAATTCATCAAACATTGGTCACCACTACCATCATGCTACCTTCCCACTCTTCGCCTCCCCAAGACCTCATGGATTACCGTGATTATCCTGCATCTTTCTAGGCACAGTATCGTTATAATTACGTCGCATCGCATCGTGCACTTTTGACCAATCTTTACAGACATGGGTAGCACCTGTTCGCTTGATCTCGTGGTCCCAAGTGAGCACATCAGCGGGCTCAAGCGTCAAGTCGGGGTTACAGAGGATCATCTGCCGGAGGTATGTGAGACAGGGCTGCATATACCCTCGAATGCCTTGATCATGATCCGTTCAAGGCTGTCTGCATCAGACGCAGGCAATGGAGCTGATGCCACATTGATAGCGCAAAGCGTCTTTGCTCTTGGCCTAGGCGCAAGTATCCAAATCCGTACGTTACAGTTGTTGCCCACTCCTCACTGTCGTCAGGTCCGGAAATCCCAAATGTCAGGTTTCCTCCATTGTCATGAGCACGGCAGGAAGGTCGAGCGGCAAGTGTTCTGGGAAATCTTTGTCTATGAAGGCTTTGAAGACGCATGGATTGAGGAAATTACTCGATGCTAAACAAATGGTTACTCACAATACACTTTCTCGCCCGGAATGTTGCGTGTGAAGGAGTTGGTGTGCACAAACGTCGCAACCGACAAAGCAAGTATGAAGGTGCACGACGCCAACATGGCTATGGTCCTCTGTCGAATTTGCCAAAATAGTAGACATCGGTACCAGTTTTTTCCAGTATGCGGCTGTTGGCCAAATTGAATGCACATCTGAGACAAGTTCTCCACTTGACCGTCCACTCTATAATTAGTTCTATGGATAGGATTCAGCACGGGACTCAAAGCAAAGACTATCCTACCAAGCCTTCTTCGATTGTCTACCAGATGCTACAGAGGACCCTGCCCCAGGCTTCTGTGAACATGAGAATGTACCGGTGCTTTCTAACTTAGTATCGTTGTTCCTGCTGCCGAGGATGTCAAGTATTCGTACATTGTGGGACATGCAATTCGGACTTCAAGTTGGACTAAGTTCCTACAATTCTTCTCTCAGTATCTGGACATGCACAATCAGTACAGAAAAGTGTCTGTTGCTATTTTGCTAGCATTTATTGGTTCGTTTCTTTTGATGAGGCGCGCAATCATCCCAGCCGCACGCGATAGTCCACAACTACACCATGAGCCTCTCTTTCATTCACTCGAGTACAAGCTGTTAAATTTTCATCAGGGATATTTGTGGCCGACTCCGTCGCTGTATGGGACATCGGTCCACTTCCTGTCGTCCTAATGGATGTTGAGGATACAGTTAATTGCCAACTCAATTCGACGGACTATAATGATGCACAATGGTCGGCCCTCGCTCCAGCCGGAGGTATCATCTACCTCGACCCGGACCATACCCTCTACCTTCCGTCTTCTTTCCATCAACTTCGTTGTCTGGACGTCCTTCGATCCATGTACATTGCTCAAGAGGTGGACATAGTCAAGCAGCTGTGGCTAGACATTGTCTGAACTATCTTCAACAGATGCTATTCTGCCGCGCATATTTGATAGGTCGAAGTGGCTAGAGAAATTTTACCACGGAATGGTGTAACATTCAAGCTTAGAGGTACCCATTAAATTCGTGTATTGAATCAGATCTGACATTGGCTCAAGACCCCATTCTTTCTGTCTGCAATATCAAGGACCGATGTCGTCTACTCGTAGCATTCATGGCGTCATAATCTCGGACTCTGACGGAACCAAATACCTCCGTCACTAGCTCTTGCGACGAATGATAATTATCTGATAGGAAGTGGGCCACAAGACCGTTCGGTGTTAGATTGTACTTAGAATGTACTTTTGCGGAAGCGATGGCTATATGAAACCTGCCAAAATATCCCCTGCCAGGGACCATGGACTGCTCCTGCCGCACGAAATACCATTAGAACACCTCTTTTGTGTAGTAACTAAGAGGGAGAGAATTCACGGTTGATAATAGCCACCGAATACTACGCTGTATAAGAGAGGATAAAAGACACCCGCTTCAACCAACAGGACTTATCTGATGAAGATATAACTACCCTTCATGAGAATTTTCTTGTCAGTGGCGTTCATTCTGGCTGGACCTGGTGAGCCCCGATTCAGAGTAGTAGTTCTGGACTGACCTGACAGCATATAAAGCACCAAGTGAAATGAATGGACGGATACCAGCCGCTCAGCCCCACATTGATCAAAGACTCGTTGAGTTAAGGATTTCCATTGCGATACCCTTGCCCTTGAAACGAGAACTTGATAGTAAAGTCCGAACCTCCTTGAAAAAGAATAGTTCGTTGACCACACTCATTATAGTGGATTAGTACTTAGTGTAATTGGAAAGCTGGCTGATGAAGCGGTGGCCTATTCCTTCAAGTAAATTATAAAACTCGGGGAGTATTTCACTCGTAATTCTGCAATGCACCTGTTTAATTACTACTGTTGCTAACGAGGATCTTACAAGGAGGTCTTTAGCTTGAATATTGTTTTTACTAGCCTCTACAGCTGATTGTTAGCAAAGTAAATGCAATTATAACGGATCCATCTTGTTCACTCTCAGGCTAAGTCCCTGCGCTATGTTCTGAGATATAGCTGTTCTTCAAGAAAATCCTGTTCATCAAATTGGATCCCTCTCACCTAATAATACGGTGGAATCGATCCATGAGCAAAAGGTTTGGACTCAGCATGACTGGGAAGGTACGGTCCGAAGATTCTGAAGGGTTGCCGCAATGCCGCGGCATCTAGTTTCTCACAGTTGGATCAAGAATAAGGGTGTGTTCATCAATTTCCAGTACTATGTACGTCCTCAGCAGCAGGTAGCGATGCATAAGTGAGGTCTAGTATTCATATATTGGTAAACAGTAGAGGAGAAGATGGGGGTGAAAACCGAACCGACAGCCACAGTAAAACTCATTGGCAGAGAGGTTCTATACCATTGGTCAACCCGCTCGTTGCCAAAAGAAGAAGCTTCTGGTGGATGTTGAATAGAACCTCTTTAGATTACTTATCAACATAGTCTAGAAAATACTATAGCGACAAGCTTTATTATTGTACATGTAGTTTGGTGGCGGTGTGCTATTTTTTTGTCCACAGAGCGTTGATCAAATCGGTGCAACACAATGCGTTCTTCTGATGCAATATCCACCTGCTTGAAACTGAATTCTAGCTAAACATATAAATAAGGCTTGAATTTTAGCATACCAAAGCGTCAAACACATTATCGTGGAGTGGTGTCAGTCTACCGGTTTCCTGCCCGGAATTCTCTGTCGCAAGGCTTGTGGGAGTAGAACCCCGGGAAGAAGGGAACACCTTCAAAGCAATTTCACGATCTTCAGTTTCAGTGCGCTCGTAGAGTGGTTTGGCCTTATATCGCGAGGGAGCTCCTGTGGTTGAATTCCGGGCTCTTCCATTGATAACCTTCAGAATGATGAGAAGCGGCGCGATTCCCTACAAGTCTGCCAATTAGAAGTCTGCCCTTAAGAAAATGAGAGGCTACAGACCTCCATCTGACCGAGAGGCGGAAGTAGTAGATTCTAAATAGGATTGTTACGGGAACATGTGATAAGGAATATTAGTGTCCGCAGTGAGTACAACGCAGCCGATTCAGCCATGATCGCGATTAAGTAAGTGTAATATGATCTGTGGCTGGGTCCTAGGACCGCACTGGCCCGCCGACGGACAAGTAGAAGGCGGGTGGCAATCAGACAGGTGAAAATGATGTTGAGACCGGCAGATATAGATCAAAGGGCGATTCCAAGACGCACAGACGTCGTAGCCCCAAAGCTATCTGGGGATCGAGCGACTGAGATCATTGAACCCAAGGCGGAGCCTAGAAGGGAGGGTAACAATTTTGTGAAATCCAAGCGAAGGAAAGTCAGTACCTATGTCTCGAAGATAGATGACAGCGAGAACTATGGCTGTCCAGAGGTTCCGGTCGTATATGATAAAGAAATGGTACAGCTGGACGTATCAAGAAGCAATGAATGAACACGGACGGTTGAACACAGAGTGGCTTACAATGAGCCCATCGGCAAGCCATCCAAGGATGGTATATCTGCAGAGCACCATCAGAGAGAGGAAGTCATAAAAGGGAAACATGGCGAACACGATGAAAGACATCAGATTAGATGTCGCTGCATAAAAGGAGAAAGTAAAAGCGTTGGGACCACCGGTATAATGACGATCATTAATATAAGTCATCTGAATAAATTTTTGATTCCCTCCAACACCAAGATGAAAACTGCACTGACGTAGATCCACATCCACCACCGCTTTTCTTTGGTCTGGAGAGAAAAGAGGCCTTGAAGACACTGAGAAAGGAGGATACCTGTGTATTATAAGCATCTGATGATGTTTGGAAGGGTGAAGTATCATAGGCAACCAAGGTAAGAGCCATTCCATTCAGATTCGCTTGTTCCACCCAGATGTTGTTGTTCGATTCTCCGGGAGGTGCGTATGCCGGGCTCAGAGGGGGTTCCGTCATACTGGTAAGAGACCAAAGAGAAAATCTGAGGAATGTACTCCGCCGGTGACCTAGGATGAGTCAGATGCTGCGTCGATCATTGTGGTGCCGTCATCGAAGGATATAACAAGATACCGCCATGCCACAATGTCGATGGAGATCCCCTCCAGAAGTCGTGTATTGGATTGGGTCTTCGAGGTCCTAAAATGTGCCGAAGTATCTCGACTGTCACGCTATGTGTAAGTAGGTCAGCCTTCTGCGTAGTGAACGTGCTGTGAAAGACGAACAAGAATTGAAGGGCCTGAGTACGGTTTCGGAACAGAACTCTCCTGATTTATTACCTTTGCTTCGCATTGTGGACATCGCACAATCTTTGATTCCTTGAAATGTCAGTAGCACAGATCCGCCAGCTGTCGCAGTAGGTCCATACATTTTTGATGCAACGTCGAGCGCTTGACAATGACCAGACTGCTGACAAACCAACGGTCTGGGTCGGCGGAGGCTAGGTCTGTGTGGCGCTTCGACGTTATTTATGCGTTTTCAAGAAAGAAAACCTTTGGTAGAGCAGTGCTCTGTTAAAAACAAAATGACATTTCCGTTACCGTTGCGTTCACAGACATTTGAGAAATCACAAGTATCTGTACAACAAATAAGCAAGTGAACTGAGCAAGAGAGAACAGCGCACTGAAACCTGGTAAATGGAAAAAAAAAAAAGAAAAAAAAACTTCACTCTTCACCTCCCTTCCTTGCCCAAGCAACAGCGGCGGTCCACTCGTTGTTTGTAACAAGACCTGCCTGCTCCGCCTTCTGCAAGACAGTGATGATCCAATCTTGGCAGTTCCACTCCCCATTGGGCTCCTCCACCCTAACACCCGCCGCGATTCTCTCCAGCTCTTGTCGTTGGGGAAGGCTCATCACCGTGATGGCCTTCCGAGGCTTTGTCCTTTGGCTGTTCTGCGTCTCCACCTGGGTGATGGCGCCCCAGTTGGTAAGATGGTTATACCCAATCTCCTGGACGACCTCAAGGAATCGACGGTAGATGTGCTGAACGCCGCCGTTTTCTTCCATCTTTACCACCCAGAAGAGCTTCCAGTGAAGATCTCGTAGATCGGTCATGGTGGGAATGCGAGTGACCATTATTTGAACGGCGAGGTCGGAGTCAGGATCTGGATACCAGCGTTTGAGGTCGATCGGTGGTAGACGACCAGAGGGTCGACCCATCTCGTTGGGAAGTATAGCCATACCTTACGAGTCATCTCATCATTATCTCATCATGGAATCGACATGAAAAATACCTGATGAAAGTTGAAAAGAGTAGCTGGACCTGGCAGATAGCGTTGTTCAATCACATGAACGCCATCGATATCCAGCCAGACGACTGAGGACTGATACAGACAAGAAATTCAAAGTCAGCCCGAAACCCTAGACGGAAATTGTTGCATTATTCTGCGGATATAGACTAAGGCGAATCAAATCTTACTTTTTTATATTCAGGTCATCAAGAACCGGCTGACTGTCATGTATTATATTCTCTCTGGCTCCAGATTTGGCCGAACACGGCTCAACAGGCATCCCACCAAGGCCGGATCTCAAATAATATGCTGTCCCAGAATCGTGGGCACTAGTAGTCCAAAACAGCATTTCACAGTCCAAAACCGCAGCCGCAAGAGGACAGAAGCGTTGCATCGTGACCAGACGAACACGCCGATAGTTATGATAGTCAAAAACCGGATAGACACCTAGCTACTCTAATGCCCTTTATAGTTTCTAGAAGCAGCTCGAAGGGTGTCGTACCGTAAGGCCTTATGATTAAGAGTCCAGTGATTCAATGCAGGAGGCGTGGGTACGAAATAGGTATCCGAGCAATTCCCTGAACGGTCCGAAACGCGTCAGAATCTTGAAAACACAAGATCATTAGCCCCCGACTGTTTCGTAATAGCATATCTGCGATGGAAGGCCCAGTGAACATGGGGGGTGAAGATAGTAGTATGTATTGTCGCGAGTCCGCAATCCACGCGTGTAGAACACTGAAAACCTTAGGACAGTCGCGTATCATTGAGATCAATGTTGTCCTTGTCATCCAATGTCAAGTTCCTTGGAAGAGTTTTGTTTTGGAAAAGCTGGGAACGTTGTCAGAATCCGGATCTTAAGGGGAATGATATATCAAAGACAACTCAGTACGTGACCATAACGTTAGGAGACAAGTGCCATGAATAAGAACCGATGTTCCTTCAGATACCTTAACATTGCATATATAGGCAAAGGAAGGGAATTAACTGGAAACCTGAAGCTGAAGCGCTGATGAACGATAATCAATTGTCGCGTCTGGCAAGCTTGACGCCGTCCGGCGAACAGATATTTGAAGCTCCGCGCATGGGTAACGGACCGAATTCCGGAATAAAAACACCGACTAACTTCGCAGCTAATGGTACGTGACGAGATTTACGTATGTTGAAGTCACCGTCCCGCAGAAAGAAAGATGCTATATCAGGGAAATGACATGTTCAGGGATGAAAAACCCCTAGGCGGGATCCAGGGTAAGGCAATACAAATGGGGGTCTGAGGACTGAAAAGATCATCAAAGTATGCAACGGCTAGGCCAGAAAAAAACAAGGACATCATGTCGACTCCATAATCATTTCCGGGAAAGGTCAGTACTGATTTTTTTTGGCTACTCCGCTGATTATTTAATCGGACTTGTCGAAATTTCGAAGCGGTAGAAAGACGTACAGAAATGAATCGTGCACGAGTATGCATTTCCAGCAGGTTTTATTCTTCCCCCCCATTCTTTGCCCAAGTGACGGCCGCCGTCCACTCATTCTTGGTAATAAGGCCTGCTTGCTCTGCCTGTTGAAGCACGGTTACAATCCAGTCTTGACAATTCCACACCCCATCTGGCTCCTCCACCCTAACCCGTGCTGCTATCTTCTCCAGCTCTTTGCGTTGGGCGAGGTTCATCGTCGTGATCACCTTCCGTGGGTTGAACCTTTTGCTACTCGTGGTCTCTACCTGAGTGACTGCACCCCAGTTTGTAAGGTGGTTGAAGCCGATCTCTTGCACAACCTCCAGCCGCCGATGAAAGATCTGCACATCCTTATCCTTCTCTACTGTCTTCACCGCCCACACCAATTTCCAGTGCAAGTCACGTAGATCAGTGAAACCGGATATACGCGTAACCATTATGTGAATTGGGACTTCGGTGTCGGGGTCAGGGTTCCAATAATGTAGGTCGATCGGTGGCAGACGACCGGAAGGACGGCCCATCTCGTTAGGTAGAATGGAATTTCGCGTCATAGTTGTTCGTTATCTTAGTATCGGGCGATCGCAGAACGAACTAGAAGGATCTAGTGTGGGGTGGGATAGAAAGTACTGGAACGAGCCGATATCATCACACCCACTTATCAGCGGCTCACATGGATGAGCATGAACGTCATCGACATCTTCGACCCCGTGGCAGTCCCATGGATGGCAATTCAAGTAGCCGCCCACGGAATGGGCGGGGACCTCATGGCAGGGGCGGTACAAAGACAAGTTGAGATCCCGAAACTAATATGTCGGTTGTCAGAATTGCATCGAACAGTATTAAATAAAAACTACTGTACCACTTAACTAAGTTCATCCCAAGGACCAAAATCGGCCCAATGCCGTGGAGTAGCTTCTCTCTGGCTCCACCATCTCACCCCATTCAGATAAAATGACCTCAGACCATGACTGTGACCATATGGCCCCAGAGCGCAACAGCAGATTGTCCCAGAAGCGCGGGTACCAACCCAAAGTCTCCCAATCCAAAATGGCGGTAATGGCCCCGTTTTCAACCATAATGTTGTGGTCATTCAAATCAGCGTGCATTAGCACCGCATCCGCCGAAGGGCCGTCCAGGCTGTCTTCGGGAGGTAGCAGGACCGCACCACGGCCTAAACGAACGCGCCAGTAATTGTGAAAGTCCACAACTGATTGAAAAACACCTGGCTCTTCTATTCCTATCATAGTCTCCTGGAGTGCGGGTGCAAAATAGGAATTTCGATACGGGCCCTCTGGCCAAGACCCTAGGGACCGACATGAGGCACCGAGAGCTTCGAGCTGGCGCTGGTAGGAGATGACTGACTGAGCGATATTATGGAGAATGGATAGGTCAGAAATCTTTGCGGCGCGAAGGGTTTGACCCTTTACTCTGTCCATGACGATGTAGCGCCTGCCGTCGCGAACAAAGGCCCAGTGGACACGAGGAATGGGAATGGTAGTGAGCTGGCGGACATGTTCCATGGCTCTCGCCTCACGCATGGAACAACGGAAGCGCTTCAACACTCGCGTGTCATCGAGGTGGATGATGGATGCCCATTCCAAGGAGGGATTTTCCTGCACGATTTTCTTCAGAGAGCGAAGGATTTCGTCAACGACAGAGTCCGGTGGGTTGAAAATATCAACTGAGTGTATATAGGACAGTAATTTCTGCAACGCAATGCCCCATAAGGTCGGTAAAAGAGAGAGCAATGAGTAAATATGGTCGAGAGTTGAGAGCAAATATCGCTGCGAATGATAGAATGCCATGTTCGAACTTCGACTTTTCGTTCGGCATTTGCTCCCGTTTCGGAGTTTGCCGGATGAAATCAACGCACTTGACTCGGGGCCAAGTTTCTGGATATATATGTAAAGGTTACTATAAGAAGATTTACAATCTCATGTGTATCAAGGCTGGTCAGATAATACTTGCGTCCGTTTCTTCTTCCCTGTCCCCGTCTTCTTCTTCTTCGACCTCGTAACTTTGATAGGCTCCGGTGTACTCGTCCGGGTATCATTATCAGGCACATCATATTGAGGGAAGGAGGTTATCGGTGGCGGCGGCGTTCCCCGCGAAGGTGTAGATATGTTCCTGGGAGTCGATGTTGCTGATTTAACCATAGCGCCCTCAGGCATCTCGCCATCTTTGTCGATGACGACCGGTCCCAGGGATGTCTCGGACATGCTGCGAAGTGTGGGTAGCTGCGGATCAATAACTTCTGGTTCTGCGGCGAAGAGAAGTGGGTTTGCAATGACTGGTGGTTTTCGAGTGAACATACTTACCTGACAGCGATGGCATCCCCTCCAGTCGAACGACGGGTATTGAATCCACATCATTGGGTGGAGTAGGCTGGTCTTCAATGATATAGTACGGGTCGTCTTTGAGCTGTTTCAGTCTCTCCGCCTTGCGCTATGAGATGAAATACGTCAGTCAAATTATTAACGCACAAGGAGGGGGGAAATACCCGTTCTCGCTCTGCATGTTCCTCCACAGTCTCCTCGACACTGGTAGGAGTCAACACATCGTCATACAATAGGCCATTGCTTTCCTTCCGCTTCTTCTTCCTCTTCACACCGTTGGTCTCTTTTTCTTTTCCCTTCTTGCTCTTCTTCGCTTTACCATTCAGCTCGTCGGTGGGCTTTGGCGATGGAGGAATGATCCACGCATCCAAATCCAAACCCTCGGGAATCGGGACGCTTTCCTGTGCAGCGGCACCAACTGGGTTGAGCTGATACGTGCTGAAGAGGGGCTGTATGAGGTAAAGACTTTTAGGAAAGCGAGGTTCAGCAATGGGATCGAACGACGAGCTAGCTTCGCCGAATGGCGTCTCTTGTATCGGATGATGTGAGTCAAGGTCCGCCTGTATGAAGCGGAAGAGCTGTACAGTGTTTGCTGCCTAAAATATCATGAGGACGAAATGCAATAAGAGTATGATAAATCTTACCCGTTCTTGCACCTCGATATGAGGGCTGCTGATGAAGTCGCTCCCTCGACTGATGACCGTCGCAACAAGGGTTTTCACCTCAGACAGATCGTCCTCAGTCCAACGTTGCGCAACTTCGGTTGCCCAAAACCCAAAGATCTTTGCTGCTGCTTGGATGTAAACAGCGATAATATCTGGTGACAAATGTGATATATCGGGCTGCAACAAATAGGGAAGCAACTTCTGGGGCTCAGCCAGTTCACTAGAATCCACCGTTAACGGCAATCCAACATCGATTGAAGAAAACACAAACCTGCAATATTCACCGCATATCCAAGCAGCTGCCCATAGCACCTCGGAACAACTACCTTCATCTTGAGCATTCCGAAGCATCGTATCGTCGATAAGTAGCGTGTACATTAGCTTCACAGCATATCGCCGTGCCGCTCGTACCCGTCCCACCACATCAACCAGCTGGTCTCGAATCTGGGACCCAACATCGACGTTGGCTACATGGGCCAAATCGACGAGGACCGACAGGTACCATTCAAAGTTCGTGACATTATCGTAAGTATCTTGGAAACACATATTGAGGATCCGTTGTGAAAGGACAAGTCGGTACGCCTTTGATGGCGGAATGTAGGGCCTAACACTCTGTGGAGAAGACGGTTCCAGGTGCTGAGCAAGAGACTGAGAGGCGGTTGGCAGTGGCGCTATTGTCGAGCCAGATACTAGATGTGAGAGGACTTGCTGCACGATTGATTGAAGGTTATCTCGATTGACCTACAGTTCGGGCATGAGTCTTAAGCTGCCTCTGATGATAAGAACTAATCACCATGGCCGATACCAAGTCAAGAGCACGCATGCGAATACTGATATCCTGGTCGCTCACGCTTGCTAGAATAGTATCTTGGTATTCAGCCACTAGGTAGGGGTGAGAAGGGACAATCTTGACCATTGCAAGGAGAGCAATGTACTTCACTATTACGCCATTAGGTGCTTGGAATACATCTGCACTGCGGACACGTACGATTCTGATCGGCGTCTTGAATGAATGTTGCGAGCTTGGAAACACATAATCGAGCCAGAGAATCTCCTGAGGGCTCTCGAAGCATTCCTCCAATAATGCAAGTATGCACGCATTCGTAAAGTAAAGAGATGGCCGACGTTGTCGATATGAGTTCCGTTATGGGCGGCTGAAGCTTGCGGACTAAGCGAGGTTCGTGAGGGGAAAGAGAACCAAACTAACAACGGAAATCAAAACAAGGAAGAAATACATGAAACGGTAATTACGAGTTTAATGATCTTGATGAGCATCCAGTTGTTAGATGAGGTAGTCATGAGGTGAAATAGGACAGGCGCCAATGTAAGGTAATCTTGAGGACTCCTTCGTGCTAGTTCACAAAGTACGTTCACGGTGGTAGCAACGACACCTGAAGGTTTCACTGTTTTAATTCAAGCCCACAGCCGTTATCGGAGGATGCTTACTGGGATCTGCATCCTCTAATCGTTCTTTTAGCCTCGACACTCCCTCTGATGATACATCTGGATACTTGAGCATTGCCTTGTACAAAGCGACGACTGCGCGCTTTCGGATATTCGGACGTGAATGGCTCAACATTTTGATGAGCTCTGGTGCGAGATCTCGAGCCAAGTCTGGAGTAGCGATATGAGATATTCCATTCAACGTTACCGCGAGGTCGGCCGGCGTTGAAACCAAGTCCTGAGACGTCTTAAGGAGGGAAATGAAACATGCTTATACAACATACCTTCTTCAACAAATTCGTCGTCAGCATCAAGACATCAGTATCCTGGTCGAACGACTGGACGGCTGCAAGGTAACCAACGCTTTTGATATGGAATCTGGGAGACGACATGACTTCTACGACGTGGAATGAGGCCCAGCTCATGTCATAGCCAAGCATATCAAGCTGTACAACGTTAAATTCCAGTCCTTCGGCAAGAAGAGAGGGACTCACATAGGTGAGCTTCAGTACTGCACCAGCCTTGAGCTCCATGTCCTCGCCCTTGATTTCTTGTCTGATCTCGTCAACGGCCTTGGCGATGAACTTGGCTTCATCTTTTTTGTTGGCTCGGAGCCCCCGAATGAGATCCTGCAGCGTGCGTTCCCACATCCGTAGTTCGGATACCGGCGAATACGCCTTGCGACCTTAGTAGAGGAGGAAGAATGCGAACAGTTCTTACAAGACGCGTATTGACAGTACGTATCCGAGATGGATCAATGCTGAAAATTACGAAATTAAAAATAAAATACATGAAACCCTAGAAAGGAAGGCAGTGTTCGCAGTCCATCCTCGCTTTCATCTTCTTTCTATACCTTCTTTATTTTACATAGGACGCATCCAATGGATATAGACCGCGAAGTTGTCCTATCCACGCGCAGCGACGTATTTGACCAGTTTTATGTTTGGGAACAAGAGGAGGCCCGTGCTCACATTCAGTCTCTCGCTGTCGATGACGGTGACGACGACGGCGGATTTGACGTTAGCTTTGAAAATAAGGTGCCGATATCTGAGGCTGACTCGGAGGCGACCGGCGAAATATTTTCAGTGTGGTCTTGCGATGACCAGGGAGTGCCAACTTCCAGCAGCACTGTGTTTTGCATTGAAATAACGGTATCGGGAGACTTCGAGCCACATCCTCCATATCTGGCATGCACACCTGCATCTAGGAGTGCAGAGAAGGAATCTTTTGATATGACATTGTCTGCTGAATCTCTTCCCTTTATTCCTTTCGCTGATGACCCATCTTTCCCGTTGGCCGAATACTTGGGGAACTACGAGTCCTTCGAATGGCAGGTCGATTTCGTGGACCCTGATGGTAAGTTTCTTCTTATCGCATTCAAGTCTAATTTGTTCTCTTTGCAGTGGAAGTCTTAGAGATTGAGGTTGCTCGGCGATTACATTGCGAATTTGGTTTGTCGCTCGACACCATAGATGAGCTCAAAATCATGAGACCCATGAGAATCTCACACGAATCAGGATTGGTCTGGGATACATTTCAGAGGTTAGTGAATGGATATCGCGTTGAAGCCGTTATTTACCTTTTCGCAGAGACATGCCAAATCTCCCATGGTTAGACGAACCCATCATCATGACTCTACCACCGCGAAAGCTACCCAATGAAAATGACTTGTTAAACGAGATCAACAGATTCAGGCCACAATTTTGTCCAAATATGAATTGTATACACCTCGCCTGTAAGGTTCATCAATGTAAGTTTTTTTCGTTTTGCGGTTTGCGTCGTTCCAACGAGCGGATAGTTGAGTATCCGCCTATTAAATCTGTTACCTCCACGAAAACGAACCAAAGCTTCAAACTGAGGCAGGGGACTCCTTGTGGGCTAGACTGCTACCGTCACCTCGACGAAAGCCAGGATGGTATGATGGTGAGGTCCCTACCAGTATATCTTCCGTGATCTCATATTTTGCCAGGAAGGTGTCTTGTGGACCGATCCTGAAGACGAAGAGTTTCTGTGTGGCGTATTGAAGCTGGATCCTGACATTTCACCCTGTGCGTTGGCCGTCATCTGCCGAAAAAGATGTCTTGAAGTGTGTTCTCAATTGTCTGCTACCTTCTGTTGCTTAACCTGTGTATATAGGTCTACATATACCGCACCAGGAACATTCCTGACGAAAAAGTCATTATAGGCGAACGGAAAGGACAATCCCAGGGACAACGTCAACTTGTATTTTGTAGGGAAATATTTACCATATTAACTCGGAGACCCTGATATGTTTCTACAGATGATGATGACGGTATGAAGACATACGTTCCGTAGGTTGACGTTCACTATAGCTGGTATTACTTGACACGGACAACGATAGCATACCGCCTTGTGGCCATCCTGGACCGTGCGATGCCAATAGCAACTGTCAATGCTATCACAAGTCCCACCACTGCCAAAGAAATTGTAGATGTGGCCTAACTTGTGAGTACATCAATGCCTCGAAAATTCTTCCTGAACTGTTGTTGGGGAAGGTCCCCGTCGAAGGGAAGGATGTGGATGTACTCACGAGAAGAAGACTGGGCTTTGCTCGAATGAGAAGACATGCACCTGTGTAGCTGGTGGAAGAGAATGCGACCCGGAGCTCTGTCTGAGGTGTGATGCACGGTACGTGTTTCCATCGTTGAGTGGGGAGTCTGTTAAGCATTGGACCAGAGGTGTGTTCTCCATGATTATGGCAGAAGCATGACCAGAATCATGCAATAATATTTACCTAGGTGCCGAACATCAAAACAAGTGCGAGAACATGGCTCTTCAGAGACAGCGATATTCTGTTCGTAACTCTTCATCCAAATTAAATTATCTTGTTCACTCAGCTACACAGGCTCTCGAAATCAAGCGAGGTGCATACGGCCTAGGCGCCTTTGCAAAAAAAGAGATTAAGCGCGGGACAAACATCGGCGGTGGGTGCATCGTCTTCGGTTTCCGCTATGACACTAACACTGTGAAAAGAGTATGTTGGAGATATTCTCTATCTTGGTTTCGACGGCGCTCAAGATTTGAATGGGCTAATCCATGATTATACGGGTCTCAACTATGCATTTGATGCGAATACAAGCGACAATGTCCGTACCATTGATGCAGGTCGAATCGGAAACGAAACTCGATACCTCAATCATTCGAAGAAGCCAAACTGTTCTACTCGTCGTGCGTTACAGACTTCCCAAAGTTGCCTTGAAACTCACGTCATTCCTGGAACACTAGTTGCATTGGTTCATGGAGAGTATCGGCTTTTGCTCTTTACTCGTCTGCATTTTTCCCTTTCCTCTTGCATGGTAATTTTTACAGACCTGATTCGCAGTGAAGAAAGTGAACAGAGACCAGGAACTTTTCTTAGACTACGGGAAAGCCTATTGGAAAAGAGTACGAGTTGTTTCTCGTTTAGACGTCCTTCTATATCTGACGCATGCATCTTTAGAAAGAACCTGGCACAGAAGGAAGTGGGGATGAAATTGAAGATTGATGCACCGCAAGTTGTGAATAGCTAAGATATTCGGGGTTCGTGTCAGGTCCTATTGTAAGAGCTGTCAATCATTACTTGTTTCTACATTAGACTGCCGACGGTCCCAAGTCGTGTTAGAGTTGTCGTCGAATTTATCGAAGGCAAACTGATGCTCATGTCGCAAACTAGTCATTACTATCCTTTACTTTTCACCCCTCTGCATAGTTCTCTACTGTCTGTTCCAGTGAGTCGCGCGCCTCTTCCCACCTGGGGTACATTTTCCACTCGATTCAATTACCTACAGAGTACACCGATGAGAAGGAGGGCGCGGACGCGGTCGTAAGTTGATTTACTGTGGTTCGTCTTACAATGCTTACAGCGCGGGGCGATTCAAGCCGTAAATGTCCGAGGTATTTTTGAGTGAGTGACGATAACTAATTCCTTCACATTTGTCGATCCTAGGCCATGACGATGCACATTCTTCATCACAATGTCAGCGGGGGGGAACGGATACGACGAGAAGACCCCGAGAAATAAACATTATGGTAAACATCATAGCTTGGCAAGGATTGGGATATGGCTATACACTTCCTCTAGAACTCATAGAACTGATTATCTATGATATATGGCACTCTGAAATGCCTTCCGGGATGCACCAGTTCTTCATGACAACATGCTCCTGGATTAACCAAACATGTAAAAATGTCTATGCACATATCACTTCTCATGATATATATACATCACCAATCTTTATCTATTCTGCCCATGCAACATAGTACACTGCCAAAAGTCCACTATCTATGATGACCTCATCCCCAACAGACCCATACCATCACTTGTTTCACTGATCTTCTACCAGAATAATTCTGCAAAGACAACCAGTAACACTCCCATTGTACTTATTCATATAATCACTTTAAACTACAGAATATTACCATCCACTTAGTTTGCTGCAACACAAAGACCACCAAATGAAAGTCCTTGTTCATTCACAGCAAAGAAAAAGGAGGCCCACCCAGCCAGAGTGGCCAAAGTGGGACAGGAAAATATTTAGACGGTGCATAAGCCTGAGCCTATACAAGCCGCAGACACCCTCTGGGGACAAGGTCGCCGTGCTATGAAGGATCTCCACGGCCCACAAACCCAGGTACATGAAAGGGCTTGTGCCATCAAGGTAAGTATGAGGTGCTCAAATATCGGATCCTGCAATTTATACTGGCGGGATGCGCACGGACCATGTCCCAATATCACCTCCGCTTGGACGATCGTGTCGCTTTTAGTAATGGGCACTGCGGTTGACTTCTCCCTGCTATACATGCAATGACATCTTGTTGCTTTCTAGCCACAAGTATCGGTGACTCTGGCGTGAATAGATGTACTTCTGGCTCTAAATTGGGAACGTTATCTACTACAATTCTGTCCTGAGCTTTTTTCCAGCTTGTTTCATACTCTTCCAGATTAATTGTTTATTCCAGGTCTATTCGATCCCCTACGGTGGCCTCGTGTTGATGGTCTGGGGTGAAAGTTTATCATCCTCTCCCATTTCAGCATGATTCGATAATCCAGTAGCACCTACTGTGTCTTCCTGATGTGGATATTGGACTTCCAAATTCTATGCTCTGTTGAAGTGCAATTTCTACATGTCAACACCACTGGATATATAGTAGCAGTCGCAGTAGTGGACTGCATCCTCATGATACTAACAAATGTCACTCTGTGCAAAGTGGGGCTTATAAAGCTACCTCGGGCCGGATACAGTATGTTTCTTTGCTCCCAAGTACTGAAGCAAATCTGAAATTTCTTGTATAGTAGCACCTTCTGCCGTCCTAGTCTCTCATCCGGTATTAGCAAGCCCTCCTTAATATCGGTGCGTCTCCTCATCCATCCTGCTGCTTTCGTTCTAACTAATCCTTTTGCAGCGTTCTCGTCGCGTTTATCATCGTTCTCCCGATGTCTATCCCTTCAGAGTATAGTACGCCTTGGGCCACTTTGTGCGTGCGCGCTGTCTTTACAGCGGTTACCTACTTGCAGACTTTCGGATTACAGTGATGGGTTTGCTTTTATCCTCAGCTTGCTTCATCGTGGGTGCTGACGTCGTTACTTCGTTTCCAGTCCAATATCAACACCTGTCCGTCCTTCAGCTACTGTACATCCATTCACACCTGGGACGTTGAGCAGTGGAAAAGCCATATGTCTTTATCTTACTTGAAATGCTTGAATTAATCGGCTCTTAGAGCGTCCCAGTGGCCTCTGTCGCTACCGCATTTATGATTATCACGATGGTTGCATTTCTTTTCCCCGCCGCGCCTGCGCCTGTCGCCCAAAGCATGAACTACATTGTCGTCGTTGGGGAAATAATCATCCTCACTACAGTGTACTACTTGATTAGTGGCAATTTTGGTTCGCAGGGCTCCTCTATTATTACTCTTGTAGGGAGCTCTGTGAAAAAGCGGAGTGACGAAAAGCTAAGCATCACGTCAACCTCGTCTAACATATGCCTCATGTGGCGCGCGAATAACAATATTAATTTTAGGTAGGGTATGTAAAATAAATGAGTGTCTCTAGAGCTGAATGACCGTTAGGGTCGTCCGCCCCCCTTGGATGGCTCTGATGGGGCAGATGAAGGGGGATTCGACGGATTCTGGTCGCCATCTGCAGAAACAGCCCTTGGCGGCAACGAACGACCACGAATACTGCCAGGAACATCTCGGCATGGGGAGGGCAGAGGGGGTGGAGCAGGCGGGCACCTGCGAGGCTGACTGGGCGTTGTCCTTCAAATCTGCAGCGGCTGATGCAGATCGATCGCTGTCAGTCGATCCCTCCACCGTCTCTGCTGATGCCGCGCTCGGAGATGAACAGGTCTTTCCGGCAAGCGAAGTAAGGAGAGCAACGAGATCAACGAAGAGACCAACGAGGGCACCGATAAGGCCGTCGCGCTTCTGCACAACTGCGGAGATAAATTAGAAGGCGCGCATATAATCAGATATGCGAAGACTACGCACCACTTTCCGCGTCTGACCTAGCTATGTTGAAGGAGCCACGCCGCGACGCTATATGGTGACTGCTCGAGGAACTTGGGAAGCCAGTTTCATCCTGGGAAGCGTCACCAGTAGGTGCAGCGAGGCTCGTATATATACCCCCATGGGACCAAACAGAACCAACCAGGGAATGCATGTTTCCGGGACGCAGATCATGCTCAAATAATTATTATCGCCCTTTTGAACAGGATAATGTCCGAAATCATCCACTCCGCCCCCTGTACTCCATCTCCCAGACCTCTTCTTCACCAAACGTATGATTTCGTCGCCTCATGCTCTGTGGCCCTCTCGCTGCAGTCCTTGAGCTCAAAACAGAGTACTCCCAGAGGTTGGCTCCAAATTGACGAAGAGACAGGCCCATACAGGACGACAGGAAGCACCAAAATATGGCTGCGGCACTAGAAAAACCGGTCAGTTGACGGGACCGTAAATATGACAAGAAAGAAGGCCGCTACATTAAGAAGACAAAGACGAAGAGTAGAGGCATCAAAGCTGCCAGACTTTCATCTGTTTCCATGCGTTCGGCGACCAACTGAAAATTGCGTCGGTCGTGAGATCTACGTTAGAGGTGTCCGGAGTCCTTGCGCTTCACCGGAAGATCCGATCCGATCAACGTGACAGCCTGTCAGTGACATGCGTATATACTGTGTCGCTCTGTGCTACACATTGACAACAAGGAGACGGTCTAATAATTGGTTCACTTGGAATAACGGTTAGTCTCTATACATCCCCTACATCTAATAATGGCTATTAATTACACAGTCCGAGTGGCCATTTCTTCAGTCAGACATCATCGCCCACATAGGAAAACCAGACTTCTCCTGGTCCTTATATCCTTCAAAGTAATGCGCTTCTTCATTCAGCTTCTCAAACCCGCACTTCTGATAAAATCCAAGCTGGAAAGGCCATAAGCAACGACTGTGGCTTTCTTTTGGACGGACGTACATTTTCTGGGTTTTCGACCTCGAGACACATCTTCGCGTCACCCTTCTGTGGAGAGAACACTCAGACCATGTCAGATGAATATAAACGCTCACAGTACCTTGTCCCGAATCACGTCGATCAGCATAGCCGCCAAACCTCGGCGACGATACGGTTTGCGGGTTCCTATCCACTGAAGATGCCAGGCGTCTTTCTTGACCCCCTCTCCGAATTCAGCGTCCGCAAAGGCAGTATATTCTGGAAGGAACTGGTAACATAGAGTGTCACAATCGCAACAAATCCGACATAATTTCTGTGGCTCACTCTAGTGCACCACCATTCGCCAAGTTCGGCGCCAAGACTGGCCATCAACGGTCTGACCGCCTTGCATTTCTCCGTGCTAACATAATGAGTGAAGTACTGGCATCTAAACGGGGAGACACTCACTCCTCGTACAGCTCGCGATTGGGAGGGAACCAAATGGCGCTGGCCATGACTTCGCCATTCGTAGCCTCTTCAACGACGTAGACCTCACCAGACAGCAGCCCCGAAAGAACGACAGAGCGGTTTAGATGATGATATACATCCGTCTTCCCCCCAGTCAGGGTGCGGACAAAATCATCTATCGAAGGTTCATTTTCTATCATGACGGGATATCAAGTCAACGTTCGTACCTTCCGCAAACGCCTCTTTGAAGCATTCCACCACTTCATCGAATTTAGCGGACTCTGCAGAAAGTGTTCAGTCGGTGGCGACTATAAACGAAATGGTCTAACTGGTACCTGGCGCCTCGGTTAGTCTCCTGACTGCAAAGCTCGACATGGGTTCAGCGCGGGCTTTGAACCCGAACTCTCTGCTATATATGATGCTCTGCCTCGTGGGATTTATGTAGTTGATTGGGATGGGCAGATCCCCTTCACCATGCGTCTACCTGTGGCGCCCACACCTAAAATCGGAACGTACGGCTATTGAATCGCCTCATCATAAAATGCCCTCTTCGCTACGGCCCGCTTTTAATTGCTCTCGAAACATAATCGTTCTCCGACTCGGGAAAACTGACGTGGATTTGGGCTGTCCGCGCTTTCCAGGCGACCCTGCATCCACCGCTCCTCCGTGATAGACGGTCAACGTTCACACCTCCACCGCTGATTTTCACGTAAAGCTAGTCAGTCTCGTGTTTGATCATCAGGACCTCAAATAGGATATCATACTTCGCGATGCGCCACTGCAGTTTACCAGCGTGATAGTGGCTCCCCCTCGCTTGATAGCGTTCCACCTTGGCTTTCGGATCGAATATCTTTGGCCGCCTGTAGATTCCTCCTCGGGTTATCTAGACCGTGGTGATGCCATACAGAGATACCAGCGGTGGTCGCTTAGCGCGTAATGAGTGTCCACTGCTGGAATTCACTAAGCGCCACTCCGTACTTTTAGCTATCAGCGTCTAGCAGTCTATATCGTGATTTGCTTGCATCTCATGAGCTACTGGCATATCCATACGCAGATAACACCGCACTTCGTTTACGTCGTGCTTGGTCTTGACCAAGTCTTCTTTCCAGCTTCATCGTGGAATGATTGTTCCCAGGTGACATCATATCAGGCGCAGCTCGGTGGCTCATTATTCAATAAATAGGTTATCCAACCTTTAGATCATAAGCCCTCTCCAACACACCAGCAGAAGAAAAAGGATAGCGCATTTATGATATTTCATCTCCTCATGAATGTCTCCGATGTTCCTGAAGCGCGCGTGACACCAAATCCTCTAGCAAGACAAGACCGGACAGACTTACCGGTCTATGTGTCGTTTCGTAATCGACGTGCACAAAAGCCCGTTCAACATTAGGCAGCTCCTCGATCTTGTCTTGCAATAGTTGACTAAGGTCATGGGCTTTGTACAACGGAGTCGTCGCGTCCATCACTATATCAATCTCGACAAAATAATCCGGTCCACTCTATCAGTCGCGTCAGTTCGAAAGCCGAAATCATGTATCAAGTTCGGAACTCACATGATACGCCCGAACAGTATCTACTTTCTGTATCTCGTCGTTGAACGTCATCGAATTATAAATCAACAACTGCAGAAACTCGTGCGGAGCCGATTTCCCAGCCAACAGCTCGAATTGCCCATATATCGTTCTTGACCATGAAATAATGATGCCGAGCCCAATCTAATTCAGAGGTCAAAGAGAGCGTCCATCGTGGAGGAGCCCTTACAATGATAGCTCCCATGGGGTCAAGATCTGCCTCAATCAATCAAAATATACCCAGCGCCATGAGAAAAAGGACACGGACACCATCTCAATTTGCTACCGCCGGTAGACATGAGAATACCTTCAGGAACATGATCTCGCATCGCAACCGAGTGAAAGAGACGGACGCACCGAAGGTGTTAATCCACAAGTCATTACGGTGGTCTTCCCATAGCACTCGCACTTGGCTTGAGTTCTGGCGGAACGGATAGCATAGTAGAAATAACAGGAATTTTACGCCTGGTCCGGTTAGCTTGCGGTTATATGTCGAAAGTGAATATGCGGCGCACCTAGGGCGGCGGCCACCGCAAGAATGGAAGGCAAGTGGAAGGCTTTCAAATCATCGTTTGTCTTTGATATAAGTGACCGGACGGCTTCCACGACGACGATAAGATTTACAGAAGCCATTCTGCATCGCGTTAGAATATTTCAGGAGATAGCAGAAGAGACAAGTCGTACAGAGACCCTGACATGCTGATCAGAACAGCGACCTTTGGTTGAGAGTTCAAGTCAACTAACCATAGACAACATTTCCGATGCTTTCGAGCCGGGCACCGCCTACAGGCCATTTGCTATTATCGAGCTTTGCGGCTTTCCGATGTAGCCAGAACAGAAGAATATTGCTGCCAATGTCAAACACGGAATCTATCCCAGTAGCCAAGAGTGACAGAGAGAGTGAGGAGGCAGCCGCGTACACTGCCATGAAATTTTCAAGTCACTGGTGAGAATTCGTTGTGTGCTTGGGACCTACTCTGAATGATGCACAGCGCAAGATTCGAGATTAGACTCGCCCATACCGCTATCTTCACCTACGATAAATAAGCACAGGTTGTAAATTCCGGTGTCATGCAAGGGGACATACGAAAAGTCGTGCTGAATCTTCCTCATCCTTGGCTTCAGTCGTATGCTCTTCCATAGGTTTCAGCAAATAAGAGATGAGCTAAAAACACCAAACGGTCAGACGACGACAACGGAAGCGCGTGGACTTCGAACTGACATCATTCTGCTTATTCTGATACTTCACGATCGCCTTGCCCTTTTTTCTACGTCGGATTTCCTCCAACTGTGAATCCGACCTTATGCCTTCGCGCAGGTTATATGGGTCAGTCACCAGCCCCGACGAGGATGTCCGCTCAACGTCGACTTGAAATCCGTCCCTGCTGCTCAAATCCGACTTCTGATCGGCGCCCAGTGTATTGGGATCCTAAGAAATGGGCGGACCCGTAAGTTCGGGTTGGCGCGACCAACCATGATGCGCTCACACTCGTTGCCGAGAGGCTCCTTGCAGGCGTAGGGGGTTCTGAGACCTTTGAATCAATGAGCATAAGTGCATGAGAGAAAAGATTGCAGGAGAAACGGCCTGCTGTAAAGTACAGTGGGAATCCGGGACGAAACCGAAACAGTGGATCCCAGGCTGACACCAAGTGAATCTGATCAATGAAATCTGAGTTACCGTACCATTGGATCCTGCCTCAAATTTACGATGTCAAGACAAGAAAGACGAGGGGGAGAGCGTATTCTGCCAGATCAGTCGCCGGGGTAAAGAAGGATGGAAAACATAGAGATAAATTTTCGGCTTGATGGCAGATTTTCGTTCTCCGTCCAAATTGTGCCCTGAAGCAACTTCCCACACCCGTTTTCCCAGTCGCTACGTGGTAATTACAAGATGATGATTGATTAGCGATTGTCAAGGCGAAAACAAAAAGGCTCTCTCCAGTGACCTACGTAGTCACATCCGATGACACCTCGCCATAATTGACGGGTTCCTCCTTGACTTCTTCGACAACCTTTGTTCCATCGCTCCCCACCTGGCCATCAGATTTTTCTTCAGAGGTTAGATGCAAAGGCCCCACGCCCCTCCGGCTTGGCCCATGCCTTATGTTCACAGACCACTCCCAATCGTCCGCGGAAATTTCGCTTATCAGGTGTCTGAACAGTACTGCTTGCATCAAAAAACCTTGGAAACTATCGAAGCACTCACGCCTCAAGCAGATGGTTCTCCAGGTCGCGACCTCTGGACCTCAAGACATGACAATGGCTGCATACGAACTTCTCTGATGAATAACATCGGTACCAGCGCTCTTTCTCTGACTTCTCGAGACTTTTGACTTCTTTGATGTCTTTTGCGTTCTCTAGAAGCGTCCAGGCATTTTCATTGGCAGTCGGGTAGCCAGAATGGCACTGTTTAAGTAAAATCAGACCATACGGTATACGGTAACTGAGAAGAACCCACTGCTGCGTTTTGCCATCGCATGACATATTGACCTCCACCTGGATCACCGTTACTGCAATGGTTGCAGATTACGCGACAGTCCAATGCGTCCATATCTTCATGCGTCGCAGTTTCTGGGTCTAGGCCACAAGTCTTGACAAGATATTCCACCTTCTTGACTGATTCTTCATTGACCGTGAATTGGCTCGCGGACCAGGCCACGCCGAATGGTATGCATCTCAACGCATAGGCCTTCCAGTCTTCAGGATTGAAGTTTTCGTAAGGTTGCCATAACGCGCAGCGGTGAGCCAAAATGTAAGGATATTGACATATCTCACTGCAATTGGTGCAGGTGAAGATCGTTGTGGCAACGTTGATGTTTGGTTTTAAACCTGCTTTCTTCATCACTTCTCGAAGTTCAGAAGTTTGAGCCTCTCGCCACTGCGATACAACACCGGGAAGATGGATCCACATGGCCTGTAATGAGTCGGTAATAGATAAATTTAGTGGTGTGTCGAAGAATAGTGTCGAGAAAGGCTCCAGGATTACCACGTCCACAGGCTTAGGGAAGATAGGAAGCAACGGTTCATCCCGCGTAACGTCAGAATAGGCAGCTGAAAATGATCGAGCCCTTTCTTCGACGGCGCGAGTCATTTCATCCCTTAGTCGGGCGGACTTGTGCTGCTTTGCTAAGGTGATGACAACATCTGACATATTGGACCAAGCTTCCACAACAAACCTCAGTATTTAATTACAAGGGGATGAGAGATACTCGGCCCACCTCGCTCGGTGAGAGCCCTTGGCTGCCACACCAGTTTATGCGAACGCAATTCATCAATAAAATCGAGATTTTTCACCTCCTGGTCCCATCCTAACGCAGTCAAGCGTTCAATGACTCTAAACCAAAAATTACGACTGAGCAACAACCAAAGCGAACAGAAATATAAAGATACCCTTTAAATCTCTCGCTTCGGGCAGTGGCAAGTTCATCAGTGCGATCTTGTGCGCGTCTTTCAGTCCAGATTTCACATTGTCGCGCATGCTGTAATTGTGAGTAACAAAAAGAGGATGAAATCTGGCCGAAGGACGTACAGAACGCAGTTCTCTAAATGCAGTCTCCTTCTCCATCTTCCAAACCGCCAACTTGCACTTATCCTCAATGAAGGACTTGGATTCCTCGCGCAGAGTCTCGACGGCTGGGACAAAGAAATAACAATAATATCCACGTCCTATAATGTGTAAGTCCGGAGGAGGAGAGGAGGGGGGGCACTATAGGAAGTGCTTACGTCCAGAGGTGCACGTGAACTGGAAACTTGGAACAAAAGTCCTAAAGAGACTATAGCCATCGAATATAGTAAGGAAACTAAAAGAATCAATAAGAGAAACACGATGAAAAGTGAAGGCATACAGGTCAGAAGCTTCTAGACATTGCCGGCAATATTTGGTCCTTGACTCCCACTGGACGAATTTCGTTGGGCGCAAACAATTCTACCAATGATGTAAAATTGTTGAGAGAAACACAACAGACGAGTCGGCTCACGGTACAGTGTTTATCAAAGGCCAAATGAGCAAACTTGGGCTCACTCAAGTCGTCTGGCAAGGGTGGCAACCCTTGGACGTTTCCGCGCGCCCTCTTCCAGACAAAAGCGGAGGAGCGTTGAAGAAGAAGGACACGAAGGTCTTTGCTTGTGCGAGACAGTCGGAGGAGGTCCACGGGGTCGAGATTGGAGAAAATCTAGAGAAAAGTGGCTGTGGATCAGCTGTGGCGCAACGACACGTCGGCGTCAGACATGCCTCGAAAAGGACGTCCAAAGGTGTTTCTGCCATCTTTTGGAGGAGTCCATGCAGTCGACGACGCTTTGGAGCAGCTTGAATGATATTGTCCGACTCTTGGTCGATTTTCTTGACGCGAGGCTTCTTCTTGATAGGGCCCTTGCCTTTATAATTTTCGCTGTAGTCATCTTCAGGTTCGGATTCGATGCCCTCGTAGGTCTTCCTAGTTGCTATACGCTGAGACCGACGCAAAGGAGCCATGATAACGATATGTTGAGGATCGACGTGGTGGGTTACTACAAGGTGCTACACAAATCAGACATGTAACTCATTTCACGTACACGTGATCGCACCCGCGCTATTGTTGTACCAAAAAGGTAAAACAAAGATGAAGTCCAAAAATCCAAGGAAGGATCGTCTACGATGTTCAGTGTAGTACGAGTGGCGCGACAGTTGCCCAAGTCATGATAGTCCGCGAAGTCGTCCCTGTCATGGGCAGCACTAAACGACCGTGACTTTACCCGCGCCACCGCGATCCTGGACCGGAAGGCCGACAACAAGACACAGAAACTACATGTAGCCCCACAGCCACAGAGTCAAGCTGAAAGGGTGGATCCGTCGCGTATGTATTTATTAAACGGCGCAATGCAGTGCGAGAGACCAATTCCATGACATTATGGAAAAGGAACTTATTGGATGCAACAAAGAAAGTTTACGGGGGTCAATCAATCCAAAGCGAAAAGTGGAGAGGATAGACGAGAAGTCTCCGCCATTGAATTTTGCAGTGACTCGAATGGGTAAATCGATGAAATCTGAGTTGTCGCATCATTGCCACTGAATCCGTCGTCATATGCAGGGTAGGTAAGATAAGGATGACGAGAATAAGGTATTCATTTATCGACCAGCGCGATTGGGAAGAGGGATACTTCTCGGTAGATTTTCATTCTCCGACTAATTGCAAAATACAGTGCTCAATAGAAGTACATACGACCATCGTCCAGTGTGTCTCGATATCTTTAATCAGCGCTAGAGCTGGCAGCGTCGGAATGGGAGCTGGACGCTGGCGCATTAGAACTCGCAGTTACGGTACCGGCTGTGGATCCACCGAACCAATCTTCAATGCAGCGTGGAGAAAGACACCTCTCCCATTGCCGGTATTGTATGACATGTTCACAGGCCAATCCCAATCATCCGAAGACACGCTGGTTGTGCTGTGCCTGTGAAGAGATAGCTAGCATCGGGAAAATATGAACACTGTTGGGGAACTTACGCTTCAAGCAAATGATCCTCCAGCTCGCGACCTGAGCACCTCAAAACTTTACAATGACTGCATACAAGTTTCCCCCGCGAATAGGAAGAATCCTTTGACGTATAGCTAGTGTACCCAGCTTCTTTGTCTAATTTCTCAAGGGTTTTGACACGTTCCAGTTTTTCTGCATCGTCAAGCAATTTCCACGCATTTGGACTGGCACCCTTGTAGTCTTCATAACACTGAAGTACTATCAGTTCATGTGGGACGCACTAATATCAAAGGAACGTACCGCAGCAGTTTGCCATTGCATGACAAACTCAACCAGATAATTATTGTGATAGTTGTATATTACACGACAGTCCAATGAATTCATATCTTCACACGTTGCAGTCTCTGGGTTTAGGCCACATGTTTGAATGATATACTGCACCTTTTTGAGCGCATCTCCGCCGACCGTGTACTGGCTCGCTGACCAAGCCACGCTCGCTCCAGGAGACATATGCATCAAGGCATAGGTCATCCAGTCTTCAGAATTGAAGATTCTCCCACGGTATGATAATGCACAGCAGTGAGCCAAGACATAAGGATATTGGCAGACGCGGCGGCAATAGTTGCAGGAGAAAAAGGCTGTAGCAAGATTGAGATCCGGTTTCAAACCTGCCTTCTCCATCAGAGCTCGCAGCCCGGAATCCTGGGTCTCCCGCCACTTCACTGCAACTTCTGGAAGATGAATCCACGCTGCTTTCAAAGGTTCGGTGATATCCTGATCCAAGGGTGTGTCGAACACTATTTTTGAGAAAGGCTCCAACAAAGCCGCATCCACCGCCTTTGGAAAGATAGGAAGTAGGGGAACATCCCGTGTAGCATCGGAGTAGGCAGTAGCGAACGAACGGGCCCTTGTCTCAACGGCACGAATCATCTCCCGTTCGAGTCTGTCAGCTTTGTGTCGCTCGACTATGGGGACCAAGGCACCAGACATAGTGGCCCATGCTTGAACGTTAAACATCAGCCAAGAAGTATCAGTACAGGAGATATGATACATACCTCGCTCAGTCAAAGGCCTTGGCTGCCTTACTAATTTATGACAGCGCAGTTCATGAATAAGCGCAGGAGTGTGCATTTCCTCGCCCCATCCTAGGATTGTTAGACGCTCGATAACTCTGATATCAGGAGATGAGCTGAGCTTGTATAACAATCGAAGTAAAAATGTAGTTACTTTTCGAGCCTCTGGGAGCGGAGGTTATCGAGCTCATTGGTGCGATCTTCTGCACGGCTTGTAGACCATTCATCACATAACAGTGCATTCTGTAAGTTTCATCACATGATGATCATGACAATTATGTGGATGAACATACATGTTGTAAGGTCGTGTACATAACCCGTTTTCTCCTTACCCAACCATCCATTGTTTCATCACACAATGTCTCGGATTCTTCGCGCAGGGCATTAATAGCTGGCACGTAATAGTAGCCATGACGTACTCTTCCTGCAATAGACGTGTCCAAGCGTAGGATCGACATCATGGGAAGTGCTTACTGTAACGTCGTGCCGGAGTCCAGAATTCAAATACGGGAACAAGACCAGAAAAAGCATCGGGGACGATGGTGGTGAAACTACAGGAAGTGTATAGGATTAAAAAAAATATGGAAAGAAGGAAACGACATACAGGTCAGAAGTCTCTAGACATTGCCTGCAATATTTGGTCCTTGACTCCCACTGGACGAATTTCGTCAGGCACAAACAATTCTGCCAATGTCGTCAGAACGTCGAGAGACATACAAGGGACAGCTTTGCTCACGACACAGTGCTTATCATAGGCCAAATGAGCATATTTTGGTTCGCTCAGATCGTCGGGCAGGGGTGGTAACCCTTCAACGTTTCCTCGTGCTCTCTTCCAGACAAAAGTAGATGGGCGCTGAAGCAGAAGGGCGCGAAGGTCTTTAGTTGTACGAGACAGTCGGAGGAGGTCGAGAGGCTCGAGATTAGAGAAAATCTAGAGAACATCTAGCTGTTGCTTAGCTGTGATGTGACACTATGTTAGACTTGCCTCGAAAAGTATGTCCAAAGGCGTTTCCGCCACTTTCTGGAGGAGTCTACGTATTCGGCAACGCTTTGGAGCAGCTGGGGTGAATTTTTTCGCATCTTGGCCGGCTTTCTTGGGGCGAGACTTCTTGTTGACGGGGGCCTCGTCTGCATGATCATTGCCGTAGTCATCATCTTCAGGCTCAGACTCGGTGCTTTTGTAAGTCTTCCTAGTTGCTGCACGCTGCGATCGACGCAAAGGTGCCATGATGGCAGAAGGTGGTCACGGTTGTTGGTTTTGAATTTGAAATGATGATTGCGTGATCGCACCCATGGGGTACCGAAAGGTTTAGAAGAAGCTGTCCATAAGGAGAGATCCCTCAGGATTATTATTCCTCGAGACTGTATACGCACGCTCACTCACATCAATAGATGGATAGTTGTCTGCGCACTAGAGACTAACGGGGTTATAGTAAAAGTTCGGCAACTTAGGACGGAACATGGTTGCGGTGGCAAGTTCACCGGAAACATTTCCTCTACCATTGTCTTTCTGGACAATTTACTTTGAATGTGCTGCAGGATTTCATGTCTATGCTGTTCGTTACAGTCATCAACAAATAACTACATTTTAATTACTTACGAGCATCGCCCGATGTGTCTGGATATACTTAATTAGCGTTAGCCTTAGCAGTATGGGGTTCGGAATCGGCAGACGCTGCCTCATTGGAATCCACCGTGGACTTCGCGTTGTCGTTCTCTTCTGATCCAATAGATTTCTCTTCAATATGTGGGTGAAGAGATACACCTTTCCCATTGTCAACACAGGATGCCATGTTTACAGGCCAGTCCCAATCATCCGAAGACACCCTGGTTATGTTGTGCCTGTAAAGAGACAGATCGCATCAGGAAATGTGGACACCATTGAGGCACTTACACTTCAAACAAATGATCCTCCAGGTCCCGACCTGCGCACCTCAAAACTTTACAATGACTGCATATGAATTTCTCCTGAGAAAGGAAACTCTCTGACGCATAGCGAACGTATCCAGCTCTTTTGTCTAATTTCTCAAGGGCTTTGACACATTTCAGTCCTTCTGCATCGTCAAGCAGTTTCCACACATTTGGACGGGCAGGGGAGTGGTCGTAATGACGCTGCTGAAGTAAAGTCAGTTCATTTGATACGCACTAATAGCAAAAGAACCTACTACAGCAGTTTGCCATTGCATGACAAACTCAGTCGTAGAAAACTGACTGCAATTGACACATATTACACGACAGTCCAACGAGTTCATGTCCTCGTACGTTGCAGTCTCTGGGTTTAGACCACATGTTTGAATGATACACTGCACCCTTCTGAGGATTTCTCCGTTGACCGTGTACTGGCTCGCTGACCAAGGTACGTTCGTTTCGCGACACATATACATCAGCGCATAGGTCTTCCAGTCTTCAGGATAGAAGCTCACACTATACGATAATTTACAGCGGTGAGCCAAGACATAAGGATATTGGCAGACGCGGCGGCAATAGTTGCAGGAGAAAAAGGCTGTAGCGAGATTGAGATCCGGTTTCAAACCTGCCTTCTCCATCAGAGCTCGCAGCCCGGAATCCTGTTTCTTTCGCCATTCAGCAGCAGCTTTTGGAAGCCGAATCCCCGCTGCTTTCAAAGATTCGGTGATATCCTGATCCAAGGGTGTGTCGAACACTATTTTTGAGAAAGGCTCCAACAAAGCCGCATCCACCGCCTTTGGAAAGATAGGAAGGAGGGGAACATCCCGTGTAGCGTCGGAGTATGCACTAGCAAACAAACGAGCCCTTTCCACGACCCTGATATTCATTTTCCGTTTGAGTCTGTCGGCTTTGTGTCGCTCGAGTATGGGAATCAAGGTACCGGACATAGTGACCCATGCTTGAACGTTAAGCATCAGCCACCAGAAGTATTGGTGCGAGAGATATGATACATACCTCGCTCAGTCAAAGGCCTTGTTTGCCTCACTAATCTGTGATAGCGTAGCTCATCAATAAGATTAGGAGTCTGCATTTCCTCGCCCCATCCTAGGTTCGTTAGACGTTCAATGACTCTAGTATCAGGAAGTGAACTTGCATAATAATCGGAGTAAAATCTAAACTTGTAATTACTTTTCGAACCTCTGGTCGCGGAGAATGTCAAGCTCGTTGGCGCGATCTTTAGCACACCTTGTAGACCATCCTTCGCATAATCGAGCATTCTACAAATTCCATCGCATGAAGGTCACGACAATCATGCAGATAAACATACAGTTTGTAACGTGCTGTAGGCAGCCCGTTTCTCCGATACCCAAGCATCCCACATTTCATCGCGCAATGACTCGGATTCTTCGCGCAGGACTTTAATGGCTGGCACGTAATAATAGCGATGCGGGTCTTCTGCAATAGATGTGTCAAAGTGAGAGAACGAAATTATGGAAAATGCTTACTACGGTCTGCTGTACGAAATTCAAACATGGGGACATAACCAGAAAAAGTGTCGGGGACAGCTCTGATGAACCTGCAAGAACCGTATAGGATAAACACACATAGAAAGAAGGAAAGGACGTACAGGCCAGAAGCAGAAGCCTCCAGACATTTTCGACAATATTTGGTCCTAAACTCCCACTGAACAAATTTCGTCGCGCGCAAGCAGTTCTGCAAATGATGTGAGACCACTGAAAAGTACGAGATACAACCTGGCTCACGGTACAGTGCTTATCAAAAGCCAAATAAGCAAACTTGGGCTCGTCCAGGTCGTCCGGCAAAGGCGGCAGTCCTTCGACATTTTCGCGCGCTCTCTTCCAGACAGAGGTGGAAGAACGCTGGAGTAGAAGCGCGCGAAGGTCTTTACTCGTGCGAGACAGTTGGAGGAGGTCGAGAGGGTCAAGGTTGGAGAAAATCTAGAGAAAAAGTGGTTGTGGCTTAGCTGTGGCACAACGGTACGTCGGCGTCAGACGTGCCTCAAAAAGTACGTCCAAAGGCGTTTCTGTCACCTTCTGGAGGATCCCACGTAGTCGACGACGCTTGGGAAGAGCTCGGGTGATATTTTCCGCGTCTTTGTTGACCTTGTTGGCGCGAGCCTTCTTCTTGACGGGGGCCTCGCCTGTATAATCTTTGCTGTGGTCGTATTCAGGTTCGGGCTCGATGTTTTTCCGAGTCTTCCTACTTGTTGCGTTCTGGGACCGACACGAAGGAGCCATGATCGACGATGAGCAGAAGGTGTTGGTTACTAATACTAGAGCTGACTTTTGAACACGTGACCGCATCGCTTTATTGTTGTACCAGAAAGGTAACGCCCATTGATTGTCCTCCTTTGCCCGAACCAGAGATACTGTATGCTCCCTCCCATTAATAAGTCTATGTCTGTTTCTCTCTATAACGACAATGTTGTAAAAGGTCAGAACGAAACAGGCGCTCGAGTTCACTAGAAACTTCCGGATTCTTTTCTCGAAATTTATATCATGGTGCTCGGATGTTGTATAAATTCGTACTATGGTGTTAGCGGCTGCCAGGTATTTCCGTCGTGCGTGTTTTTATTTTTCCATCCTTTTTCTCAAAGTAGCTCAGCTTCTACTGAATCTGAGCTTACACTGTTCACCAGGTTTGTTATTCCTTCATTAGATAACATCGATTTCCCAATCGATCCATCTCGGATACAAATACAGCTGCTTTCCATCATTCAGGACTTTAATACCGAAGTTTGCATCTACACGAACAAGGCCTGCAGAATCGTACGAACACCCCACGCTCCAGGATCCGGCACTTGTTCCTTCGTCAACAAACTGCTATCGACATAAGCACTCCTTCCGGCCTTTGCCTTGACGTTCTTCGTATATTCTGCAGCATCCGAAGCATCCTTCACCGCTGCCGGGAAGCCTTGACCCACATTGGTGATGAATGCAGCAAGGGGGTCAACGAGAGTACGCGAAGGAGGACGGGCGCGAGTGTAGGTGTACAGCTTCGCCAAAGCGTCCGACAATGCCAATTTCCATATGTCGTCTGTCACGGTGGTAGAAGAACCAGCGTTGGCTTGGAGTCCTTGCGCCAGGGCAGAAAAGAATATCCTTCATTGCAGTCAACGCGTCATGATAGCAAAGAATATCAAGTGAAGATGACATACGAATAAAGTGCACCACTGGTTCCGCCCATCTTCTTTTCGGCGACTTTGGCAATGTCAACAATGTCGTTTACGAGATCGGTTCCTTTGATGTTGCCTGCAACGATCTCTTCACTGACACCATCGGAACCCGCTTTCAGTGTAAGTCCTACAGAAATCGCGGGTTTTGTCCAGCGTACTGAAGTCACAACAATTAGAAAGAACGTACCACAGTCTCCGTCTCCGGCAATGGTGTCCATTCTGGTGATTTCAGGCTCCTCGTCTACTACGGCCTGGCAAGCACGTTTGATGGCCTCGATGAACCCCTTGGGATCTGCCGCTGAAAGGCTGCCAGCGTCTGTCGATTTGGTAGTTGTCGTTGACTTGAGACCCTTATCCAGCGTGAAGGATGCGTTAGGCTTTGAAGTCGACGTCCATTTCCATCCTGGTGTTTCCGCCTTCGCGTCAAGGAGAGAAAGGACCTGTGAAGCCTTTGGCGCATCCACATCTCCATCCCGGGGAAGGAGGACAAGGGAGATCGAAAACCCAGGCATGTTCAGACTGGTCATGAATGTACCTGAGATGATTCGTGAGACAACAACTTTGCGATTCTTCAGTTCTTCGCTGGCAGAGTGCGTGATCCCACTCAGCTCGAGCTCACTTAGACCTCCGAGATTATTGACAAGAAGTACAACTTCGTCCTTGCCGTCGTTCTTGAATGGAAGGAAGGAGCGCTCCTTATCGGTTGTGGACATGATGAGGTCAAGCAATTGTGGAACGAGCTCCTTGAGAGGCGGGACAGGCTTGATGCGCTTGTTTCCTGGCTCGTTATGGATCCCGAGTCCTATCTCGATTTCGTCTGCGGCCAAGTGAGTTTCACCCGTGGCCGTACCTGGTACATGACAGTGCTCGAGGCCGACACCAATGGTGCCGATGCGGGAAGAGACGTATTGGGCGATGCTGTATACTTCATCGAGGCTTCCACCCTGGGCTGCCAACGCACCGGCAATCTTGTATACAAGGACGACGCCAGCGAGGCCCCTGGAAGTTGCTTTAGTTTTGTTACAAATCCTCTGAGGAAGATGGGAGAGAATAGGTGTCCACCCGTTCGTGCAAGGTAGCAATGCAGCTGGTAATTATCCCAAATGGAGAGATTTTGGATGACTGGAGACACCGTAGAACGATAAGAGCACCAAATTCAATTCACCTTCGACCGACAATGTCTCCTTGCGTCTTACCGACTGCGACGTCGTCACCGACAACTAAGAACTTGACTTGATTCGGTTTCTTGCCGTGCTCGGCTGCATATTGTTCCTTGGCCAAGCCGAAATTCAGAACGTCACCCGTATAATTTCTGCGTCTTTAAGATCCGTACGACCGTTGAAGCGGCAATAGAATACTTACTTGACAACAATGAGGGTTCTGGGTCTACATTAGCATAAGATCATTGTGATGTAGTCCACTACGACTCACCCGGCATCGTTCTCCACGAGATCAATTCCACGACGAACTTGGCTGGCGTTTGGGGATGCAAAGACGCTTCCACAGACAGCCGCTGCACTTGCTGTCAGCCCTGGTTCACAATTGGGCTATTGGCACATACCGCTTAGTATACCCTCTCCAACGAAGCCAGCATGCGACGGCTCATGTCCAGAGCCTCCACCACATATAACGGCGACTTTGGATGGGTCAATAGTTCTTCTGTAGACAACTAAACATCTTCCGTATTGTGAATCAAGTACGATCAATGACAACTTATCACTTGCCTTGATTCTCCGGGTCGTATGCAAGCTGGGGATTGACCGCGCAAAGGCCCTGTAGAGACTCTGATACCAGCGTTGCTGGGGAGTTCAGAAGGTGCTTCTGCAAAGACATGGTGCAGGTCTAAGTTCAAACAGGTTCCGAGTGACCGAGTTCCACCTGACGGGTAGATGGCAGGGCTCCGGCCCGGGAGAAGTAACCTCGGTCCGGGGTGTTTCTTGCCCATAATACATAATACTCACTACTGTACCATTTCGACTAAAAGTCCACTTAACGCCTAACAGACCCCTTGAACAGAACTTATTTCATATAGCAAACACTTACGGGGGGTCTCTGGACTACAAAATTACCATATTCAGCGCTTATTAATCAAAAATTTCTCTGGGAACATGCAAACAATCCTCTTGCCTAACACCTCACCCTGGGTGGACTTTTGGTCGAAATAGTACAGTATCTATTGCGGCGGCTGGTTGCTCCGACTACGAGGTCCAGCTATTAGGCTGTTGGCGTAGTGACACATAAGTTCTACGTCGAGGTCGAGCCATCGCGTCTCCTCTACATCTCTTCCTTCCTCCATTGGGCTCACTCCAATAACAGCTCTTACATTCCTCCGGACCTCTGAGGTGCCATATCTCTCCATGGGTTACGTCGTCTAATTCGGGCTCCCGAGAACTTAGTTCTTACAATTCTCTATTGTCCCAAACCTACCCCTTGTTCATTTCATCAACGCTAGGGTCCCCGCTTTACGATCTCGCCCTCGCGGAGATCTTTGATGAAGTCACTTCCCCTGGATCAGCACTATCCGAAGGAACTCCTCACCATCCTCAGCTCGTTTACCTACGCACCCAACCTCAGACACCTCCGATTTGTAGTTATTATGCTCCTACTGCGCTGCGTTTCCACCCAGACAAAACTCCTTTACCCTAGTCCCATATTACTCATTTGCGCACGTCTGTCTTGCGGGAGGGTGATGGCCCTCGAAGGCCCATCATCAAGGTTCTCCGTCTTTGTACAAATCTTGAAGAGTTAATTGAGCGGAGTGTGCGCCGCTTGGAGCCAGATCCCATTTTCCCGCCGACACTCCAGAAACTCCGTTCGTTGATCTCACACCATTTCGTTTGTTCTAGTTCCTCGTCTGTCTCGTGTTGGAATACTTATCATTCACCATTGGGCCATCAAGTTCGCTCCCGTTATTTTATCAGTTCTTTGCGTGTTCTGGGAGTCAGCTGCAGACTCTTGATATCTTGCATAACGGAGGACTCCATGGACCCATCGGATCAACGGTTCTCATACCTTCCCCAGCTTTGCAAATTAGGTCTCTTTCGGACAACGACAAGGATCCGTCGAGGTTTCTTGAATGCCTCTGTGATTCGAGTACGGTGCTCCCCAGCTTGTCTGTCCTTGAACTGCGTGTAGGCGAGATTTTTACAGGAAAGGGCGGGATGAGTTGTTGGTTAAGATTATCGATAGGCGGTGGCGAGACTCAGGGTTGTCTCGGGTTCGTATTAGGTACAATGAAGCTGGTATCACTTCAAGTGTAGGGACAAAGACTGCGAGTCGAAACTTGTCGTGCATTGATCATCTCAAATCGTTGAAAGTGGAAGGGTTGGATATCTCTATCTTGGTTAAAGGAAATACTAGTGAGTAAATCCTTCCGTGGTACTTGCCGTTGCTGACGTCCTTTCTGTGCAGAGATTCCGTATGACCTGTTAGAGGACAGTGCTTAGAAGATGTCATGCCGATGTTCTATTCAGCTTTTACTCCCTAATGGTGCATGTATCCCGAAATCGAACCATTAAATCGACGTCTCCACAAACTCACATGCCACGCGCAGATCCATTGCCTATTTCTAAAAGCGCCAACACCAACTTATCGTCGCCCGGTTGTAGATTTTAAACAGGGGAACGCCCATTGGAGTTGACACACTCAACAACCCCCTTCCCCCTGCAAGGCGGGAGAGTACAGAGTGAGGAGCAAGGATGGTGATCATAGGATTGGATGTCAGATGACAGCATCAGGGAAGGGTCGACATGGAGGTAGTCGGGTGTGATGAACCCATGAGCCGAGATGGGGGAGCGTCAGCTGGGCGGAGCAGGGCAAAGAATGATCAAGTGGGGCGAACGCAGATGCCAAAGAGGGATTGCATCTTTCTATGGAATACATGACACCGTACACCCTGATACGAGTGAATGCATGTCCCGACGATCAAAACCGATGTTTTCTTGGGATAGCGTAGCGCGGAGACTGGTGAGGATTTTTCCGAATCAGGCGCTGGATATGGATTGTTGCAAAAAGGAACCGTACCGGGCGTCCTCCTACCCAATTCCCGTATTCGCAGCCTCAGGTGCGCGGCTGGAGTGCCATGGATCTCCACTCTGACGTCTACGTTGTCTTCTCTTCTCAAGCTCGTCCTCGATATCGACATGATAAAGCATCATTCAGAGTAGGGGTGCAGAGTAAAAATGAATTTACTCACCGGCACCATTGGTCGTGGCGGTGTAGGACTGAAACTGAAGACGATTCAACTTTCAACGAGGGAGAGAGAGTGACGGATTATTTTCGCTGCTGACAAGTATCGACTGACTCGGGAATGATGTGTATTCACGTTGCGGGACCGGGTGGGTTTACCGAGGCTTGAAAATAGTATCAGGTGAGCAAAACATGAACGATCGAACGATGAGGAAAAGTTGGTCAGTCGTATTTTCCCCCGTCACACAGGCGCGTTGGGCGATGCCGATAAACTCTCTCGCAGAGAACAGAGTAGAGATACTTAGCAGAATGAAAACACCAGATCTAAATACAAGTCTTTCGCCCATCCTCCAAGTCGAACCCGAGCGCTTGACCTCCTTCATGTCCATGGCTTCTATGCAGGTGAACGACCTCACGTCTACTCAGGTGTCCACGATGCTGCGGGGCGTGAATAGCCTCCACTCTGATATCTGCGATCCCCTCCGTAATGAAGATCCTGGCTCTCTCGTCCTGTACGTGATGGGTGAAGGATAATTGCAACAGAGCTTCCAAATAAATATTCATTAAACGCTGGATAGAAAACGTTGACAAAAGAAAGTGCGCACCATAATTATACGTCCTCTCGTCATCAAAGTTCTTCCCTGTGATGGAGTTCAAAGCGGGTAAGCCAAAAAAAAATAAAAACGGGAATGATTAGCAAAAAAATAGGTCAGTTGTGTTTTTTTTTCGTCACACGGAAACGTTGGACGATGTCGATAAAGCATCATTTCGCTAGGAGAGAGTGAGTGTACGCACCAGGGTGAAGACGTAGGTAGTGGTGAAAATCATTTAGAACTGAATACTGAGCTTTTGAGGGAGAGCGAAGCTGACAGATGATTCTCGCTACTGAACGTTTTAAGTCCTGACTGACTCAGGAATAATATAATGTATATTCTCTGTGGTTCACAACCTATGTCCGTCGCGGGACCGAATGGACCTATCGGTGCTTCGAATGTTCGATCCCCATGCTGATCGGAGTGACGAGTCATTGAACAAATCCAAGGAAGGGGGATCAACGGTATGTTTGCTTTCCCATCGACCGAGAAAACACCAATGCGGACGTACGAACTATACGCTCGAGAGGTAAGAAATTACTGGAGAAATCTGATTAAGTAAAGCCCTACTCTTAGTTATTTACGTTAGTGTGACACCTACTACTCTCCTGCCCCACACCCTCTTCTATGATGACGGGTTAAACTCCAGCACACGCACAGTCCCACCTTGCCTTTTAAGTTCTTTATATGAGACGTCTCAATGGGTAGCGGACTCCTTCCCTTCACATCTACATTCAACCCGGTCACCTAGCCAGGCATTCTAGGGCCTACTAGCCCTCCTTTTGTCCCCCCCGCCATAGTAAGCCCGCAGTCCTCCTCTCAGAACTACATACCACATCTAAAGATATGATCGTCGAGCTACATCATTGCGGATGCTGGCGGAGCCACCAGTCTGCTTTCACCCCTTGTTTGCACCCGTTCCAGGGAAAGAAGTTCTGTCACATATGAGGTCATGTAGTACTAACAGCTTATTCTCATGCATTTGCATAATTCACTCGGGAATCTGTACTTAGTCTAAGTAAAAATAGGTTGCATAGGTCACGTGTTCGTGTTCATCTCTCGATCCAACATCCGCCTCGTCGACATCCATTTCATTCACGCCCCCATTATGGCCAGCGGATTTCGCGCCCCACAAATCGACCTTTCCACTGTTCTGCAAGCTGACCATCCTGCAATCGATCTCAGACTGGAATCTTATGAAAACGAGACGCGCAATTTTCTCAAGAACCTCGCCAGATTCAAGGACCTGGTCATAACGCGGGAGACAGAGGATAGGGCAGCATTTGTAGCCGAAACGAAGAGGCTGGCTGAGAAGAGGAAAGAGATAGAGGCAGAGACGAACCAGTGCAAGGTCCGCGAAATCGAGCTGCTTGCAGGTGTGTTCTTTGTCTGCTAGGCTGGCCACGCGTGACCCTACTTTCAGATCTTGCCAGGGAAGCGCAAGAGCGGAAAGATGCAGAAAGCTCTGTTGCCACGTTCAGACGCCAGCTCGCGTCCCTCAAGGAGAAATGTGCTGCCATTGACGGCGAACTTGAAGAGTATCATGCTATCACGGCGAACCTTGAGCGAGGTAGGTCGTTCATGTTTGTCTGTACTCTATTGATATCCGCGCTCTACAGAGCGAGAGAAGGAAAGGTCCACGCTACAAACTCATGCCTCGAGTGTGCTGCCTGACTACCAGGCAGTCGAACGGATATTGGGCTTGACGATAGAGGGCATCGACAAGGAGCAGCAGCTTCTTGTACGATTTAGGCGTATTGACCATAATGATCTAGAGAAGGAATTCAGTTTCGTGTTGGACGTCTCTGGTCCTGGATATAAAGGTACGTGTCAGTTGAATTGCATCGAGAGGAATACACTGATTTGGGGAGCTCAGTTCTTACTTCATCACCACCGTTGCCTCAGCTTCCTTTCCTTGTGGAGGATCTTAACCTTACCAAGAACATCTATGCCTTTATACATGCTGTGCGACAAGCTTATGTCAAACTAGCAAGAGGTTGAGGCGCGCGCGCGGGTGGCAAGTTCCTTAATACTTTATTTTTATTAAATCCATAGCACTTATCTATGTGTACTGTCCTACAATCCATCATTCCATTCGTTCTGCAACCCTTCCCTCACTCTCCAACTGTCTTGACCCAGCCATCTAGCGATTCGGCCTTCGTCCAAGTCAGCACTTTCTTCCAAAACTTCAACGTCTCCCCTCTCCCAGAGCGCCGGGACAGCCCATCCAATGACAAGCATACCTGGCGGCCTCTGTTCACCAATGCTATCCAGTGCTCTGACAATATTCTTGAGCGTCGAATCGATGACGCGCTGATCTGGCATCGATGCTCGTTCAATAAGGGCAATCGGAGTGTGGGAGGGATAGGCGGGGCCATCACGTCGTGCACGCTCGGTGTCAGTGAGAGTGCTGACAACTTGGGGTAATCGTGCCACGCCCATGAGTATGATAAGCGTCCTTCCTCGCTCGTACCCTGGCAGCTGGACTTGTTTTCCTTTTCTTCCAACTCCTGTGCACACGATGAAAGATTCAGCGGCGCCGCGTTGTGTTACAGGTATTCCTGCAAACGTGGGCCCCGCTAGTGCCGAGCTGACTCCTGGGATAACGACGGGCTCAAAGCCGTGTGAGCGGAAGTAGAGAACCTCCTCCCCAGCGCGTCCGTATACCACAGGATCACCTTGCTTAAGCTGCTTGGAGTCAGTCGGTGCTGGAGCTCTCGGAAGTAAAAGACGTACCCGCACAACAGTCAGCCCTTTTTGAGCAGCCTCGACTGTAGCCTCCATCATCTCATTTTGCGCGCCATCTGCATTCCCAGGGAATTTCTTCGCAATTCGTACTTCCACTTCCGATGGAATAAGAGCCAGGATTGCGTCGGGGACCAGTTTGTCAGATAGGACGAGGTCAGCGAGCTTCGTAAGTGCGTTATTGGTTGCCTGTGTAAGCAATGATGGATGACCAGGTCCTGAACCTACGAGAAGAATTCGACCTGGCCGCCGGATGTCCAGAGAATGTATCGACGGGGTGGTCGCTGCCGCAGAGCCCTCCTGGGTCTCCCCCGACAGCACTTGTTCCATGTCTTTTTCTGTCAAGCTCGCAAGCTTGGACAGTGGCCAATACTCACTAACCTGAGCCACCCACTTCATCCTCCTCCTTGCACTCTCCACCGCAGTCTCTAACAAACTTCGTTGTGAAACCGGTCGATTTGGTGTCGACACACCACTATCGTCAAAACAATCCTCATACGCAACGATATCGTTTGATTTCGCCAGAGATCGGAGCTTGCCAATATTTTCGACGGCCAATCCTACTTCCTTTGGCAGCTTCGCTACGATCTCCCTCCTCAACCTCCCTGCCAAGCGGCATCCTTGGCCGTTCGTGGTAACCCCAATCTGGAGAGGTGTGCGGTGACCGGATGGGTCCTCAAATCGATATGAAGAGGTGAAGGAAAAGTCGCACAGGTGCGGCATGTCGGTGGTGTTGACGGGGATGTTCCGGGATGCGCAAGCCTGGTAGATGCGTTCTGCGGAGGAACGAGTTCGTCTCTGAGCGTCGTCGTTCAGGATGGTGTCGGTGATAATGACAAAGGCGATTCCAGGAGTTGAATCCAAGAAGCCTTCGAGGGCTTGAACGTCGTCTTCGTCGGTTTTCGAAGGACCCGGAAGAGTATCCCAATTTACGAAAGAGACCTGGATATGTTCGACTCGCCATCTGATCTCATCGCATGCCGTTTTCAAGCCTCCATTTGCGAGTACAATGACTTTCGAGTCTGCTTCGAGCGCTGAGAAAGCTCGAGAGGCTGCTAATGTCCCGGAACCTAATATCAAGGTCGTTTTGCGTTCCAAGCGGAAGGAGAGGACTAGGGAGGCTCCGCCTTCCGGGCGTGGATAGGACGTCTGCATGATATCGAAGGAAGGAGTACGACAGTCATCGAAATTTTTCGCGAGTTTACACTGAAGTCGCAATGATGAGTAATTCTGGGTCGGCCCGGAATTCCGAGCCAATGGGTACTGCATGATTTCCAGGGTTAGGGTTAGGCGGTCTTCTGCATCCTGGTTCCACGCAGGTCTCCACTCGCGCGACTTATATAATATGCGCTGTGTTCTCTTGGGTGGGTAATAATGTATGTCCTCGGTGTTGCTTCCGCTGCGCATCGATACTGAATTATGTACGTTATCTCACTCCTTCTATATTGTGTTCATGACGTTGCTTTTTTGTTCGTCTTCCTGCAACGTAGCCTCGCGCGTTGGATACAAGTAGAGCGGGTGCCAAGTACTACTCTGAATACCTTGTTCTGCCAGTGATTGCTTGTGTCTAGGCCCCGTGTCCAATAATTCAATGGACGGCCCAAGTTTCGAATTGTCTTATTCTGTGTCTAATTTTCTTTACTCGCCAGCTCGGTATAGTACAAGCATTTGAAAGAAGCTTGACCGCTCCCCGATAACCATCAACCGCCCATTCAACGCTTGCCTGTCTAAGCTCTACCCCGAGGAAGGCAAGGGTCACTAACGGCTTGATCATTATCATTATATTACAGGAACAACTGCATAACTGAGTAAGTGAACAGATGTCATAAATTTGATCGTACAATCAATCGTGTATCGTTCCCGACGGAGAAATGCGTCATTTACATCCAAGAACGGAATACCACGCGCACTTATACGCTAACAAGACCTCCTCGGTAACCGTCACCGCGTCGGGCGGCCTGAACGCCTCGGACAATCACGAAAAGGATGGCCAAAGTAACCAATACCCTAAATTTATGTCAGAACCGAGTGTATCTGAGCATATAAATACACACCATTCTATCCAACAAAATGCCTCGAGCGCATTGAGTTGGCTGCAGTAAACGAACACATCCTGAGTTCTGCGAAAATGTGAAACCACGAAGAGTATCTATGGCAACCCACTCACTTGCAGTTCAACCCTCCTCCAAGGTTTTGGGTTATGGCGGCTGCGGCTGCGGTCCAGATAACCCATGTAAGGAAAAGGCTGTGTCCTGATGAGCATGTACACAGCGGTGACCCAAATAGCACGTACAAAATAAGGTGAGACGCGATGCTAATGAGCACTGATCCTGTGGCGGAATACAAGAATAGAACTAAGTAGAATGTGCTGAATACGATAGTCCATGTTGAGGCGAACAGGACATATCGGACCCGGTCTCTTTGGGATATTCCGTTCTGATGACCATGCTTATTGAATTCAGATGTCAACCAGGCGGATATTGAGAGCTGCGAGAATGTAAGAATGATGTCTGAAGGGTCGATGAAATATACTCACTGTGATGATTGCGAACAGAATGAGGAGACCAAAGGTGACTGCAAAAAACGGCGTTAGTGGGCGCTTAGAAGCGAAAGGTTGTCAACGCACTCGTATGGCCCCGTCGTACGTGCGAATCGAAGGACATTTCAAAAGCGTTACTGTAGATAATTCTTTTACTGTTGGTAGAGTAGAAAGGAGAAGAGGAGAAGATGAAGCAAGCGTAATGGAAAACGTCAGACTTTTATGAACACAAAAGTGGTGAGATCGCAATTTCAATTTTCAACATGACGTCAACGGATACCCGGGCCAGACACGTGATGACAGAAAATCAGAACCTTCCATCTCCGAAATCGCCTTATTGTTCTCTCCAGGAAACGACGACGACTAACCTTCGCCTCCAGCCCGGACTCTGAAGAGGAGCCTGGTATGGAACCAGAGTAAGCAATTCAAATTCCTCGGCCCGCGGTGTCCTAACTAGGAACGCTAAAAATATTTCAGACCAATGTACTTAGTCGAAATTCCATGACATCGCCTCTTGGTGTTCATCCACCATGTCCCCCTCCAAGACACAGTACAATGTCTCTCTCCGTGGCGACGCGATACTCACCAGTCCCAGATGGAACAAGGGCACTGCCTTCACCCTCACGGAGCGCAAGGCCTTTGGTCTCACTGGGCGATTGCCGTATCGCGTCAATACTCTCGACGAGCAGTGCAAACGCGCCTACGACCAACTCCAGTCTCGACACTCACCTATACGCAAGAATTCCTTCTTGCAAAGCTTGAAGAACCAGAACTGGGTGCTTTACTTTGCTTTGTTATCGAGGCATCTTAGCGAACTCGTGCCTATCATCTATACACCGACCGAGGTGAGTGTTCCAGACCCGAATCCTAGTGGGCTTGCCACGTCGTCTCCATGCGCGGGAACAGCGACAAACCTGGTCTCGTTTGATCATCAATATCACACACGCAACGGGCATCTTATTCCGTTAGGGTGCGCTCGCCCTTAAAGACGCATTCAATCTTCTGCATTCAGGGTAACAAATGAACCTGATTATGTGGTCCTATCCAGTCTATAAGCATCGATTACGGTTGTTTTGTTCACTCTGCAACCTCTTATGTTACTAGGAAGTCGAAGGGTAGGCTTTGGCCCTTCGAATCAGGCTCTGCATCCGAGGACCCAGTGTACTGTTCTGCATCCGTGACGGTGGCAAGCCCGTAGTCAATAGACAACTAATACTTCTCTAACAGGCTGATGCAATCGCCAACTATTCCCATCTCTTCCGAAGGAGCGAGGGATTATATCTGACCTTTCCCGATCAAGAGACCATGGAGCAGGACTTCCTCGAAGAGATCAGAGGCAGAAGCATCGATCTCATTGTATGTTCCGATGCAGAGGCGATTCTCGGCATTGGTGATCAAGGTGTCGGGGTATGCATGATCACTTGTTTGCTCTATCATCATGCTCATTTTGTTGCAGGGAATCGGAGTAGGTGTCTGAGATATGGTTCAAAGCGTAGGATTTATCTATTTTCCAGATATCTGCCGCCAAGTCGGTGATATACACGTGCGTCGATTACCATCATCAAGACAGTAGATGACTTCGATTGACACGATATTACATAGACTCATAGGAGGCATGGACCCTTCCAGGGCTCTCGCCGTTACGCTTGACGTCGGTACGGACAACGAGGATCTTCTGAATGACAAACTTTACGTTGCAAGTATACTGTTGCCTAGCTCTAGCGAAACCTCACCATGGCTTTAGGGCTGGCCCAACAAACGTGTTCGTGGAGAGCAATACGATCGATTTATCGACAAGTTTGTGCAGCTTGTTCGAAAGCACTTTCCTCATTGTCTCCTTCATTTCGAGGACTTTGGTGTGACGAATGCCCAACGCATACTCGAACGCTATCGGGACACTCATTCAGTGTTTAATGACGATATGTAAGATGCTCTAGTCACTGATGTTATCACTTTAACCTCACTTTTGTAAAGTCAAGGAACCGGTGCAGTCACTCTCTCTTGTGTCATGTCTGCTATCGGCATCACGAAGACCAAGCTCTGTGATCAGCGATTCATCATCTACGGCGCAGGCTCCGCCGGGCTGGGCATCACGAAACAGCTGCGTGACGCCATGGTTGCTACAGACGGTACTCCGGAAGAAGAGGCCAACGCCAAATTCTGGCTTATCGACAAGCACGGCCTCATCAGGCAGAGTACACCTGATGTTCGAAAGGACCTTCACGCTTTCATTCGATCGGACGAGGAATGGGCATCGTTTGCCGGCGAGATCGGCCTCCTGGATGTAGTTAAGCAAGTAAAGCCGACGGTGCTGATTGGGTGCTCGACTCATGCGGGTGCTTTCACGGAAGAGGTCGTGAAGTCGATGGCGGCACATTGTGAGAGACCGATCATCCTCCCTCTGTCGAACCCGAGCCGATTGGTAGAGGTCCACCCGAGTGACGCGAATGACTGGACGGGCGGGAAGGCATTGTTGGCCACAGGTAGTCCGTTCCCTCCAGCCAAGATGCTGAACGGGAAGGATTATATCATTGCGGAATGTAACAGTATGTCAATTGTCTTCTTTCTTCTACCGTGTTATTCATCGTCCTCTTAGATGCGCTGATCTATCCTGGGCTTGGATTTGGTTCTATGCTCTGTCAGTCTCGCAAGATGACAGACACAATGATTATCGCGGGGGCGCGCAGATTGGCATCTTTGTCCCCAGCGTTGAAAGATCCGGATAATGCGCTTCTGCCAGACTTTGGCGACGCGCCTCAGGTGAACTTTGAGGTAGCTGTTGCTGTTGCTGAGCAGGGGATCGAAGAAGGTGTTGCGGGCGTTCCTTGGTCGAAGGAGGAAGTACGAGCTAAGGCGAAGGCAAAGTTGTGGGAGCCTGTATATGTGGAGTACGTGTATGATAAGCATGGAGAAGACTAGGCAAGGGGAGGTTGGTATACTAGCGTTAGGAGAACAGTTCATAGCCGTCCCTAATTAGTATTGTCGCGTCGCGTGGTTTTGGCAAATTCGGATCGCTTCTTTCACTTCAGCTTCAAGATGGCCAACATAGAACAAATGCTTAGCAGGATGGGGAATATAGATTTCTTTGGAGATCTCACAAGGGCGGCGAAAATGCTAATGGCTGCTGAAAAGAAGGGCCATATACCTGATGACCTTGATTTTGGTGTCGTGCCCGTCTGCGCGTCGTGCAAGCAGAACATTATGCCTCCAAAGAAACCACTACGATGCGGGGCGTGTAAGGCAGTTATATATTGTAACAAAGAGGTTTGTGCTATTCTTTGAATTTCTTTCAAGGTACTGACCGTCTACAGTGCAGCAAACACGACTGGAAGTATGGAACAGGGTTAAGGTTCTCTACTCACAAACAGCTATGTCCCGACAACAAGGTGAAAGAAACCAGTCTCCAAATATTCAACTTATTCCTTAGTGACTCTTCTACAGAGACACATGCTACGTCTCCCGGAGACTCAAGCGATCCTAACTTCCTTTCCTTGGGGCCGCCTCGAAACGGACGGTACCTTCAACAATAGCATCGCCCGGGGCCGCTTCGACGTACTTGGTGGCTCCGGATTCGGTTTTTGGAGTCACAGAGGCGGGCCGATTCCCCACCAGAACATGGGCGAGCTCAGAAAAGCTTTGGCCGAAGGCTCGCCCTACAGCGCTATGCTAAAATCCGAACTCGGTAAATTCGACCACCTCGATGGGAAGGACCTCTTGAGTACGAAGCATCTCACCGATTCTGAAGGCTGGAAGTTGCCTGATAGGCTGATTCCATACCGAGATTTCGCGTCTGTGGGTAAGAAGCCTCAGCTGGTGGAGCGGGAGATTGATGGTTGGGACGCGTGGCACGAATGGCGGAAGCTCCCTAGGGAATCTCCCGCTGCACTTCTTATGAGCTTTCCCCTGAGCGCGTATTGGTTGATTGTTCATTGTTTGGAGGTGACTGGTCCTAGTGCAGGGAGTACGGGAAAGCGGGTACCGCTTCTCATTCATGCCATTGGTGCCGAAGTGGAGTTAAATTATCTTCCTCTGTCAGTAGAACATTTATTTTTTTTAGCAAACGAGGACTAACCATATTTCTATCAGGTTCTCTGAAATAGCACTCTTGTTGCCGTACCATGACATCAAGCTCCTGCTCTTCGGCCAGAGCGTCGAGAAACTCGTCTCAGAGGCGAAGAAATCCCACCCACAATCCCTCGTCGCCAAGTCATCCTCCTCTTCCCCAGTCTTTGCTTATAAAGCTCCAAAGGAATGCGGGAGCGGCTCTATCGAAATATTCTTGCACGGGGATTCACCCACCTCGTCTCCAGACATAGTAGATTCCCGCCGCCCTGACGCGATCATCGCCTTCAATGCCGGCCTTGGGTCGTACAAAGAATGGATCCCCGTCGTCCAGACGGCGCATCTATTGTCGCTTCCTTTTGCTGTCACTAAATACGCGGAGCTGTCGTGCGAGCAGCAGCGTTCGATGTTTCCCCGGATGTTACTTGGGTTTCGTGTGCCTGCGAGGAGGGAATACGCGATTGACTTAAACCCATTCCAGACGCCGGGGCAGCGTGGTATACCGATGTACCGCTTGCCCAATGTGGTGAATGGGTTTACGCTGGTGGTGTGGAAGTCGGACGGTGATATCGAAGCTGGAAGTGAACTTGGAGTTGTGGGGCAAGAGCCTGAGGCCTTAGCGAACACTGGATATTAAATGTGCCAGAGGGAAGACATTAGATTCAAAGCTAGAAATATGTGAACCCGTCGAAGGTCAGGAATGAGATGTAACAAAGAGGGAAGATGCACCAGTAAGCAGTATCCTTAATTACATGCCAGTGATTTAAGATGAGGGTACAAATCAATGATGACATGAACTTTGAGGCCAACAGAGTCTCTCATAACTCAAGACAGATATCTGCATGGATCAGATGATGAAATTTCACTTTGGGGAAAAGGAATTGGCTGGTTGAAGGAAGAAAGGAGGAACAGGTCTATTCTGACACTGCAGTCAAGTTTTACTTTGCTATTAGCAACCTCCTCTTGGGATGAATTATAGTCTCTAGTTGGGGTAAGAAGATCTTTCCAACACATTTCCTTACTAATAACAGATGCTTGTTGCAGGATTATGTTGTTGACAGATAAGATGAAGTTTCCATTTCCAAAGAGTTTGAGCAATGCTGTCAGGAGGTTGCAGCTGGAGAGTAAGTCCTATAGTTCACTTTTCTTTGAGGTATTGTTGCTCTCCAAATCCCCATCCAAATCAACCAATGTGACAAATGTTTGCACAGCATATAGAATGAGTCCTATTTCTGATTGAAGATGACAAGTGTGATATTAGCTGACTCTATTGCTCAGCCAAACTCTGCTAGCAATGAGTTCAAGGATGAGGCACATTGCTTCTTGTTATATTCATCTAGACTATTGATCAGATAAATGACATCACATCTTTTGATTCTGGCAGATGTGTTAATAATGAAGAATTAAAGTTGTATTGACAGTTGTACAGAGAGCAGAAGATAATTTGCATTGGTTGATACAATTGTATCAGTGATTACTGATCAATAATTGGAGATCAAATGTGCTAGCTGACATGTGAGTGTGAGTATGATCTTCTGTGGATTCTGTCTGGTAATGTTAGACCTGCTCATCATGTGAGTCAGATTTATAGTGTGTTATATTCATACAACCACACCAGAGTCCACTTTTGGTGTCTAACTTCTTGTGATGATCAAGGCATTTCCAAGTAGGCTTGAGAGTGAGTGGTATAGAATAGACTTTAGCTTGAAGCTGGGTCTATTACAGTGAGAGCTAGGCTACTTAAATATGTTTTTGAGTGTGATAAATATAGTCTTACTTATTGTAGCTATCTGTGGATTGAAACTGAACAAGTGTGTAATAGGTGCATGAAACAATAGGTATTGTCTGTTGATGAGATATTAGTCACAAGTCACAGTACAATAGCATGAGTCATCTAGTATAGTTGTGGTTATTGGTCTGACTGATAGGATTAGATAGGTACTGAAGATTAGATAAGCATCTTAGATAAGATAAGATAAATTAAAAAATCATAATATTACCCTCTTTTTAAGACTATCATCCTGATGGCTGTAGTTTGAGAGTAGAGATGAGTCAAGAAGCCATCATGATGGAAGTGATATTTAGTAATAGTATTGTCAACTGTCATCTATTTCTTATTGACTCACTGATTTGATTCTGGGCTGTATCTCTTCCACTTCACCAAGTAGTCAGTTATTATAGAGAGACTCTGTCTATAGTGACTATGCACTTTGTAGAGATAAAAATCAAGGATTGACTTGATCTTATATAATTCTTCTTTATTAACAAGATCAGGTTCTGATGGTGGAAGTTGTTCCTGATTGGGAAAGGCCAGTGAAATGAAGAGGGAGAGTAGTGTTTTATTAAAGACAGGATGAATCTTCCAATCCAGTGGGAGTGTGAGTTTGTAAGCTGATAGGCCAATCTTTATAGTGATTATGAAGGGGCCAGTTTGTTTGTCTATCAGCTTCTTCTTAGGTCATGGCAGATGGAGATTGGTGGTGTCCAACCAGATCTTATCACCTATCATATATGGCATAGTGGGTTTTTTTTGTCTATCATACTGGTCCTTCATTGCTGCAGTGGCATTTTCAAATGCTGTTCTTTGTGAATCTGAGATATTTGTTTGGTGAATGTGACTGATGCAGAAGTTTTAGCAGAGTGGTGGTTGATTGCAGTGACCTTGAGGTGTCAGCCATGATTGATGAAAAAGAGAGATTTTTCTCTTGCTGAGTGAGCATGGTTGTTGTGTTAGAAGGCTACAAGCATAAGCCATTCTGTCTAATTATCTTGTTGGTGATTGATAAACATCCATAGATACTTTTCAATTTCTTAGTTGATCTATTTTATCTGTCCATCAGTTTGTGGATAATATGCAGTAGAGGCATTGCTCTTGATCTGTAGTAGATAATGCAGATCAGTCATGAATTTAGAGATGAATTAGAGTCCTCAATCTGAAATAACCACCTGAGACATGCTGTGTTTAGCATACATCTTATCCTATAATATCTTTGCCTATCCTTCTGACAAGAGTTTTATAGTACAGGCTATGGAGATGATTATCTTGAAGAAGCAGTCTATAATGACTATGATGGTGTCAAAGCCACTGCATTTTGATTATTATGTTTATAGAAATGTGTATCTATAGTTCCATAGATACTTTGTTTAAATGTAGGAGGACTGTTTTCACCTGAGTGTTTGACTTCATTCATTGATATGTTTTACATGCTTTGATGTACTTTTCTATATTCTCTTTCATCTTTGGCCACCAATATTTCCATAGCACCAGTTCCTTGGTTTTGGTGATTCCTGAATGTCCTGCTGTGATGTGATCATATGAGTGGGTGATAATCTCTCTATGAAGTTCATGGTCTCTAAAAATGTAAATTCTTTTATCATAGTATATGAGGTCTTTCTCCTTTATCATCTCTCTACTATGATTGATTGATGGTGCAACCTTCTAGTCCCATAATTCTGTCTGTCTGGTCATGCTTTTAATGCACTCATATGCTTCTTCCTCTGTTAGTATGATTATTGCTCTAAAGTGCTCTGACTTCAGGAGCATGATTTCACTGTTATTGTCTCTTCTCTGGTCATGGTCTGCTTGCCAGCTGAGTAAGTTCACCTTTTTGTTCATGGTTCTCAATATTGTGGTAGAGTGTGAACTGATACTTGGCTAGCTCAGTGACCCATCATGTTTGCTGTCAGTTTAGTTTCTGAGAGAGTTGAAAGTATTTAAGGTTCTGTAGTCTGTCTAGATCTCAAATTTCTAAAGCATGCCCATAAGATAGTGTTGCCACTCTGCAAGTATAAGCATAATAGTGAGTAACTTCTTGTCATAGATTTCATAGTTTTATTCTATCACAGTGAAGGCTTTAGATAAAAATGCAACTGGTCATCACTTGCTCTTCTGTTCTTGAGAGAGAACAGTGCCAATGCTCTCCTTGCTAGAATTTACTTCTATATAGAATTTCCCTTATTCCATTGGTATTGCTAATACCACATTCTTTGCTAGTTGCTTCTTTAGTCACTTGAATGCATTTTTCTGTGTAACTCCTCAGGTTCATAGTACATTGCTGGTAAGTTGAGTCATTAGCCAGATGATTTTACTGTAGTTCTTGATAGAATGTCAGTAGAAGTTGATGAATCTAAGAAAGAATTGTAATTCCTTCTTCTTTGATGATTCTGGCCACTCTGTTATCCCTTTGATCTTTATAGAGTTCATTTGAATACTTCCTTCACTAATAATGACTCTCAGATACTCAGTTTCAGATATCTTGAACTCACACTTTTCTACTTTGAGGAATAATCTATGCCTCCTTACAATTGTCAGGACTTGTCTGTTATGATTTTTCTGTTTAATCTTATCTTATTATTTAATCATGAGTGTCTACTTTCTATCTATCCAGTCAGACTAGTAACCACAACCATACCAAATGACTCATACTGTTGTACTATAGCTTACAACCAATATCTCAATAACAGGCAGTATTTAATTGTTTCACCCATATACTGCATGCTCTTTAGTTTCAGACTATAGACAGACATAATAAGTAGAACTATATTTATTTTATTTGAAAACATATATAAGTAGCATAGCTCTCACTATAGTAGACTCAGCTTCAAGCTAAAGTTTATTCTATACTACTCATTCTTGAGCCACATGCAAGATCTTAAATCTCACACTGAGTCAGACATTAAAAGTGGACTCTGGTGTGATTGTATGAATATGATACAGTGTCAGTTTATCATGAGATCACACTCATATGATGCTTAAGTCTAACAATTAGCTTGAAGCTTAAACCTGTCTTTCCCTCAGCTAACACTAAAAGTACCATATGGAATCCACTCTCTACTTTGCAATTACAGTCTTCATCTTTATCTTTATGACAACTCCACTCTTTCTCTACACCTTCTACATTTACAGGTAGAAAGTATATGACTGATACTATCAGCTACTAGGTCATTGAAACACTTACCAACAGAACACTCAAATCTCCCAGATTCACTCTTGCTACTGCTGCTATTACAGGACTATCAGCAGATATGAGTTTGGAGCATCTAGACTCATAGTTCATCTTTTCTGCTAGATCAAAGAGATCTGCATCTTTGATCAGCAGAAAGTTCTGCTTTCTACAAATGATACAGAGGTTGATACTATAGATATCAGCACTAAAAGAGGAAATATCCTCTGAAGAGAGTATAGCCAAGAAGCACTATTAGTCAAGGTCTCTATTAAAGGCCCTAATAATGAACAACTAAGTCTGGCTGAATCAAGCCAGCCAGCAGGCTTCTCAGACTTATGTATGACTGGAAGCCCTTCTGGTCATGCCAGCAGCTCAATCATCATCACTGATGATAATAGTGACCTCTCATGATTATGATTATGCTTGCACTGAACATATAGAACTTCTCTTTCCAATCAAGAGAGATTAGATCTACTTGACATGTGATTGAGACACATGATAAACTAGCACTGTATCAAGTTTATACAGTCATGCTAGAGTCCACTTTATTGTGCAATCTGATTGAGTGTGTCAAGGCTATTTGCAGAATAGGCTTAAGAAGAGAAAAGCAGTATAGATAAACTTTAGCTCAAAGCTGAAGTACTACAGCAAGAGCTATCCTACTTATATGCATTTTTGCAAAAGATAAATATAGTCCTCTACTTGTTATGCATTTCTACACTACAGTGTTATAGTTGTCTGGTCATCAAGAGCAGGACAATAGAGTATTGTCTGTTGATGAGATATCTATTATGTATCAAAGAATAATA